CGAATCACCTATATTTTCAATCTTCGAAACTCTCGACGGTACAGAGTACATACATAAATCGGCAATTGGTCTGGGGAAATGGGGATGATTTCTCCGACAATTCAGCGATGCTGACCGCCCTTTTCTTCTTTCCCTCTCGACAACCGTGCATGACCGTGAAGTTCGAGAGGAGAGGAGAGGAGAAGAACTTGGGGCAGCACTAGAGTCTGACATGTATTTTGGCGCGTTCCTCGGAAAGTCAACATGTGTCCAAGACCGCACTGGGCCAAGCGTTATGCTGGCCATTTCCAGTAACGCGTCATAAACATAGGCATGATGGAAAAATGACATGCAAATCAGAGAAAGAGAAAAAAAAAATACGTAAAACAATAATCCCAAATCAAATCATTTCTGTGCCGTGTTACCCCTCCCACTCCCACTTCCACACTGTACGAGTATTGAGGCCAAGAAGCGGTCAACCGCGCTCTTGCTCTTGCTTGACAAAGACAACATCCACGAATGCCCCACATCTCCCGTGTCATAAGCTTGGGCCTCCGTTTTCTGTCTTGATGGTGGGTGGAGCGATGGTTCGGAGATACACTTTGCGGATTCGCGATCGTCTCTGTATGTCCTTGGTACCATGCCCATCCGGCTGCCTCCGTCTTCCCATGGCGGTGGTTACCCAACAGTCGGCACCAAAAATGTCCTCTCTTCAGGGGAGAAATTTGGAGCTTACAAGCCCCGGGGGGTGAATATCGTCGGGGATACATTGGTTTCAGCACCAGGTGAAACCGGGAGGCTTTCGTTACTCTCCACTCAATTGGGCACAAATCCCTACCAAGCCATATCTGTCATGCCCTAACCCTTCTCAACTAGGTAGTTACTATGTACTCAACTGGCAGTCAACGAAAGCACAAACCTGCGAGGAGGACTCCATCTGTAGCAAAACGAGAATCTGACGTAGCTCGGTGAGTCTAGTGGACCAGACACGGCATAGGAAAAGGGGGCAAGACAGCAGCTTTGGTGCTTGTTTTTCCAGGTCGAGCCTCGAAACGGGGCCAAATGAAATTGCACTCCATCAAAGAGACCCGAACCAGACACATACTCTTCCCTCTGCGCTCCCGCGTCTGCTATACTATTGTCTTAACTATGGCCCGTTTCGTTCCTACCACAATATCTGTGTCCCACTGAACCGATCGTTGCCCAACCCAGCTAAAGTCCGAGCCAGGCCTTTGAACCGCATCACCCCTAGTACATGAAGAGTTTACTCCTCCGAATGGCTCATCTCCGTTGTGCCGTTCGGATAGCGGGAGGATTTGTCGAACTCTGCCATCTCCGGATTATGATCCGGGAGTCAAAAACTAGTACTACGGAGTAGGGCCTATGATTTTCAGCAATTAGAATTTAGGATTTGGAGTCGAACCATCGCCTCCCACGAATCTCTGACCATTCACACGGGATCGCAGGGACCCACGGTTATCCTCTAGGAACAACTTCCCAGACCCATGGGCACGACATTGAAGTTTACCGCATGCGGCAAATCCACGCCGGGTTTTAATCCGAGAACCGAACTGCCGTTCGGCGTGGGATGGTCATATCTGACTTGTCTTTTTCTTTCTTATCCTTTGGCTTTTCTAGAAAACAGCTTAACCATGGATCATCAGGGCCACCGTGGGACGTGGGCGACGGCATTTTTTTTGATTTTTGGGTTGGGTGGAATGCGGAGAAGGAAATTACGAGTAAAAATCTCTAGGGCGAGGCTTGCCAGTCCGTGGATCCGACAGGTGAATTTCCGAGCAGCTCTCCGCAGTGGCGGTGGTTCCCGAGAAGCCCGGAGGATCCCAAGACTCCTCTCTTGTCTCAAATGAGAAGCCCATGGGACTGGAGGAGGTGAATGGGTTATATTCCGGCGAAGAATTCCGGCGATAAATTGTTTGTCGAAGAGAACCACCTCTACCGGAATTAGTAAGGTGTAAAGTTTAACTACTCGTAGGAGGGGCTTCTTCAGCCTCCCTCGGCTCATCTCCTTGTGATCGAGAAGCTTAGCCGGGAGGGGAGAAGAGGGGGAAATAGTCTCGGGGATAGCAGTTGGCATCGATCAAAAAGAGCTCATCTTTCTGAACCAGCGTGGATATCGCCATCGCAGCCACGAACTCGAACTCGAAATCGACCTCAACCACCTCGACCACCTCGACCTCGATAAGAGTAGCTGGAAGGAGGGGCGCGATTTGCTCGGTCCTCCACTGTGATGTGTCCGATCCTGGGTAGCGCTCGCATCTGCCGCGCTATTGCAGGAGCCGCGCCGCTAAAGTCCCCATGACGGGATGTGCTGGTCCGCTCTCTGACGTCGTTGTTCAGCTGAGGGCTCCGAGATACGAGGAATGAATGACACACCTTACCCAGACCCCCGGTCGCAGGTCGCACGGCTAAGTGATACATGTCGCATGGTGCCGAAAGGACGAGGACCCGGCTCTGCAGAGAAATCCATCTATAGTCATGTATTTTGTACATAGGAAGCATGTTTACTAACTAGTAGTAATACATACACCTCCGCATGAGGAGGAGCAATGTTATGTAACCGAAAAAAGCCCATCTCGTATACCTACTGTAGTTACTCCGTATGGAGTACGGAATATTATGATTGGGTGAAGGCGGATAGAGTCTCGAGGTTTATGGAGCACGAGTTGGCAATTTGCCATTTAAGAGTGGTGTTCAATGTGAACATTCCCAACCCCGACCATATACAGTAGTACGAAGCACACACATACATACATACATACAATCATTGATCTATCCCCACCATGAGATGTCGAATGGGTCCTGAACTGGAGTAATGCTGGGACTGGGACGAAACAGGGGTTCTTGCGCGTGGGTGTCAAAAAATCGTCGTCATCATGCGCATTTTTACCCATTGGCTGGGAAATTCCTCGAGAGAACGAGAGAGGAGAGGAGAATGTAGGCGTCAATAATGCACAAGCTATCGAATCGATAATGCTGGGTAATGCGATTTTGACCCGAACTCACACACAACACACACACAGAGGCACGGAGTCAGTCAGTATACTTCCAATGGCACGGCACTACACCGTAAATGGGGTCAAAAGGTCAAAAAAAGAGAAATCAAATCAAATAAAGCCAACAGGTGAAGTAAGGTCGCCTCCCACGCTAAGCCTAAGATGGCCCGTGTCAAAGGCCTCCCCTTCCTCGCTATCCCATATGCAGTACTAATTGTCCTGTACATGGCTGAACGCCCTGCGTGAGAATCGTCATTTGGTCCCATTTGGTATTGCTCCAATTTTCTTCTTTTATTTCCCATTATATATATTTTTCTTTTGGCCCAGTTTTGCCTTTTTGCCTCCGGGAGGGTCCTCTGCCTGCACCAATAATGGGCTACCCAAAGTTGTCTCCCCCGTGGACCCCCCCCCCCCTCCTCCATCCAGGACTACTCCCACATTTGGGTTTGCCTTGAGAGGCGTAACCCTAACCCGGGGGTTCAAGCTTCACTTTTTGGGATTTGTTCTTTGTATTCAAAAGAATTGAAATTACTTCCTCCATACGGGGTAGTTTTATTCTAATTTTTTCTTATTACTATCTATTCTCTCTCTTGTTCTTCTGACAACCAATCAAATATAGAAAGTAATCACTCCAAGACATACTAGAAAAGCCCCCCCCGACCCCCCCCACGCCAACGGGTATACCCTTTGACGTATGGGATCACCATCCCCGCCGCCTTGAAACACAGTCAGGGCGAACCTTGGTCGCTGCATCGTGAGTTTATTTCTTGGCGTCCCTTTTCTTTTTCTCCTTTTTCCCTCTTTACGTTTAGCGGGCCCCGCAGACACGGCACAGATGGACCATTCAGAGGCATTCCAGACTGTGCTGGACATTCTCTTCCTGCCCGTCCCTCCATGCTCCACTCCAACAGAAAGTCAAGCGTGGACTTTCCTTTGCACCCCCTCCTTCTCTCTCCCCCTTTTTAGCGGGCTCTGAGGTCACCGACTGCTTTTTGGGTCCCATGATGGTTCCCCTTTTCGTATGATTTAGCCAATTTCTCGAGTCTGTCCGATCCCGGAGAGTGACTGGGATGGTTGCCGACGTCGTGGGTTCGTGGGTTCTTGGGGTTCTCTGGTTCTATCTCTATGGTTCTGTGGTTCTGTGGTTCAGGAATACTGAATACTTCAAGATTGGAGGGAGCAACAGTACAGGAACAGCACATGAACATTACATTACATTCTTTGCAGCGCATCTAAATCGGAGGGGTTCTCTCGATCTTCCATTCTTCAACCTAATCGGTGCATCTCGAATGGGGATTTATTGATTTTGATGTTGCGAGGATGTTACAAAACAGCCCGAGATCATCGTCATCTCAAGAGTCAGAACCATCAAATCAAATAGTACGAATAGTACGGAGTACAGTATATCTCGTTGAAGAGGGTCCGAGGAACTGGTTCCCAAGGGAGAAGAAGAACAAGAAGAGAGCCACATTTGGCACTAAGCAATGCCTCCAATCCTGCAAGATGAAATAAATAAAATAAATACCATAAATAAAATAAAATAAAAGAGAAAAGGAAATAGAAAATACAAATAAAATAAAAGAAATAGTGGACCCCCCAGGAAAAGGTAAAATTACGAGTCCATGTACTCAAAGTGTTTCGAGGATCTGCAACCGTCGTCAGTGGCTCTTGGAGTTATCGTGCCTCACATCTCTTGACTCTTCTGTACTGTCAATTCTGATGTTGGTCCCTTCTTAAGCTTCGCCGATCCCCTTTCCCCAGACTGCCTTTTTTCTTCTTCCCTGATCGATCCCAAAAAAAATAATTAAGAAAATAAGGGGATCTTCTGCTTATCACTTGCTCCTTTCACCCTTTCTTCTACCTGATACTCTCTTTACCTCTACTCTTTCCCTCCCCCTCTTGAATCATCAACAGTCGATCACTTCAACTTCACTCCTCCCCTTGTTCCTGTCTTATCTCGAAGAACTCGGCCGCGCGACAACGATACACCCAAACACACCACCCTCAATGACGATGGTAATGGAAAACCAAAACCGCCCATATGGCGGCATGAGCTTCGACAATGTCTATCATCACACTCCTCCCCAATTCACAGACCCCTGGGCTGCCGCGCACACTTCGTCGCACGCGACGCCTCCAGTCTACGCGACTTCGATGGGTAACAGCGCCAGCATCCCCGTCAACTCCGTGAAGCAAGAGGAAGTGGGCCGAGCTGCCGCCATGTCGATGCCTTACCCCAACATCCCCGTCTCCGCGCCCTCCCTCGTGCCCGCCAACAACTACACAACCACTGGATATGGCCCCGAGGTGATGGGTCTGCAACACGATGTGCCACGCACAACCTTTGAGCAAGCTCCCTCATACACCACCGCTCCCCCTATGAGCAGCTTTGCGCCGCCTAGCTATGCGCCAGTCAGCTACGCCCCAATTCACCCCCAATCACAAGACGCCCGTCGCATTTCTCACTCGTAAGTCCAAATCGATCACGATCGCATACTCGCAAATTTCCCCCATTTCTGACCCTTGGCCCCCCCAGAGATGCTCGCGTCGGCTCTTCGCAACCACCCGCGCCCACTCCCACCTTTGGTGATGCCCTCGACGCTAGCCGTGGAATGGTGGCGCTCAGCCAGGATTTGACCCCCCGAAACATCTACGGACCTCGCGGGACACGAGGATCCGCTGATTCCTACGGATTCCCCTCCACTCACTCATCTGCCTCCTCGATCTCCTCGGGTAGCAACTACCCTACTACAGCGCCTCCGTAGGCTCTGTCGACTCGTCCGTGACCGACTACAGCTCCACAACATCCGAGTCCTATGAGTCGCGTACTCTCCCCCGGCCGACCAGCCTCCTGGCTGGAAGCGCACCCCCAGGACCCCAGTCAATGATGAGCCAATTCAGCTCCAAGATGCCCTCCAACACCCAGAAGAAGCATAAGTGCAAGGTCTGCGATAAGCGATTCACTCGCCCATCTTCATTGCAAACACACATGTACAGCCACACTGGCGAGAAGCGTGAGTTTCTACCCATAACAATTTCTCTCGCCCAAAAGGAGAAAAATAAAATAAATAACAATAAAAAATTTGTCACTAACTGAGTTTACAGCATTCGCGTGTGATGTGGAAGGTTGCGGGCGACACTTTTCCGTTGTCTCAAACTTGCGCCGACACAAGAAGGTCCACAAGGGCGAGAAGGACACCGGCTCCCCCGACGAGGATGAATAGATTACGCATCAAGTGCATAATCTTGAAAATTTTCAATTCTGCGACGAATGAATCTGCTTCAGTTCGGCGCGCTCTCTTTTTCCCCCCTTCCCCGGGGGCCCCTGACTCCATGGCCACAATCCTTTCGCCAAATTATCCACAATTCCCGCCACAGCCGTCTTCCGTCTGGAATTGACCCGAATTGGCTGGCCATTTCAGATGGCAATCCTTGTACAACAGCTTGGACCTCATCTTCACCCGCCCCTTTTATCTCATACATTCTCATTTCAACCTCCCGATCGGGTGTCGGGAGAATCATCTCATACCCAACATCTGGGTCTGTGACCGTGGATCCTTATTACCTCAGGGGCCGCGAAAAGAGAGAGCTTTATTTTGATGCTTCTCTGTTTTGCCGCCTTTTTTCCTTTTCTATTACCCACCACGTTATGACCATAGAGGTGCCGGCTGGTTTGCGTTCATGGTTTACACTTCTTTCTTATTCTTTCGCTAGACCTGGGAGTCACCTTGTGCTTTTTCGATACCAATGGGCTTGTGATGATGCGATGTTTTCTTTTCTGGGGCATTTCCTACCGTCTTTTTTCTTTCTTCTCTTCATTTTCACCTTCTTCTTTCCTCCACCTCCACAGCAGGCTTCCATTATTTCTTCTCTTCTTAATATTCTTCACCTTGCATCTGTCTCGCATGGTCTAGAGCCTTTTGTTCACCTTTTTTCCATTTCTTCCTGTCTGCTGAGTCGTGTCTGCGAATGTGCTTCCAACTCTCCTTTCTGTCTGTTTCTTCCTCCGCCGGCTCTACTATGTTTCAATCGTACCGTGTGTACAGTTTGGGATTTGGTGTTGGTTTGATACCCGTGGCATTGGTGGGAGAGTGGTTGTTTTTTATATTTACCTCTCGGTGAACCCGGCGGATCTCTGCTGTGATATCAAGTCCGCCAGCGTATTCCAATACAGTCGCTATAGTAAAAACTATTGTCTAATAAACAATTGAGCACTTCAGTGAACATCTGATTTCTATTACAACTTCAAGTTTCCACTCTTCCTTCGTAAAGCTGTAAAGATGACTGATTTCAGGGCTGTTTATACCTATGTAGCGGATTTCCTATGCGAAGTCTTGGCTTTCCCCTTCTGTTTTAGTGCTCAGTGAGCGCCGCTTTTGCTCACTGAGTAGATCTGAGCCTGTCTCAAAGCGCGCTGAGTGGATCAGTGGTCATTATGTGACTGCTCTGCGCAGCTCTCTGATCACTCTGATCTGCTCAGTGAGCCTGATCTGAGTGCTCTGATCTGCTCTCTGAGCATTTCTTATAGAAGAGCTAGTGGCCTGGCTCAAGCACCCTAACAAAATACAGCATGATATATAGCCCTTATAAAAGTCCCCCTATTTTTAGAACTCTCAAATGCCCTATCAAGAAAAGTTATGTATCATGAACAGCTGCAAAATTGTGTGGCAATACTACCTCCTAGGAGTAAACACACTGAGCAATTCACCTCATTATCCTATGAAATTCTGACTGAAGTCCACAAGCTCCTGGGAACAACAAGTCTAGTTTGTCTTAGTATACTGCTTCTTGTAGAGGTCAAAGGCCAGAGAGTATAGAAAGCTAATTGTAACGGGCCAGGCCCCAATGTATGCCCAGGCTTGGCCTGTGCGATGTGGTCTATCAATTCCCCTGGATATTTACTCGCCGCGGGTCGCCCCTTTTTCTTACACTTCTCTAAGCTTTAGATAAACAGTATGCAGGCACCGCTCAATTGAAACAATTCGGCCGTAGCCCTTCACAATAGTATAGACTTGTTACCAGGACTATTAGTTCGATTTTATAATTAACTATATTCCTGAGCATATAACCCATAGATAGTTTAAGCCCATAAGCGAAAATCATAAGCAAAGCACAGGAGCAAGACACAGGAGCAAGACACACAAGTCTTTCTGCAGCTCCCGATCTGGGGTATCTTTAAATGTGCGATAAATAGGTTAGTATACAAAGTCTTCGGCATATTCCTCATATTGCTTCATAAAATCGACCAGGTTGAACTTTTCATTAAGTTTCCTGGCAGATAGTATGGCAGTGCCAGCATCGATGTATCCTTTCTTGAAAGCTTCGAACAATGGCGGGCTAGTGGATGCATGTGGAATGAACAGTTGATTATCACCCAATACCATAGCGCCTTTAAATGCTTGGTACACGGTATCACAATCCTGCTTGAAGTCAACCTCTTCACATTGACCAAAGTCGAGGAGATAGAGTCCGATGGCACGGTGATGAAAGTCTGGAGACTCAATGAGCATTCCATAATCCCTTGTCACCGATGTTCCAAGTACAAACTCCACATCGTCGCCATTTATGGCAGCACCCCAGTGCAAAGTTGCATACGCCTTACCCATTTCCTGAGAAAGCATAACGGTATCGATGCCCAGCTCCTCCATCCAGTCGAGATAGAGCGGGAAGTTTCGCAACGGGGCTGGATTCTCTCGCCGGATTAAACCATTGGCTTTACCCAAATAAACTCGGGCAAGGCAATGTTTGTTTTGGGGGTTGTTGAGAAGATACTCGACTTCGGTGTCGTTGAGATTCCAGGAACGACCACAGAAAAAGGTGATTATCGCTTTCCGTACAACCTTTGGTAACGGCAGGATCCGTTCCATTGTGACAACATTCCCACGAGTGCGGTAGTCCTGGGGGATTTTGGGTAATATTTCAGCCCAGAAAGCTTCATCTTGAGTTTTGAGGATGAAATCATGGGGTTTGGGAACATGGACGATGCTCTGAGTCGAGGCTTGGTATAGTTCAAAAGCCGCAGAAACATCGCAATGCATCTTGTACTCGGACTGGAGATTCGATGGTCGTAATTCGTTTCCTGGACTTTCTTTCTTGAGGACATAGGTTTTTCCAACCATTTCAAAGACGGCACCTTGGAGGCCACTGCCGATTTGGTTCACTAGCTGAAGATGGGGTCGAAAACGCGCACCCAGAAAGCGGCGGGCGAAAGAGGACCGAGTTGAAATAACTGAGGTCAAACTGAGAGATCTTTTGAGAACGACTGAGTCTGTAACTGATTCAAGATCTGCGGCATCGAGGAACAGAAGAGCGACTTGGGCATGTCTCGCGATAGATGATGCGGCAGAGCGGGCTGACTCGTCGCTTTTACCGACTTTTCGTCGGGAAGCCATAGCTACTCCGGGATAAGTAGGAAACTCGATGGCAGAAGAAGGAGGATGTGAAAATGGTCGAGGATGATGAATGTGAGGGTGCCTAATAATGTTTATAGTTGGTAAACAGAAAGCGGTCTGCCCATTCTGCCGGCATCGCGTTTGAAATTTGAAAATGGTGGTGAATCGAAGTGAGCCTCAGAGGGTATGACCGCCCATCACGTAATTTACTTCTACGGCTCACTGAATCTGAGCCCGGACTGAGTTTGACTCAGTGAGCCTAAGTCTGAGCGTCCTCACTAAAACGGCGGCAGTTCAAAGGGGAAAGCCCCACCCGTCATAGGAAATCCCCTACGTAGGGCTTTACCACTGGCACTCATTCCGAGTCTATTAAGGTGTTCTGAAGGTTCAATGCCCGGGTGTGCTAGTATCATTACAGGTTTATCATAGTAACGTCTTTTGATGAGATATCGTCAATGCCACCGCAGTTCTGCCCGCCCTAAACAGATTTCTTTTTTATCTACTACTAGTAGTACTAGTTCTATACTAATACTTATACTCTTACAGCCTACAGACAGCTCTTCCTGTCCCAAGACTCATCGCCGCAGCTCGTCCAGCGCGTCGTCCAAACACAGCACCCGAAGTCAATCCGCTTCCTCCAGGATAATTATCATGGAAAAGACCACCAAGCATCTCCCCAACACAGTACAAACCAGGCACCTCCCGCCCCGTAGTCTCCGAAACCACAGCCGCCGTCTGTGGATTAACAGCCAGCCCCCCCAAAAGTAAAAGTAATACCAGAAGTCACTCTCACAGCCAAAAACGGCGCCCGATCAATCGGCAACGCCCAATTCGACTTCGGCACGACCAACCCCGTTGTACTAACCCCATCCTTAACAGCAGGATCCCACGTCTTCCCCGGTCTAACCGCAGCATTATATTCAGCCAGGGTATCCAAAAACCTCTCTCGACCAGTCAATCCAGCCTCCACACACCGATCCGCCAATTCCTCAACACTATTCCCGACCAAATGTCTCGTCACAGAAGCCCTATACTCCTCCTCCCGCAACCACCCTGTCGTCCGCGCATCCCAAACCTGAAACGCAACCTGACCCGGCTGCGCCAGAATCCGCCGCCCAATCATCGCATACGTGTAATTCCGCATATCGGATCCTTCATCGACGAATCTTTCCCCGTCCCGATTCACCATTATTCCAAGCGGATATCCCGATTTCGTGAACTCGTTCGATACACCCCGGTCTCCGCTGTGAGCAGGCGCATCGGCGTCCCAGGCTACACTGTGACACCCGGACCAATTACCGACAGCCTTTGCGGCAACGTCTCGCTGCGCTATCTGGAGTAGATCGCCGGTGTTATAGGGTGTTCCCCGGACCCGGGCTGCGTCCCAGCCGGGACCGAGATATTGTGCTCGGAGTTGGGGGTTTGCTTCGAAGCCACCGGCTGCGAGGATGATGGCTTTGGCGCGGATGGTGAATTTTGCATCCCGGGGCCTTGGAGGTAGGTTGCTAGCACTGGTACTGTCATTGGCGCGATGGTGAACTTCAACACCGATGACAGTGTCAGTTCCCGAGGACGAGTCCGTGAGAAGTTTGGTCACGGCCATATCGAAGAAGATCTTTACACCATTCTTCTTCGCAGCACGGATATGATCCTCAACCAGACCTTTACCGCCATCTTCCGTTTTCAGCGCAAGACCGCCCCAGAACTTGATGCGGTTATCTACTTCATATGCTTGGCGATTGAAGGATAATTGGAAGCGAACGCCGTTCTGCGCCAGCCAGGCGATAGTACTGCGCGAGTCTTGGACTAAGATCTTTGCTAGGGCTGGATCTGTGCGGCCATTTGTCATGCGGTTTAGGTCGTGGGTGAAGTCTGCTTCGGAGTAGATGGGCATGTCGATTCGGTTGGCTTTCTCGGGACTGTCGATGTTGTTTACCAGTGGGAGGAGATCGGGTAGGCCATTGTGCACGGTGCGGAAGGCTCCTGCGGTGAAGTAGCTGTTGCCACCGGCCCAGGTTGAGGGACATTTGTCGATTAGGACGATGTCTGCTTCTGGGTTTGTTTGGGCGGCGGAGAGGGCGGCAGAGAAGCCTGCGTTGCCGCTGCCTATGACGAGGATGTCGCAGGATGAGGGGATACTCGTAGACATGGCGAAGGGTAAAGAGAAAGTTTTATGACTGAATCTTGGATCTCTATGAAATGAAGCTTGCTTGAGGTGCAGCAAGTTGAAGCTATACAGCTTTTTATACTTCTGAAAGTGCAGGTGATGTCGGGGAGTTACCGTCCGGGGATGCCCCACACCTCCCCCGCGGACGGAGAGTCACGCTCCGTTGGCTGCAACTTCAAGTTGAAGGTGAATTTGGACCTCGTTGAAGTCGATGGAGCCTATAGAATATGGTGTGCACAATCGTAGCTGTTAATAATTTAGTTAAATTACAGTTCACACATCCTTGTAACGAGTGTAGTAAAAAGTGGTCTTGGCTCGGGAAAGGTGGACATACTAACCAGACTTCCGAGCTTGAACGTTAACTTGATAGATTGGATATTGCTTTCCTTAGGTTACTACGCACCACTGAAGGATAATAACGCTGAGAATGTAGCAATTGGGTGACAATTATGATACTGAATTGATAGTCTAAATGGCTGGTTCAACATCCCACCAGCGCAGCGCAACACCGCAGTGGCACCAAATGCAGAAGAAATGAACGACCACCCAGAACGCCGTTATTTGTGATTAATATCCGTAATGAGAGGTCGTCCCATGGGGTCGACGTCAATGTCGATGATAAATGAACTGTACAGCACCAGGCATGTCCTAGCTCTTCCCGAATGGCTCGGGTTTAATTGATGCGGTCCAGCTTGGCCCGGTTCATAGCAATCTGATCGTCGACATAGTCGCTCTGCAGAAGAAAATGGTCAGAAAATAAGTCAAAGAGTACGAAGGAAGCCTCCGAGTACTAACCTTGCCAGTAATACGATCCAAGTGACGGTTCTGCTCGTCAAGCTCCTTGCCGGTGGCCTTGGCAAGACCGTTCAGCCGGCCAGCGGCACCGCCGAGCAGGTCCAAGTTCTGCTCGATCTCGTCTTCCATCTGTTCATCCTCACTGTCGGCCTCGAACTGGTACTTGGCTCGCTCGGTGACATTGGCCTTCTTGCCCTTGCCCTGCTTGGCCGCATCGCGGTCGATATCACGGAAGACGCGGTCCATACGGGCATTGGTCTGGTAGGCTTCATTGCGGGTTCCGGTACGTTGATCACGCTCCTCGCGGTGCGTGTTGAGTGTTCGCTCGTCGCGCTCACGACGGCGCGAAGCGCTGGTAAACGGATTGGAGACGTGCACAGCAAACATGCTTCCGTTGAGGGTCTTCAATTCTCGAGCCTTTTCTTGCGCAAGACGTCCCTCCACTGAAGCCATGTCCAAGTTCTTCTCTGCGCCGTGGACCATCTCACCCTGTGCACCCAGGCGGGCCAGAGTTGAACGACCGGTTTCCTCTGCCTGAGCTGCAACACGGAGGGCGTTCCGGGTGGAGGCAACATCGCCCTGTTTCATGAAGCGCATTTCTTGCTTGGTAGCCTGGACCTGTTCATCCTCTTCTTCCTCCGCGGTCAACTGTCGCTCTTGGTAGGTGGACATGCTGTATTCATTGCTGCCGCCACCGTAGTTGGTCGGCTGGTCGTTCGAGTATGGAGGCGGGGCGCCAGGTTGGGGTGTCTCCTGGCCACCGTTACTGGCACCACCACCACCACCACCGAAAAGCTCATTACGAGCGGCATCGGCATTGGGATCGTTGGGGTCGGTGCTGCCTAAACCTCCATAGCCTCCTGATCCATATCGTGAGGCGCCAGCGCCAGCGCCAGCGCCAGAACTTCCGCTTCCACTGCCAAATCGGTCACTGCCATATCCTCCCTGGTTACCATAGCGGTTGGGAGTATATCCTCCTCCCTGGTACTTGTTATCACCTGGGATATCGTGGGGTCCTCCCGCGGCGGGGGATCCCATGCCACCCGCCGGGAGGGGAGCTACACCGGCGTTGATCTTGGCCTTGGTGTAGGCATCGAGAGGGACAGGTTGGGCGTAAGGGTTGGTAGACTGCGCGGGGCTCTTGTTCTTTGATCGACCGAATAGACCACGACGGCTCGACTCTTCGGAGTCGGCATCGGATTTATCGGATTTCTTGAAGATTCCCATGTCGCAGGCGGGTATGAGGTGGGATTTTCGAAGTAGGACGCTTTTGCGACGAATCGATAGAATTGGAATTCGGTGATGATGTGATGTGATATTCAGATGATCAAACGGGGAAAGGAAATTAAAGGGAAAGAGAAAGGGAGGAGTGCGAGGCGAGAAATGTTTCGATTGAATTAATTGATTGGCGCCTCAGGGGAGCAGCAGCGGCGATTGGATGTGCTGTACCCAATACAAGTGCCGTATACAACAGATAAGAGCGTGACGGGTGTGACAGGCGGCAAAAGTGGCAATTTTGGTCATATTACCGCATTCATACCTCAGCACTGCTGACTCAGCCCAATACCCCCGCTAGTCCCAAAGAGGGCAGCTTCGCCTCTCCGCCCAACGCTATTTTTGGTTGGTTTGGCTGGACGATTCTTGCTACCTGCTGCTTGCTGCTTGCTGCCTGCCACTGCCACTCCGCCCATTTTGACTTCGCCCCCTTCTCGCTCAGATGGCACCTCAGGGAGATGCCGACTATTGCAGAGACCAGGCCCGCAGGCAACTGTTGGCCCTTCTTGAAGGCGTGAGTACGGTACTCTCTACCATCTCCGAGCTCTCTGTTAATGCTGCCTAGGCTCGGGGAAAGAAGAACCTCGTCATCAGTCAGGAGCTGGCAGGTCCAGTCGGCCTGTTCGTCAAATTCTCTGAGCTTCAGCAGTATGGTGTAGATCGGATCTTCCTGTTGGAAAATGCAAACATCGATTCGTCGCAGCGCAATGTTGTCTTCTTGGTTCGTGGTGAGAAGGCTCACCACATCCGGACCGTCGCAGGTACGTGACTTCGCCCTTTTTCTGTCTGCCATTGCATTGTTTCACCCCACCCCCCTGTCTTGTTGGGACTTCAGCAGTTACGTATGAGCTTCCATCTCTACGTAATCGGTTGTGGCTTCGGCCTACGCTCCCTAGATTGAAATCTGGTCATTTTTCGCTCATTTATCTGGCTTTCATCAAGTTGCTCGCCGATCGATAGTCATCAGATTGAGCTAACATCATCTCTCTTTTAGAACAGATCAAACGCCTACAGAACAATGGCAATGTCCAGCATGAGTTCTCCATTCTCCTCACCCCTCGACGCACCCTCGTAAGCAATGCCGTCCTGGAAGACGCGGGGATCATCGGAGATGTCACAATCGCCGAGTTCCCACTTCACTTCTTGCCGCTGGAACAGGATATCTTATCACTAGAATTAGACGATGCCTTCGGCGACTTGTATCTGGTAAGTGATTGCACCCTTGTCGCCATGTGAAGTCCTCGCTGACCCCCCCTTAGAATAAAGACCCCGGCTGCATTTTCCATGCCGCCAAGGCACTAATGGGAATCCAACAGAGACACGGGTACTTCCCGCGTATCGTAGGCAAAGGCGATAATGCGCGTCGTCTAGCAGACCTTCTGCTGCGGATGCGGAAGGAAGTGGATGCTGGAGAGAGCTCTGGCCTGGCTGATACCTCTATGCGAGGTCTTCTTCCAAGCGCTGATACGGAGAATCTGATCATCATCGACCGTGAAGTCGATTTTGGAACGCCACTACTAACTCAACTCACCTATGAGGGCCTGGTAGATGAATTTGTGGGCATCAAAAACAACCAAGCCGAAGTGGACACTAGTATCGTCGGCCAGGCTTCAGGGCCACAAGCTCAGGAATCATCCAAGACACCTCAGCAGGCCAAGCAAGGATTGAAGAGAAAGATCCAACTCGATGCGTCAGATCAGTTATTCAATCAATTGCGAGACGCCAATTTTGTTATTGTCGGCGACCTTCTGCACAGGGTGGCCCGCCGCCTGGAAACTGAGTATGAGACACGCCACTCGGCCAAGTCTACAAACGAACTCCGCGAGTTCGTTAACAAGTTACCGACTTACCAAATAGAACACCAAAGCCTTCGGGTTCATACTAATCTTGCCGAGGAAATTATGAGGTTGACTCGCTCCGAGACCTTCCGGAAGATGCTGGAGATCCAACAGAACAGCGCAGCAGGCATTGACCCCACGAATCAGCATGATAGCATTGAAGAGCTTATTGCACGAGACGTGCCTTTGAAAAATATACTCCGATTGCTGTGTCTGGAGTCGTGCATGAACGGTGGACTGCGTCCCCGCGATCTGGAGAACTTCAAGAGACAGGTTCTGCAAGGTTACGGTCATCAACATCTCCTCACTTTCTGGGCACTAGAGAAGATGGAACTCTTGCAACCCCGGTCCTCGGCTACTGCCATGCTCCTCCCAACATCTGGTGCACAGGCAGGCACCAAGACGAACTACGGATATCTTCGAAAGAATCTACGATTGGTGATTGAAGACGTCAGCGAGAAAGACCCCAATGACGTTTCCTACGTGTACAGTGGATTTGCTCCCCTCAGCGTACGGCTGGTCCAATGCGTTCTGCAAAAACCCTACATGCTGTCCCTCATCAAGAGCGGTACACCGGTTGCAACAGTAAACAACGCCAGTGCGGCGTCACCCGGCTGGCTCGGGTTCGAGGACGTGGTCAAGAGTGCTCGCGGTGCCACTTTTAGTATCGTTCAAAAGGGCGATGACAAAGCTGTTCGAGCCCGGCAGACGATCAGTGGAAACAACAGCCCGAAGAATGTCTATGTATTCTTCTTAGGTGGTATAACCTTCGCCGAGATTGCTGCGCTACGGTTTATCGCAGCCCAGGAGGCTCCGCGTCGGAGAATTATTATTTGTACCACGGGTGTTATTAGCGGTGACCGTATGATGGACGCTGCCATTGAAAAAGGTAGTTTCGCCAAAGCGGAATAAATAACCTAATTATCATGGACCTCAAATCTAGTTCTATCTAGAATAATTTCACGATACGACATTCCCCAAAGTAAATTTTTTTTTCCTAAGTATGAGTAATTGGCTCTAATATTCTATTTGGATTCCAAGTTTCAATACTTGAAGCCTGAGTTGACGCCCATCAATCGACCTTGATACCGCTCCATAACCTCTCCAAGTCGGACCATAACACCAGCGGAAAGTGTCCTGGCTTGCTCGTTTGGATCGGCTGTGGCACTGAGATTCGATTTCTTGCTGGAGGGTGTGCGGTCAAAGACCTCGGAGGCCCATTCGCGTAGCTCGATTACTTGCGCTGCGTACTCAGTAACCAGACGCTCCTCACCGTTGGACCCGGAAGCGATATTCGAGTCCACAATTGCGAGGAAGAGATTTAGCAGTGCGGCAGCAACAGTCGGTTCACTTGACGCGGGGCTCGTGTGTAGGGAAAGGAGCAGGGAGAGTGTTTCATGGGTCAGGCCTGGTAGGAATGGAGTATGAGGGCCTGCCGTCGAGACGATAAGAGAAACCGTCTGAAGGAAAAGGGTTAGGATGTGCGGAACGAAGAATGGATTGTATGAAGGCGCAGATGATCTGGACTCGGTTAGTGCGACATTCTCCAAGAGCTAGGGGCAAAGCTCAAAGACTCACGAGGAGAACTGTAGCATCATGATTTCGAAGCGTCCTTGAAGAGGATAGAAGAAGCCCTGAGCAAGAACTTTGTTCAAGTCTTTCACCATGCCTTTTTGTCTTTGAGCATCACGATCCTGGCGCTTCTTTTCGACCTCCATGCGCGATGAGAAAGTGCGCACTTTTAGTGCACTGGGGCCGGTAAGCTCGTCTGCAGCGTTAGCAGCCAATGGCTGCAACGACGCCTGCGACATCTTCTGTGTCAATTTTGCGATTGGGGACTCGTTCTCTGAGCCCAGGAACATAGCCTCCAATGCAGGCGATAGCCTTTTAGAAGGAAACGAGGTATCCTGTAGCTTCGGGAGACTCAAAGCTCGAGAATCATCTTCTCCGTTTCCAGCTACTTCGCGAGCACTTAAGCCCAGAGCTGTAAGTACAGCAGATCGCTGGACCTGAGAGAGATCGCCGTCGAAAAAAATTGCAGTGAACCAGCGACCCATTTTGAGGGGCTGCGAAACGATCAATGCGATCATGCTCTGAAGACGAGACTCGTGGAACTGCGGGTGTTTGTTATCGTTGTTAAGGCCTACTATAATCAGAGCCAATTCCTCGATTTGCTCAGCAAGCTCGCTGCCAAAGCCAGTTTTGCGGCGAATCAGAGATGGAGAGGTAGTAATGGCAAGCTGATGACGTTCCACGTTCTCGGTATCTCGTAGGTAAGTGATGAGATCTCGGATATATCTAGGCACTGATTAGTGATATACTTATCTCGAATATCAATGGGAGACTTACACAGGGGCAATGGGCTTGTTTCGTTGGACAAGTGTCGGATCTTCATCGTCATCGTCCTCGTCGGCATCAGGCTTTTCGTAGGGAATTAGATCTTCGTCTTCACCGCTTGCATCACTACTGTCATCAATTTCTTCGATAGCAACGATCTTACTCCTTTGCTGTTGCCCTGAACGTGGTTGCGGTCGTTCATCGCTATTTACCCGAGCTCCCTTCTGGGTTTTCTGGTGTATCATTGAGTGTTGCGCCTGTAGTGATTTGATGGATTCACGCGGCCCGACCTTGTCTTGCACTTTAGTGAGACTAAGGTACCAGCATGCTTCCTCACTCCGCATCTCTTCGAGGTCGAATTTGAGTGATTTTCCTGGCTCTTCAATGATCTCGGATATCGCGGTGCCAACAATCATGCCGAGGAACCGCGCCCTATTCGACGATGCTGCCAGTCTGTTAGAGACTGCGTTGAGGAAAACACCAGTACGACCGATATCTTTGACTTGTGATGGGTCAAGTTGCCTCAAATGACCAGCGGTAAGAAGAATGGTCTGGGCATTGGCTGCATAATATTTTGTCAGTCTCGATATAAGCCCTGAGAGTTACTAAGATCCGGTATTGACACACCATTTTGGGTAATGAGTGGAACATGTTTGATGCCAAACTTGTCACCAAAGTTTTCAAGGCTACGCACAAATAGTGATTTAAGAGAATCTGGTTGAATTGGTTAGACTTATATCTCCATATAAAACGAGGAAACATACCAATAGAGTCGTGATAGGAGGCTAAAAGTGCTCGACGCAAACCAATGGTCTGTATTGAGCCGCCTTGACTCTTAGATAGCCACTCCGAGGTTTGATTCTTGAGAAGTGACCGATGGCCAATAATCGCAGAGCACAAAGCTGCCACTCTGGAGACAATTTCGGTATGTGTGGCTAGCTGTTCAGGGTCTTCTGAATGCTCTGCTGAAAAATAACGCTTTTGGATATCGCGGAATATTGCCTCGAGCATAACGAGTTGTTCTGACTGCCGAAGATGGTCCAGAAGCAGACCAAATCTATCCACGAGTTGTTGATCAAGAAGTAGAGCTGAGTATATTTCTCGTACGAGCTGATCTATAAAGAGGTTAGCAAATGCCATATAGTTTGTAGTGATTTGTCACGCGTGCCTGCATAACCCAAACTTAGACCTCGGCCTGTCAAGAAAGCGAGAGATCCCCAGCCGCTTTCGTCGTCCACTTTGAGCTTCGAAGCCATATGAGCAATGTTATTACCGAGCCATGATGTATAGCGAGAGCCTTCGCCTGTCCAAGAAATTAAGGATGGAATTTCAGATTCACCAGAGACAGTAAGCGCCTCGGCTGCTGTTGAGAGGATTTTGCCAGCGCCAACAAGAGACGCTAGCTCCCGCCACGCAACCTGCTCTTTTGTTTTATTGCCATGGAGAGCTGAAATATCTGAATAAAGGCGGAACAAAAGATCCTTAGGTTCCAATAAAGAAGCAAGAACGGAAAGAAGATCTCGAATCGCAAGCGAGGAGCTTGAGCCTTCTGCTTGTTGGGCATTAGCTCGAGCTGATGCGATTTGAGATCGAAGCTGAGTTATCAAGGACCCAAGACCTGCCACACTGCTGAGGCATCGTAAAATAGCTGCACGAGTCTTGGTCTCCTTCGATGTCTTGACTTTTCCATCCAGTGATGCCCAATGATCCGGGATGGTGGTGCTGACTAAAAGTCGGAGGATTTGAGCCGTTGTTGGACTGGGAACTCGAATGTCAATATCTTGAATCTGTCTGGATGTGTTGAAAGGGTCGATAGCAGATAGCGTAGTGAATAGTCCGTCCCGATCAGGATGGGAGCCTAGCACATCTATGGCCTGTTGTGAAGATATATCATGTTGATCAAAGTCAATGGTGGGTTTGGCGGGATTCTCGCGAGCCTGAACCTCACTGGCAGCAGCGACCAGGGGTGAGTTCTGATCCCGCTTCACAGTCTTAACAGCGGTCAATAGGCCATCCATTGTGAGAGATTGATCATTGAGAAGAAGTTGAAACCTTGAAGCCGCCTGTTCCCCGAGCTTAAGCTGTATGCGGGCCACCAACCACAGTCACGTGCCCCGTGCCTGCCTTGCCCACCAACACCAACACCAACGTCAACGCCGCCATATTATCTCCATCCTCTCTCCACCATCACAACCTTCTTCTTGCTCTGGAGAGAAACCTCCAGTCTTCGAGACATTTAAAACAGCAGTGAAATTCTGCGAACACATTCTGACAGAACTGCCCCAGAATCCCCAAAATACATCGTTCCCAGCGAAGTGGGACTACACCCCCATCACTTCTAAAGAACCCGCGCGTGCTCGCCAAGTGGACGACTTATGATTGATCTTGAAATGACGACACCAAGTGTGAGAATGGAAGGCAACCAGGGCCAATGGTGAGATCTAACATAAATCTCCTAGCCTCCTGTCTTGGGAATATGTTTACTGACATCGCACAGGCAGCATCTCTATAAGGTCTTGTCGAAGCCTGGTCCCTACAGTGATGAAGATTGGGTACCTGGTGTGGAGACAGTCAGTGCTTTAGAATCTTCCAAAATCCTGTAAGATAATTCATAGCTAGTTGTGTGGAAGGAGAGTGCTAACTAACTATGAAAACAGAGTGATGTTCGTCTTAGCATGAATCTTATCTCTCCGAAGTGAAGCCTAGACTAACTCATGTATCCAGTGGAGCTGGTGGACTAGGATGCGAAATATTAAAGAATCTGGCACTGTCAGGATTCAAAGACATTCATGTCATCGACATGGGTATGCTCTTCCTTGACTATTCTTTGGCGACCCGAGTCTAACATGATAGGCAGACACCATTGATATCTCAAACCTCAACCGCCAATTTCTTTTCCGTCAGGCTGATATAGGTAAACCAAAGGCAGAAGTTGCCGCGGCGTTCGTGGAGAAGCGTGTCAAGGGGGTCAAGATCACACCCTTCGTTGGTAAGATCCAAGACAAAGATGAAGATTACTATATGCAATTCAAAATCGTCATCTGTGGTCTCGACAGTATTGAAGCTCGTCGTTGGATCAACTCGACTCTGATCGGAATGGTCGACCCGGAGGATCCGGAGAGCTTGAAGCCCTTGATCGACGGTGGAACCGAAGGTACGCTTTTCACGAGATGATTTTATGATGATACAGTCTAATTGTGGACTAGGTTTCAAGGGCCAGGCCCGTGTTATTCTACCTACACTATCTTCATGCATTGAATGTCAACTTGATATGCACGCGCCTCGACCTGCAGTCCCGCTTTGCACGATTGCTACTATCCCACGTCAGCCCCAACACTGCATCGAGTGGGCCCACCAGATTGCGTGGCAGGAGAAACGCAAGGATGATCCTTTTGACAGTGACGACATGGAACATATTTCCTGGGTGTACAATGCTGCTCTAAAACGAGCGCAGCATTTCCACATCCATGGAGTTACTTTCCAAATGACCCAGGGCGTGGTGAAGAACATCATTCCGGCTATTGCATCCACCAATGCAGTGATTGCAGCATCCACTACCTCAGAGGTACTGAAGATTGCGACATCATGCAATCCTTACCTTGAGAACTACATGATGTATGCCGGCGAGGAGGGAGTGTACACCTACACGTTCGAGGCCGAGAAAAAGTCCGACTGCCCTGTCTGTGGTAATCTTGCGCGGAAGATGACTGTAAATGCGGACATGACGCTGGGTGATTTTATTGACAGTCTTGGAGAGAGAGCTGAAGCGCAGTTAAAGAAGCCTAGTCTGCGGACGGAGGAAAAGACCCTGTACCAGCGCTTCCCACCTCAGCTGGAGGAGCACACCAGGCCGAATTTGCGACTGAAGCTACGCGAGCTTCTCGAAGATGGCGAGGAGGTTGCCGTCAGTGATCCAGCATACACCATTGACTTCCGATACAGGCTAAACTTTCAATAAACTCTCCGTGTGCTGTTATTTTAGGCACGAGAAAAATACAATGAAACGACTGGAATGATTTTGAGATATAGCTTTATTCAAGTGTCTGGGAATTCATATCCAAAGATAGCCACCTGCCCTCATTGATCTAAAAACAAGTAATATCCGGACTCCGGCCTCGTAAAGCCAACTTCTTGACCGAACTTTTTTTTTCGTAAATGTACAACGCGAACGAAGCTCGAAAATTTCCAACGCCAGTGAAATGCATTATGAAGGTTATAACAGCGAGATTTGAAGGAACCCGCGGCTTTATGCCATGAGATCGTTCAAGCCACGCTTCCAACGGGCGCACTTCAGCTTGAGAACCTTGACGGACTCCAGGAAGAGGGTATCGCTCTCGAATTGACCGGTGCTCTCCACGTTGAAGATGAAGTGGTCGCGGATACGGCCGAGCTTGACCTTGCCTTGGAACTCCTCATGGCGCAAGCACTCACGGCTGACGGTGTCATTGAAAGCATCACGGACAACAGCCTTCTGCTCACCAGCGTGGCCCTCATAGCCACTGTCTTTGCGTGAAGCCTCGGCAGAGGTGACAGGCTCAAGAGCAATGACACCCTTGGGAAAGCACTTGGCAAACTTCTTGGCGTCATCTCCAATAATGGGGCGCAGAATATTGATATCCGGCATGAGGCGGTAGGAAGCGGTTGCAACGGGGGAGAACTTGGCGTGGTCGGCTCCGATACCCTTGATACAGTGGAGTTCCATATCGATCTTCTGGCCGGGGCGCATCTTGGCGATCAAGATGTCCGGGTTGACAGGCTGGATGGCACCATCGCCAACGAAGTATTGATCCTGACGGCCGACGGGGAGAAGGTGATATCCTTGGCGTAGACGTGGGCGTGGTTGTAGAGCTTGCGGGGGTCCTCTTCGTCCGGGTGGGCATTAGCATTCTTGGTACACTCGGCCACTAAGTGCATGACAACGGTGTTAAAATCGGAGGGACCATCGTCCTCGGAAGGTTCTTCATCTTCAGCGGGCTTTCGGTACCAGCGCATCCAGTTGATTCCGTCCACTGAACCCTTCAGCGGGATTAGACCCAGACGCTGGGCGAGCACTTCGTCCTGGATCACGGAGGTGTTGTTGTGAACGAAGACGTATTCAATGGCCAGAGTGGGGATCTCTGCCATGAGGATGCGGCGAAAGGCATTGGCGACCGCGGCGTCCAGGCCGATCAGCGAGAACGAGGCCTCGTGGGCATCATTGCGGTGATAGTCGACCTTGAAGTTCTATAGTCGGAAAGAAGCGGTTAGAAAATAGCTCTGATGAGCAATGGGGTAGAAGCGAAAGATTGACATACCTCTTTGAATTGATCGAGGGCCCAGGCGTGCGACTCTCCGGGCCAATGGCCAGGGAAATCTGTGGAGGGGATGTTGGTGACAGTCTCTGCATTGATGCCGATGATCTGGGGCGATGAATTAATATTTGAGAATGGGAGAAGGAGAAGATGAAAATCTGGACTCACACGACGACGCTGCAGCTCCTCCTGCGACGCGACAAGAGGTGCCATGGTGGGCGAGCTAGAGGGGACGGGTGAAGGTAGAGGTAAAGGTTGATCGGCGATAAGAATAATTTCTCATGGTCACAACCCGTCGGCCTCAAAGTATTTCCGGTGGCCTGAGGCAGAAAATGGCAGAAATGTGGTGGGCATTAAAAAAAGATCAGATTGACACCTGAGGCTAATAAGGAGAGCGGGAAATGAGTACTGTCTAACCTAATTAGGCATAGTGCCAGACATCCTGAGTGCAGAATAGGTGGGGTCAGATTGACCAATCAAATCCGCACTGATGACCGGGCAGCTGGGAACACGTGACTTGTAAAATGGAGCACGACGTGCAAGACGGACCTCGTCTCCTACGCAGGTTCCCTTCCGCCCAGCGAGCCCACTCCGCCTCCAATCCATTGAATGCGCCTGGTCTGAGGCCCAGATTCCTTTCCTCGACCTTCCCCCGGACCTCTCCTCTCATTTTCCTCCATGGCCGCTTCATTCACCCGCCTCGCGGGCAATGCGCCCAAAAGGCTCTGCCTCCGCCCCTCCAATGTCTTGAACACATCTGTGCCTCGCTCCCGCTCAATTGCGACCACACTCCCTCGCCAGCAGGCCGAGGCCACTAGCTATCAGGCTACACGACTCATTCCGACTGACCCGATGTTCACTCATCTTGCCAACAAGCCCGCTACCTCATCCCCGGACGAGCCCGCTGGCCTTGAATCCGAAGCTAAGAGCCTGAAGGGTCGCAAGATTCGCCATTACACCGTCAACTTCGGTCCTCAGCATCCTGCTGCTCACGGTGTGCTTCGTCTGATTCTGGAGCTGAATGGCGAGGAGATTGTTCGCGCCGATCCCCACGTCGGTCTGCTGCACCGAGGAACCGAGAAGTTGATCGAGTACAAGACCTATATGCAGGCCCTGCCTTACTTTGATCGTCTTGACTACGTTTCCATGATGACCAACGAGCAGTGCTTCGCACTCGCCGTTGAGAAGCTGCTGAACGTTGAGATCCCTGATCGTGCCAAGTGGATTCGAACACTGTTCGGCGAGCTTACCCGTATTCTTAACCACCTGATGTCCGTCCTGTCCCACGCAATGGATGTTGGTGCTCTGACTCCCTTCCTGTGGGGTTTCGAGGAGCGTGAGAAGCTCATGGTAAGTTTGCGGGAAACCCGGAGTTTCGTCGGGAAAGTAATCGGCAATGTGCTAACTCTTACTTTGTCCTATAGGAATTTTACGAACGTGTTTCCGGTGCCCGTCTCCACGCTGCCTACGTCCGCCCCGGTGGTGTCTCTCAAGATATTCCCCTCGGTCTGCTTGACGATATCTACCAGTGGGCCACCCAGTTCGGTGACCGTATCGATGAGACCGAGGAACTTCTCACAGACAACCGTATCTGGAAGCAGCGTACCCAGGGTGTCGGTGTTGTCAACGCCCGCGATGCTCTCAACATGAGCTTCACTGGTGTCATGCTCCGTGGTTCAGGTGTGCCCTGGGATATCCGTAAGTCCCAGCCTTACGATGCCTATGACCAGGTTGAGTTCGATGTCCCCGTTGGTGTCAACGGTGACTGCTACGACCGTTACCTCTGCCGTATGGAGGAGTTCCGTCAGTCCCTTCGCATTATTCACCAATGCTTGAACAAGATGCCCGAAGGTCCCGTCCGTGTCGAGGACTACAAGATCTCTCCCCCTCCCCGTGCCGCCATGAAGGAGAACATGGAGGCTCTGATCCATCACTTCCTGCTCTTCACCAAGGGTTACTCTGTGCCCCCTGGCGAGACTTACTCCGCCATTGAGGCTCCTAAGGGTGAGATGGGTGTTTTCCTGGTCAGTGATGGCAGCGAGCGCCCTTACCGCTGCAAGATCCGTGCTCCTGGTTTCGCCCACCTGGGTGGTTTCGACCAAGTCTCCCGTGGTCATCTTCTGGCTGATGCCGTCGCTATTATCGGTAAGCATCCTCTTCTCCACAATCGTGGCTCATCGTCGTTTCATAATGCTAACTCTAAATTAGGTACCATGGATCTGGTGTTCGGTGAAGTTGACCGGTAAAGCATCCTCGCAACGCAATAATACGAAAAATCATGCAAAAAAAAAAAAAACAGGAAGAAGACTATGAAATGGCCCCCCTTTTTTTAGACGGCTTCTGTGCCATTCATTTTGGGGTTCAAAATCAGAGAGCAGGGATGCATCGACTAAATCTTCTTCTTCTTCTTCGTGATTACCCCTTGGAACCCGACTCTCACCCAGGTGTACCAAATCCTCCATGTTTTCTCCCCATGGCGTTGTTCAATTATGTTCTGTCATTTTCCTTTTGTCTCTTTTCTGCCTCCTACCTCCCATCAGCCCCTGTGTATAGTGAACATCCGAATTTTTCCGAGACATGCTTTTTACTCTATTCTCCCTATATCTCGTAGAATGATGTAGAGATCCTCTGATGCATTGCTTGTTTCTGGCTGGCAATTCAATCCTGGATGCTTTTGACCTAAGAACTTGAAATTATATGGGCGGGGCCTGATGAGTCGCTATGATTGGCGAGATCGCCTATATGACCGTATGAGGGTTCAATGTGGACCTGGAGAGGCAAAGAGGTGACAAATCAGACAAATCAGAGCCCGACTTACGACCTCTGTAGCTTTGACTCAAGAACAAGCACTCTTGGAATCTTTGCAGAAGGGGAACACTCTGCACGAGCATTTCAATGATGATCCCTGGAGGAGGGCCCGAGTGTCAGAATTCACACAATGGCGGCACCGGCTCCCAACGGAATCTCTATCGAAGCCCATTTCAATACCGGTAGCCCCCGCCGAAGACGCGATGGCTGTACCGAGTGTCGCAGAAAAAAAGTTAAGGTATTGAGACTTCGCTAGATACTGTTGTGACGCTAGATCGTAACTGACTGGCATGTATAGTGCGATCTCCAGAAGCCCGTATGCTCGCGATGCATCCGGTTTCCCAGACAATGTTCCTACGACTTGAGTATCATTGCTATAAGGCCACAGAGGCCAAGGACACCGCGACGAAATAGCAGAGAAATCTCTTCTCCTGCCTTGAAAGACTCACATTTGTCGTTGAAATCCATGCCCCTGGTTTATCAACCTTCAATCAACCCGTCTCCGTTTTTGTCATCAAACGAATCCAGATTTTTGATGCACATCTTTGGCACCCAGACTGCGAAGATGCTATTTCCAGCAGCCCCGGACTTCTTTCTCCAAAGAATGATCGGTGCTGCCATGGAAACTCCTCACTTACTCTACGCTCTTCTGGCGTCTGCCTGCAGTCACCACAGTCGTCTTATCAAAGACTCAACTCCTAACCCAAAGGTGACTTGTCTGAAATATACGAACATGGCGATATCTAGTTTGCGCGAGACACTTCAAGATGCAAACCAGTCGCTCAAAGCCGAAACAATTACAACGGCAATGGCTTTGTGTACGAATGATGTCTGCAATGGAAACATGCATGTTTGGCGAACACATCTCCGCGGTGTCCTTCGTCTCCTGGCTGCGTGTCTACAGCACCAAAGAGAGTCATACGCCACCGACGACCCATTTCTGCTATCATTAGCCAAGTGGTTCAAGACTATGGATATCATCGCAGCCTTGTCGGGACTTGACGGAGAGTGCATTCATGATCCCGAGGATGGACCGTTGGATAGAGGTTCGATTTTGGGAAATGAATTCGTCGATGACATCTGCGGCTACTCAATCGACCTGATTCCGTACATGGCACGGATATCTCAAATGGTCCACTCTCAAAGGCTCGACAATATGCCTGCCGACACTAGCCTTGGCGAAGTGGCATCACCTCAGATGATAACCGAAGTAGAAGCTGTCGAAAGCGGCATAATGTCTTTGATAGACAAGCCTCTTTCTAGTCCAACATGCCAAGAAGGTGAAGCCTTTGCTTTCGAGTTGAGAAGCACACATCTTGCTTTTGTGCACTCTGCTTTACTGCACCTCCACCGCCGAGTCCAGCGGCTACCAATAAATCACGTCAAAGTTAGAATAGACATCAAGAATATCCTCGACGCTGTTCGAAATATCAATCCCACATCAACGGCAAATATCTTGATATTATGGCCAGTGTTCAGCGCGGGGTGCGAGACGACTATCCCCAGTGAACGAGACTTGATACGAGAGCGGATGGGCATAATGGAAAACTTCGGAATGGGGAACTTTACGAGAACTCGAGATCTGCTGGAGAAGTTCTGGAAATCCGGCAGCGAGTTGCGATGGGATGAATACTTTGCACGACTTAGGCTTGAGCTGGTCCTCTTTTAGCCATACGATATAGCGAATTCATGGAAACTGGAATTCTGGCAGTCACAATTTATCAAGTCCAACCCGATCACACTCATTTAGTTGCAAGGGGCACGCTCTCGAACCCATTCTCCATGAATTCCCGCAGAGCTTTCAACCCATCCACCAATACCTGTCGCTCAGGAACATATCCCACGCGAACATAACCTTTAAAGTCCTTTCCGTCCCCAAAGCACTGACTACCAGGAGCCAGCATAACCCCATTTTTCTCGTAAAGGTGTTGACAAAATGCCACATCATCAACGGGGACTCCATTCTTAATGAACTTGATGAAAGCAGTCGTTCCAGCCCGGGGGCGGACCCAAGTCGCCATGCTATCATAATCACGGACAAACTCTTCCAAATCCTTCAGATTCTGTTGGGCGAGCTCTGTATTGCGCTTGAGTAGGTTTCCAACGCAGGGACTAGACAATGCATGTGTCGCGACGCTGTCATCGAGTTGCCCAACCGAGATCAGGGTATAGTGACGCGCGTCTGCACAAGCTTCGATGATCTCGGAGCTTCTGGATGCGATCCATCCAAGTCGAATACCTGCCAAGCTGAATGCTTTGGACATTGAGCTTGTTGAAATTGTCTTTTCATACCCGAAGTCTAGGATAGATGGCGGGTTTTCTGGCACATCTGGGCCCAGAGAGTGGAATAGTGGCCGGTAAACTTCGTCGCAATGGATCGTAATGTCGTGCTGCTTGGCGACATTGACAATCTCCTGTAGCGTCTCACGTTCAATGATAGCGCCAGTTGGATTTTGAGGATTACTGACAATGGTTAGTAGAGTTTACTAGGAAAGGTATCTAAGGGAAGGGGGGGGGGGGTTCCCACTTGACGATAATCAGCTTAGTGTTTGGCTGAATAAGAGACTTCAGCTCTGCCAGATCCAACTTCCAATCATTTTCCTCGGAAGACTTCCAAGAGAGACACTTCTGCTCCAAAAGATTTTGGCACAGAATACAACTGCTGATAGGTCGGGTAGTGGCAGATGACATGGTCTCCCGGGCCAACGCTAGAATAGAGAGCGAGGAAATTGGCCTGAATAGCTCCATTGGTGACAAGAACATTTTCGGGGGCCAAAGGGGTAGTCAATTCACTGGAATATAACTTTGCAATATTCGAGCGTAGAGCCTTTGAGCCGCGAATTGCACCGTAGGTCTGCTTATGCGAGAAATCTATAATATCTTTCTCCTCTCCCGAGAGGGACTGGAGATCTCTGAGAGAGAGGGATGCGCAGCAGGTCTCAGCAAGATTGTGCTTAGCATTGTCCTCATAGAGATCCATCCACTTGATGGGTTAGCAGAGGTCATCTTTCTTTTGGGGGAGGTGGGTTCTTACCTGCTCCACGGCAAATGTTTCAATTTTGACCATTTTGGCTTAATTCTGTACAATTGAGGTATTGCAAAAAAGATTATGAAAGTGAGAAAATAGAATCCAAATCGGCTGAGAACTGGCCACATTATATAGCTTCTCTTCCACCGAGTAGTCTTTGGGTCGTAGAAATGATTGGTCAAATCGCCTGGATTGCCTCATTGGGACGACCAGCCCCACCAAGTTTATATGCCACCAGAATGTTCGAAAACATTGACTCATGTTAAACCTGGACCAGTCTGATAGTACAGGTGTCTACTTTTCAAGAAAAGTGTAAATTAATTGATTACTTTACGCGGTCAAAGATGAAAACTCCCAAGAGCTACTAGTAGTAATATAGCAAGTTTCTCTCCCACTTGTACAATGTAGTATTTAATATTCCATATCTCAATTTCTAGTAGTATGAAGCAACTCCCTAATAACATGTGCCAGCCTTTGAATCCCTTCAACTATCCTATTTTCATCCTCCCACATAAAACACAACCTCAAGCTTCGATGAAGTTCCTTTTCCGGAGACCTACTTCCAGGAACTTCGAATACATCGCCACACCCAAGAGTCAAATTTTGCATCTCAGATGCTCTCCGACAGACCTCAGCCGCTATGAGAGGAGCGGGAAGTTTGAGCCAAATGCAATACCCTCCTGATAATGCTGTGCCTGGCGTACTACTAGTAGTATCAGAAGACACCATGGCGCCGAGAGGACTGAGATATTCCTTTATGGCAGAGAGAATGGCCAAATGTCGCCGACGGCCCTGTGGAATAAGAACCGTCGCGATATGCTGTTCTATAATCTTACTCTCGAGAAGCTCATTGACAAAAGTCGACATGAGCTGGCATGGTGCACCGCCGGAAATATTTTGACCCCTAGCAAGATATTTTTCGTTAGCCTGGGAGTCAATTCAATCAACGTTTCTGCATTTCCTTTCATGGAAACTTGGAACTTGAAAGCACCACACTGGAGCATCACATACGCTTGCGAAAGACCATATGCAAACTTCGCCGTTCCTTCAGCCCACCCAACACGACATCCCGGACCTATAAGCTTGCTAAACGTGCCGTTGCTGACCACATTCCCGAAGCAATCTGAAGGACCTTCGTCAAGAGTGCGATCGATATCAACAAGGCGCTGGAAGGGGCTCGGAATAGATTTCACATCTTGCAGATTCCAAGCGAGAAAGTCGTAAACATCGTCGCAGACGATAAGCGCGTCGAATTTCCGCGCAATTCTGACCAGTGACTCACGTCGTGACATGGTCATCGTAGTCCCCGAGGGGTTCGAGAAGCTGGGGACGCAGTAGATGACATGTCTGTATATTTTGCGGTAGGATTTGTTGGGTTTGGAAGTTTTCTATCGTTATAGTTCAAGTTACTATACACCGTCTGTGCAATCTGGAAGAAAGACGAATATCTTACTTTATCCGTATCAGGAATTGAATTGTCTTTCTCCTGGAATAACTCCAGAGCTTTCTCGAGAGCATTGGCATCCATACCCTCCTCATCCTCGGGTATTCCCCTCATCCGATCATGGAAACCCGCATCCTCGAAAATGCGGAAAACGAGATGATAGGTAGGTTCCACCAGCCAGACCATCCTGGTCTGAAGAGGATCAGTGAAGACCGTCAGAATACTTGTTAGATTCTGACTTGCGCCGCCTGTGATGCAGATGCGTTCTGCATCGGTTGGCTGTTGGGTCTTATAAAAATTCGATAACCAACTCGCTATATTCTGTCTCAATGGGAAATAACCTTCGTCAGGCCCGTACCCCAGACCGGGATCTGACACGATTTTATCAGAAAGAGCTTTGACGGCGGCATTCTTGAGATGTTCTGTTGGAAGGAGGTCTGGTGCTGGTCGTCCTTGGAACAGATCAATCGGCTCGAGTGGCATCATTTTTGGCATTGGTTGGATAATTACTAGTAATATTTATCATTTGGCTGCATTTTCATGTTGAATTGGAATATTCCCCCTCTGCAGAATGTTCCTATCTTATATACCCCCATACACTTTGGTCCGTTGTCGGACCCCACAGCACCTAGTTTGGGAACCCAAGCGACCTGGCGAATCAAACCCAAGGATTTCTTGGCCTATCGAGTCAAATCAGCGGAGAAGGGGATCGATAATTTCTAAGCTTGAAAGGGAAGCTGTCTCCGATTCTTTCTAGTCCACAGCTTTCTCTAGTCTTCTGAGGTACTAGCAGGGTAGTATCTTATTGATATTTGCAAGACGGCCGGCAAAGCTAATACTTTGATCCACTCCATAGAGACGATCCAAAATGATTGCCTATATACCATGTAGTATGTAACTTTTTATTTAACTTCAAGATTCTAAAAACGATGATTTGTTTGAAAGAAAGAGTGAATTCCAGTGAAAGATAAATTCGCTGAGTAATATGTTATGTTTCGAACCGTGACGCCGTCATAACCCTATAACCTTCCCACCCGACTTGACTAAATGGTCGTCGACCGCAGATAAAATCCAGCGCCAGTAATGCAAAGACGGAAAATATGTAAGAAATAAAAACGACCAGCTGTAAGAGATCCTCAGTGGTCTATCCTGGACGATAATGAAGCCCTTCTTGAGGACGATCCACAGAAAGTTGGCTCAAAACTAGTCATAGAGCTGCCGCATTTGGCCGCTTGGTCGGCTTATACGTTATCGTCTTCGTAGACAAAGGGAATGTCTCGGATTCGGCGTCGATTGTACGCAACGAATTCGCTGTCGCCCGGCGGGCGCTCATCCCGGGTGTTGGCTGTGAGCATGCTTTGGAGACTCATGCAAACGCTTTCTACAGTCTGGACAGGGGACCAGCCGGTCGTGCTGAGAAGATCAAGGCAGATGATTCCATTGCTGTAGATGTGTGGGTGCATTGGAATCGGCCGGGGGGTGTCGGAAGTGGTGGGGAGATTGATGAACTGGACTTCGGGGGGCTCTGTAATTGCATTGTTCATTAGTAGGAGGACAGAAAGGATAAGTGAAGTGGTTCAGTGGTAGGTGTACCGATTGGGTATTTGTTATTGAAAGTGAATTTGAGTCGGTAGGTGTGGTCTTTGTAGAGAGGGTTTTCATCGAGAACTTTTATATCCATCTGCCATTCTTCGAGACTGTCTGACTTGACGATGGTGATCCCCGGTGGGACATGGTCTTGCATCTGGTGAGAGTAAAAAGTGTCAGAAGAAGGGTTGTTGTAAGATTTTGAAACCATAGTGTTCGCGTCAGGCAGAGAGAAGGGCCGATTCAAAGGGGCGTGATGTGACAGTTCATACCTTGATGAGCTCCTGTATAAAGTGACAAAGTTCCTGGTCAGCAAGGTTGAATCAAGTAAAGTGAAGCTGGAGTTGATAATTCCAAGCTGAGAAACACAACCATACCTTGCTCAGACGTTTGCTGGCGAAAGAACTCGCCATTGTGATTTCCTTTGGTCGATGATGTGACGATGTACTTTGCTGATAACAGACGCCGCTGCCTTACCCTGGGTGGGGTAGAAAAGATGGATGGAACCCACGGGGGCTGAATAGGGCGTTTGGGGTATCTTTGGTCTCCAAATTGGATGTGGGACCTTTAATGAGGCCTTTATAGGAAATATTTGGAAGTGGGAAAGTAGAAAGAGATGGAGGGGTACACAAAGACGCGCCTTGAGTTGGGGGAGGTTCCGAAGTTCCAAAGGTTCTCTGGGTTGGCGGGTATGATAAGAGTCACGTGATTGACACCCCGGGTCATACTAGGAAACTACTAGTACTTGAGATGCAAAGATGTAATGAAAGAGTTATTGTGAGTATGTGAGTGTGTGTGGGAGTTTTCAGTAATACATCGTGATCACCGTGACCACCGTGACAGATTATGTGCAGACTGTATTGACCTTGGGGAATCAAAAACTATATCCAGAATGACGGCAAACTACAACTCATGAACCAGCATTGAAAGAGACAGAGACAAACAGAGATTAGAAACAAATGACCAAACGATACCAGGTTAATGATGCGCAGATTTTTCACGTGCCTCACGCTCCACCTTCTCACGCTCCTCGTTGTCCTTGGCTTCACGAACCTTGGCCAGAACCACCTCGCGGAAGATAGCACCACGAGCAACCTTGCTAAGGCTGCGCTTCTTTGTGGTAGGCGTCGCAGAAGAATCACCGTTGGCCAATGGCTCCTCTTCAGCAGATTCAGCCATCGCGACAGGGCTTGGAATATCCTCGGCGGTCTCGCCATCTTCTTCGTGCATCTTGAGAGCCTCGATCCGGTTGGCGAGCTTGACGATCTCGATACCGCGACGGAGGCGGGCACGCGTAATGTAGGTGCGGATTTCGGGCAGCAAGTCGCGGTCGCTGGCGGATTCTCCGGTCAACCACTCGTGCTTGAGAGCCTCGTCGGAGGTCACGCGCTTGCTGGGATCCGGTTGTAAAAGGGTGAGAATGAAGTCCTTGGCATCCTGGGATACATCCTTCCAGTATCGCTCATGGAAAATGATACGGCCTCCTCGGCATTCTTCGATTAGATCCGTCAAGTTCTCGGCTCGGAATGGAGAATAACCGCAGAGGAGGGTGTAGGTAATGACACCCAGCGACCACATATCAACAGCCTTTCCGTGCCCCTGCTTGAGCATGACTTCAGGCGCAGCATAGCCGAAGGAGCCTGCCATGCTGGTGAGAACTTCAGTAGGGTTCTCCAGCATTTTAGCGATACCAAAGTCAGCTAGGACCAGTTCTGAGTCAGCGGAGCGGGTGAGATAGAGGAGGTTCTCAGGTTTCAAGTCTGTCGACGGGTTAGTAAGACGGTAATTGATACAATAAAGGTGTGGAATGCGTGGAAGGGGTTGGTCTGACCTCGGTGGACAATGTTTCGATGGTGTAGGTAGTTGACAGCGTCAAGCACCTGGCGAATTGTCTGTGAAGCATCCTTCTCTGTGAATTTTCCGTAGTCGCAAATGCGATCGAACAGCTCTCCGCCGGTTGCTAGTTGTGTGACGATATAGAATTTGTCCTGTTTGGCCGTCAGTAAAGCCATGAACCTATCCAACTAGGGTTGAATTAAAAGTCACCTTGGATTCAAACCAGTCCACAAAAGAGACAATATGGGGGTGCTTGAGCTTTTGCAACATCTCCAGCTCGTCATAGACCATGCCTTCATTGCCACGGACATTTTTCTTGAGGATGATTTTGACCGCAACCTTATCGCCAGAAGTCGACTCCGCCTCGCGGACAATTCCGTATGTACCAGCACCTAGAGTACGTCCGAACCTGTAGAGAGCCCTAGAAGAAGCAGAAATAAAGCATCAGTATATGTAGACAATGTATCAATCCAATCAATTGGGAGTATGGAGGTTGGGACGAATCGTACTTCTTCTCATAGCTCTCCGGCTGTCCAGACAGCTTGTTGAACATATTTGCGACTGTGAGATTCGAGAGAAGTCAGTAAATCAGTCAATGGACACTTTCAGAGTTGGAGCAAATGGGAAAGAGATCCGCGCAAGAGCAGGGCCAAGTAGATAGATGTGCAGGTCAAGAAGCAGAAGTAGAAGCAGAAGAAGCAGAGGCAGACCATCGGAATAAATAGTATAGAGAGCAAAAACAAGATCGGCAAGGAAGCTCGCGACAGCAAAGAATTCGACGAAAACAAAGGAGGCGAAACCGACTAAACACAGATTCCGCATGGTAGAGGCGCAATGTAGGTCGAGACCACCAGAACTAAGGTGGCTTGAATCAAAAGGTGCGCGGGTGATAAGAACCACGCGGCCGCTCACAGTCGGGACCTTACGCAACAAAGCCCGAAACCAGTGTATATAAGATTGACTCACAACTCATTGTATGTGAAAAAGGGCTGCCTTTAGCCAAGTCGATTGGGATCGGATCGGTGTGCGACAGATTTAATCGAGGGGGGGGGGGAGGAGACCCGTCGTCAGGTAGCAAAAGCGGGCTGGTGAACGTGAACCCCGCAGCGGAGAGGGGCGGGGAGGGAGAAGTGGGAAGAGGAAGAGAGGATTGAACTGAGAGTTGGAGAGCGGGAAGAGGAAGAGAAGGAGAAGTAAGGGTGGTAGTGGTAGCGGTAGTGGTGAGTGGAGGTATATCTAGGAGAAATGGAGGTGTTAATGGAGGGAGACAATTTTCAGCCTTCAGCCTTGAGGGGCTAGCGGGGGGAGAAGGAGGAAAGTGGGTGCGGCTGACGAAGGTCTCCGCCAGGGGGAGAGGAAGTACCTAAGTACCTGTGGGTATCTATCGGAAGGGGTTCGCTGTGACAGAGTGTTGACGAGAAGGAGAGAATGGAAGCGGAAGAGGAAGAGGGGGTACACCGTACAACTCCTGAGTTCCGACTTCTAGACGCGCGATAGCACTACCACCAGGGTTGGATTTTAGAGCTGATTGAGTGGTCCACACAACGGTCGCACCGCCACAGCTGAACGTAGTTGGGGGCTAAATTATGTGTACAAGTATACTCGTCTATCTACACATCCATCTCAGCTATCTTCATTGGCTATGGGATGCTCCGATCGCTGGATTTGACTGCATCGGGCCAAGGGTGGTCCCGCCTAGCGCTGCCCTACGAGTATGTAGTACACAGTATGTATACTGATTTACTTCCTATCATTGGTCAAGGCTTTTCAAAAGTTCGTTTACGCTTTGTAAGGTTGTTGCTACCTGTCCATTTCCATCTATTCCGGGGGCACAGTGCTGCTATTCCCACCTTCATCGTTGAGCCCATGAAACACTAGCTTTAGGCCATGGCACGACCTCACCAGCTAGACCGCTCTAGCTATGATCCACTAGTGACTAGTCCCTAGTTAGTGACTAATTAGTACGAGTATGTAAACATGTGATATTTCCTATACAAAACCCCACTGGAACCATGGAGATATCGAGTACAGTACCTAAAAGGATATAAGCCATTCAATTCTCCCAGGAGCAGCGTTCCAAGGTTACCTACTGCTGTCATCAATTAAAATTAATTTAATTCCGGACTCTCAGCCTACTACGAGTCTGATTTGTAGTGCAGACCCCACCGCGCCGAGATTGTGTTGCACGCAGCGTCATATCCCACGCCCAGGACGTCATAGGCTTGATACTCAAGGCGTAGTACATATAAATAAATAATTACCACCACCAGCAGCCGGTAGCAGGCAAAGACACAGAATACCGAGAATCGGACTCACCGCAACTTCTTGGAACCAAAAAAATGTTCTACTTCATTCTTTATCTCGTCTCCCAGCTGGCTCTGGTCGCCGCATGGGTTTCCGGCACTTTGGACCCCTACCAGAAAAGACTGCAAGAAATTCTGCTTGATCAAATGGGCGAGACAAAGGTTTCATTTGGTCTGAAAAGTAGGTTTTGATCTTTTCCTTTCCCTTTACATCCCTTTTTCTTTTCTAGATAGAAAAAGATCTATGCTTATACATGGCCATCTATCTAGAGAGCCTGACCGCGAAGAAGCTTATCGAGGATGAGAATCTCTCCAAGATCCAGGATCAGCTAGGGAGCCAACTCGGGGGTATTTTCGGGAAAGGTGGAATGGGCCAGGGCCTTGGGTCTGTGTTGAGCAAAGGGCTGTGAATACATTCTACTTCTCGGACTGGAATATGAAGGTCTTCAATCGTTGATAGCTCTGCCTTTACGTTTGTCGGCAGTTTCAAGTTTACCCTAAAGCAGAATAAGCTACTAGCTACTCGGAACAATTCATTCACACCATTAATCATTCATAATTCTTGAAATAAGCTTCGTGTAACTCATCAGTACGCTGCAGATCCGCAGATCACAAAAGAATTCTCCGAAAAGGAAAGGAAGAAGAACAAAGAGACAAAGAAGAACAAAAGGGCATTCAGATGGAAATCAAACCGGAAAAAAGAAGACAATTTTTTTTGGAAAAGAAATTTAAAATTTCAATGAATCAAATATCCCAACCTCGAATCATCCATCGAGAACATATCCCCATCTCACCGATCCAGATACATCTCATTCATGACCATAGCGCAAAATTCCTGATAATACCGCGATCCCTTCCATGTGCTCCGGGGCGAACGCAACCCAACAGTCTCCCATCCCTCCGACCGCAGACGAGTAATTCGCTGCGCCTTCGTCTCCTTCACCAAGAAATTGCCGAATTCATCCAGAATCGGTTCCCTATCTTTACCCGCACTAACTTCCTCTTCGTCGTCGTCGTCGCTCCCAGACTTGATGGGATCAAAGCTCCAGAATGATATGGAACGCTGCATCTGGCGAGATCGACGGGTGCGTTGAATATCTAGGACGTGATCGACGTGCTGTTGTATCGAATTTATGTTTATTGTTATCTGTGAGCGTAGAGTCTCGATTCGGCGGTTATGTCGGACGATTTTTGCCCCGCGTGCTGCTGTCATTTCCTCCGTGGGTTCCGCAGGCGCCGTGGTCTTTCGCGGAGTTTGAACATTGTGGTTCCCGCCTGAGAGAGGGGGTTTCATGTTTCTGGCGAGGGGACTTTTTATATCGCCTTTCCGAGTATCGATATTTAGTTTTGTGGCTGGGATGATCCTCAAAGGTAAGGGCGGAGGGCGAGATCTGTTCGAGCTTCTGCTCTGGGACTTAGGGGAACTGCCGCTGCTGCTAATATTTTCGAAAGACCTTGGTTTGGCCAGGCGAGGTCCTAATTCCTCTGGAATTTTGCGGACACGCAGAGGAGAGGGTATAAGGGTGGTAGTGGTATTATTCTTGGCCGGCTCTTTGATCTTGGTTGCCGGTGTTCTGGTCGAAGAGAGCATGACTCGGAAGAGACGATCCTTTTCGGCCTTTGTCGCCGGCTTTCTTGCGAGCGGAGATAAGGACAACATAAATGGGTTCTCGCGACCTTTCTCGTTATCTGACACGAACGGGTCGTCTTCTTCAAAATCCCAAAGAGAGATGTCAATCAGCCGTGTGATACTCCGAACGAGAGAATCACGCCTCGGTGACTGGAAGAGCCCCCCATCAAACGCAAGTAGACTGCGCCTAGGTGTCCGAGGTGTTGAAGGGTAATATACAGGCGGACTTGGAGGGGGAGTTGTTTTCTCAACGGCAGGGAGCTTCGGTAGAGGCATTGGCTCCGGTAAAACCGCATCGCAGTTAGCAAAACAATCCAGCGCCGCATTCAAGAAAGAGATCTTCGTGCTCGAATAAAGATGGGCTGATTGTCCGAGTAGTTCGTAAGAAACAGCGGCGTAGAAATTCAGGAAGACTTGGTGGAGAGGCTCGATCTGTAGCATGGCTCGTCAACTGGGGATCTGCTCCTGCTCTCAAGTAGGATCGGGAGCATACCGGTGGACTTGGAGTTTTGAGAAGAGACCTGGCCCGTGTGGCACACTGTTTATACTGCTTCTGAAGATATAGGGTTTTGACCTCTGTGAGCGCATCATTCCATTCCTTGCGTGTTGGAACCAGCCGGGGGGCGAAGGCCGCTGGCGAATTCTTGCTAGAGAACCCTCCCAGCATGACGCAAATGAGCGAAAAGCTATCATCTAAAATAGAAGAAAAAGCACATAGAAAGACACTGGGAGGCAAGAAGAGGAGAGGAGAGGAGAAAAGAGAGAAGTTGTGGTTGTGGGTTGCCTGCCTTCGACTGCCGTACTTGCCTGGAGTCACTTACTAGTACAGTACATACCTAGTAACTACGCCGACTACCCAGAATTAAAGCAATCCGAATATCTTCAATACCATACTTCACATTGATCGAAAGAGGTAATTTTCACAAGAGCATCACCTCCTTTCATTCCATAAATCTGTCGTGTAGTAGTATCAATATGGTAACTCCTAGGGGCGTACAATGAACGGATATGTAGGCGATGGCAATGCAAAACTATAGTTCTCTGTGAAGATCAAGAACTTGGAATTCTTCGTTAAACTCCAGTAAATTCAAAACAAATATCGAGATAAAGACTTGTCAAGCTTGAGACTATGGTACTGCTTCGGCAGGGTGGTGAGCAACACCATCCGCTTTCGGCTCAGCACCAGCCCTTGAAAGAGCCTCTCCTGTCGCTGAAAGGGCACCCAGGAAGTCACCTAGCAAACGATCCAGCTCCGCCGTGACCGCAGCATCATCGGCACTTTCCATCAAACTGTCGGCACTTGGGGGAATCAGGGTTGGAAAAGAGATAGTGGGATCACTATCAGTCACGAATGGCGCGGCAAATGAAGACATATGATCTCGACGACGAGCGGTCTGCAGGGGCTCCTCAATGATAGGTGATCCTGGCTCAGAGACCTCAGCGGGCGTGTCGCTAGGCCTGTCATGCACTGGGATGGCAGTGGGCGGCGGCAAGTCATCTAAAGATATGATATCTGTTTCTTCCTGCCACATTGGGTGGGACTCCTCTTGGGACTCTTCTTCTTCTTCATCTGGCCCGGGCCCATCAAGGACCCCGGCAGAGTCATCAAGGGCCCTGGTAGAATCATCATCAGAGGCGTTCTCGACTAAGCTTGGGAATTTCGCGTCGAATGAACTGGGTTGTGATGAAGCCAAGGGGGTTGTTGGTCGGTCAAAGCGGAATGGATCGTAATCAGAGTCGGACATATTCGAGTTGTTGGAGGCCGAGGTTGACGGGCGAGAGATTGCGGGTGAATGTGTAGGTTGTCTTTGCAAACCAGGTATAGGTGCTCTCACAGTATCGTGGCGATCAGTATCAGTGCTCACCTGTTCATCGATGGCAGGCATAGCCTCGGGTTGAGACCCCATGACAGGAAAAGTCCATTCCATGGTAGCACGTTTCTCATCTTGAAAGCTTTCTTCTTGGATTGGTTCATCGGCTGGTTCCTCCTTTGCACCCTCAGCTTCGGTATCAGCCTCAGCCTCGGCCTCGGGTTCAACATCCTCGGGCTGTGCCATGGAGAATGAAGGGAATTTCCAGTCCATAGTGGGAGGTCGCGGGCCTGACGGTTTGAACCCCTCATCAGGAGGTTCATTTACATCGGCATCGCTGTTAGAAGACTGGGAGCTAGAATCATTAGATCCACGAGGAATGCGGATACTAGACCGATTTGCACGAATGGTGTCCGCATCGGCAAGCTGGAAAGGCTGGGCGGACGGTGCACCAGCCGCATAGTGGGAGGAGTCAAAGGAGCCAATATCAATATCAATGAAAGTCGATGTCACCGATGATCGATCCGTGTTGGTGCGGAGAGGTAGATCGGAGGGCGGAGGGTTGGGTTGGATAGGAACGAAATCCGTCTTAGTTTCATACCTGTAGCTTGGCATATCCTCGTTAAAAAGTCCTTCCATGGCTTCTGCACCACGGCGGACTCGCTCGTCGAAATTGGCTTTATCCTCAGGATCCAGGTCGGCTTCGTTAAAATCATCACCGAAATCATTGTCGGGTGCTGGGGTTGTCGGGCTGATCGCTTCTTCCATCTCAGCAAGGGAAGCGGCGATCTGATCGAGATCAATGACGGAGAATCTACGTTCAAAGCCATCTGTCGTGCTGAAACTCCAATCCTCGTCGGTTTCTTCAGTTCCTGGGAGCTCTGCCGCTGCTGCACCCCCAGGGTGAAATAGAGACACTCGCTGCCCGCCCCGTTGTGACCATTGATAGTAATTTCGAACAAGCTCAGCGACGGAGAGGGTTGGGTATTCCTCTTCTGTTTCGGCAATGTAGGGGTGTGCCAGGATGTCGGCCATTGTTGGACGAGTCGCTGGATTGGAGTCAAGTGCATACGCAATAAGATCCTTTAATCCCTGACTATACTCGTCGCTGTCAAGCTTGGGGACATTTCGATTGAGTTGACGTCCGATTTGCATTCGCTCGCGGAGTCCCGAGTTGGGAGGATTGCCTGTAGCAAATTCGATCAAAGTGCAGCCATATGCCCACACATCAATCTAGAAGATATTAGCAAATATAGGTCACGGCAAATAGAGGGATTGGCTTACCTCGTTGCCATAATGGTGCGCCGGTCCCCTCATGGAGAACATCTCGGGGGGCATCCAGTGTGGCGTTCCAATCCACGTAGAGCGTTTATCCTGATGCGATTGCAAGACACCTGCAACACCAAAGTCACAAATTTCCAATCGCCCTTCTTCGTGGATGAGGATATTCGCAGCTGATATTTGTCAGTTGGGGATCTTAACAATAATTGGACATTATGTCAAATTACCTTTTACATCACGGTGGATAATACCGGCTTCGTGAATGGCATGTAATCCAACAGCAAGCTCTCGTGCAATGGGAATGATGTAATTCTCTTCAAGTTTATCACCAGTTGCTCGCATCTAAAAGGGTCAATAAAGGCGGCCATTACACGGGAAAGGTGGAAAGGGAGCTCACCAAAGTCCGCACACTACCACCGGGGCAGTACTCGCAGACTAGCCACAATTGTGAATGAATGGAGATTGCTTCGATGAGCTCATTGATATTCTTAGCGCCTGAGTCTTTGACTTGCTTCATGACCTTGGTCTCATGAATAAAATCCTTGATTGACTCATCTCGGAAGTCACGCAATGACTTGTAGTCCAAAGAGTCAATATCAAGGACTTTGATTGCTACCAACCGGCCAGACGGTGTTTCATGGCCCTTATACACTCGGCCATAAGCACCCTTGCCAATCAATTCTTCGAACTCGTAAGGCGGCACCTCGGTCTTTGCACGGCGACACATCTCCCTAACAGCAGTCCCCTGCTCTCGTGCCAGCTTGATCGCCTCGGCTTTATGCCTGGTGATCGCTGTTATGGCAGATGAGGGGTCTAAGAAAGTTGACGCACGTGAATCCATGTTTATGTGCTGGTATGTCCGAGTCGTTAGATCAGACAGATTGGAGAGGTGTTGCTATCGTGTTCTAGGGTGTGCCAGATCCGAATTTCTTAAAAATTCGGGAAATGCGACTTCTGAACCTCCCCGTGGCTCCTCTTTGAATGCCTTGACTGGTCGAGGACCGTCTTAAAGATATTAAAGAAGAGAAAGAACGATGTGTCTTGGGCGATTTGGGGCAATTCCCGATTGATCGCCGATGCGTAAGCTTTTCCCTGTCACTGTCCTGGACGCCCAATGAATTAGCCTGTGTGATGTTTTCGCAAGCTGTAAAAGTGTCTTGATGATTCCGGGGTATAATTTCTAATGCTGTGCAGAGGTATCGCCATCATTTGTGCCTTCATCCGCCGGAAAGTCATCAACAACCTGTCTGTAAGACTGGCTCAAGGTGCGACCAGGAAGCTTGACATCAGGGAGTAACACTCGGGAATCCTGGGTACTCGAGCTGGAAGAGTCACGAAAGAAAGTTTCTGTCTCACCTAAATCGTTGTCGTAAATTGAAGGACTGGGCGGCGTGGTGCGTCCGTGGGCTGTACCCGGATCAATAGTCAGGGGTGTTTCTCCTTCGAGACGTTCAAGCAAATCCAATAGCAGGCTGCTCGAGTCTAAAGAGCTGTGATCCTGGAAACGGTGTTCTATGAGAGCCGATGGGGGATCCTGGATTGGTGCAGCAGTCTCACGAGGCCCGTAGTCTCGTGGTCCGATGACTGGTAGCTGGAAGCGTGTAAGAGAGTCCCTAGAAGAATGATGAGCAAAAAGTGATCAGAAGCTACCGAGATAGAATAAGCATACCGTTGTGATGATTGCGCATCTAAAGAATCAGAGGCCTCTTCGTTTTGTTGCGAAGACAAGGCGCTGGCGAGCCTATGAACCGTCTCTGTGCTGGAGAACCCCTGCAAAAGCTCTGGATGTTGTAACAAGCGAAGCACAAAGTCTCTATCGGAAAGCGAGATTGAGGACTCCTCGCGTAGAAGCTGGATTTCAGGATCGAGGTTAGACAATTTCATATTCAAATCCGCAGAGGCGGGCAGTAATGGGGAGAGAGGGTAAATAGGGTGGTCGCAACGGGCGATGGCGGGGGGAAGTAAAACAAGCCCGACACGAAAGCTTCGAAGCTCATGTGAGGGAATCTCCATGGGTACACAACATATAATCAATGCTTACTTACCAACAGGTCCTTAATGTACCGATCAAATGCGGGGGGTACTTGATACTCGCAGATCAAAGGGACTTTTGCCGGTGAAGATCACCGCAAAATGCCCATTCGGTGGGAGCCTCAATCCCTTCAAGTTCACGACCGTCTAATATGAGATGATTCGATAAGCCTCAAACATATGAAATGCTCCGACTGCCCTTGCTGTGATATCTCTTTGATGGTTGACATCTTCATCAACGCCGTTGGCGGTCGACGAAACATGTCCACGTGACTGGTGCCTGAGGCGAACATTGGCATTAATACTCTCTGCCTGCGATTGGAGGCAACGATATCGACGAAATAGTTATAGAATTGAAGGAATCAGAATAGATTGCTAGTATGAGGTCTGGACGGTCGTCAAGGAATCCACTCTACTGTCAATACAATGAAGAGTTGGAAAATACCAGTAGTTCTTGCCGTACAAAGCTACAAAGCCAGGTCGGTTCTTTGTGGACCAGTGAATAGAGAGGCGCAAAATTTACAGAAGTTCATCAGGACCAGCAATAATAATGTATTAATTCGTAATGCTATTGGGAGCAAATCCAAGGCTTTTTATGGCTATGATCCAAGCCCCCCGAATACCATGAAATATGATTGAATGGGGAACCAAAAGCCCCCACAAAGGTTCACTAATGCAAATGCAAACAAGCTCCAAGTATTTGCCAAATGTCGATGCGATGTTTTACAAACCTGGTGTTCGTTCGAATAAGACGCACCTCTTGTTTGAATGATCATTTTCTTCCGCCATGATGCCCTCTAATATGTCGGTTTTTTCCAACGCGATGTGAGGCGTATCGTGCGTCTTCCTCGCTGTCGCTGTCCATCTGGTCCAGAATACGATCGATCTCATCCCCTGCGTGAGCCTCTAAGCCCAATCCAAGGCTTTGCGATTTCGCATCTTGGCCGTAGATGGACTCGCCACTTTGTGGGCTTTGACTGGGTTGAGTTCCTGCTTCTGTTCTGTGCTTCTCATTGTTGGCATACAGCGATGCATTCAAGCTTCGTTGCGTGGCAGGCGGTTGCAAGGGTCGAGGACTAGAGCGGTACCCGGAGTTCTCAGGGCTAGAGCATGAAAAGCAACGTTTCGATCGCGTCTTGTTCCATAGCAGTATTCTCTGATTGAGTTCGTGATCCGTAATACCCGTTCTGAGATGATGTCGGCGCCCGACTAGTTGGCGGGATGGACGGTGTTCCCGGCCCTATAACTCTTGGCGACCCATTAAATGGCCTGGCGAAGGAGGGATCTTGATATGAGTGATGGCGTCGGTGCCGGGCGTATGGGCTGCGATCGAATGGTTGAGCGGCCCAGTTGGGATTTGGTCGCCGCCGTCGGGTCTCTCCACTTGATGGAACGATATCAACGGGAGGCGCCAGTTTAGGGATCTGAAGGAGTTTGCCGGGGAGGAGACTGCTGAACGCGATCTATGGTGAGAATGATGATTCGACGGTGCGTCGGTTGATGATGGACGTTGACTAGATTGCGAGTTTAGTGCAGGGGTCAAGTCTGACGCGCTCGAGGGAATATTCGAAGTAGATAGACTTTCGAGTCCACGCAGCGCTAGTTCCGTGTTAGATGGTGACTGTCGTGACTTTTCTATTTTTGCAGCTGCATATGATAGTCGTGTGCGGATATGAACGGACAGCTTTTTTTACGTCAATAACACTCAGGAGTGAGCATTCAAAGAGAGTCCTTACTTGATCAATTCTGCTTCCGTGGGCTGGTGAGCCCGTGCTTTTTGACCGACGACGTGCTCCATTGACGTCCGAGCTAACAGGTGCAGCCAACGTGGAGATAGGTTTAACTTCTCCAGTAACTGTTCGTTTGTGGCCCGGTGTATATCGCGTACCGGCACTCGAACGAAGGTTGGAAATATTTGACGATCGCAGAGGTGACAGAGAGCCATTGCTCTGTTTTTCCAATTTCACTGCGCCGTTGGTGCCGTTTATTAAACCATTTCCATTGGTCTTCTTCAAACTGGGCAATGCTTCCGAGGTTGATATTTCTTCATTTGTATTCGCCATCGCAATATCGCCATTCATGTAGTAGGGATTATCGAGGTCCATGGACCGATTGGATTCGTTTAGTGAAGAGGATGGTTGGCTGGGGGCGGAGTCTGTGAAGGTACTCGCAGAGTGTAGTTCTGGTCGCTGGCCGTCGGACGTCTCACTACCACGGTCGGACGATTCGACATAGCTGACGTTAGAATCACTCTGACTGTAAACCCCGGCCTCAAGTTCATTCACTTGCAGGGAAAGAGGTTGGGGTGAACGTGGAACCTGGACTTGTCCCGCGCGGCTCGAATCTGTCGCAAGTGATGCGGCGGTGTTGGCTAGGGTATCCGCACTGGCCTCCGCATAGGGAACCCTGCGACTGGAGGGCCCATTGTAGATATCATTCATGGTCAAGCAAAGGGGACTTTGCGGGGAGTTTCGGTCAAATGCAGGGGAAACCCAAGGTGCACACAGCACGCGACCAGGCGTCAATTGTGAAATGACGCGGCCGCGCAGATGATCTAAACATGCAAGAGGGTCTTCTCGCGCTTTGTCGCTCGTCGAGACGCACCGGAAATGTCCGAGGTCAAGCAAACGAGGATGCGCTAGATTAACGGTCAGGATCTGAATGTCCGCAAGGACGGAGGGGAGAATGCAGAGACGCCGCGGTGGGTGCCAGGAGCATCTGCCCGATGCAGTGGCGACCGACCAGCACGCGCAAGGTTGAGCACGAGCGGGAAAGCGGCCGGTGAGCCCTCCAAGGGAAATCCAGTCCGATGAACCCGATGAAATGGAGATAAACTCTTCAGAAATGCTAGCCAGGTGCAGGAGCAGGAGACCTAACCTGACGATGTACTGGAAGATCCAAGGTTTCCTGAGGGAAGTCAAATGCGTCGTCTCGAACGGGCCCTCTTTCGGCGTCGACGCGTGGTCACGTGTGGCGGGTCACTAATGCGGATGACTATAGAGTATAGAGTATAAGAGAATATGATATAATTGATAGTATGGTATACAGGGAGGTTGAGACAACCTTAGGAATACTAATAAGTACTAGAATTGGGTGCTTGGTTTTGTTTGTTCCAGCAATAATACTATAGCGTGGGCGTAGTGTACCCGGTGGAAGAGGAATACTAGTAGTATTCAAATCTTGCCAGTACTAACTACTAGTACTTGTAGCAGGAACTTGAAGCCTGCCCAAGGGAAGAATTTAAAGAAACTGGAACCTCTTGATATTCAATAGTTAGGTACTACGTAGTACCTATAATCTAAGATTAGTCTCCAGGGCTCCTCCAAAATCCAGCCCAGGGAGGGCTTTTACGGACAGCCGCTGGAAGGATAGTTGCAGCTACTGGTTTCACCTCCTCCAGTGATAGAAACACCAGAGAAAGAAAAGTCCGAACAGCTATCTGAGCCACAGAGAATATAATAGTCCTTGGCATCATCGGTGGCTGTACCGGTGACATCGGTGAAAGTGACTCCAGAGATAGTCACACCGTTAGTAGGTTCACCGGTAGGACCGCCATTGAGATAATCCTGCTGGATGTCGATACCATAGTCGGTGATTCCGGAGACCGTGATGTTCTGGTAAATGATGTTGCTAACCTGTTTAGTTGATAACATTGATTAGCAAGTTTCTTCTTCTTCTTCTTCTCTCTCTTTTTGCAAAACAGCATGTATCAAGAACGGGACTTAAACTCACACTGCCAGTAGTCTCAGAGTTGGACTTGATGCGGCATCCATTCGAGCTATCCACGACCTGGGAGTTCTTAAAGGTCACACCATCCACGGTGTTGTTGCTCTTACCACCAATAGACCCGATGCTTAGACCGTGACCACCAGAGCAGTAGATGTTGTCAACGGTAATCTCGGTTCCACTAGTGACAGCAACGCAGTCATCCTGGTTATAAACGGAGATGTTCTCCAAAGTGACATAGTCACTGGCAGAGATGTCAAAACCATCACTGTTGTGAGCAGCTGCGTCGTCACCGCTGGCGCTATTAGGCTCATCGCCAGCAGAGTTGTCCAGAGTCAACCCAGAAACGGTGAGGTGCTGGACACCATTGATGTAGAAGCAGTGGACAGGCCAGTTCTTGATGTTGAGGGCTGTGATTTCGGAGTTATAGACATGTTTCACTACAATGAAGTGGTTCGGCCTGGAGTAGTATGTTAGATCTGGTACTTACAATCGCTCACAGATTATTACTCACTTGTCTTGTCCACCGTTGGAGCCCTCGCCATCCCAGTAAGCGGCACCGTTGCCCTCAATGACGTGGTCAGAGGTACCAGTAATGGTGATATCAGTTCCGGAAATAACAATAGGATCAAAATCAGAGTCGAAAGTATCACCAAAAGTCTATACACCACGAAGGAAGAGGTTAATGATCACGTTATAGGGTGTTCGGCTTAGTTTACCACTTACGGTGGTGCCAGCAAAGGTGACCGTAGCACCGGTCTGGAGGCTCTGCAGGTCGATGGTGCTAGAAGGAGGCGCAGATATGTTGGAAAGAACGATGTTGGTGCAAGACTTGACAGCAGAAGAGATAGATGCGTATTCAGTAACAACGCAAGCATCCGAGGCAACGGAGGCAGCGGCAACATTGCTAGAAACTGTCGTGGGTGCTTGGGTTGTCCCTGGGACAGCGACTGAAGAAGATTGGGTTGATAATTTGGTTGTCTTTACCAAAGTCGTCTTGGTCTCGACAGGTGTGTTAGTCGATACGGAGGGGGCAGCGACAGTGCTGGTGACCGCCGCCGGGGCAGTAGTTGGCTCAGCGCTAGACTATACAGAAAATCAATCATTAGACTAGACACAAATTGTACATTATCAATATCGATATTCTCTTACCCCCTCAGTGGAACCGGACCCGGCACCAGCCGTAGCCCAGGCCGTGTCAAGACAACTGCATGCACTCGACAAGTGTCCGGTCTTGAAGTCACAAGCCGAAGCAAAGCTGGGCAGACCAGTAGTAGCAGTCACCTTGCTAGCAGTGAAAGTAGCACAGAAAGCAGCAGCCGCGGAGCTGGATGCAGTGTATGCGGAAGCACAAGCATGGCTGGCAGGGTTATTGCATCCCAAGACCAGGGGAAGGAATGAAAGTAAAAGCGCGCTGCGCATTTTGAAAGAATGGAACAACGAAAAGAATGAATAAACTAAAGAATGTATGAGAAGAAGGGAAAGGAGTTACCAAGAACTTAGGAACCAGGGCAAAAAAAGAGATCGAACCATTCTTATACACACAATCAAGCCGAGCGAAGCGAAGCTTGGACACTGCTTGATAGTCTGGGCTCCATCAGAGCTGGACCGATAGTCAGTTACTATGCCAGCATACTCCACTGTTGGCGCTAATCCGGAGAAACTTCGCCTCCAATGAATCCAAGCCTATCGGTCGGTTCATAATCTCCATATCCCTTGGATATTAAATTGATTTTTCCTGCTGGGTAGAGGCTAAAGTGCGCTGCTGACGTCTGCCGGCGTCCTGGAAATCAAAGAAGGTCCATGTTGGTAGTGACTTTTGGCGCTATCTCCATCAGGGGTACTTCTCCGGTGGCACCAAGTGCGAAAGGGTGTTTCATCTTGATGGAGGTGGGGAGAACGATGGTGCTGCGGCGTTCACTCGGCAGAAGAGAGCCAAGGCATGCTAGCACTATAGTGTGCTAGTGTGAGGCTATCAACGACCGTTGAAACAAGCCGAAACAAACCATCACACGCCTGGAACTAGTTCATCATGGTCGGCAATCGCTAGCGACATGGCGTAGGTCATATGCCGGACATGCTACACAAGAGATTAGGAAGTGTAATATCTAGGCAATCAAAAATTCCAGGCCAAGGCATCAAATGTGGTTGGTTCTACAACTACTAGAACGGTTGTCTGAGACTCAGGAGGGGAATTTTGACAAAAATTGATATACATTGGCTTTTGGGACTCAAAACACCGTCTATGCAAAACAAAAATGTATCTATGTCCATAATGACATGTACAAAATTCCCAAGTGTGATTAACCGCGTCGCTTTCCACGACCACCAGACTCGCCATCTGGATTCTTGCGCTTCTTGCCCTCGCGACGCCAGTAATCGTCGCGCTCTCTCTTCTCGCGCGCCGCTTTCTTCTCCAGGCTGTCGGCCACCTTTGCACGGTAGACCTTGCGGCGTTCTTCCTGCTTGGCCGACCGCTTCGCCTGCTTCTCGTTGCGCAGGGTGGTAAGCTTCTGCATCAGATCGCGGGCCTTCTTCTCCTCGCCGCCAAGAACAACAGCGCGCTTTTGCATGTAAGTTTGATCCTTGCGACCCTTCATCTTGGTGATCTGCGACTTGAAAGGCAACTCGGCAGCCAGCTGCTTGGGCACACGCAGAGGGTTGAAATGACGAGTAGGGCGCTCGATCTTGTGGTAGGCAGAGTCCTTGTTTAGGGGAGTGGGGATGCCTTGATCACGGCGGACTTCACCTGTAAGACGCATTCCTTGCCAGCCGCCGTCATCCATTTTACCGTCACCCTGATCAAGCAGATTCGTCACAGGGTTGTAGAAACGATGGGGCTTGATGGGATACCATGCGCGCAGGAAGACAAGGTCACTCATAAGGATCTTGTCCTCGAATGTAGCACGGAAATGGCCTTCGGGCTTGCTGAGGGCTCGCTTGATTTGACCACGGATACCGGAAACGGTGCGGATGGAGGCACCCTCAAATTTGGCAATCTCCAGGAAGAGTTGAACATGTCCTTGATGAAGGCAGTGTTCTTGAAAATCTTGTAAGGAGCACCAGTGAGTTTGAGCTTCTTGACAATCTCAGTGTGCTCGTCCACGCTCAGAACCACGCCGGTCGCAGCAATACGGAAGCCAGGGTTCTTGTTGGAGAATGATTGAACACAGCAGAAACCAGTGTTCGGAGCCACGAGAGGACCGTAGAAGACACCGAAGCAGTGCATGTGCTCGGGAGTATACTTGAGCATACGGTTTCGAGTCCGACTGTCAGAAGTACTGTAGATTGGCAAGGACTGGAAACGACGCCAACCCAGTGAGAATATCAAGGGATCGTTGCTCTTGAGAATCTTCTTGTGCCAGCGGTGACGCTTGATACGGATCTGAACATATCCGAAACGGTCCTCGGTAGGAGCGAGACCTCCGACAATGACGGGGTAACGAGGGCTGAACTTGGACGCAAACTCGTAAGGGACGTTCTCAAGGACAATTCGTGCGTAGGTACCGGCCTTGTAACCTTCAGCACGAGCTCGAGAGGACGGGTCGAGGGTATCAAACTCAGCACGGTTGATATCAAGCTGCTTTTGCATCTTTGCCTTCTGCAAATCATACCAATCGTCCTCACCAAACTCGCCATCCCCACCATCTCGCTCGCCTTCTTTAGCATTGGCAAAACCTTCACGGTCCTCTTCTTCGAAGCGAAGTTTCAATTCCTCCTTTTTCTGAGCATTGCGTTCACGCTCAGCCTCCAGATCCATAGGTTCTTCAGGCTCAGCCTCTTCAACTTCATTTTCCTCATCCTCCTCGCCATCCTCCTTGAAGCCATCGAAGGTTTCACCCGTCTCCAGATCCTCGAATGCCCCGTCGCCCTCGTCATCTTCATCGTCGTCGAAGTCATCCGAGTCAACTTCGTCGAGATCGTCGAGGCCACCAGCAGAGAGCTTGCCGGTGACAAAGCGCTGTTTAAGAGATTCGATCAATTCCTCGTCGCGCCATTTCCGCTCCAACTCGTCATAGTCGTATTCGGGCACGGCACGGTAGTCAGACTCGTCCTTCTTCTCGTTGTTTGTCTTCTTGAAGAAGTCGTCGGTTTCTTCCTTTTCGGCTTCCTCGTCGCTCTCTTCCCCATCATCGTCCTCTCCACGCCATATTTGCACAACATCAGCAGGACTGATAGACTCGTCATACATCATGCGCGAGAGATCGGCGACACGGAATGCAGGTCGCTTGCCGTGAAGAGCTTTTGCGTTGGCCACCATGTTCTCCTTCCATCGTGCATTCCCCTCTTCATCCTCATCCTCATCCTCGTCCTCATCCTCGTCATCCTCCTCCTCGTCCTCATCGTCCTCTTCACCACCACTCTCAAGCTCTTGGTCCTCGACGGAAGAGATGGAACCCAGGTCAGAGTCACTATCGGCGAACGCAATGTCTTCATCATCACCATCATTCTTGCCGTTCTGGCGCTGTTTGAACTTCTTCTCGAAATCAGCCGGCGCGGAGACGTCGACTTCGTCATCATCTTCATCACCGCTGAAGTTCTCTTCCTCGTCATCTTCCTCGTCATCCTCGCCGCTGAACTCCTCGTCGGATGCTGCAGCGCCGTCTTGCTCGATATCAGCAATACGGGCGTGTCTTCTGTGCTTCCGACCACTCTCGTCATCTTCATCCGCTCGGGAGATCGCATCACCACCACGGAAGAGGCGCACACCCTGATCGGCTTCACCAAGCAGTTTCCGTTCACCCTGTAGACCAACAACAAGCTGCTCACCAAGCCCACGACGGTCCTCACTATCGGATTCTTCTTCGTCTTCCGAGTCCCGATTAAAGGTTTGTGTCTTGATATCAATATACACGGCATCCTTGTCAACCAAGACACCGCCAACATCGGACATGGGAGCAAACAGTAGTTTTTGTTTGTCTCCAAGTCTGCGTCGAGAAGACTTTCCAGATGCCTTTGCTATTTGCTGGTCCATATGCGGGGTAGGGCAAGGATCAGGAAGACCCTCAATTCCAGAAACTGTCAAGTCGCCGACACCGGGAACATGCACTCTAGCACCATTGGCGGGGAAATTGGTACCTCGAAGATAGCCGTAGAGCGCGACGGTGCGGTCACACTTGGGGTTGGCTTCGATGTTGGTGGGAGGAGTGATATCGAGGAAGCGATCGGCGAGCGCATACGGATGCGAATTGCGCCAGATGAGCGGACGGGGGTTCTTCATGATGGACAGGAATCGAGATAAATTGTGGACTTCACGATCGGGATAGCGGCCATTGATAACACCGGAGAGGTAGAAAAGCTTGGCACCCTGGTAAAGTTCGCTCCAGAAACGGTGCTTAAGGCGCTTCTTGGCTATGCGCAGGGTACTCTGTTTTTTGAAGAGATCGAGATGGGTGAGAATACCAAATACGTTACCAGGCATACCGCTGGTAGATAAGGCGTTCAAGAATTCCATTGTCTCCATCTCGAAACCGTAGTTTCCGTCGATCATCAAGAGGATGATATCCGCGACCTTGGCCACATCGATCATGGCGGCTAGAGAGTCGGAGGGGCATTCGATGAATGTGAGGCGCTTTTTCTTCGACGTGACAACGGTCAAGGGTCCTTGGGGTGAGCTCAGGGTTTGCTTCGTATAGCGCTTAATCAAAGACTTGAGCAGAGTGGTTTTTCCGACCTGAGAGGAAATTATTGTCAGTGCTGAAACGATATTCAAATGGATACACCAGCTAGGAACTTACACCAGAGGGTCCAACAAGCGCAACTACCGTCGGAGGAGCCTCCTCGGGCATGCGATCCACTTGGGGCACATGGAGACGCTTTTCCTTGACCTAACGCAGCAAACCAGGTTAGCAACAGTATAACAGCTTTGTCGAATGAATTGGGACGTACATCGTGGGACCGCGCTTGTTGACGGTTGAGTTTTCCGGTTTTGGAGAATGTGAAGGCCTTCGGGTTTGACCCTATAGAGTAGAAATATCAAGTTAGCAAGAAGTTCCTCCTCCTCCATCGAGGTTTGGCCGCAAATTCAGATAGCGCAAGTTTGCTGTGAGCATACCTTCGAATTTCTTCTTCTCCTTTACAGGTCGATGAGACCTGTTAGACTGCTGCTCCATTTTGGCAGCAAAGAGGTCCCAGACCTCAGTTCTCTTCTGTGAAAATTCACCAAAAGAGAGCACTGACAACGAGGGGACAGCGACTGCGTACGGCCAACGACTGCTCCAGAATTATTTTTTCGAGGCGGAGAGACCCGGCAATTTGGGAGGCGGTGGACCTGGAACGGAACGCTAAATCACGTGGACCGCCAAGGTACGGAGTATACAGATCATCGTGCCTTCCCAGCCCGTACCTTCCTATTCAACCTCCAGCTGTAAACAGTAACTACTACATTTCTACTTCCTGTATCAGTTCTCAACTTTTCATCCGCTAGCACCATGATTCATGAACACTCTAAACAAGCCCCTTTCTCCCCTCACCGACGCTTGTGACACCCCTGGCCAAGACTTTAATCAGCTCGGGTCTTTTCTTCTTGAGTCTGACAGTTCTTGCTTCTCGAAGCAACCAGAGTTTCTGGAAAGGTGTATCCTTTCCAAGTAGTGATAACAATTGCGATTGACCGTGATGTTCCTTAAATCCAGATCAACCGTTGGGAACTTATGTTAAACCCCAACTACGGCCGAACAACACACTCGCTATTCCCCATATCCTCTTGAACTGCAACTATACAAGTCTCTCACAATTGCAACGAGACAGTTCCTACTTCTGTGACCCCGAATCTTGACCTTGATTTCCGAAAGGTGACCCGTCACAACCAAGGTCCGGAAGCGCACTTCACTTTGAGTGAAGACGGGCTTCGAAGATTTGCAGAGCGAGTTTGGTTCATGCAAAGATTCCTGTGAAGTTTGCTTGAGTGTGAGGATGATCAGATAGTCACAGAGATCAGGATACAGCTTACACTTTATGCATGCACGACTAGGGTATCCTTGCATTGCATTTGCTTCCATTGCTTTCTGTTGACGATTGCACCCATTGCACGTCGTTTGTCATTAGATAGATAGATATAGCGTGAGGATTCCCTCCTCCATCGCATAGATCCATCTTCATCTTCAATCTCATTCTTCCGTCTCTCCCACTACAGGTGTAGGAAGTGGATGCCTATGATAATAGAGCCTCGTTCGTTACATCGAACCGAGGCGGTCATACTAGGCTGGGATAAGATGACTGGCTATAGAGCGATACAGTGGCGCCGCAAAAAGTTTCCAACTAGTAGCTACCTGGGATGGAATAAATTGGGCAATCTATTTCATCTCAGATAACTACTAGTTTGCTATTCAACGGCGATAAATACTAGTATTCGTGGGCAATAGATAATTGGAAACTTCAAGTTTTCAGCGCCCCTATGCACTCGATAATTTACTCCGCTACCCCTTGTCAGCCAAACTCTCTCTCTCCCTCTCCGAGTCTTCTTATAAATCAATAAACTTTTTCTCTCGGATATTAATTTTCTCTCGGATATTAATTGAGATATTTGACTTTAATTTAGAAGGATAGCAGCGGGCGGAAGTACCTCTATCTATATATAAGCCCTGGAGACCTCTTAAACAAGAACAGCCTGAGGTAGTTACTAGTTGAATGTCGCGAGTACAACCTTGGAATTGAGGTAGCGGAGGTGTATCTAAATTTGTATTGGAAATATATACTAATTAGTCTACTACCAGTACCTAGGTAGTAGATTAAGAAAGACCATTGTCAAATTAGTAAAAAATCCCTTGGAAGGGGTTCCAAATAGCAGCACTCCTGAAGTGTCACGACAAAAAAAGGGTCAAAATGTGCCATTCGACCAAAAGTGCGCACGAGATTGGCCTCTGTACGGTGGTATTTTTGCCTCGACACAAGGTGGAGCGGAGGGGGAGTGATAACCCCGTCCGGCCGACAGGGACTCGGATGGGACGCTGTTTAGATCCAACTCTCCACTATCCAGGGCCGGTGAATTGTGAATGGTACCTTCATGCGATAGCGTCTGATCTATCGGGACATCCTCCCGACGGTCGCGTTGCTGCGATAGTTCGACTAAATCACATCAAGAGCCGATATTGGAAAAGAAGTACGTAAAAAGGTCCATTCGACTCCGCTCGTATCGAAGATGCGGGGCAATCATTGGAAGATCCGAGTCCCAACTCTCGAATGGACCTACATATAGAATAGGTATAAGAATGCGAATAGCGGAGATTTGCCGTGCCGACCAGGCTACTAGTGTATAAGCGAAATCCACTGGCATAGCGCATTTGATTGATTAGGAATATCTCATTTACTACCTCTCTAATACTATCCCCCATCTCGAAAGATGTCTGCCGCTCGTCGACCCCCGCCAGCCTACACGGCCCCTCCTGAGTCGGGCATACACGCTACCTCGCAGCTCTACCAGTCAATCTCCAAAACTGCATCCGACCCAGCAGCTCGTCTCCCCACGGAATCTTTCACAATTCGACCATGCTCCGGCCAGGCTTGGGTAGTTCCCGCCGGTCACATCTGCCGGTTGACCACGCCGCAGGGCCCGCAAGTGGGTGATTTGAACATCTGGAATGCTAACAACCCTCGCGAGCGTATGTGGGCCGCTCGCACCCGTCAGATCCATGCTTCCCATGTATCCGTTGGGGATCGCCTATGGTCCAATCTACCCTACCTGCGGCCCCTGGTGACAATCACCGGTGACTCCCTCGGCGGCGGGCAATTGCATGATGTACTTGGCCCAGGTGGGACGCGCAACCCAGAGGTTGAATTCGGGACCACGCAGTTTGGAGGCCGAGTGCATGACTTACTGGGAACTCGCTGCGACCCCTACGTCAATCTATTAATGGGCGGCGAGACATTTGATTTCCACTGCCACTCGAATCTCACGCGTGCCGTGGTTCCCTACGGATTGACCGAGCTGGATGTTCACGATGTTCTGAATGTGTTTCAAGTGACGGGGCTGGATGAGCAGGGGAAATACTTCATGGAGACCTCCCCCGCAAAGTCGGGAGAGTACTTCGAGTTTTTTGCCGAAATGGATGTTCTTTGTGCGCTATCTGCATGCCCTGGTGGTACGTTTCACTTCTGATACGAGGGCGCGGATACCCAGGACAACATTTACCGATTGTACTGACCTTGTTTTCTCAGGCGACCTCTCTAATTGGGGGTGGGATGACAAGGAAGGGGGGTATGGGCGCGACCTGTCGCCCTCTGGGGGTGGAGGTGTATCAGCTGGCGGACCCCAAGGTGTTGGAAGAGTGGAAGACGCCGGAGAGCCCCAGATATCAAGGCCAACACGGTATGCGCATGCCGCCTCGGGAGATAGATGGTTATACTGGACTGTGATCCGATCAATACTAGCACGAACAAGAACAAAAACAAGAGCAAGGCAAGAAATGACATGCATCCACACGTGATCGCCAGTGCCCCGCGTTTTGAGGGAGTTCCAGGATCGTAAGTAATATCGTCATCGGGCATTTGCCGCATCGTTACATCAACTCGGACCAAACCTAAACTAAACTGGGCCACCAGGAGACTACTAGTAGAGTGTTGGTCCACACTATGAGGTAATCCAACAATGGCGCAAGGAGTGTGGGAGGCACATCATCATCACCGTCAGCCTCGTAATCTGAATATGTACGAGTATGTCCTAGGTTAAGGTACTCATGGGAAGTAAGCTAGAATCTACTACCCTCAGGTAGACTAATTGTAGAGACAATCACGACATGTTCATGTCGGACAAGTGTGGAGACCCGCCGTGTAACCGGTCGAGGTTGATAACCATCCTCTAGGTACGGAGTACAGGAGGTGGGAGAAGAGAAGTTTACTCTACGTAGTAGTATCGAATAAATAAGTCACTCTTATCAGTTCAACTCGGTTCATGGGAGTAGTGCTGCTGGTAATACTAAACTGGGAAGAAAGCCTGGAGGAAAGGGAAACTTGAACGAAGGGAACCTTAGGAAGTATTTAAGTCGCCCCTCCCCCCCGCCTCCGCTTCTTCTTATCTCCACCACAGCTCGACCCTCCTTCACTTCCCCTCCAACTTGTACTCTCCCTCTCTCTCTTTCTCTTTCTCTCTTGCTCAAATTCTTTCGCACACTCCGTCCCAACAAAACCTAGATCCTTACCTCATTTCTACTCTGTTGAGCCAAAATGCCTCTTTACAACGTATGTGGCTAGCTTATCTTCCTGCCTCACCAAGTCAAAAGAACATCCGCTGACATCGCTCACATCCAGGTTACCCTGAAGCAGGACTCTCCTCCCGAGGAGCTCGAGAAGTTCGTCCACCTCGAAATTTGAGTACACCGTGTCTCTAAGCTAACAAACTTTGCTCACTCAGGGCCAAGGACCAAGCTCGTGAGAAGGGAGGCACCATCAAGCATGAGTACAGTCTCATCAAGGGCTTCACGTAAGTTGACGCACCGGTACCCCTCACACCCCTCGATCTCGCCCCCTCCTCTCCCTTCCCCACCTAAATACGAGTCATAACTTTTGGAAAACCTACTCACCATCGACCTATAGCGTCGAGTACCCTGAGGACCACGTCGATACCCTGGAGTCATCCGAGCACATCCACGTGGAGGCTGACGGCAGCGTCCAGACTCAGTGATGCGATTTTCTTTTCTTGGTCAGTCCGGTTGTACCGGTGGACCTTTGACCCTTCATGGGCCTTTCGACCAGACCGGAAAGGAGAGCGGGGCGGTGCTCTTGCTTTTGGCGTGATGACTCAATATCGGATACACGCTTCGCCGCCATCTGCCTATCTTCTGTACATACTACCTTCTTCGAGCGTTTGATCCCGAATGGGACGGTTCATCCCCCTGTGTACCCTAGTAGGGAATGATTTTAACGAATGTCAATGACATCCTAACGATGGATTTTTTGTTTTTCTACAGTACTCTATAGCACAGGAGTACCCAGCACTAGGTACCTCATGGTACCATCTCTCATAAAAGGCGGTGCTGATGCATCCTGCACCTTCTTTGTCATGATATGCAGGGAGGCTCAGATCGTCATGCACGGCGTATGTTGTATCCAATGTCGAGCCACCCCTCAAGTTCGCATGGTGGGGGTTTACACTCAAAAATTGAATATTTTGAACATGAACACACCAAATTGTATCTCTGGAGATATAGACTTGTTTTGAAAAGTATCACAGAACAGCAGACACTTCCATATAGGGTAACAAGCAGGCAAATCCCGATGATAGTGTCCACTAGTAAAGCATTGCCAGAGCCGAGGATATCCGCCCCCCCCCACGGATCGTCACCGCCTCAACAAAGATGAGCACGACCGAAATATCTCTCACACCAACTTCCCCCCCCCCTTCTTGCCCCACGGCACAAAATGGCTGCCATAATGTCAAGAACTCTGCCGGTTGGAGTTCAAAGGCGACTCTTGTGCACGCCCCAGAGCCTACTTCGCCTGTCTTCAACATCGCGGCCAGCTCACAATTGGTCCCTTCACAGGTCCGGCTCGGATGCCGCCAGAGACGAGGTTGCTCAGCTAGCCTCAAGCCCTCGTCGACGCTTGACACTGGCAGATTTACTGAGGTATATATGACTGTTGATTCTTCAAACTCATTTACCTTGAATAGCGCTCATACATTCTCCATTATCTAGGCAAGGACGTCCACCACTGTCCAAAGAAGCACTGCTAGCTTCGGCGAATTTCACCCTCTCCCTCCTCCCCGCGCGGTTAGCCTCGCGGATCCAAGCCCTGCGTAACCTCCCATTTATCGTCGTCTCCAACCCCCATGTGTCGAAAATATACAACAATTACCAACACTCACTGTCTGCCCTACTGCCCTACCAACAACGGGAGATAACAACTCTCGAGGAAGAGAATCGCTTCGGTGACGCGCTCGCCGACCTTGTCCAAACACATACCAACACCATCCCCGTCCTCGCGCGAGGATTCCTCGAATGTCAAAAGTACGTGAGTCCAGAGGACGTGACACGCTTCTTGGACACCCATTTAAGAGCACGTATCGGCACTCGGTTGATCGCCGAGCAGCACCTAGCTCTGCACTATGCCTCACAGCCAGTAACCGACGATCCAGCTAGTCGAGCACAGGCCGAGCCAGCCTCGCCTAATAGCTCCATTCCACCCAACTACATCGGGGTCATAGACACGGCTCTACAGCCTTCCCGAATCATCAGGCTCTGCGAGGATTTCGTCGGGGAAATCTGCGAGCTCAAGTATGGAGTCCGCCCACGTCTCGAAATTGGAGGAGAGCCAGAGGCTACATTCGCGCATATTCCCGTGCATGTGGAATACATAATTACGGAGTTGCTGAAAAATGCGTTCCGCGCGACTATCGAGTCAGGCAATGAACGCGAGCCCATTGAGATTACAATCGCCGCTGCGCCTGATGTCCCCGGGAAAGAGCACCCGTATCAGGAAGAGGCCGATGCTGGGGTCGATCTGGCCGAGGATACGTCTTCTACGAATGAAGCGATCGGGTATTCAAACCCATCGTCGCAGAGTATTACAATTCGCATTCGTGATCGGGGAGGTGGCATCCCCCCCTGAAGTCCTACCTCATATCTGGTCATACAGTTTCACCACATTCTCTGATATGGATTTTTCCAATTCGGCGAATGGCAATCTTGACGCTTTGAATACACTATCTGGCAGTGGTGGCCATTTGAGTAGTATTGCTGGTCTTGGGTATGGATTACCTCTGAGTCGTGCCTATGCAGAATACTTTGGTGGTAGCATCGCTGTGCAAAGTCTTTGGGGATGGGGTACGGATGTTTACTTGACTCTGCAGGGAGTAGGCAAGGTTGATTGAAAGATCTCACAATATGAACAATCCCGGTGCGAGGGCGCCAAATGAATGGGACTCCTTTTACAGTCTCCCTTTGGCCACTGGCCGAGCAAGCAAGTCCACCAAGTCCACAATCGGTGTTTTCATGTTCTCAACCACCTCCAACATATGGGCTATCTCCGTCTCTGGAAACATGTATGCCATATTGCGCATGAATTTCGTTTGCAAGGCTCGCTTGGTTCGGGCGTCTCGCACATGGCCGATCGGGTACTCGACTAGAACCTCTGGAAGCACTGTGCCGTCTTTAAGAACGACTGTCAACCCTGTGCCAATGCTCTTCATGTCTAGATCCAAATAATCACGGGTGAGTTGTGGATCAGAGCGAACACTTATCTTGCCCCTGAGATGTGCCAGCTCGGCACTGACTGCCCATGGGCTTTCACCGGAGTAATCGGTTGCTGCTGGAGCACTGCCTTTTAAGAAAGACAGAGCGACAACATACTGAATGCAATGGTCTCGATCTGCGGCATTTTGCAGGGGCCCATTTTTGTTGATAATCAGGTTGGCCGCTTCAGATGTACGCAACTCAACACGTTCGATATGCTTGGCCGGCTCAGGCAACCCATGACCCACTATCCTCTGGCGCTGCACGATAGCTGCTTCCACGGCCGAGATACCATGCCCCTCGACAGGCATCGTTTTGAAGAAAACATTTCGAATAGTCCACGTGCCAAATGGCCTGGGAAACTCGAACCCGCGTTCACCGAATGTTCGAGCCAGAAAACCCCATGGCTTTGCGGTCAATGCCTCTTGTGCCCCGGGCTGGCCAGCCCTGACATAAAGTGCTGTTTGTACAGCCCTGCGAGCGGCATCACCTGCGGCCCACCCTTTGCGTGGAATTGTGCTGCTTTTAGAGCGGTAGACCCGGATTGGGTGCCCATCCATCCAGATATGAGAGATGGAAGCCATAGTTTGTTCCTCCGTCAAGCCCATCAACCAAGATACAACAGCGGCAGAGGCCAGCTTCACCAATACTACATGATCGATTCCATATTTGTTGAATGCATTCTGCATTTGATAGCATCCCTGTATCTCGTACGCTTTAATCAATGCTTCAAGCAAGGTAGTCATTGTCAAGGGCGGTCCTGTATGTCCAGGACGACCTGGTATGGAAGCGCGAGATAACCAATCCATAACGGGAAGAATGGCTGCTAGGTTATCTATATTCATTCAAGTTGGTCAACCTCTGTTTCTACCTAGAATCATTCTATCTTCGATACGAAATACCTGATGGATGGCCCCATTCCGCTCCTCCCAGTGCATCATTATGATCGAGATACCGTATCAAAACACCCAGATCGAAAGCGCCCTCGACAGGACCGACTTTTAAACTTGTCCCCGGCACTTGAAACGCACTGGGGATGATCGTATCCTGAATAAGAGGCTGGATTAGACTCTGGGCTTCCAGGCTTGTCGCTGCCGTCTCTATCGCACATCCTAATGCATCGAGAAGTGCCGTCCGAGCCCGTTCCCATATCATTTCATCGCTCTCGTCGAGTTTGAAGTGGAAGACGTAGTGTGCGACGTCGGCTATGGCCTTGTCATACGGGCGAGCCATAGACTCAAGCAGCTTTGAGTATGATATCTATCGTGTATGTTGCGGTAGGTAGATGATGTGGAATTCAATTTGGACTCGAAGATTTCGGCTGGACTACACCCTACTAGCGGATCATCTGTAATCGTGCGACCATGCCAGGCTGCAATGTTGCTAGGGTTGGCGGGGCTCGGTCTATTCATGAGATTACTAGTATAAATGCCCCGTTCATCGCCATCCTCATCAGGTCTATGAGTACTAGCAGTCGTATATTCCAAGTTCTATATTCATTTTGCATTTTGCCAAGCTTGAAGATATACCAACCGATGGTCCACCGGAGCCTCGTAGATCTCTTGACTAGCTACGAAGAGAAATCATCTCCGAAAATGACAAGCTATCCCGGCACTAATAGCAGCTGAATAATGCGGCAGATGTATACTATGACGAACGGAATTATATGGCCGAGGTGTGCCACTACTACCTAGTACTTAAGACGTGGGGGCTTAGCAAGTATTGTTAACCCCATGTCACGGTCGACACCGACCCGAGGTTGATCCCGCGTCGATTTAGTGAATGCGACAAAAAGCTTTTTACCGCCTGGTAGAGGAGGGGCGCATTTGTATGTAAAATAGGGTTCTTCGGTAAAGCAAGAAGCTGGAGGAGATGCCCCCACGCCTCCACGTCAGTCGGACTTGTGTCCGAAGTAGTGAGGCACTGGCACTGGGCAGCGATTGCGCCCCAGCTTCCCCTCATTGAGCTTGACTAAATAGCCATTCGGTATTTATATCTCGCCAGCTATTCCTGCATTTTTCATGGTGTGAATCAGTTGCAAGAACTTGAACCAGAAAGCAATCATGTATGTGCACAGTCTAGTATCCTGGAATCCAGTCCTCAGCTCACCCCAGCCAGGGTTTATACAGCATCCTTTGCATTTTTTGAAGCTCTATGGGAGGTAAGTTATGGCAACCCCAGCAAGAACTTGAGCAATCGTTCATTAAATATTTCCCATCCAACCCGAACCTCATGCTAACTTCCATACCAGGGAGGCGTAACCCATGTCTTCGTCAATCTAGGCTCCGACCACCCCTCCATCCTCGAGGCGATGGTCAAAGGCCAAAAAGAGAGGGGAGGCCAATTCCCGACGATTATAACCTGTCCCAATGAGGTACGTCGAGGATCCCACCATTCAAGATCAGCACCTTACCCCTCCCCCTCCCTCCTCGGCTACCTTCGGAAATCACCTATAATCAACGAATGAATCACATCCATTGGAGTTGCTCCCCACTGACCTGAAATATGAGGGTAGATGGTCGCACTCTCAATGGCCGACGGCTACGCCCGTTTGTCAGGGAAGCCGCAAGCAGTCATCGTCCACGTCGATGTTGGAACGCAAGGACTCGGCGCAGCGGTGCACAATGCCTCATGTGGACGCGCACCTGTTCTTATATTTGCGGGTCTTTCGCCGTATACGATTGAAGGCGAGATGCGCGGGTCACGCACGGAGTATATTCATTGGATCCAGGATGTTCCCGACCAGAAACAGATCGTCTCGCAGTATTGTCGATATTCCGGAGAAATCAAGTCCGGCAAGAATGTTAAGCAGATTGTTAATCGGGCCTTGCAATTCGCCACGAGTGACCCCAAAGGTCCGGTTTACCTTGTCGGTGCCCGCGAGGTTATGGAGGAGGACATTGAGCCTTATCAGTTGAATCAGAAGGTTTGGGGTCCTGTTGCCCCGGCAGCTTTGCCTTTTGCTGGTATTGAATTGATTACTTCGGAGCTGGCTGCTGCAAAGAATCCGCTGGTTATTGTCGGGTATACGGGTCGACAGGCTCAGGCCGTGAAGGAGCTGGTCTCATTGGCGGATACCTTCAAGGGTATTCGTGTGTTGGATACTGGAGGTAGCGATATGTGCTTCCCAGCGGACCATCCGGCCTGGTTGGGTCTGCGATATCCTGGACACGAAGCTGTCCAGTCCGCCGACTTCATTTTGGTGATTGATTGTGATGTACCTTGGGTCCCTACCCAGTTCAAGCCATCCGAGACGGCTAAAATCATACATATCGATGTGGATCCCTTGAAGCAGCAGATTCCTGTCTTCTATATCCCATCCATGGCTACCTTTCGAGCGGATTCTGTTACCGCCCTCAAGCAGATCAACGATCATGCCGCGAGCAATAGTGAGCTACAGCAGTTCATTAGATCCAAGGAGAATTTGCTTCTACGGGAGGGCCGTGATGAAGCCTATCAGACACGACGGAAGGAGATTGCCGACCTCGCAGTGGTCCCGGAGGGTGGTCGTGATGCACCCTTGAATGTCAACTACCTTATGGGCCTAGTGCGAAAGTCCTGTCCAGTTGATGCGATTTGGGCGATTGAAGCCGTGACTCTGACACACTTCGTCGCCGATCAAATAGCAGCTACTGAGCCAAATTCCTGGATCAACTGCGGTGGCGGTGGTTTGGGATGGAGTGGCGGTGGAGCACTGGGTATTAAGCTTGCTACAGATGTGCAGCATGGCGGACCTGGCAAGGGTAAATTCGTCGTGCAGGTGGTCGGTGATGGAACTTTCCTCTTCTCCGTGCCTGGATCTGTCTATTGGATCTCGCGTCGTTATGGAATCCCTGTTCTGACCATCGTGCTTAACAACAAGGGCTGGAATGCCCCGCGTCGTAGCATGCTGCTTGTCCACCCTAGTGGTGATGGCTCGCGTGCCACTAACGAAGATTTGAATATCTCGTTTGCGCCGACGCCTGACTATGCTGGCATCGCGAAGGCTGCGGCTGGTGGGGAGATGTGGGCTGGTCGGGCGTCGACTGTGCTGGAGTTGTCAGAGAAATTGCCAGAGGCTATCCAGAGTGTTTTGAATGGCAAGGGTGCGGTTTTGGAAGCACAGCTTGATGGAACGACGGGAAAGTATGTAGAGGAATCATAGAAGTAGTTCAATCTTGTCTGGTACTGAATAGAGCATCTCGTCGCATTTCGGCAATGATAGTTCGTGATCAGAGAGCCCCTAGGTGGCTATAATCTAAATGTAGCGTAGATCGAGGTAAAGAATGTATTAATTATGAGTGACTAGAGTCGTCGCTGTAGGAAATTCCTTCCGAATTCAATCTAAGCCGCCGATTGCTTTTGCGCTGTCTCGGGAGACCCGCGCGTAGAGTATCGCATGCAAGCCCACAAGATGAGAAGGAAAAGACTGCTGAAGAGCAGCGTAATGTAGGCTATATTGTCGCCTATAACAGAAAACATCCGATTGTCCCAATTCGCCCACGAATTGCCATCCACCTGAGTGAAGAAGACCCAAGGGTCTGCACCAGGGCGCCCATCCATGAGAATGTGATATAGAGGCGCGAGCCCAGGCTCGTCACTACCTTGGAGCCATTCTTTTTCGCGTGACAATAATGAGTGATACCTTTCCCACATTGCTGTAAAGTACCACTGACCACTGGCATACATGATCGTGGCGTAGGGAAGTATGTAGTTCACTTGCCAGCGGAGTAGATTATCGGTCAGGAGGGAGAATAGTGGATGGCCACGCTGGCCACCGACGATATTGTTGCTCAGGGCTCCGTGGCCGCCGTCCGTAGTAAATGCTGGGTAGTAGAGGAGTGGTTCTAGGTTTGCAGCACAGCCCTGGTACACACACGTAGAAGTCAACAGGCGAATCGATGTAGACGGGGAAGAGAAAGATATGCTAATTAAGAACCCACTCACATTATCCAAATCGATATAGATTCCGCCATAGTAGCGAAGGACAAAGTATTTGATAACATCTACCTTCTGCACGGGATATGGGTATCGATCGTAGACGGGGAGGAACCAGAGGAACTTTTCCTCAATGAACTTGCGAGACGATTTGGTTGTCCACAGCTAGAGTAACGCCACTCGATTATAGCCCCGTGAAACAACTATCCAATTATGGTCTTGGGAGCTTACCATATGCTCCCAGTCGGGATGAAGATTCACACAGGTTTTCCGGGCTGCAGCCCAGTCTGGCCGAAGAGTATCATCGTTCGCATCGTGCCAATTGTGGAAGATCTGGTGGATAATTTTGGGAACCAGAGGCTCTCGCGGGTCGGAGTTGATCCTATGGGCAGCTGCAACTTCGGCTTGCGTAATGCGAATGCCGGAGTGAGGCTTTGTGAGACCGAATAATTGAGCAAAGGCGATGATGCGGGAGATGGTGTAGATCACAGCAGCGATGGCCAGCAAGACGAGCGTGGTGAGTAGAACACGGCGATACAATCGTGGACCCATAATGGACTCACAATAGAAGAGAGTTAAAGAAGAGAAGAAGGGAGAAGTCGAAGTAGAAGTAGAAGTGCCTAGGTTTATTGATTGTGCCTGCCTTTGAATGTTGGCGATCCCATGACTGCACGTGGTGGCCCTAGCGAGTTCATTGGCATGCAAGTATACCATAGACCATAACACTAGTAGTATACTTCATAATAATTATGTAGTACTAGTATACAGTAGATAATAGTAAATACTAAATTATTTATAGTATTATCATACTATATCGTAGGTATATAGTATACCTACTACCAGTATACACTGTATAGAGTGGGTCACGGTCGCAGCCCTTCCTCCTTCCAAGCTTCTCCAAATTGGAGAACGGAGAACTTCCCGCAACCTCCCACTACCAGCTTCTCCGCATTTCCTTCTTCCCTAACCCCACCCCCATCAATCATGCACCATGAATATTATGAGCCATGAGCAGCAAGCCCTATCAGTGTCGCCGGTGCCCACGGGCCTTTGCTCGTCTGGAGCATCTCCAGCGCCACGATCGCTCTCGTCCGTCCAACCCCCACCTCAACCAAACCCGCTTTGCTAATCCTTCGACAGACACCAAAGAGAAACCCTACACTTGTGGCCAATGCCCCAAAGCCTTCACGCGAAAGTACGTTAATCTGTTTCAAATCATGTGCTCGGCCGCCTAGTCAACCTATCCACCTCCTAACAGCGACCTAGGGACCTGCTGGCTCGTCATGAACGACTCACCCATCAAATCGGAGACAGTCCCGCAAGCCATGCGCAAACGCCCTCGCCTGCCCGTCCCGTTTTCGATGGCCTGGATACATTGGCATCAGTCGTGGCTAACCATGGTCATCCTCATCTACCACTCCCGGGGAGCAATGGCCAATTTCCGGACACCCTGCCCGCTCGCCAGACCCCGGCGCCACCTACTACCCAGCTGCAAAATCCACAAACCCCGTCGGCAGGTCCGACGACTCCAATGGATGGCTCGGTCTTTGGCTATGCGATCGATAGCTTAGCAACAGGCTCATACGAAGGGAACGACTTCACCTCTTTCCTTGACAGTGTTCCTCTACCGAGTCACCCCTACTCCCCTGCCTTCCAGCCCCTTCCCCTATTCCCGCCTCTAGTGTTTTCCCCAACCACGGACTATGAGCAGTCCTCTGAAAGAGACCACCCATCTGCGGAGACGGCTTCAACGCCATCAAGCTCTGTGCTGCCCCGCCATGGCGCACATCTGCCATCCCTGCAACCGGAGGGCTATCAAACTACAGCCAAGGCTCGCCAACCAACAGGCTTCGTTCCTGTCACAAGTCAATGCCGTGATAAAGTTCTCGCGCTTCTGAAAAGTTTTGTTACTGTAGCGCCAAATCCGTCGCTGCCTTCCCGCCATGCACTATCTCGATGCCTGACGGGGTATCTAATGGGATTTCACGATCACTATCCGATCGTACATAGGCCAACACTAGATGTGGACTCCATGGGCCTTCCGCTTTTCCTCGCCATGGCCGCTCTAGGTGCTCGCTATAGTCGAGAGCCGGATACAAGCATGCGCTTGTATCAGATCGCCAAACCTGTCACACTGGAGCATTTTCGCCGAGTCTTCCAGTCGGGTACTTTACCAGCTGTGAATGCAGCTAATGATATTGATACCCTTGAAACCATTCAAGCGCTACTAATGCTCATGTCTGTCTCATCGTGGTTTGTGGATAATCCTCCATATCACGACGCGCTATCGATTCGAAGTCTGATGGCGACGCTTCTCAGAAAAGACGGCGCCAACCTTTTACCGGAGCAAGATGGGTCATGGGCCAGCTGGATCCGTTATGAAAGTGTGAAGCGCACGAAACTGATCGTTTTCTGCTTTTTCAATATTCAAACAATTGTATTCGACATACCCCCAGTCATCTTGACTGAGGAGCTATCCATGGACCTTCCCTGCACGGAGCGAGAATGGCAGGCTTCTACTCCGGAACAATGGGAAGCGGCGCGAAGCCAAAGTCAAGGGGAGCCTGGATTTCAAGGTGCCCTATCCGCTTTGTTTACCCCTGATAGTGCAATGGAGCCGGGGTTCTCCTCTCTTGGCGGAATTGTCTTGATTCATGCGATGCTTCAAGACATCTGGATGATGACCAAAGCTACACGCTTGGCTCTGTCACGATATAACCGGCTCGGCTCACCCGTCCCCTCTACACCAGGCCTACTTGCAGTTGAACAAGCATTGGAAAGATGGTGCCAGTGCTGGGAGCGCAATCAAGAGTCATCGATTGACCCACTCAGTCCACATGGCCCACTGTCCTTTACTTCCGCGGCCCTGCTACGGCTAGCTTATATCCGGCTGAACGCAGACTGTGGTTCCGCACGGCAGTTACAGACTTGGGATCCGGTGCAAATTGCTGCCAGTCTCAATGATAATCTCTCAGTGCAACGTGGAGATCGCCTAACACGAGCAGCGCTCCACTGTGCACATGCACTTAGTACCCCAGTCAAGCTCGGGATCGGGTTTGTGGCCCACTCACAGGTCGCTCTATGGTCAAACCAGCACGCCCTATGCTCGCTTGAATGCGCGGTGCTTCTGGCGAAATGGCTCGAAGCGGTGACCGTGGTGAGCCCAGATCCCGCATTAACGAACCAGGAGACCCGCTTGAGGGACTTTGTGTTGGAAATGGTGATGGAGGCCCAAGATGATGTCTCACGCGAGTGGCTCCTTGCGACTAATACTCGACTCAGCGCAGCTGTTACCAGGCTCTGGGCGCGCCTTTTCACTGCAGACTATATTTGGGAGATGGTGAACCTGATCGGGCGATCATTAATTAGTTATGCAGATCTTTTGGAGCAGAAGACAGCCCATGTTAATTAATAATTGGACGAGACAGGGCTCTGTAAATAGGCGAAACAAATATTGCCGGTAGATTTCCCGTGCTTATTCCCCAGAACAGATGTGTATTAATTTAGCCAAAGTGTAATAAACAGCCACCGACTGCATTCCCCTACGTGCCGTGACAACATCCGAGCGGATCGAAGCAATTCCGACACTATTTGGCTTGACTAAGAGCTCGTCCGTACTTGGTGACTCACCCAAGCCCTACTTCTATGAAGGGGTATTTATACTCCTCGTCACCTTTGGGTTATTACATCTAAATCTCACACCAACACCAACAGTCTAGCCTGAATCAATCAACAATCCATCCATCATGGCCCCATCCCCGCTCACCGCAAGCCCCCACCTCCAGGCCCACCTCAAAGCCCTACACTCTCAATCTTCGGTCCAAGAATCAAGCTTGGATTGGACCAGCCTTCCCAAGCAATGCACCGATGCCTTCGACGACATTATGCGCGATAAGTTTATCGCCTTGGATCAGGATAAGTGCGAATTGATCTACCATGTCCTGCGCAGCATCAATGCCAAGACAGTCGTCGAGGCTGGAACTAGCTTCGGCGTAAGCACCATCTATCTTGCTCTCGCGGTTGCTCAGAATGTAGCCCGTGATTCTCAGTCTCAGGGTCAGGCACAGCAGGGAAGAGTAATTGCCACGGAGAAAGAACCGTCAAAGGCGAGTATTGCGCGGGAGAACTGGGAGCGCGCTGGCGATGAGATTCAGGGCGTGATTGATTTGAGGGTCGGTGATTTGCGAGATACTTTAGAGAAGGAGTTGGGAACTGTTGATTTTCTTCTCTTGGATAGTGAGTATACATACTTCTTTTCCCTTCTGCGGACCATTATTGACTTTTTTCCAGTTTGGACGCCGCTGGCCCTCCCTGCGGTCAAGCTTGTCAAGCCATATCTCAGGCCTGGTGCCGTGATCATGGCAGATAACACGCTCAAGGCAAATGTTGGTTACGAAGATCTTTTGGACTATCTGGATGCGCCGGATAGTGGGTTCCGTCGAGTTACTCTGCCTTATACTGGTGGCCTGGATATGATTATATACCAGTAAGCTGTGGACTATGTAATCAGTACATAGTAGTGAGTAAGATCAACTTTTCAAGGAAGAATACATACTCATACTTAAGCCCCAGACTATTTCAAGATGAAGTCTCGATAAGTAGCCTCAAATAACTTTGCATTTTTTCCCAGGCAGAACGGTGCTCATCTTCGCCTTGCAAGGCCCAGTGGCCGGGGCCTATAGAATTTCATCACGAGCCGGTATCTTTCACTTTCATATTTCTCCTCATCCTTGACATCCATTGGTTGAAATGCAGAAAGTTCTTGGTTGATCCACTTGGTCCAGTCCTCACGGCCATTGGAATCAATGCGAGCGGGCCTCTCCGATGGATTGGACTTGCTAGATAAAGACCCTAGCGGCCTGGGCGTAGGGTGTTACCATAAAATACCAGTTACTCCTCCGCAGACAGCAGACTCAATAACTTTTATGCAAAAACTTATTGTGTCTGCTGATGACAGCATCTCGTGATGTGGAGCGAGCATATATCACATCCGGCAACACATCTGGACTAACCCCCGCCCCCAAGTCAATCCACTTGGTTATCTCGGTTTTCTCCCAGACTGTACGTTCAAACGGCTCGAGTTTCAGGATCTTGAACCGTGACCTCATCCGCGGCCTGCTTTCTCTGTGCGCCCACGATTCGCGGTTGTCCAATAGACTACGAATCATATGATTCTCGCTTGGGTATACCTGAGTCTCCACCCAGGAGACCTTGGGACTGTATAGTAGCTCCTGTACCCGCAAGCACAGGATAGGCTTCGACTTGACGGTCTCAAGCCCCTTGGGCAAAATCCTAGCCTCGACAGATCTAAGACGGGTAGTCTTCAAGCCTAGGTCGTCTATGGCTTCTCGAACTTCAGTGTAGCGTAGGGAATCGGGACTGATTCCGAAAGAAGGCCAATGCTGGAACTGTCGCATTACAAGTTGAAGGTGAGCAAAACGGAATTGAACAGGTGGTGGGAGATAGAAGGGGCTGTGCCTCTCTGACGAGCTGGGTTTCCGCCTATACAGAGACAGTCTTTCTTTGTTTCGGCATCATAGGAGCTAAGTATTGGAAAGTTGAATCCGGGGAGCTTTATATCTTTCCACTTATGAAGTCACAGGCAGTCCAAACCGAAGTGAAGGTGCGGTAGCTTGGGATCCATCATTTTCAAGAAATCTATGCGGTACTTTTCGGCAAGCTGGAAGGAAGAGGTCTTTTCGAAAAAATACGGGAAACGTTTTTCCAATATTTTCTTCAGGCTGTGGTTAGATAGCGCGAGGCTTGCGATGTTGACTGGTTCCAGGGAGTCGCAGATGTATAGCATGAGTTCAATGGGGAGGTTTCCCAGGTAGCATGGCATGGGTTCGGCCATTTCAATTTAACAGCGAGAGTAACTTGAAGGAATTGGAGAGTAAGACTGATGAGACGAAATGGTGTTCCATAGTTATAATCTATAATAGACGATTAACCCGATTCCCAATCGGGGAATGAATCGTAAGAGTACTACTAGTAAGAGTACCATGAAATAGACAAAGTTTATTTCGGTCTTAAACCTAATTGAGAATACCATAGAAGTAGTAGAAGTAGAAATAGATTTAGAAATTATGGGAACACCAAGCAATCATGATATCCACATTCCAAGGTTGTCAGTTTGAACTTCCAAGGGCTTCAAGTTGGGATACTCCAAACCCCGCAAAGCTATGTATACTTCCCCTTCCCCTTCCCCTCTCCCCACCTTCTCGAATTCCCCTCTTCACTTCACTTAAATTCGACCTCACACTCTACCTTTCACCATTGACCCCCCTCAAAAACCCCATACAAATCCAATGGCAACCAACAATTTCCGCAATCCGCCCAAAAACGAAGAAGGCGCCTTCTGCGCCGGCGGTCCCACGCCAACGTTCAACCCACCCCAAACCCCAACAACAGCAAACTACCGCCTCAACCACCTCGCAATCCGAATAAAGGATCCCACCCGCTCTCTCCACTTCTACGTTGACCTCCTCGGCATGCGCGTCGTGTTCTCTATGAATGCAGGCCCATTCACGATCTACTACCTCGGCCACCCGCCGCCCGGAACGGAGGATTTGGATACATGGGCTAAGGAGACGAGTGAGATCCCCGTTATGACGCGGACGAGTGGGTTATTGGAATTGTACCATATGCACGGGACGGAGTCGAAAGGAGATGGCAATGGCAGCGGCGATGATGATGGAGGAGTATCTAGTGGCAATGTGCCGCCCAATCTAGGCTTTGCGCATTTGGGATTCACGGTGCCGGATGTGCCTGTTGCGGTGGAGAGGTTGAAGAGTGCGGGCGTGACGGTTCTTAAAGATGTAGGTATTTGTGAGAGGGGGCATGTTCCTTTGTCAGAGTGGGAGACTGAGAGGGGAGTGGGTGTTGGTGAGATTCATCCTAATTATGCTTGGTTTTTTGAGAAATTTGCCATGGTGGCTGATCCGGTGAGTTCTCTCTATACTCTTCTGTCCGTAAATTGACTATATTGGCTGCAAGGATACACAGTATCCTATGCTATATACGTGGGTCAGGTTAGCTAATAACTTGAGCTTGAGCTGACGACTTCAGGATGGATATTCTGTCGAGTTAATCCCACAGAATATTTGAGCTTTATCGAATTCTATTGGTACACGTACCGGCTATACTCAGGCTGCTTTACTTTTACTTTCGATGGCAGAAAACAGGTTGTGTGGCGAGAATATGGGGCTGACTTTAAGCATCAAACAGCCCCAAGACGTATTTGAAAGTAGGCCTATACACATCCAATGGTACACAAGTAGAAGATAATATTATGCTTTCACCAGCTTTCGTCCTCTGCCACGTCGTAATCCATCTCATTGTTTTCTTTGCGCGGTGGTGGCGCGCTCACCGTCGGAGTCGAGTCCATCATCACGTCTTGCTCGTCATCACCGCCGCCATTCTTTGACTCTGCCGTTGGACCAGGTGTGGGATTGGCAACGGGCAGGTTGGGGAGCCATGAAAGCTGGGCCTCGCCCGAGGAGGTGAGAGACCAGGGACTGAACATGAACTTCTCGGCCTGGTATCGCTCTTTGAATGCCACGACGACGGAATCGGATTGGCCGGGGTTCGACTCTATAGATTCGTAGTCGCCAACGCCCTGGGAAAGAAAAGTGGTTAGCATTTTTTTCAGAGTCTTCTTTAACATTTGCAAAATGCCTTACCATTAGGTGCTGTCGCAGGGCTTCATCTTTATCTGAATGCAGTGACACGCCTGATACGGCAACTCGTCGAGGTCGGTTGTCTAAACGCAATACACCTCCACGGCCACGAGGAGCAAATCCACCTCGGCCACGATATCCACCCCGGTATGAAGGATCGTAGGTTCCACGTCCGCGGTATCCGCCTCGGGCACGGAAGCCCCCGCGGCCACGATAACCGCCACGACCGAATGAAGCGTCAGCATTAGCGTCAAGACCGAGGGTCTGAGCTTCAGCTTCGAGAGCGGCTAGCTGTGCGCGGAGCTTCTTAGTCTCATCGCTCACGTTCTCGTCCTCAACCTGCATACTGGAATCTTCCTCTGCGCCTTCACTGCCGTTACTCGGTGCAACGCCCAATCGCTGGAGAAGGCGTGATTTTTCTTCCTGCTGCTTTTTCATGAGTTCGTCACGCTGGCGCTCGAGAGCTTGCTTGGCTTCTTCGGCTTCTTGCCGCTTCTTCATTCGCTCCTCGTGCAATTTTTGCGCCTCCTGTTGTTGCTTCTCAAACTCCTCTTGGTTGAATGCGGGCTCTTCAGGTTTATTCTCGCTGTTCCTCTCGTCACGCTTGGGTTTATGCCAGTAGACCTTCACAAAGCGGTTGTCGAAGATCACCTTCGGACTGGACCAGGCCTGCTTGGCCTCCGCAAAGGTCTCAAACTTGACCAAGGCGATCTTTTTGTACGGTTGCAACGTCACCTCCGCGATGTTACCGAATTGAGAGAAAAACTCGCGCACTGCCTCTTCGGAGAACTTATCGTCCGGGATTTGTTCCACGACAATTGTCGTGATGGATCGGTCTTCGTTTGGTCCTGCAGACGAGAAATCGGACCGGCCGCGTCCTCGTCCGCCGAAGGCACCACGGCCACGGCCACGTCCCCGATCATTGCCACGCGTGGACCCGCCATCTCTTTGTGAGTCGGACATCATTGTCGAAGATCGCGGATCATATTCTGAAGCAGTAAATGTTAGTAAAATAATCACAAAACGGCAAACAATTAGAGTATACCATTGTTATCGGAGGACTCAGGTCCCCCCGTGCTTGTAAGGGCAAGCGGCTCCCAAGTAGCAGATACCCTGATTCTCATACAACGGGCAAGCCTGACTGGCCATCTCTTCGGCACCGGGCTGGCCTGGACCTACAGGCATTCCTGGCATAGGTGGCATGCCGGGCATCTGGGGGGAAACCCATGCCCTGCATAGCCATCATAGCTGCCATAGGGTCATTCGGGTCGAATGGCGGGAATCCAGGCATCATGGGAAAACCACCAGGTTGACCTTGCTGGAACTGCTGCCCGGGACCCTGCATATGGCCGCCTCTGCCCATCCAGTCCCCACGAGCACCGCCGCGGCCTCGGCGCGGAGTTTTCATAGCACGATTCTGCATATTTCCACCATCCCGCTCTGGCTCGCCTTGGAATCCCTCGTTGAATGACCGCTTGCGACTGTTGTAATCACCCCTGGGGCCGGTGGGTGCGCCAGTGGGTGCCCCGAATTGCTGCTGAAACGGAGCTGTGGGAACGGGTTGCGGGATAGCTTGGGCTTGGGGAGCTTGCTGTGTCGGTGCTGGCGCGGCAGCTGAGTTCGGGCCAAAGTTGGCAAAGAGCTCGTTGACAAACGGGGTAGTGTCTAGGTAAGGTAAGCGACAGGTCAAAATGTCTCAGCGCAAGTTCTGGCAAGCGTACGTTCGCGGAGAAAGTCTTCGAGGTTCTCTATTGAGACTTTTCGGATTTCATCATCTGGCGCGTCAGACCTGATAAGTGCCAGTACGTAATCTGCGAGAACATCGGAGTCTGCATCGGAGCTAAGATGAGAAAGAACGGACGGTCAGTAGGGATTCCTGTGAGAAACGAGAGTGTCTTGCGAGTGGCTCACATGTCCTCCAACTTCTTGACAACCCAGTTCTTCAGCCGGTCGGCTTCTGCGTCGGTAAATTGCATCGCTGCGAGGATCGCAGGGTCTCTAGTCACTTGAGAGACCGAATTGAGAGAGGCGATGGGAATCGATTGATTAAGGCGCCGGTGCAAGGATTCGGGTGACGGCAAGCTGCAGAAAGCTGTGGGACAGATTCCTCACGGCCTTTCAGTGATTTCCCGTAAAATGTGAGGATAGCGGATTAAGTAGTTCAGTTTATGAGAGTAAGCAAAACTCTCCTCCAACCACAGCAACGGGCGATTGAGACTAAAAGTTTGGGAGCGAAGAATCAACTGAAAACGCGATGGCGCGCGATAATGATCACGTGATGATATGATGGCGCCAAGACTTTCGAATCGAGCGTGGCTGAATGTGGCTGGTGGTGGCTGGTGGTGGTTAAGATTGCTGGGTGAAGAGCTTTAACTCGTACCTGAATCACTCAGCTGCAAGACTACAATGATACAGGGCTACAATTTCACAATGCTACAAGAAAATGCTACTACGGGAGAGTGCACAACGATTAAGTCCAGCATACCATATTGATTTTCATGTCCAAATGGCAGCCAGACAGCAAAAAAAAACATCAAAAGGAAAATCAGAACATCATCAAACAATAACTATGGAGACAATAGCAAACGGACAGCGTCCAAAGGTGCCCGAGACACTCCTCGGCGCTCCACACTTTCTAAAGACGGCAGTGATTGAAGCAAGCCCGCCAAGCGGCGGGTACGAATTTTTGTTTGAACCGGGAAGTTGTATTGCATTCATCAATCTCATAAAAAAAGATTCCATATTGGGCTCCCAAGAGCGCAGTTTGACCGGCCGTTAACTTTTTTACAGCTTGTCGTAGTACTATTGAGATAGCAGTTAGTAGATGATCAATCAAAATGCAGGCAGTGAAATATGAGTTAAAACTTACGTTCTCGTAGCCGGGAACAACCTCCTTGAGACCCTTACGCTTGCGCATCTCGGTAACAACCTGGCCAGGCTTGGTAGTGGTGTCCAGAGGAGAACCACCGGGCAGGATAGCCCAGTGATCGAAGACGGACTGGGGGAAAGCCTGACCACCGGTGGCGGAGCGCAGATCGGAGTTGAAGCCGAAGGACTCGTTGACGGGCAGGTAAGCCTTGACGTTGAACAGAGGGGTACCGGGGCGCTGCTCCTCAGTGTAGACGTGACCACGACGGCGGGTGAGGACACCGTAGATACCACCCATAGCCTGCTCGGGAACCTGGATCTCGACGTTGAAGATGGGCTCAAGGAGACCGGGCTCAGCCAGCATAGCGGCGGCGTACAGAGCACGACGAGCAGTGGGGATGATCTGACCACCACCACGGTGAATGGCATCAGCGTGCAGGGTAACATCAAGGATGTTGAAGCGGACGGAGCGCATGGGCTCCTCAGCAACGGGACCCTCACGGGTGGCCCACTGGAAACCGGAGACAACGGAATCCTTGATCTCGTTCAGGTATTGAACAGCCTTGGTCTGGTCAATGAGCAGGTTGGCACCGGTGGTGTCGGGACCGAAGCACCAGATCTTACGGGCATCGGTGACATCCCAGCCGTACTCGTCAGCCATGACACGGGCACGAGCCTTGAAATCGTCACGGGGAGAGACCTTGCCGGACTCGATGGCCTGGGAGAGATCCTCCTCCATGGGCTGAGCAGTCATATACAGACGGTTGTGCTTGTTGGGAGACTTGGACAGAGCAGTCATGGAAGACATGGCAGTGACAGTCTCACGGTAAGAGACAACGGGGTCAGAGATACGGAGAGGGACACCAGCGTGGTCCTCCTCAAGATCCTTAAGACAGATCTCCAAGTGGAGCTCACCAGCACCAGCGACGACGTGCTCACCGGACTCGTTGATCATGGTCAGGACACAGGGGTCGGACTTGGACAGACGCTTGAGACCCTCGACCAGCTTGGGCAGATCCTGGGCGTTCTTGACCTCGACGGAGCGCTGCACAACGGGGGAGACGGAGAACTTCATGACCTTCAGGTTGTGGGCGGTCTCATCGGTGGTCAAGGTACCGGACTTGAGCAGGAACTGATCGACACCGACCAGACCGACAATGTTACCGGCAGGGACGTCCTCAATGGGCTCGACAATACGACCCATCATCAGAACGGTACGCTGGATGGCCTTGATGAACAGGTCCTCCTTCTTGCCGGGGACGTAGTTGGGGCCCTGGATGCGGACCTTGACACCAGACTTGACGGTACCGGCGTAGACACGACCGAAGGCGTAGAAACGACCCTTGTCGGAGGTGGGAACCATCTTGGAGACGTACAGCATCAGAGGAGCAGTGGGGTCACAGTCGCGGATACCAATGCAGGCCTTGTCGTCAAGGGGACCCTCGTACAGAGTCTCGGCACGGTACTTCTGGGCAGTGACGGGGGAAGGCAGGTGGATACAGATCATCTCCAGAAGGGCGTCAGCGGCAGGCAGGAACTTGCGCATGACACACTTGAGGAGCTGCTTGCCCTCGAGGTCCTTCTCGTCGGTGGCGAGCTTGATGTCAAGCTTGTCCAGAAGGGTGGTGATCTCATCACGCTTGTTGTGGTTGACAGCAGCGAAGATCTTGAAGATGGGGTCCAGGATGAACTGGTTGAAGGCACGCTCAAGGGGCTTGCCATCGGCACCCTCAGCCTTGTTGGTCCACTTCTTGGTCTTGGGGTTGAAGTAGTTGTCGCCCCACAGACGCTCAAGCATCTTCTTGCGGTCGACACCGAACTTCTTGGCGTACTTGATGGCGAACTGGCGGACAGTGAAGCACCAGCCGTGAAGACCGGAACCGAAGGCAATGGTACCTCTGTCGGGGTAAACCTGGACGTCACCGAGAGTCTTGTCGAAGTAGGTGGAGATGATGACGTTGACGGACTCGACGGTACGGGAGAAGGACTGGTACAGATCCTCCTTGGTGCACTGCAGCTCAAGAAGGGCACGATCGACCTTGTTGATGCACAGAACGGGCTTGATACGCTCGGTCAGGGCCTGACGCAGGACAGTCTCGGTCTGGACACAGACACCGGAGATACAGTCGACAACGACCAGAGCACCGTCAGTGACACGGAGAGCGGCGGTGACCTCAGACGAGAAATCAACGTGACCGGGGGAATCGATCAAGTTGATCAAGAACTCGTGACCATCGACCTTCTGGGGGATCTCCTTAAGATCCTCGGGGTCGGGGAACTTGGCGTACAGGGAGATGGCAGTGGACTTGATGGTGATACCACGGTCCTGCTCATCAGGACGGGTGTCCATGTAACGACCCTCACCAGCCTTGGCGGAGGAAATGATACCGGCACGGTGGACAAGGGCATCGGACAGAGTGGACTTTCCGTGATCGACTGGATGAAGATGGGTGATTAGATGGTGTGATGAGGGAGAGAAAAGGTGGATGGGGGTTGAACATACCGTGAGCAATGACGGACATGTTACGGATGTTGGCCGGCTTGTCCATCAGGCCACGGATCTCCTCAAGAGTGAAGCTGGAGTCATGTTAGTTGGATGATCAAGATTCTCACTTGGTTGCACATTTTTTCGGTGATGCTCTCCAGAATCGACTTACTTGACCATCTTGGCGGTTGTTTTCTCAAATAAGCCCTAGAGGCGGGGTAATGAGAAAAGGGGAGAGTGTAAAGAAGAGCAACACACACAAATGATCGAGACCGAGTATCAACCCGAGTACGATCAAAAATGCCTATGTGCAAATGCTCCTATAGAGGGGATGGGGAGAGAAGAAAGAAACGGAGGTTGGGAGGAGGGGGAAGTGGGAGAAAAAAAAATCGAGAGCGAGAAGCCCCCACTTTTTTGGGAAAAAGCCCCGCTCGGTTTGTGCGTTGCCTCTCCTACCTTGCCCTCCCTCCACCACCAGCAGGTTTACTCGGTTTGCACGGGTTAATACTGATTTTTCAAAGTCATTTCAGACTCATGCAGACTCATTCTCGACATCCCTGGAATCTATTTTGTGACTCACTCAGAACTATGGCTATCCGAATAGATCCGTGGTTTCTACTCGTTAGAGCTGTCTTTGGAACGTGACAGCACACACAGCTCTCAATTGCCACCCAAAGCTAAGCTAAGCAAAACTCAAGTCCTCTCGGTTCACCCAACGGGGAAATCAATCCCTAGCTCCTCTCCCACTCCCAGCCCCGAAATGAAACCGCACATCGTCAGGTCGAAACATCCGCCCCGCCACTCGCCACTCACCGCCCACCGCGGGGTTTGGCGCTTATTAATGCTGATCCCCGCTGCGGAAGCTACGAGTTGTACTGGGGATACAGCGTTGTACTGATACCCTGCAATTAGTTGAACTCTGTAGTAATAATAAAGTGTTGAATTCTATATTCAAGTTAAATCGTTACTCGTAAATGCAGTATGGCTCTAATACTATTATTCTTGTACCGCGTGGTGGCCAGATTGGTCGCATTGTCCGTGCAGACCGAGAGTGGTACAAGCAAACTGAGTGTGAGGATTAGTTAGTTAGTACTAGAGAAACAATGTAACACCCTCTCTTGGCTGCATTTAAGTTCCTTATTCACAACTTACAAGACCTGAAGATGATTATTTCGAAGAGAGTATTGAGAAGTTTCATTAGATCTCTAATCCGTAATTCAGATCTCGTCCCTAATCATCACTAGCACTTGCCAATGCATCCTTTATATCCGAACGCGAGACAAACACATATCCCGGGTAGCCCTCCTCGTCAGGACGTCTATTTCTATACCATATCCTATCGCCTCTCTGATCCGGGGTCCACCAAATCTCGAGATCCCCATCATGACCCCTATCCTTCTCATGACCAAAGAGCTCAATAATACAATCCTGGATCATACTTTTCCAGTTCATGCCGGGGTCCTCTCTTCCGCCATTAACAGGATCGAATCCAAGCTCCTTCATTAACATAAAACAGCGGACCATGGTCTGCCAGCAGTATTTGAGGTACTTCCCAAGCTCTTCTCGGTTTGAAGGGTGTAGAGGATCATGCGGTGGGTCCAATTTCCTGTGAACTGGTTCGTAGTTGGCGAATTCCATGATATCCAATGCTAACTCAACAGGTAAACCCTTAGAGCAGAGTGTCATCCGGACGCGGGTAGTATCAGAAACCGAGGGCCCATCGGATAGATAACGAGATGTCGACAATGACAGGTATTGATGAATCGGTTCCCTTCCATAAGGGCCTGGGTGCTCTTGCTCTCGGTAGGTTGCATATTTTTCCCATCTTGGTGGACGTTTTTCCGTGTTCTCTTCTGTTTTTATTCTCTTTTCAACTTTGTGTGGAGGATCTAGACCAAAGAACTGATTATGAGGAAATTTTCCAGCAGTAGAGTAGTAGCCGTAAGGAAATTTCGCGCAATGATCAATGGTTTTTTGGTAGAAAATCGTATTGCGATAATCCTTTTCTGCTGTCCTTCCGCATTTGGGGTCACATAGTTCCGGAAAGCAATATGCTACGTTCAGGCATATGTAGATCCAGAGCATGTCTCGACCTATCCCGTGCCATCCAATGTCGTTATATGGCTTGAATATGGTCAGTGTCAAAATCCGGCCACGAGATTGATGCAAAATTGGGACCTACGTGACGACCACAATCAAAACAAACACCTTTATCATAGGTCCTTGTAAGATGCGTCTCTGGATGAGCACAAATACGAAAGAGAGCATCCATCTCTCCGTAAAGAAGCAACGTTTTCAGAACTTCTAGATTGAAAAGTACAGCGTTGTTTTCGCCAAAGTAATCACAATACTCAATGTGATCAAAATGACGAAGAAATGCAGACATTTGTCTTTCTTTCAGAGGAAGGGGTTCGCATTTGCAGGGTTCGGAATCAGTACCCCTCAAGGGGCAGGTTTCGGAAGGACATAGCCTTTGGGACCACCAATGCTTTCGCCATCGCCGAACTGAAGGTGATATTTTTCGAACGGTGACTTCGTTGAGAATCACATCTGATGGCTGGGGAGGGTCATCGTGCTGTTGATACTTTTTTCGTTCACAGGCCGCATGCTCCTCGAGATTTTTTACAAAGGCTTCCACGAAATAACTCAGGTCAGTGGCTTGATTGGACTTCATGCGTGGGTAGAGATTTGTTCCGAAGTTGTCCGAAGGTTTCGGGGCTTTCCATTCTAGATTCGATGTGAGTAGATCCCATGGGATATTGTGCGCTTGATGCGCCATGACGTTGTTCGATTGATAGTGGGGAAGAAGGGAAAAAATGGAAAAAGGTCAGATATTTATTTCTACTACCCTCCGACTCGGAGTTTACACTGATTGGCACGTTCATGGCCCCCAACTTGAAAGCAAAAGAAATTGTTGCGGCGATTTGACTCATGGCCCGATATTACTCCTCGTACTACTAATAGTACTAGTACTATTATATTTCAATTTCAAACAAGGATTATATCTAGTTTTAAGTTAAAATTACATCTTTATACATATTTTGAATACAAATATACCTTACCGTGAAATATAAGCGGGGCCAACCGCTCAGGTCCTAAAAAAAAGCTCAAAATCGGCGCAGTCTACTCAGGATTGCTTAGGGTTGCTTAGGGTCGCTCAGGGAGCATATTGAGCAGTGTTACCGTCACCTTTTTTACTACTAGAGCAAATTCTCGGACCGACCCGTACTTTGCCCCTTTACCGAAGCCTCCGCGGCTACCCTCTTTCCGCGTCATACTAGTGGTGTCTTTGGAGGGGCAATTGATTTGAAATTATCTCTTTCTCTGGGTGTGATAGTATTCGGGATGATGGTATAAAGTCTGGATCTGAGTCGTAGATGGAGATCCAAGGTTTGAAATGCTGGAGTGTCCATATTTGTGCTAGTACTGTAGTAATATATAACTACAAATGGCCGGTGGTCGAGTGTCAACCGTGGAATGGACGGGCCGTGGATATTGAATTCAAGATCTCCAGGGCTCTATAATTAATACCGAAGTACTCCGTACTACTCGTACTAGTAGTAACTCGTAGAAGAACTCTAACTACACGGAACTCAGGAACCAGCCTGCCCTGAGTGGTTTGTCATTGCTGACAAGAATCCCTTAATAAGCGGCCCGGCCTCATTTATCCGTAATGCCGTAATGCCCCAAATTAATTAGCGGCAACGGAAATACAACATCACCAGTTCTTTTTTTAGCGGCCCTGCCATGCTTAAAAAAACTGCGGAACTCCCCCGTCGATTTGTAACAATCCCGATCATTTTTAACAATTTTATTACCTACTAGTACTCTCAATCGCCTCCTTTATCATACTACTATTTAAAAACCCTTCCATCCGCTACTATGGCCACTCGTACTCTTCTTCGACCGGCTTCCACTCTCCACAGCATCTGCCGAACACTCGGATCCACCTCAAGACCGCAAACCACATTAATATCGGCCCAACCCCCGTCAATTGCACAGCTATCCCTTCGTCCATTTTCAACTTCTCTCCCCAAGAACTCTCCCGCCACCCCCGCCACCATGTCCACCGACGGCCTCCTGCAAGCGGTCCAGACCCGCCGCACTATCTACCAGCTCGGCAAGAACAGCCCCGTCCCTGACTCCAAGGTCGAGGAGCTCGTCAACCACGCCATTACCCACGTCCCCAGCTCCTTCAACACCCAGTCCACCCGCCTGGTCGTCCTGCTGCACGAGGAGCACGACCGCCTCTGGGACCTGGCCGCTGAGGCTTTCGCTCCCCTCGTCCAGTCTGGTGCTGTCCCCGAGGAGGTCTTCAAGAACCAGACTCTGCCTAAGCTGCAGGGCTTCAAGGCCGCTGCCGGTACCGTGAGTAAATCCCAACCAAAACTGAAAAGGAGAAAATGTCTAACCCATCAATCTAGATCCTCTTCTACGAGGACCCTGCTCACATCAAGGATTTCCAGGAGAAATTCGCTGCCTTCGCCGACAAGTTCGAGCCCTGGGCTGACCACTCCAACGCTATGCACCAGTACTTCCGTATGTTGATATCTCACCACCCCAAAATAATAACATAACAGTACTAACAGTGCGATTCAGTCTGGACTGCTCTTGAGTCCGTTGGTTTCGGCGCCAACCTGCAGCACTACAACCCCCTTCTTGACGCCTCTGTCGCTAAGCAGTGGAACCTGCCTACCGACTGGCGCCTGGTTGCCCAGCTCGTCTTCGGTAGCCCCGAGGGCCAGGCTGGCGAGAAGGTCCAGAAGCCCATTGAAGACCGCGTCAAGATCTTCGGCAAGCAGTAAATTTCGCCCAATGCTGTGCCTCACGCCCTCATGACTTTTTTTACTTTTTTTCAGCCCGGAAAAGGCTGTAATTGCAGATACACATAGATGCCGTCATTGATGTTCTAGAACCTGTCAATAGAATAGAATAACTACGTGTTTTGATATTAGATCTACAATAGCTCGAGCATATAAACACTTCGCCAAGCTTAAAGATGAATGGTTTTCCCCTTAACATAATGAGAATATCAGGCAGACCTAATGAAATGTACAAGATTTCCTTCAAAGATAAGCCTCTTCAACCCGCTTCTTTTCCCGCTCCAAAAACTCCGCAAATGTACTCAATTCAATATTCCATCCTTTCACCTTCTCAAAATCAACGAAAATAGCCATATCGCGTAAAAGCAACTGAGGTCCCAGGAAAGGATCCGTTGCCATCTTTCCCTTGACTTCCTCCTCAGACAAAAAGACCACCTCCATGTCTCGCCCAGTAGCCTGGGCAATGTCCTGAATGATGGCCTCTGCTCCCATCATTTGCGACGCGATCTCCACCTCCTTCCCATGAAACCGAATCGGATCGCATACTGCCGCAGCGGCAAATCTTCCGATATCATAAGGATCAACCATAGGGAGGATCGTCTCGGGAGTAAAGGCCGTTGTGAATTTTCCAGTTTCAACAAGACCCTGATACATTCGAACGAGGGGGGCTCAAGAAGTTTGACATAAAATTTCCCGGTCGTAGGATCGTCCAGTGCTCGAATCCTGCGTTGCGAATTTCCTTCTCGATGGATTGCTTGCTGAGAAGGACGTTGGCAGCAAGGTTTGTGGGATCCCAGAGGGGTAATCGTTCGGGATTGACGGTGCCCATTGCACCGGTGTAGATGATTTGTTTAATACCGATCTCTTTCGCGATGGATATGATGCTCTTTGCTTGGTCGAGTTCAGCCGATGGGTTTCGATGATTCGGGGATAGATTGAGAAAAATGCTGGTGCAGTTGGTCATGGCCTTTCGTAGGGTTTCTTCATTGTCAAAATCACCCTCAGTTAGAGATACGCGGTTTTTGATTTTTCGAGCAGCTTCCGATTGGATGTTGCGAGTGATGGCGTGGACTTGGATGTTTTGTTGTAGAAGGTGGGTGGTGAGGGCACCGCCTTGGGTGCCTGTTGCGCCACAAACGAAGACAATGGGAGAGGCCATGATGGACTAGCTTTGGAGGGATAATTGCTTTGATGATTTCTTTTTACAGGTAGGTAGTGACTTTCACGGCCAATTTATATTTTCTTTTACTGATGTTCAAATAATTCTCATACTGCGCAACTCCGCCGGGCTGGCCCACCCAGTCGCAGCTGAACCTCTCCGATTGGTGGCCCGTCACCACTTTCTTGCTTAGCGTGCGGAATTCCGCTCTAGGTCTCTGGCCTCATTCATGTTCTTCCTCTATTCCACTTCCTGGCGATAATCATCGGTTCTGATAGGCTAAGATGGCTCATCAAGACCCAGCTCCACCTCGACGAAAGTCTTGTGAGGCATGCAAGACGGCTAAACGGCGTTGTGACCTCGCCTTTCCCGCTTGTTCGCGATGTATCAGCAGAAATTCGCCCTGCGTTTACCCTGGTAGACTACCTGCAGCCTACCAAGATCTCGTGGATGAATCACCTCCAACCAGACCCATGAATGCCGTGGATCACATGTGGCTCACCACCGCCATGGCACATCCTTCACCAATTCACAACGGCTTGTGTGCTGAGTCGATTTTAGACTCTGCGCCGGAGCCACGAGAGCCTCAGCTAGATTGGAGTCAATACGTTTCCGATGAGCTTTCAACCACACCATGTTTTGAAGGCCCCTTATCTCCCACAAACTTTGCCGTTGCTCTTCCGCGAACGCGATCCTTAAGACCACTTTCGGTTATAGTGGCGTCGCATCTGCAATTCGCCATAGACGTTCTTAAAACCACGCCTCAAATGATGGTAATAGAGAATCGAACACCATGGTGTCATCCACAATTGTATAAAAGCCATATGCCACAGGTCATGCAAGGTATGGAATTTCCGATATCCCCTTCAAGTTTATTAGTGAGTGCCCTTTTAAACTGCCAGTGCTAAGACATATCAATATAGATGCTTACGCATGTTGCTCTCTATACATGTGCAAAAACGACATAAACGCCCCAGTAATAATGAACCTCTTTGACGCACGCACAAGAGAACTCCTCTCAGCACCCGAACCAACCGAGGCCCTTGACATCCTCGCTCGCACCCAAGCACTAATCCTCTACCAAATAATGCGACTCTTCGATGGAGACATCCGCTCTCACGCCACAGCCGATGCCCTATTCACAACACTCGAGTCATCAGTCCTCACATTAATGGCGATAGTGCCAACCCCAAAACCCTACGACCCGACCGAACTTCTCCCGCTAGCAATGGAAGACGCTGCGACTTTCTGGGAAGGGTGGGTTTTGCAAGAGTCGGCACGGCGCACAGTGCTGTTTACATATTACTTTATTCAAATCTTCAAAGTCCTTCAAGGAAGAGTACCGGTGTCGTGTGATGGCAAGCTGGGCCTTGAGCATTCCTGGTATCTTTCGGGTGACTTGTGGAATGCTTCCAATGCTTTTGATTTCGCGGTCGCTTGGACGGAAAAACAGCACCATATTGTTTACAATCTTGATTTCGAGCCGGTGTTGCAAAATGCACAACCGGGTGAGGTCGATTTGTTTGGGAGGATGCTATTGGTGACGGCTTTGGGGATTGATAAGGCTAAGGCTTGGTTCTATATCCGAGGCGCTATATTATAAAGTTCTATCATTATGGATGACCTCGACATAGTGGAAACATCAATAAGATTATCTGTTGAAATGACACATTTACGATTGAAAGTAAAAGAATGCCCAGAAGTATCGGTCTTCCCTCTCTTCCCGTCTCTTTTTTGTAAATGACTCATCTGCGCTGGGAAAATGGCGGGGTTTCAAAGTTTCCAGTTGGCCACAGCCTCGTGTCATGATGCAGGCGGGGAGAAAGGGGCTGAAACTGGTGGAAGTGCAAGGCTGCAGAATGCCGATCTGACCAGGCAGCTTTAGGCAGCGAGACGCTTGGAATCGAACCCAATAGCGAAGCCCGGATGCTTAAAGCAGGCGAAGAAAAAATTGATGTAAGTATAAATTCGATGGGAAATCCTTAAAACTGTTATTATTCAGGAATACGAGTAATTCTCCGAGTCATACACGCGGGAAACTTGGACGACTTCAAGTCCTCACCGCATTCAACATGGACCCTTATTTATCCCGAACGCTTCAATCACTCACTCGAAGTAAAATCCATGAGCTTGAGAAACAACGAGATGCATATGAGCTGCGAAAAGTTGAGGCTCTCACGGGTGCGGACAAGTGTCCCACTTTGCGTGAGCGCGTCGAACATCTCCTAGTCAGTACCAGGAAGCTGCTTCCAGTTTTGAACCGCGACGCGGAAATTTTGAACATCGAACACTGGGTTGATCAGGCACGCTTTGACTCTTCGATCCCAACCCAGAAGCTTGAAGGTTTCGAAAAATACTTGCGCAATAAGTTGGAGCCTCATAGTCGCAAGCTTCAACTCGCCGATTTGTATTCGCGTCTTCTGACAGAGTGGATGAACCCACCATCTGCAGAAAAGGAGAACCCGGAGACCGCCTCTGGTGAGACTGATGACTTTTTGGTGGTGGAGGAAAGACAAAAGCAGAGGTTGCAGCAGCTCTGTGACCAGTTTGAGGACATGGTCTTCAAATCCCACGAGACGGATCCTAGCGAAATTGAAGCCTTTCTGGACGCTCTCTTTCCCGACGAGGAGCAAAAGCAATTGTTGGAAAATTTCCGCGATAAAGTGAGTAGAACCACGGAATCTATTTGGGAGCGAGAAGATCCCTTCACTGTCGACTCCTTATCAGCATGCATTCGTGGCATTCAATGTGAGGAAATTGTCACCGACGAAAAACAAGAAACATTGAAGCATTTTGTCAACAATAAAGTAGCTCTCAGTGAGATTGCTGATGTTCTCAATATGCGATATGCCGACCTAGACAATTGGGATTGGCATGCAGGTGAAGAGGGTGTACCTGTCTTACCTCGCCAACAATTGAACGGCAAATATCGAATCTGGATGGATGATGATATCCTAGAAACGATCTTCGTTGAGCATATCTGTATTAAACTGTGCAAGGATTTGAAATCGTCTTTGACTGGTCTCATCAGCGACAAAAGAATGTTCAACTTCGTGCAAGGACATAAAATGACCAAAAACGACAAAATCCGCCGAAGATACTACGCCAAATATGAAGCCAGTGGATCCACGGCACAAAAACGGCGAGAAGACTATTTCGAAAGTTTCTTCCTAGCAGCAATGCCAGAAGGAGAGGACACCTTAGGCAATCGCTTTGGTGGATATGACGACGACCCCGAGACGCACGAAAGTTCTGCACCGAAGAGTGTGAAACAGAAATTGCTTCGAAAGATAGTGACAGAAACTTTGCTGGAACGTCATTTGAATGGAGAAGCAGCTGTCATTCAGACAGACTTGCAATGGTATGCGACCTCGATTCCACACAGCACGGTTTACGCCTTTCTGGCTTACACCGGGTTTTCCGATCGATGGATCAACTTTTTCCGCAAATATCTCGAGACTCCACTCAATATGGATCAGTCTTTCGAGGGACATGAAAAGCTTGGGCCACGAAAACGCAGAAGGGGAATTCCGATTGCACATGCTTCAGAGAAGCTTATTGGAGAACTTATCCTCTTTTTTATGGACCTTGCCGTCAACAAGGGAACTGGGATGCTGTTGTACCGGCTTCATGACGATATTTGGCTCTCAGGAGAGCCAGAGAAGTGTGTGAAGGCGTGGGATATCATGCAGAACTTTGCTAAGATCGCTGGACTCGAATTCAACAGGCACAAGTCAGGATCTGCGTATCTGGGCGATTCCATGAGAAGCGAAGTCATCCCCCGTCTACCAGAAGGTCCCGTAAGGATTGGCTTCCTGATGCTGGATACATCATCCGGTGAATGGGTAATTGATCATTCCCAAGTTGATGCGCATGTCCGCCAACTCAAAACCCAGCTCGATCAGTGCAATAGCATCATTTCCTGGATTCGTACTTGGAATAGCTGTATTGGTCGGTTTTTCAAAAACACATTTGGAGAGCCGGCATACTGCTTCGGACGGCCACATATTGATGCTATTCTCAGTACATATGAGCAAATGCACAAGATCATTTTCGAAACAGCCGAGAATCCAACGCAATGCACAGTCGCTGGCTTCCTAAGGCAAAAGATCGAATCTCGTTTTGGCACAGCCGATGTTCCGGATGCATTTTTCTATCTTCCCGAAAAGCTAGGAGGTCTTGGTCTTCGAAATCCATTCATTTCAATTTCTCTCATCCGAAAAAAGCTCAACAAGACCCCAATGGAGCTGGTGGATGAGTACTTGAGCGAGGAACTTTCCCACTATGAAAGTGCGAAGAGGAACTTTGAGAAGACTACCCGGAAAGATCGCCGTGCTCTCTTGGAGCAATTGCAGCCCGATCGCGCATTCGAAAACCTCAACATTATTTCCACAGAGGAGATGGATCAATTTATGACGGTTGATGAATGGAACAAATTGCGCGAAGAGGAAAGCTACTATTATACATTGCTATATGAAGAGCTCATGAATGTTCCTACCTGTGCCGGTCCTCGTACTACTGCTGTGGTTAACGATGCTATATCTGATGCTCGTGAAGATTTCGACCTTGGAAGACTGGGGATAGAGACGAAATGGATTCTTGGTCTATATGCAGAGGAGCTGATGAGAGATTTCGGAGGATTGAATTTGGTGGATAAGCAATATTTGCCTATGGGTGTATTGGACATGATCAAGGGCAAGAAAGTTAGATGGCAGATGGTTTTGTAATTTAGAGTTCCAGGAGATTGCTTTTGTGAATTTATCTCTATTCTGAGTCTGATTTCTTCTTGAAAGGATGAAATGAAATAGTGCAATCTAAAAACTTTATTTCATCAAGATCCGCTCGACGTTCTCCTTTCCCCCACTCCCCCATTGATCCCAGGCGAGGGTGAATGAAAAAGTGTCTCTCCACAGGTCATTCGAATCAGTCCCAGCTGGTGGCTCCTTCCCGTTTCCAATTTTGCCTTTCTCCTTGCCTCCAATAAATCGCATATGCCAAGGCGTCAATCCTATTTTTTCAAACCCCATCTTCTCTGCTAATTTAGCACTGGCAGGGTTTGCCGTACTAGCTTGCCAATGAATTCGGCGAAGACCCAAGCCACCTTTTTCTGGCGTCTCAAAAGCATAATTTAATGCAAGACCGACAGTGTTTGTTCCAACATGGCTGCGCTGGTATGGTGGCAGAATAACGATGAATCCAATCTCGGTACAGAGGTGAACAGGCGACGTCCGAATAAAAGACACGGTACCAGCGAGTTCACCTTCAGGGTCCTCTGGTGACGCGGGGCGTGTTTTATCAATGACCGCAAACGCAAAGGACTCAGGATTGGAAAATGATAAGATGTGGCTGGTCGATCGGTCCAGAAACTCTGCCTTAAGTTCGGCCAAAGACTTAAACGGTCCAGTGGGCATATGTGCATATAGCTCTGGATGCGACACAGAAAGGCGAAAGAAGGTGTCTAGGTGACGATCGAGATCGAGAGGGGTAAGTTTAACACGATCATTAGAAACGGCATGGACCGGGAAATGGAACCGGGAAGAGGAGGCCATCTCGACATTCGATCTTGATGAGCAGGGAAATGAATCTCAATCACCAAATGTTATGGGAGAAAAAGGACTTGCTAGCCAGGTTCTGTCGTCATCCAAATAACGAACAAAAATTTTGCTTGGAGAAACTCGTATATCTTAGAAGGCTCGATGAGTCATTCTGTAACGAACTGGTGTTGTTACCATTCGTGGATGCCTTATGCCTACGGCACCACTCTAGGTATCCACGCCATACACCTGTGTATCTAGCCTTCTATCCTAGCTTCCTTCTTATTCTCCTCAAGCTATTACTTTCGTCGAACCGCTACTGCTTCCTTTGCTTCGTATGCTACGCCGTACGTTGATCTCTGTGAGTATCTGAGCATCCTCACACATTCACCCAGGTGAGTTTTGGTCAACATCAGCCCTAGAAACGAAGATGACATCGTCAAATAAGCAAACATGGCAGGAGATTCATCACATTCGACCAGCAGATAGCAAGATATTTTTGTATGCTTGTCCACCCAGACTATTAGATGTGCAAGAGGACGGCAAATGAGTCTGGTAAAACAGGTTAATGGTTTTGCGATAATATTGTCCTGAAGATAATAAGTGCAATTAGTAAATCCAGAAAAAAGCACAATTCGCCCACCAATCCCAATTCCCTCCAAGATACAGCAAAAATAGCCAAAAAAAAATTGACCGACGCAGGGGTCGAACCTGCAATCTCTTGATTCGTAGTCAAGCGCCTTGCCATTGGGCCAGCCGGCCTGGGATGAGCTGATCAGCAAAACTCTCGCTATGAGTGGGGCTATAAGTGTAGGGACTGCGGGTACAAACCTACTCCATCTGCAGAATAGGAAAATCGCAATAAAATAAAGACTCTACTAGATATAACCATTTAGTGGTTCACCCCCCCAGCCCTCTTGAAAGGGACAGCGGCAGGCTTTCGGCGAATCTAATTGACTCGGTCAAGAGACTCGGTCTATGTATCGGGGAAGCAAGCTTTTTAATAACCTAGACGGTATTCATAATGGCACTATGCATACCAGCTAATTCCAAAAAGAGACAAAAGCAAAGGGGGTTTCGAGGATTATGAAGCTTAAGTCTAAAGGTATATGATCAGATTTCTCAATATGGCAACACGCCCTTCACCCGATTTAGTTGCCCCATCAGAATACCTGGTATACTCATAAAACCGCTAATGAATGACAAGAAGGTACCCATATTTGAATCTTATTTCATGTACAAAACCTGTCTAATATTCAATGTTGGTCGTTTCAAAATAGTTGTAGAATTGAGAATAGCAATATGGACTATCATTCCTGATGATTCCTGCTAATTTCCGGGCAGCAGCATAGTCTCCGCTCTAAGTCCGACTAAATCCGATCGCAACCAGCACGCAGATAATGTCCCAATTATAAGAGAGTAGAAAGTTTCTGGTCGCAAAATCATTCTTCTATCCAACTGCAAAGCTGCAAACTCGGGCCATAAGCATAATTTCTAAAATCTTCTCGAAATGTCCTCGACAAAGAGTCAACTGAATGCACAACACTGTCGCGACTTTGTTTCGACTCTTCATACCACGCCTTACGATGCCATTGATCCCGCAGAGGTAAATTTGCCATCTCCCTTTATTGTATGCATTATTGGAGGTAGAGGTGCAGCTGGAGGGGGATTGGCACGGGCATATGCTCGAGCGGGCGCATCAGGTCTAATTCTTGCTGCCAGGACTCGCACCGCCCTCGAGGAAACAGCGAAAGAGGTTCGCTCAATAAGCCCAAGTTCAAAGGTAATCGTTTCTGAATGCGATATCACATCAGAGAGCGATGTCATGTCTCTAGCAGAGACCGTCAAGTCCGAGTTCAACGGCCGCCTAGACGTGGTTATTGTGAACTCTGGCTACTCGGGCCCGATGATTACAGATGTTGTGCAGGAATCTCCGGAAGACTACCGTAATGCCTTTGATGTGAACACTATTGGCGTTTTCTATGCCGCTCACCACCTTCTGCCGTTGCTGGTTGCGACAAATTCTGCAGCTATGAGCTTTATCGCGATCAGTTCGATGGCGGCACCTACAGTGTCGGGTCCTTTTGCGCATGCTCACTACTGTGTAAGCAAGGCAGCGCAGGCTCGACTCATCGAGATGATAAACGAACAATACTCTGCCAAAGGAATTTTCTGTTCTAGTGTGCATCCTGGTGGTCTGCGCAGTGACTTTTCGAAGGGTGCGCCGGATTGGCTCTTCAAACGTGAGATATGAATTTATCATTACCCTTCAAATTTAGCGCATGTTTGCTGACTGTCACCAATTATGCAGTTCTTGTTGATAGCCCGGATCTGGTCGGTGCTTTCTGCCTTTGGCTATCATCACCCATAAATTCCGAGAGACGACGGCGGGCCTTGAATGGCCGATTCCTTTCCTGCAAGTGGGATGTCTCGGAGCTAGAAGCAAGGTTTGATGAGATTCTAGAGAAAGACTTGCTCAGATTCCGTCTTGTCGTGGAATAGAGTCTGAGGTATAATTACACATTCAATAGGTAATATTATCGGTATTTTGTTGTCCTTCTTTTATGAAATGCAGAACAAAAAAGAAATTAATTTAAATGAAACAAATTCAAACACCATTCAAGTCCTTAAGGTCATGCCTCATAGCTAGGCCGCTATTGATTTTCTATCATACTCCAATCTGAGCAAGTACCTCAGGCGAGCTCCAGAAAGCACATCTTTTCGCGAGACGCTCAGAGGTATCACCACTACCATCGATGGTAACCATCTTGCCTCCATCGGGACCTCCGATGATCCTCACTGTGGGGCTCGAATGAGTCAAAGCATCAGACCAGCCAGATAACGTTCCATTTCTGTGTGATGGATCCCCGGAGACAGCAAACGATGCCCAGCTAGCACTCATCTTTGACGAGATCTCGACGTCAATCGGAGTCGCAAGGAATGAATACCTCGTCTTGGCCTGATTGAAAACATAAGGAATGTCACTGAAGTGTGAAACACCGAGGTATGATGTCTGCTGCTGTTCGTATAACGGGGCGAACATAGTCTGGTTCAGGATATAGAGATAGTTGGAAGTGCACGGCTTGGAGTACTTTTTGTTCATTTGCACCAAATGAATGCTCGGGCAAGTAAACCCATAGTCACGGGACATTTGGCTTGCACGGAAATATTGGGCCGAGATATTCTCACTCGGCATGTCTGAGAACAATGAAGATGGGTAAAGAGCAAGAGCACGTTGCATATTTTCCTCAGAGAGATCTGGCATTGACGAGGAAAGGTATTTGATGGCATCCGATTCAGTCTTGATGGTTGATGGCGTAAAAAACGACTGATCATCTTCGGTCCAGCCAGTTATAACGTCAATATCATGCGCAAAGCGACCAGAAGACAGAAGCTTTGAGGGACTATCAGGGATAAAATCGGAGGGTGCGGTAGGCACAAAGATGTCGAAGCTCATCGAACCCTCAAAGCTGAATTCGTAGTCCAGCGCAGCGGGAAGTAGCTTTTTGAGAGGGATCTTCCGCAAGCAAGCAAGCTCATCAATGCCGACTGAAGAGCTACAGTTGACTTTCTTGATGAACTCGGTAGTGCGGATAACAGTTTTGTTGGTCGCAGTACCTTGATCAGCCGCAGCACTGCCGGACTGCATAATCGCTCGTTGAAAAGGAGCCTTCTCCTTCCCTCCATATGCCGTGATCTGGAGGCCAACACCAGTAGCACCATCACTTTCTCCAAATATTGTCACGTTGTCGGGATCTCCCCCCGAAGGCAGCGATATGTTCCTGTACCCACTCCAATGCAAGTCGCTGATCGCGAAGTCCTGCATTCAAAGAACGGGATTCGTTGAGAGCCTGGGTAGCAGCAAACCCAAAGATACCCACACGGTAATTCATTGCAACATAGATAACTGGGTATCCTTTCTGCTCCGCTCCATTGATCAAAGAAGTTGGATCATATGCTGTGTCGTAAATCTGACCAATGGAATCCCCACCTCCGTAAATGAAAGCCATGACAGGGAGCTTGTCTTGATTGGATTTCCGTATGGGTCGATCGACGCGCAATGTAAGACAGTCCTCGGATATATGCGTGACATTATCAAAAACTTCCAGTCCCGGTATTGGGACTTTCTGCTGTGGGCATGCGGCACCTGGGAGGGATGCATTTACCACCGACCCTGAAGGGTAGCTGAAAGGTTTGGGGGCGGCAAAGCGGTTGTTGCCTGATGTATCTTCGGCAAAGCGAATGTTCATGAATGATTCGACATTGTTAGCCGATGTTCCTTCGAATTGGACATTGTTTGAGCCTCCAAGGACGACTGTAGGGTGCAGCTTGCGGAGAGGACTTGCAGAGCCGCAAGTTGATAAAGTCAAGAAGGCGAGAAGCCCAAGCGTCGTAGAGTATGTCATGCTTCGGGATTTGGAAAAGAGGACTCGGAGAGATCTAGTATTGAGGTTTCGTATAGATGAGATGGATAGATTTTGGAATTATATGGACATTTCGACAGTATTTATACCTGGTAGGACTGAGAAAAACAATAGGAAGAAATCAAGGCCAACTTCAGACTTGCAAACACGAGCGGCGCCCCATATCGAAGGTGGTCCAATCAGCGCGAGAGCCCCAACCGAATTCAGAAACCATCGCGGTCTGACAGAGGCGCAGAGGGCTGAGAGCCCCACTCTGCTAAGCATCTTGGGTAAGCATCTTGCATGCCGCTTCGGGAAATTGGCCTTGAGATATTAAAGTTTCATCAGCCTAAATAATCTGGGGGCCAAAACTAACAGCATTCTAAACTCAAATAGTAGCTGTGGTGGTTATTCTTAGCCAACGACTTCAATGATTAGGCGCCCCATGACAAACCACAGAAACATCTTGGATGGGGCATAGTATACTATAAGGCGAGCCCACTGGTAGTAGATTTCATATCAGAGACGACGCATCGGACCGGGACGGATATAAGTGTAATACTGTCACCCTTGCTTTATGTGGAGTGGAATTTTAACAGGGTACCGACCTGAGTACTATGCAGATGCTATATTTACTCTGCAGACTCATGCATAGGGCTCTTCCAAGGCAGAGCTTGGTACTAACCCTGGAGTATTCGGTGAGATGGAGACCGAGATGGAGCTTAACAGACCCTGTTAGTCCATGGGTCTAGTCATATCTACTAGTATTATATCAAATTCACAGAGTTCAAATTGTATACAACCCCAGCACCTAGTTTATAGTTAACGTAATTCCCGCATGACCTGGCCACCCGCTTGACCTGGCCACCCCATCCAAAGTCGCGTCTTCCTTCCTACCAACCTAATTCAATCCCTTACCATGCCACCAATTCGCTCTGAATCTTCGCAGAATTCAGCCAATCAAGAGGGCAGGATCTTATTAGCCCTTGGTGATCTTCAAAATGGCCGAATCAAATCTATTCGCGCAGCGGCTAGTCTATACGCAGTGCCACGTTCAACTCTGCAAACGCGCGCCCATGGCCAAATTGCACGCGTCGATATACGTCCGAATCGCTGTAAATTAACTGAATTAGAAGAGGATTCGCTTGTTAAATGGATAATCTCTATGGATACGCGTGGAGCAGCGCCTAGGCCTGCTACTGTAGGAGAAATGGCTAATATCCTTCTTGCTGCGCGCGGAACCAACCCTTCGCCTACAGTAGGCAAGAATTGGCCATCAAAGTTTATTAATCGGCGCGAAGAGATTCGCTCACGCTTTTCGAAACGCTACGACTACCGACGCGCACTAAACGAAGACCCGAAATCGCTACGAGAGTGGTTTACAACCGTACAACGCGTTATCGATGAGAACGGTATCCAACCGGAGGATATCTACAACTTTGATGAGACTGGATTTGCGATGGGCCTTATATCGTCGCAAAAGGTGGTTACTCGAGCGGAATACTACGGTCGGCGATCTATCCTACAGCCAGGAAATCGCCAATGGGTTACTGCTATCGAGGCAATCTGCGCAGATGGCTATTCGCTGCCGCCATGTGTGATCTTTAAGGGCAAGGTTGCTATTGCGGGTTGGTTTGATAACCTACCAAAAGATTGGCGGTTTGAGGTCTCGAATAACGGCTGGACTACCGATGAGATTGGCCTACGTTGGCTATAAAAGCTATTTATCCCATCAACGAATTCGCGCGTACGCGGCCGGTTTCGGCTATTGATTCTTGACGGCCATGGGAGCCACCTTACGCCCCAATTCGATCGAATTTGCAAAGAGAACGATATTATTCCTCTTTGTATGCCTGCACACTCTTTACATTTACTACAACCGCTTGATGTTGGGTGCTTTGCAGTACTTAAGCGTGCGTACGGTCGCTTTATTAGCGATCTTGCGCGGAGAGGATATAACCATATTGACAAGTTTGATTTCTTGGATGACTACCAACGTGCGCGGCTAGAGGCCTTCCAACAGCCAGCTATTATTCAGAATAGCTTCGCAGCTAGTGGCCTAGTACCAGTTGATGCAGAAAGAGTGCTTTCGAAGCTTAATATCTCTCTACGAACGCCTACACCAGTAAACAGCCGGCCAAGCAGCAGATCTAGCCAATTTACGCCAAAGACACCCAGAACCGTGATTCAGCTACAGAAGCAAGCTTTGATGCTTAAAGATCTGCTAAAGCAGCGGTCAAATAGCCCTCCGAGCCCATCAAAAACTATACTAGATCAAATCATCAAGGGCCACTGCATAGCGCTACACAACACTGCGCTACTAGCACAAGATAACGCGAATCTACGTGCAGCGAATGAGAAGGTAGTAAAGAAGCGTACTCGGTCGACTAAGCAGATACCCTGCGAAGAGGGTTTGACCGTCGAAGAGGGCCTACAGGCAGCTGCGCAGCTAGATTTACCAGCAGAAGCACCTGCAGTAGACTCCCATACGCAGGGCGAATTGCCTATTCAGGCGGAACGGCCGGCTACTAGGGCTCCGGCGAGGTGTAGTGGGTGCAGAGAAATTGGCCATAGGATTAATACATGTAAAAATCGCTATATTTAGTTGAATTAATAGGTGCTAGTTGAGCAAATTAATTTTGAATCTTTCTAACAGTGGTAGGTGGCCAGGTCAAGCGGGTGGCCAGGTCATGCGGGAATTACGTTAGTTAAGTATAGTTAGTCATCCTCAGGCAGAGCCACTTACCGCCACCCGGTCCCTCACCGCCCTGCGCCACACTGACGTCAGGCTAGCATCCCAGTTCACGACCAAGTTCCCGTTCCAGTTCAGTTGCCCCAAGAAAGCTTGGATTCGATCATGTCAATGCCCAGCACTCTTATGCTTGGTCTTGGTCTCGCTCCTGCTCCTCTCCATCCCCACAATTTCCCCTGACATGCGTCATGAGCTGATTGCGCCTCAACACTGCCTGCTTTCCCGACAATGCCCTCTTTCTCCTACAAACAAAAACCAACACCCACACCAACACTCATAGACATCCTACCAGCAAAGGCCCCCCCTTTCGCACCTCTGAGATATAAACCTTTGCTATGCGTCCACCGACACGGGGCTGCGTGTCCCTTTTGTCGGCTACACGGGGCTCCCTATCATGGCGAGGCATGGCGGCACGACCTCTGCCCGGTACAACTGGGTTAATTAACCTTCACTATGGTCACCAGAGAACTTCGCTCAGTCAATTACATACTCTCTCTCGGAGGAGAGCTACCAGTGATACACTTTCGACGCAACTCCGATCGGATCAAGCTGGATTGAGTGTTTCTCTACTTGCTGGGTGTCAACAAGCTCGGTACTTTAAAAAGGCAAACTATGTGGAAAAGATCGGTGACAATGAAAGAACGGAGGAGCTCTTGGAAACCTTGGAGGAGAAGCATAATGAAAGAAAGGCCGGTTCATCGCGGCACGTTCTAGACAAGGATGGGAAGAGGCCTTCGACAGAAGGCCAGAACAAGAAATGGTCAGAGGATATGACGAAAGGTGAGCCGATGATGGAGTCGCGAAAGTCCTCGCTAATCATAGCTAACACGAATAGGGAAACTGTTGACAACACCATCCCGGCTATTCAAGCTTATCATCCCTTTGACAACGGTCGACAGCCGCGATGGCGATAAAGGTATTGCTGGCATCCACAAACGGCGCCTTGGTATACAATTCTAACAACCAACAGGCATCGAACCCATAGCTATCCTTGTCCACCCCAGCAACCATTGTCATACCTCGAGCGCTTGATCCAGTCCGAAGTCCCTCCCATCGAGGGAAAGCTCGAAAAACTCCGCCCACCAGCCATATCCTTTATTGCTCTCCAGCACGAAGACAACGCGATCAAACCAAGAAAGAAGATCGACGAGCTTGAAACCGACAAGACTCAGCGTGTAGCAGTGGAAAAGCAATACAGCAATGACACGCCCGTCCAACGTCGACGCTCCCGAGAGGAAGATGCCGAGATATACAGCTACCCGCGCAAGACAGATAGCAGCTTGGACCCGCTAGACGGCGCGCCAGAACGGTTTGTCCGGTGGTCGCAAGCGACGGAAATTGGGGATTTTGTTCGTGACGCTGCGCGGGCGGGCGAGTTCATCGTTACCATCGAGGGGGCACCAGTGGGCCTGGGTCAGATCCGAGTAACGGTGCCATCTTTCAATGAGCGCACGTACTTTCTCCGACTGCGAATGCGTAAGCTCTCACGACGGATCCAAAGCATTGCTGAAATCAAGACCAAATGTGACGAGCTTGCGCATCGCGGGGCCCAAAGAGTTGCCATTGGTGGTTTTGGAATCCTCTCGGTCTGGTGGTATAGTGTCTACAAATTGACTTTCGAGACGGATCTAGGATGGGACACCATGGAGCCAGTGACATACTTGGTCAGTTTGTCAACATTGATGGGAGGTTACTTGTGGTTTTTATATCACAACCGTGAGATATCGTACAAATCCGCGCTGGACTTTACAGTCAGTACGCGCCAGCGAAAGCTATATCAGCAGCATAGCGTCGATCTTCAGCTTTGGGAGTCCTTGATTGATGAGGGCAAGGCGCTCAGGAGAGAGATCAAGAGCATTGCTGCCGAGTATGATGCGGAGTGGAATGAGCGATCTGACGAACAAGATGAGCGGGTCACAGAGGTGCTGCGGTCGAATCGCGGCGAGAAGGATGGGAAAAATAGGAACAAAGATGATAAAGATAGCGAGGACGATGATTGAATTAGGATTCATTAGATCTGCATTCTGGAAATTGGCTTTCTACCATATACATTACTTGCATTACTCTCCTCTGTTGTACCCGGTCATAACCATCGATCATCTCGGGCCACTATGAACAATACACAAAGCAGATTCGGAAAACATTGAGCATTACAATCTAAAGTGTCCCATTTCGCACTGGGTCGTAGTACCCTTTCTTCGGCGAGGCAGCTTCTTCGTTCTGCTTTGCTTTTTTTGGATCTGCTCGCAACCCAAGAGAATTAGCGTCTTTCCCAAATTCCTGTCAAAATCCCTCCAAAGGGAACCGCTGCATGTCTTACCAATCTCTGCGCCAGAACTAGTCTCCCCCCTTCCGCCGATTCCGATTATTTCTAACATCTCTGGACCGAAAAACGCTATACAGCAACCAACCCGAAACCCAATTCGGCCCATATTCGCCATTCGTTCCACCACGATCGAAGAGCGGGCGTGTGAGAGGAGCTGCGTTGCGCCAGATTTCCGTTATCGCCCAGCGCTGTCTATCTGGTCGAATATGGTGCCAAAAGAAAGGAGGTCGCGTGGTGGGGTCGGTACGCACACTATCAAGGAGATGCGAAGTATCCTGATGCATGCGATTATAAACTATGATTGCCTCATCCTGCTGGGTGTTAGCGATGTATTTGGAATAGTTTTGTAAAATGTCAAACTTTTGTGTTTGGTGGAAGTGTACTTACTCGCATGGCTCGGTAATACTGTTCATGTTGTGCATCCTGTGGGTTCAGACCTAGCGCTAGCATAAATTCTTCCTTGGAGACTCGAGGGCCAACAGGTGACATGATGGCTGTATAAGTGGCAAATGATCAGGTACGTATTGGCTAGGACTAATGCGTGTTGAAAATGCTGTGTGTCGTACTCTAGTGCCAAGTATATGTGTGCGGAACACCGTAGTTGATGGTAGAAAAGGGCGAGGAGGCCAAGTGGGAATCTGTGAGAGTGGAAATACAACTGAATACAGGAGGTTTCATGAATTCTCGGGATCTTTATAGCATGTTCCAGAAGTGAATAACCTCAAATAAAAGAATAGCGCAGAAGCAACTCCCTCAGCGGCAATTGACCCGAGCAAGTACAAGATTTCCGTTGAGCGAACGCAATCGGGTCTCTTTTGTGACGGGACAGGACAGAGCAAGCGAACGGACGAGGGGATGGACAATCAAACAGGAAAGCAATGCGCAAACTAAGTGGGTAGGCGAGGAGACGAGATCTAACAGGCGTAGATGCACATGCAGAGAGGGTCCGCGAGTGAGATGTCGAGGGTAGGGTGAGGCAAAAACGGGAAGCTATTACCCAACGGTTTTGTTGGCAGGGCAGGGCAAGGCAGGGCAGGGCAGGGCAGAGCAGGGCTAGTGTCCATGTGTCTCCGAGACACGCGGACGGGATTTACTCGACTGGTGATTTGACATCTATCATAATGTGTAAGAACTAGTCAGACGAGAATAGATCGAGTTCACAGACAAGGGCTAGGGGGTGATGCTGAACAGAATAAAAAAGCTTCATCTTGAACACCTGATCTTGCTAGTTCTCTTGTATCCGTTGGGAGTTCTAATTTGTATAATTCAGGTTGCTGTAGTTCAATGCGTCTACAGGATTTGCCTGCATCGTGGTGCGGCTGGGGTTGTACAATGCGCCTGTTCACCCATCTCAATTCTCCCGGAACTCGCATTATGTCTACTTCAAACTTGTCTAATAATGAATATACTTGACTACAACTGTGGCCATGAACTTGAAGTAAGCAATTCCTCGGTTTGACTAGTCCCCTCCCGAAGTGCTGTCCGAACGGTTAAGGTCCGGGCCGTGTGTATATTTCCTCACTTCGATAGAAAGCCACGAGACAAACGGGTAATATGGTTAGTAACAAACAGACAGGTGCTGCGGTTGCACACCCTGTCCCGATTCAAGTTTTCCATGGACAGCCATCTCGCATCAACTACAAACACCATAAGACACGAAGTTGGGATCGAGGGACTGAGCGTAGCTTAGTCAACTGCTCGAGGGAAATTCTGATATCGAGTCCACCATCCGAGACAAAAAAAGAGGGGATTTATATGCAGTGTATGCATCGAGGCGTTCGACCTCGGATTGAATATCTGGTAGAGTCGATACAGGGGATGCAGCAAGGCCTCAAGGAGGTGGGTGTTGACCAGTTTTCAGGTAGTATGTGAGTATCCGTAGACGGCTCGGGTCAGGCTTATAATAAATGTATAACACTCAATAACAAGCCCGAGAAGGCTACCTAGACAAGCCGTGAGACTCTTCTTCCTCGAAATATCCGCATGCAATAGTATCGATTGAGTATAACGCCAGACTAAAGAGCGATCATCTGAAGCACGATCTCATTTCTGAACTCTTCCCGGCGCCCGCCAGCTGTCGCAAAAATCTCAAAATCCATCTGTCTATCTGTACCAGGCCGCGGCTCAGGGAGAAGGAAAAAGATTCGTTGGCCATGCCGTGTGACGCACCAGGCCGTTTCCCGGGCTCATGCGCAATATTTTAATCTTGCGATAAGAAAAACGGCCAGCCTACTTGCATCTGCATCGGAAAGATATCCGTGCTGACTCCCGTGAAGCGTGCATGCAGTCTGGGGAATGCAAGTCCTTTGCCTGTGTAATGTGTACACATTGGGTCCGGGGGTGGTGTTCGGACTGCTTGGGTTGAAGAGGTAACAAAACATAGATGACTCGAGTATCAATTCACTGGGTTACTCGTATTCACTAGATATCAACGAACATGAAATTAGAAGTTTATTTCTCTAGATGACTCGATCCATCATATATTCCTCGCTACAAGAGAAAATATCAGACCATGATGGATCTAAGAATCAAGGAAGCCGGAGGGCAGTGTCTCCGGAGCTGAAGACAAAAATACGATATGAAAATATTTGGTCAGCTTTTCTATATGAAATCTAGAGAATGGAAAGCTGGGATGTCGGTGGGTTGTAAAGGAAGACGAGGGAGTACAATCATCGTGGGCGGGTAACGCAGGGATGAGGACTCCCATCGGAACTTTTCGCATCGCCATTCACAGAAGATAAAGGGTCTGGGAAAGATACGTCGCGTGTCTCCGTTTTTAGCTCTGCACGCATCCGTTCCTGCAAATTTTTGACAGCGATATCCTAGCCTCAAACCCGACGGAACTATATTTCTTCGAAACGGCGATCGCCGACAATAACAACAACCCTTACTACTACCGACCTCAAATATGAAAGGAACAATAATTGAAGCCCTCTAAAGCTTGGTTGATGGAAGACATCAACGTCGCACGGCCCTCCATCACACCAAGCCCAAACATGCAGGTTCCCGATATCCCCATTTTGAAAGCTCCCATTCCTGCATGCAACTGCGGCTGCAGGCGTGGTGGGATATCAGATTCCCTCCTAATTTTGGGGACCGGGGTGCTTCAATATGACAGCTAAAAGCCATACTTGTCAATCTGGTATTGGTGGCTGGAGGATATGGCTTCTAGACAGCGAATCAAGCGTATATTGCTCCATCTACGGTACCATCAGACATTATTAGCTATAGTTTCATAGGCGGAAAAACGATCCGTTCCTGTGCCTGGAATGAAAGAGAAAAACAGATGTATTCATAGTTAGTAGAGAAGACCTTGAACAGCTAAATATCCTCCGCAATCGGACGAGGTCAATATTACTGGGGCCTACCATGCCAGAATACCGTCGTGAAGTGGCTATGTTCTCATATTATCTCTAGAATGATAATGAACTTGAATTAGACTAAATCTGAATGAATAAAAATCCGTCTAAAATTATTGCCGCTCAATCGTAGTATAGAAAAAAAATATTTGCGACCAGTGTGACGCAAAGGATGAGTCTCGAGACAGCAATATCTACTACAACTTGAAATTCACCGCACCTTAGTTGCTGGGAGTGGCCCGGCACATACGTCCATCTTCCGAGACAGTCCACTCATCAGAGCCAACGGCAGTCAAGCCGTAGAAGAGGTGGTGAGGGTCATACTTGGCCTTGATGGCGCGCAGCTTGTCATAGTTCTTGCCATAGAATGCCTTCTGGAAGTTGGGCTGATCGAAGTCGGCCTAGAGTCGGTTGATGGTTAGCATTTGTCATAAAGCGTTTCTTATAATTAATTTCATAGCATACCTCATTGAGATAGGCTCCTGACTCAGGAGACAGATTGCTCAAGCTGGGAACCAAGACATCGGTCATCAACTTCCGCTTCTCGCGCATCTTCTCTGGCTTGTTGAACTCCCATGGGGTAGACATGAGAACGTGGGCAATTGCGCCACGCCAGGCCGGGTTCACAGCATTGTAAACGTCACCAGTGACCTCCTCGGTGACCTTGACACCGACAGTAGTGAAAGTGGCGCCGTAAGAAAGCACATTGCGAGCCGCCTTGGTCAGTTCGTGTCTGGACTTGGGACTTTCAACAATCGAGCGGGGAAGAAGCCAGCTACCATACTGAGCGACTCCAATTTCAACAAGCGGGGTCTGGGCGTTGAATTGATCAAGATAGTTACTGAATTCCTCGGCTTGCATCTCATACTTGATGCCAAGCTTCTTGAGTCCGTCGCGGAAAGGCAGGGTAAGCTCCTTAAGCTCCTTCAGAGAAAGTCCGGGAGCGGTCATGGGGGAAAGAGAGAAAGAAGCGTTGGTAAGGAAGTTCAGACTCATAATCCCACGGTCCACGTAGGAAGGCAGGTGGGTGTTGTAAAGTTCAATGGCCTTGTAAAAGGTTTCGTCGGAGATACCGTCGGTGGTGAAAGTGAGGTTCAAGCCAGACACATGGCTATCCTGATGAGCCTTAGAGGTCATGGACCAGACAACACCGTAGGTACCGCCACCGCCACCGGTCAGAGCCCAGTAAATGTCACTATTATGAGTGCGGTTTGCGGTGAGGAATTGACCAGTACCGTCGATAACCTCCCATTCCAGGACCTGGTCCGCACCAAGTCCGTGCTTTGAGGCCAGAGACGAGTGACCTCCTCCTTGACTGTATCCGCCTGCGATGCCGACAGTGGGGCACTCTCCGCCGACCATGCGCAGGCCGAGCTTGCGGGCTGCCTCATAGGCCTCGATTCCCTGAACACCGGCACCGAGCTTAGCAACCTTTCCGGTATAATGCTCGTCCTTCCAGTTCTTGAACTCAATGCCCTTGAGGTGGTGTGTCCAGACTGAAAGAGCACCAGCGCCAGTGGACTTTCCGTTGTAGCTGAGAAGAGTCAGTAATGGTTGAATCAAAGGTATTGGCTGGAAGGGCAGCATACTCATGACCGGTGTTGCGGATGATAAAGCGAATGTTGTGCTTGGCGGCGAACCTCAAGGTCTTGGCCACATGGACGGGCGAGGAGACATTGACAGCATATTTGACGAAATTTCCAAGGGTGCATGGCTTGGAGACGGGGTGGTATGGGTCACATGTTCCATTGGTGAAGAAAGGAGCCATGAAAGACGAAGAGGATTGATAGCTGAAGAATCGATCAGTTAATTGCCCCTCGCACAATACACATGACTCCAAAAACTTACTGCTCCTCAGGCAGAAGCCATCCTTCCTTCAAGGCCGCACACTTCTTCTCATCGTATGAGGGGACATGGCAGGGTGTTGCGAGAGGGACGGTGGCAACAAGACGTCCATCAACTGACTGGTTGAAGGCTTTCCAGGTCGAAACGGAAGGCCAGCAGTCATCTCCGGGGAGGCAACGGCACGAGGAGCTCTCGGATGCCGCAATTGTGGGGGCAATTGCAGCAAGACCGAGGAAAGCTCCGATCTTGAGGGTGTTGAGGGACAGCATCACGACTTGTTGTCCGCCTCGTATTCCGTTGCAGGGGATGGGAAGGATTAACTTTTTGGTATGTACTTATTTACGCAGCGTGCGGACATTCCAAGCTCGCACACATGCTCTTTCAAGCTAGTACGAACTAATGCAGGAGATGCACCGGCGTAGAAGTTAGGGATGCCCAGGCCTCCTCAATGAGATGTAGATCTGCTGGCGCGAATCCTTCAGACCCACCGCGGGTCGAAACGACATTGTGTTCTCCATAGATTCCAAACTTTGAGCCACGCAGTGACTGGGGTCATGACTCGTGTCCTGCTTCTCATTACTTTAACTCAAAAATAAGCCACCTGCAGCCAGTTAGCCGGGAGTTGAGCACGAAGATTATCCGTCCCCTTCCTTGCTTGGGGGTGTTATCGGTATGTCGACAATTGCGGGGACTAGACTTTCAGCCCCCAGAAAACATGGAAAGCCCCGTTTATTTTTTGGATACAATGAATTGGAAGCAGTTCAATCCACTTGTCTCCTCAAACATGATCAAGAATTCTCTTTCGGTTGTACCATTTGTATTCGATACAGTACATAGTAACTTATTACGCGCAACCAATACTGCGAGAACATCCACTTGGAGCCCACTTATGCTAGTATTGTCACCCCATACTACCGTATTGATCACTGCGCTCGGATATATGCACAATTCTACTCCGGAATCCATCAGCAGATGCCTTATGCAAGACCCTGCCGATATTTCCTAGCACAACGCCGATCCAAATCTTCAATTCCGTAGCAGCTGTCTCACGGCGATTTCTTTCATCGGAACTCCGCCGTAGGACAACCCACTGATTATATTCGAAGGATGCACTAGAGACGCATAGTCAAGGTCCCCCGACCCAGCAGCCAACTAGCATGAACGTGGGCCATAGCGTCAAATGCCTCCACATAGCTGAACCTTGGAAACACGCAGGAACGGTCCGAAAGTGTCGGTTCATATGACAGTCAGTCATGACAGCAGCCCTAAATCTTCAACTTTATGTACATTCTGCATCAATCCCCTGTGCTGCATTTCACTCTCACGCTATCTATCCAACCTATACACACTCTTTTGTTCATTTCTATACATTTCACAGCACTAGACATGGGGGAGAAAGTCGGCGTAATTCCTCCCCCCAGCTGGGGTGACGCCTGATTTCGACTATTCCAATCCATGGGAATTTAAGGCAGATTTGATCATTGTTGGCATTGGGCTGACTTTAAGCACGCTCTTTTTGGCCATGCGAATTTATACTCGAGCGTGCCTGCTATCGAAATTTGGATGGGATGATGGTATGTCGATGTCTCTCTAAATCGATTGCCTCGGTGTATTGCTAACTCTCTGAACAGTATCGATGATATTAGCCTGGGTAAGAAAAGCCAATATGACAATGGATCTCAGCCACTCGAAACCCTAACACTTTGACAGATGTTCTCCTTGGGAACGCAAGTCGTATGCATACGTATGCGCTATCTTTTTCTCATCACTACCAAGACAATCTTTCTAACATGATTTCGCAGACGGCTATCGCTTCGGTGGGACAGGAATCCACCTGTGGAATGTGACTCCAGAGATGTTCGTCATCTTTCAAAAGGTATGTACTCAAGAGATCAATAACCAATAACCACACCCAAGCCGACTAACATTTCCGATGGAAGGTCATTCTCGCCGCCGCCGTTGTCTACGTCCCAGCCCTCGCATTCGCCAAACTTGCCCTCATAATTCTCTACCACCGCATTGTGAACAAGCAACCGATCTATGTATGGTCCCTTCATATAATTTCGGCCGTCGTTTGCGGATACAGTGTTGCCATTGTCTTCGCTTTGATATTTGCATGCAATCCCATTGAAAGAGGATGGAACGCTGCCATTACAACAGGTTATTGCGTCAATCGCAATGGCTTGTATATCGCAACCGCGGTCACAAATATCGTCACCGATATCGCTCTCTTGGTGTTTCCTTTCCCTCTCGTACTCGGCCTGCAGATGCCGCGTATCCAAAAGATTGGACTGCTTCTGATGTTTATCGTCGGCTGCGCGTGAGTATTCCTCGTCTCCAGGACAGATTGTTTGGTTATACACCATCAAGATTATATCTAACTGACTCTCGAAAAGCACACTCATTACAAGTATTCTACGACTCACGACCTTAATCGCTTATCTAAAGACAACCGACTTGACATACCAGCTAGCCCCATCCCAGCTCTGGATGTAAGTAATACTCCGCCTGCTATGTGGATCATACTGAGAACTAACAACTTCGCTTTTACAGCTACGTCGAAGCCAACCTCATCATCATCTGCCCCTGCCTACCTTTCCTCCGCCAATTCATGCGCCGCTACTCACCCGCCTGGATCGGCGAAAGTGGTCGACGCTATTTCCGCGAGTACAGTTCCGGCACCACGGGCCTCTCGCGCAACCGTCGCAAGCAAGGACTCAGCCGTCTACATGATGACATCGCTTTGGCGGAAAATGCCGAAAGCACACACAGCCAGTCCCACATTGTCAAGGAAGTTCAATGGCAAGTGACGGAAGAGCGAATGGAAGCGGGATCTTCACGCAGTGACTCACAATTTCATCGGGGTTAACGGAAGAAAAAGGGGGGAAAGAATCAATCCAGATCGGAGTTTGCAGATTAATCGCTGCTCGGCTACAATGTAAATACCATAGCGTCAAATAATAATAACTAAACCAAACTCACCATCTTCTCTACATTTGTTACTTCGATTAAACCTGGCAAATTCCGATCTAAACAGCCCCCCCCCCCCTGTTTGGCAAAGTTACCGTGTGTCTGGTTGCCGAACGCCACGCAATACCGGTGGGAATAGGGTCAAAATGCCCACGATTAATCCGACAAAACAGATGATCCTTCGGGGTCCGAACATTCTTCGGATTAGGCAAATTTCCATCTTCAAACAACGGATTCCGCCGATCGACCCCACGCCACCATCATCTGCACTGGCGATTGGCGCAATGGATCCTCCGGAAAGGCCGCACAGAAAGCCGGAGGCCCAAGCGGTCATTAATCTAAACGAGCGTGGGTCGCGCTTCTGGAACACTACGAGTACGTTCTCAAATTTCAGTCTGTACCCATTTAGCCTTCACTTAACGGACGTCAAGGAGAGCCTTGTAAGCCCAGTGGGTAGTGACAATTGCGGTCCAGGCCCGAACGTTAGTACGGGGTACTCATATCCCCTAAGTGAAGTTTTCCCGCAATACACATGGTTATGCCAAGCCGAGGCGAAGTGAGGCGCGACGCCCTGATAATGGATGTAGTGTGTACATACGGAGTAGTTGTTCTGTGCTTTGCATTGGCGTCAATAGTGCAGGGCAAAGAACCCTTCAAGATATAGTCTGTGGTCCTAGTATTCATTTCTCATCGATTCTAGTACTAGCTACCTAGGTAGGTATTTGTTTTATCCCCGCTTTGATCAAATAGTCTTCCATACTATTTGGCTTGGACATGACAGTTTCTTATATTCGCTAATAGCGCCACGGGCGTGCGCCAAGTTACACAATGCCATTCAAGCTCGAAGGCAAATTTTGACTTTATATAACTCCATGCAAACTTCCGAGGATGGGATATGTACGAGATCAGAGCAATATGCCCATAAACTCTTACTAGTACTGAGGAGGGTGCCGGCCACAATGAAACTATCTCATATCTACTACTAGTAATACGGGAATAGTAAGTCAACTCATCGAGAAGAAAGTCCCAAGGCCCGCACTTCCAGAATAAACCAGATTGTACTACCTCTAGGGCTGACCAGGAGTCATCCAGTGCTAAATACCCAACCTTGGAAGTCGGAACATGAGTAAATAAGCACATCCTTCCAAGGCTCACCACTGTCCAGACAAGCGCAGAGGCTACATACGCCTTGCAATTCACTTATATGGGGCACTATTATAGGGCATTCTTATGATTAAAGTTGTTCCTTCAAACGACCCACACTGGCAGCCACACTCCAAGTTCCAAGCCGACTCATCCATTCTGTAAAATAGTGCTGCAGGGCCTACCTGGGAAAGATTTTGATCGCATTACTCGAAAGAATTCGAAGTCTGGGCGGGAGGCAGATAACAGGTAGTTAGTAGAAGCACTGCCAATTTGGTCTTACTTAAGTCCAAACTTGAACCAAGGATGCATATGTACGAGTATGTACATATTACCCCTCGATCAGATTCATTCCCCATGCTCCATAGAATCCGCCACAATCCAACCGTCGATCCACACTGCGGCCCGGTGCGAGCGAGCCACGATGTGGCGGGAGCTTGGAACCAATCGAGGTCGATGTGGATCGAAGTCCGGCATATATTAAGATTCAGTAGTAGTACTACGGAATACATCCATGGATAGGACAGATTGTTCTTCCATATTGCCGTTATGTTTGAATTTGCTATTATGTGCATTCGCGTTCACCCATCCACTCATAGGCTTGGACTATGCAGTAGTCATTCTGCATCTACAGGCTGGACAGCTCGTCGGATTGTTTACAGCTACTAGGCAAAATGGAATATGAGTGGATATCATGAGATACAGACGAAGCTCTGGTTCCGTTATTCTCCAACTGGGTATTGTGACTGTCGATCGAATCTGAGACCAGTCAAGACAGGAGTGAGGGATCTTGGGCTGATCTATCCATCGGTGGGTGTGGCCAGGGTGTTGGGAGGAGGTTTTGTATGTACTGCGGAGAGCGAGGCGATCAATACATAGGAAGAAGAGATAGAAGAAGAAAAGAACAAAAAAGTGTTGAAAAGAAGGAGGTGTGTGAGTATGTGTGTGGATAAGATGAGAATAAAGAAAGGCCATTGCAATGCTCCATCCGTCGCTAAAAAGGATAAAAAAAGAAAAGGTGAAGGGTTTGCCGGAGGTCAAAACAAGCGGGAGAGGGAGAGGGAGCAAAAAAGAAGAACATGTAACGGAGCTTGGAATGTGTCGCCTGCCTTATTCAGATCCGGTCCGAATTGAATCGAATCAAGCCATGAGAAAGCTATGATTGTGTCTAGGCTGAGCCGGGTCTGGCAAGGCCTATTTCTTCGAGTCCTCCTTCTTGGGGGCCTCCTTCTTTTGCTCCGCTTCCTTCTTTTGCTCCGCTTCCTTCTTTTGCTCTACTTCCTTCTTTTCTTCTTTTGCCTCCTTCTTTTCTTCCTTCACCTCGGGCTCGTCCTTCAGTTCCTCGCCATAGAAACGGCGCAAAAACCTCTCGACCTTGACAAACTCAACTTTGACCTCTTGGAGGGTGTTGTCGATGTTCTTCAAAGAAACGTCCTCATCAGGCTCGTCGGTGGTGCCGGCCTCGTCCTTGCCGGCGCCGAAGTGCTGGATCTTCTCGCATCCGTCCTTAACGTTCGTGAGACCCAGTGTAGCGGAGGATCCCTTCAGGAAATGGCCCAGCTGTGACAGTTCCTCCAACTGCTTATCCGCACTGCAAGATATTAGCACAATGCAAAATTATATGGAACGCCAGCCAATCCGGTGGTAGAGATCTTGTAATGGAAATAACGGTGGATGCTTACATCGCCTTCTCTATCTTCTCGAAAGTAGCATGTGCCTGGTCGAAAAACCCATAGACAATACCCTTGCTGAAATCACGGTCGTCATCATCGTCCATCTCTAGGATCTGCTCAAAGGTGCTCTCATCGATCAGCTCCTTGACATCGGAGAGCTTGGGCGGGCCCGTCTTCTGCGATGTGTTAGCGACATCCATCTCGGCCGGTTGGGGGGGTTGGTGGACGCACGGGCTCTTCTGCCTTCTTGGGGTCTGTTGGCGCCATCTCGTCGTGTACTGAGGGGGTCTAGGTGGGTAGGTGGGATGAATGCACCTAGTGCGTGGGGGATCGGATCGTCAAAAGGTAGTAAGGATCAAGCCGGCTCGATCTGAATGAGACCAGTCGAGATCTGCGATAATGGGTTAGCGTTGCTTATTTGAGGACAGCGGCGCAAAGAGGCGCAGAGAAGTGCAGGTAGTCGAGGCAGTCAAATGGTAGGGTGCAGGTGGCAAACAGGAACAGGGATGTGATGGGTCATCAGGTGTAGGCAGGTGTTCAGGTGGGATGTATGGATGTATCAAAGGCAACCGACAGCCTAAAACCCAGTAATCATACACTCGCAGTCAAGTCGAACCAGTCAGATTGAACCGAGTTGCGAGCAAGTTACAAGGTTTGTGGATTACAGATAGAAGGGTGGGGGGTGTAGGTAGAGGGGACAGTAGAAGTGAACAGCAGACAGTAGACAGTAGACAGTGAATAGATCTGGGTCTGGAGCTCAACAGGCAGGGCGGTGACTCTGCGAGAAACCGAGGCCGGCAGTAGTCAATCACGTCAATCACGAACTGGTGGCTTACTATGAGAAACCGCTGGTGGGAGGGGGGAGATGAACTATGCGCATATAGAGTGGTGGTGGTGGTGGTGGTGGTGGCGGCGGTAGCACACGTAGGGGAAGGGTATCGCAGTCAAGTGCCGCCAACAGTAACCAGAAAAGAAGAGAGAGGAAGGACCAAGTGATCGAGGGGTCGAATGAAGTAGACAAAGTAGGTATGCAATGGGTAGATCAATCGGGTATCGCGTGGCTGAGGGGATTGGAGGGGGAGGGGCAGAAATTGAAGTCCGTAGGAGGGGGGGAGGCTGAGGTTGGATTGGATGGGATGGCAGATTGCGGGGGCAAGTCGGAGGATTCACCTTTTTTTTTGTGATTTTATTATTTTGTGCGATGGGTGATCGACGTGGAGGGAAGGGGGTTAGAGAAGAAAGGAAAAGAGTCGAGAAGGGGAGAGGAGAGGAGAAGAGGAGAAAAGGAGGAAAGAAGAGAGGGAAGAGGGAGAAGAGGAAGAGAAGAGAGGAAGAGAGGGTAAGGGGCGGAGACGGTGTGGGTAAGCCTGCCACTTGACTGCCACTCGCTCTCTCGTGGAGGAAGATTATGAGGAAACTTGAAATTTCAACTCTTTTTTTAGTGACACCCTTGATACTCTTCTTTACTTTTAATCAGATTCGATTTAGAGTGCTTTATCTTCCTTATACAAGCTTGGTGCGGGGGGTTGATGTGGTTCGTGTTCCTCCACGGCTTCTACACCCTTCCATGCTCTGGCATTCCATCTGGTCTTTCCTTTTAACTCCCGAATACCCACACGGAGTGGTTCCCTTACGGAAGTAGTTCTGCGATATTAATACCTAATACCTAATATTCTTCGAAGTATCTCATTCTCCCTTCGACCTTCCTATACCAGGTCATCTCCGGGTTGTGATGGGGGTGATCTAAGAACACCATCACCATCGTAAATGAAAATAAATTAGCCTGAAAACCAACCCAGTGAAGATACGGTTACTTCCCCTCAGCGGAAAGTGCGCGAGCCCCCAAAATGAAGGGTTTGAAAAAAAGAAAAGAGAGAATGAAAAATCCATTCCCCCGGGTGTCGCTCCACTCCGTCCCGAACAATGTGAGGTCATCGGTCAGGCCCTATCGGCTCCCACTCAACCCTATTCGGTAGGAGACTGTAGGTGAACCAATGTAGCAGTGGAGAAAGAGGGGCTACCAGAGACAACAATCTAAAATAAAATAGAAATAAAAATATGATGGTGACAGCGAGAGAAAAGAGACAGGAGACTAGCCGCAGCGGAGCAGCCGCAACGCGACATCATATCTCATCTTTCATGCATCATCGGGCGCCGATCTTCTATCAGCGCATTCGAAATGTAACCAGGGGTAGCAGCAGTACCATAGGTAGCACAATGACAGGATAGAATTGAAGAAGGCGAGAGCGGAAGCGAGGCAACTGATGTGTCAGGGTGTTCCAGACAGACCAGCAGTAAGTGCGAGTAGCAGCGGGTCACCTGGGCATTCCTAGAACAGGAGCTAGTAACCCGGCAGCAACTCCCGTCGAGTTCAGGACAAAGAGCAAGGAGACGAGGAACCCGATCCTTGGACCGCAAACGGACATGGTCTGGGCCTTCTGGGAACCGTCGACATTGGCAGGGCCAGAGCCCGCTGGCCGGTTGGGTAGCTGGCTTGATGGTTAGCTGGTTTGCTAGTTAACTAGCTTGTTAGCTGGTTTGATGGTTTGGCTGGTCCGGACGCAGAGCAGGGACGAGAAGAGGGGTTGGGCTAAGACAGGATGCTGTCACCGATGACGAGGTCGGGCATGGACCGACTCTGTTTCTTTCTTTTCTTTTTTGCTTTGGATGAGACCTGGTCCGGCTGGCCTAGATTGCATTAGAACAGGACAGATGACACAGAGCAGTCAGGATTGACAATTTATTATGGAGTCAGCCTTGAGCAAAAAGCCTACTCCAAGTGCTATTATATACGGACAGCGCAAACCATTTCATTTTGGCGAATTCACAATTTGTGGTCGTCCCGGCAGGCTTCCACCAATCAACGACAGAACCCGACGCCATGACATCATGGCGGGGAATCAGCCGCTGATGTCATAACCAGCCATAAAATACTCCAGATATTCTAGTATGGATGTATACATATGGACTACTATATGCAGTATAAATCAATGTATCCGTACTACAGTATGTATAATTATGCGGATACCACTATCTACATAGCCTACCTTGTTTACCTTAGGTACAGACCATCACTATCCGTATAACTCGCGACGGGCATAACCTGATAAAGTACGAACTGCTGATAGACCAGCATAGCCGCAACCTGCTATATTTACCTTCGAGTACGTACTAGTAGTTTTAATACTACACCAATATTCCTAGCACAATAGTACACCCTGCATGATATCAGTCTGCATCGTGCAACCCCCGAGACGGATTGGAGGACATTGCCAATCGACTCGGTCACACACGCATTTCATCGCCGACAACTTCGGCACATATCAAGGAACCGATCGTCCTCTCATCATCATCTGGACCGGCAAGCTGCTCGTATCAGACATGCTGCAAACCTCGACTCGTTCACTTCCAAAAATAGGTCATCAGATGTGTCAGGACTAGTGCCAGCGACGGTGCCGGTGTCGGTGCCAGTGCCAATGCCAGTACCAGATACGAGGTGACAGGTTGTGGAACACGCCCAAGCCTGCATAGGCATAGCGGCATGTTAGAACTGGCCGGCGTGGAAACTATCCGTTTGGCCCCCAGCCTAAATAACCAGACAAATCAGCGATGCGCGATATCATCTAGACCGTAATCGAACAGATAGATGCACATGGCTTGAGGGAAGCACGCTAGATTGGAGCAAATACCCGGTCAATGCAAGTGTCTCAGGGATGATCGCAGATGGCTTCAAAATAAAGTGGACTGGGGGACTGGGGGAACACAGGATAGGAGAGAAAATAAGAAGTGCCCAGTCTATTGAAGCAACAGCCTCATTCACTACCCCGGACACCACCAGGATTAATCCCCCCCGTCGCCGTGGGGGTTCGACCACTCTTCTAGAAGGCTTATGTCATCATCCGAGGTCCGTTTTGTTGAGCTTCACCTGCAAGACTCCTTTCCCAACGCCAACGCCAACGTCAACGAGGAATCATTCCTCCCCTCCTGAGTCCCCGACTCAATTCAATCCCGTCATTCCCATAATCGCGATATAGGCATCAACCAAAATGGCCTCCAAACAGCCCCGCTCTTCCTCCCCCTCGGGCCTGACCAGAGGATACCTCTTCCTCTACAACACAACCAATCTCTTCACCTGGGCCACCTGCGTGATCTATACCGCAAGCCTCATCCCCGCCGCCCTACGAAATGATTCCCTTCACACCATCTTCCAGGAAACCGCCAACCCCCTTCTAATCGGGACGCAATCGCTCGCCATCCTCGAAGTCATACACAGCATCCTCGGCCTCGTGCGCGCTCCCTTTCTCACCACCGCGATGCAAGTTGCCTCGCGACTGCTTCTGGTCTGGGGAATCATGGCAATCTTCGGTGGCGATATCGTTGGTGCCGAGAAGACACAGCTGGGTGACTACGCTTATCTGGGCTGTGTGACGGCTTGGGGTATTACTGAGATTATTCGCTACGGTTTCTTTGCTATTACGCTCTCTGGAAACCAAGTCCCCGCTTGGTGGACTTGGCTAAGATATAATACTTTCTATGTCCTGTACCCCGTTGGCATTTCCAGCGAGTGTGCGCTTGTTTATCTTGCGCTTGGCCCGGCGGGCGAAATTGAGCCACTTCTCAAGTGGTTCCTGGTTGCTGTCTTGGCTATCTATGTGCCAGGTAAGTCTTTGATGTCTCCCCCCTGCTCATTTCCTTGACCTTTTCTTACGGGTGATTCCACTAGGCTCTTACGTTCTCTACACCCACATGATTGCGCAGCGCCGTAAGGCCCTTCGGGGCAAGAAGCGTGCCGATTAAATTCGAGGTAGATGGTGTTGCGGATTTCATTAATAGAGAGGGTCAGCTGGACCTCTTGTTATTCCTGGATATCAATTTTATGATAGACGCCCGAGTAGTCGGGCTAAAAGTTCGACAATATTCTATACGTTATAATATTTCATAGACCAACCTGTGCGTGTCGGAATAGATTCAAGTTGAAGGGTATACAGTATCTGTCACATCTATGGCAAACTTGGGAAGTATTTACAGCTCACGCATAATATCCTGCACCGCTTTCGCAGCGAACCTCCTTCGCTCACTGTCTGGCAACTCGGAGCCCATGTCTAAATGCACCAACCCATTAGCAATGCACCCAAATCGCCAGAGAATCAACGTACCTCGTAGAGATTGCATGCGCATGATCAATGTCTCCATCGATTCAACTTTATCATCTTCCTCATCGCCATCAATCTCCCCATCACTATCTCCATCGCCGCCACCTCGTTCAATCGCCATCCGCAAACCAAGCATTTCTCGCTCCAACTCATTCACCTCCATTCCAAACCCACTACCACCCTCCCGATCAAACCCAAGCAATTCCGCCTCAAGATCATCATCGAGTCCATCCTCCCCTGCAGCACTCCAATCATGCGTTTCAAGAACCTCTTTAATCCTAGGCATGCCCTCGTATTCTACATATATCAATCAGCATGTGCCCTGATAAAGTAGATCAGCGCAGAGCAGCAACATACCACCAAACTTATTCCTAGTCTTCTCCTTCTCCTCCCCAAGCGGATCCCACTCAACAACCTCCCATCCAAACAATCCCATATCAAAAAGTCGATCTTCCCACCACCCCACTGAGAGTGGTACATCTCCCCCCAAGCTCATCCCCCGCGTCCTCCAGCCCAGGTTTCCGCGCAGACGCAGAAGCAGAAGCAGACCCAGCCCCAACAAGCAAAAACACACCAGGGACATCCATCCCACCCCGCTCCTCATCAATACATCCCTTCACAGCTCCAATATCACGCATCAGCGCGCTCAGCGCAAGGACATCTTCTGACTGGGCGACGTCCACGTCTGCATTTGCATCGTTGCGCGGAGCAGGGGCCCGGACAGCGACGACTAGAGCGCCGACGGCTTCGCGGACGATTTGGGCTTCCTCGCTAAGGAAGTCGTTTTTCCATGTTTCTGAGCCGGAACTCGAGTCGGGGGTGGATGTGGAGGTGGAAGTTGGATTGGAATTGGAATTGGAGTTGTTCTTTGGCGCGGAGAGGAGGGCCACCTCGTCGACCCAGATTGGTACTTCGGCTGTGTAGTATTTTGTACTTAGGCGGAGGGGGGCTGTGGGTTGTGTAGCCTGCGAAGGAGGGTTGGGGAGGTATTGGCTCTGAGCTTGTCTCTGGCTCTGGCTCTGTCTCGGGCTGTGTTTGGGATTGTGATTGTGTTTCTTGCTCTTTATCTTTTGATGATTCGGGGACTGGCTGTGAGTTCGGAATCTCTGTTATGGGGACACCGCTTAGAGTATGCAGTAGAGGGGGAATGATTGAGGGGGATTGTGTTGGTGGGGTGAGGATGAGCAGACGGCGTGGATTGGGGACGTTCTTTGCAGGTGGTTTGGATGGGGCGGAGGTTGATGAAGGCATGGTGAGTTCTGATATTGTTGCAGGTAGGTGTGTATTTCTGGATGATTGTTTCGCTCGAGGTTGATGGGGGTGCGCTTGGTTGAAGTTGTGGTGGGAGGTTGGAAGGTCGAAAGTCGAAGTTGTCCCCGCATTGAGAAAAGCTGCGGAGATTCTGCGGAGGGGCAAGGCTTGAGTATAAAATTGGCCAGCCCTGTCTCTTTAGGGCACTGAATACCCGGACTGATGATTAAATGGAAATTTGAGATTAGTGCAGGGTATTTCTGTTTTGCTTTCAATTTCAATTTCTGCTTTGCTAGGTTTGTCATTGTGCAGCACAATTCCCTTGTGGGCTACCATACTGAAAGGCTCTCAGAGCATGATCGATACCATTGACAATTGTAATAGAATATCCCCACTGCTCGTGAATAGCAGTGCTATATCGTCCATCTACGCATCCTTAACTGGACAGCGGTAACCGGGTTATTCATTCGTGAGCGAAAATACAAGTCAGACGAATGACGCCCAAACCCAGCAAGAAGAAGCCTGAGAATTTTCCCCTAAACCAAAAACAAGTGAAAAAAAATGACAAACGCCAACCACGGTAATCCTGCCAGGTCTCGGTGCTTCGCTTCGTCCTCGTCCTCGTCCGGATACCCATTTAACCCCTCCGCTGGCCGCGCGCACGCTGCACGGTGGCCTTACCACGGGCCAAACCGACACCGCGGCCACGCACGCCTCGTGAGCGGAACATGGGGGCGTTCCTGGAAGAATGTTCCGTTAGTCAATGTTATTTCAGAAGCTCCGGCAGCCACCCAGCTGCCAGTAGGCTGCTAGTTGCTAGCTGCTAGCTGCTACTAGCGCTTGACGTACCTCAGCATGTCCGGCACGATGAAGAATCGCACATGGCTTCCCCGGATGTAGACCTGATCGAGATGGGAGACGCGGCCGTCGCGGGCAGTAACGGTGATATCCTTCAGTTGGACGTTCATGTTGTCCTCGGCTGCGATTGAAAACTGTTAGCAGAGATTCGAGCTGTGGCTGTGGGCGGAACTATTGCAATTGCCAGCCAGGCAAGGTTCCGAAACCCTCCCCAAATCCGATTGCAAGCTCATTCAGCCGAGATATGATGGTCCACGCACCTTCCAAAAGCTTCCCCCGGTAGACGACTCCCGATGTGATTTCGAGGGTAACGACATGGCCCTGCGATCAAGTTAGCGGTCTGCAATCGCAAGCGAACGATAATTCCCAAGGAAGTGGAAGAGCCCTATTCTTTCTCTTTCACTTCTTGTTGTATTCTCGGGTAATTGGAAGCAGTGCACTGGACGACCACGGACCTGCGCTTCATTGAGGAGCTTGATCGGAATGCCGATCGTGCTAGTGAGCTTGCCCATCGCGGTAGAGTGAGGAGGCGGAGAGAGGAATCGATGAAGAGGTGAAAATTGGATTCGAGGTTAAATATCCCAGTGACTCTTGATGTGTCACGGGGCGATGGCGGGGTGGATGAGGGCGAAGAAAGTGACGGTGTTGAGAGAAGAAGCGGAGGGCGCGAGGTGAGTTTTGCGGCGCAACTCCCTCCTTTCCGCTTTGGGCCACCTCTTCTCCGCGAAAACCAACCACAACCACAACCACCATATTCATGGATTCACTACAATAACCCCCCCTCCTCCACCTTCACAGCAGATCTCCCAGATATCATCTAGCATACGCAGCTATGGCTGGCTCACCCAATTCCAACCTCCGCGCCTTCAACCACGCCGTCCACACCCTACTCAAACATCCCGCCCAGTTTCTCCCACACCTCACAATCCCAACCTTCACGTATCTCCCAGAGGAACTAGGGCCGCACCTCGTCAATTCAGATCCGCCAAATACCTCAAAGGGAAAAGTCCCCACAATCAAAGCCCTGGTCCTAGACAAAGATAACACGCTCTGTCCCCCCCAAAACAACAAACTTCCCTCCACAAATCCTCTCCAAACTCGCTGCTCTCCGGCAATCACCAACCTCTCCCTTCCGCCACCCAAACAGCATCCTCATCGTCTCCAACCGCGCGGGAAGTCACCCCAAATACGACCATGAGATCTCATCATTAGAGTCGCAGCTCGCGCACCTCTCAATCCCAGTCTTCCGACTCCCCGCCGGCGTGGAAAAGAAGCCGTTCTGCGGGGATGAAGTCGTACAATGGCTTCGAGAGCGGGAGGTTGTTGATTCACCGGACCAGATTGCCGTTGTTGGGGATCGATTGGGAACAGACGTCGTTATGGCGGGTTTGATGGGTTCGTGGAGTGTTTGGTGCAAAGAGGGTGTTTTTGAGCCTGGTGAGGTTGGGAAGCCGGAGCGTAATATCTTGGAGAAGATGGAGGTTTGGGTTGAGAAATACTTGAGGGGGAAGGGCTATAAGGCCCCAATGCCGAGGGATTGGGAGAAGGTGTAGATGCAGTGGTTTTGTATTGGGGGTGGAGGGGAGAATGTTCGAGTTTGTAGCATACGATTTTGAAGCATCTATATACCCAGAGCGGCGTACGCACTTGCATTATTGATACAACTACATTCCAATATCTAGGTTCCAAGGTTAGATTCAAGTTGGGTTTTTTTTTTTCGTTTGAGCGTACCTAGGTCGCTGGTTGATTCCAAGGTTGTAGAGGTAACAAAACCAGTGTCTGAAAGGTGTATACTAGTAGTATATTGTGTAGCCGTATGGTGGCAGGGTAAAAGACCAACTTGAAGTGAATACTCTATCAAGCAATCGTGGCCATACGTAGTGAAACAATAGAACTGAATAGTACAAGGACGATATTCGCAAAATGATCAGGGAAAGGGTGTGTAGGTTGTAAATTTACTGCACTATCTCCGAATTTGCCTCATCAAAATCTTCGCAGAATCCTTTCTGGGCTGCGTGCTAAGAAAGGACCATGTTGGTTGGGTGTAGCTCAAGCTTGGAGAGGTTATAGGTGTAGTACGCGTGGGCGTCTTCCGATTCAAGGTTCTTGAGGTCATCTCTGATCTGGAAATAACGACCTCGGGACCAAGTAGAGTCGCCAGTTGGGAAACCTCGGGAATTTTTCTGTCCATGTTCATTTTCATTATTATGGGCTTTAGCCTGTATCTAGTATGAATGGAGTCATACAGTGCCAGCGAGCTTTCGGTCTCTACCAATCGAATAGCTCACTTGAAAAAGCTTCCGGTTTCTGTAGATATTAGCCCGGCACAGGAAGCTGTAGGTAAACATACTCAGATCCACCATCTTCTTGTATTCCTCAATGCCTAGGCCCGGTATTTGGACAGCGCTTGCAGTATCTCCAATTAAGACTCGGATCCATACTAATACTACATTGCCGATTTTCGAGGTTGAGTAATTGGGGTAAAGGAAAATATTAGCGTCTCCATGTGTAGTATACGAGCTACAAAAAACTTGAACCTGGAAGTCTCGATAAGAAATGCAGTATCTTAATCACAGAATGATCATGCTTAGATATATCTCAGTACTATGCTTGACAAACAAAAAAGTAGATTCGGGCCCAAACATCAATTTCCCACTATCCCGCCAGACCAGCGCCCTCTTTCAGCTTCCAGAAGCCCGAACAGAGAATATCTCAACTCAGGCCGAACCCCTAGAAACAACGCCGGTATCGTCAGTTCCCATAGGAGACCGACAGGACAGTTTGTGCGAAAAGACAGGCTCCAAAACTCATAAAAGAATGATCATCAAACACGAGGGGGATGGTATGCAGTGTCACGTCGCCATGGAAATGAAGCCTGGAACAAGACAAGTCTGATATGCCTCCCTCGGCTAAGCCAAAAAAACATTCAAACACGAAAAAAAGTAGAAAATGAAAAGGAAAATCAGGGGGGGGGGGGTGGAAGTTGCCGTCCAAGCCGGTCGGTCTGTTTGGCATAACCGCGTAAAGGGGCCTTGGCCAGCCAACCAAGGCAAGAAAAAAGAAGACAAAAAGAAAAAGCTGGTTTGCAGACCAGGGATGAAAAAGGAATTTCAGAAGGAAAAAAGGCAATCAATGGTTCAACCGGGACATCCAGGAAACAATGAAAGGGTAGAATGTAATGAATATAACAATTCAAAATGGAAAGAAAAAGTTGCAAAAACTCGCTTTAGGACCGGCCCCAGAATGGAAAGGGTATTAAAACAACGCACAACAGAATGGAAGATATATGCCACGCAATGAACAGAAAAAGCAGTAACAAGTCCAGTCGAAATTGCTTTCCCGGCGATCGCCAGCGAGACGCGTTATCCGAATCAGACCAGACGATCATATTTGCGCCAGCCAGACTCAGATAACCATCGAATACCTCCGAGATGGAAACCAGAACCCATCAACATAAGCGCCGTAAGCACTCCAAAGGCCGTGAAACGTGAAAAGGGGGAATCAAGTAAAAAAAATGCTGTAATCAATTTCTGCGCCAGAAGCATTTGATAGCTTCGTTCAGGACCCAGTAGGCAGGCCGTTTGAGTTGATCTCGTCGAGGTTGACCATACCATGGTGGGAGTAATCGGCCATCCCTGGAGAAGCATGGCCAGACATGCCGTGCATCGGGAGGTCAAAGCTAGGACCATCGTGAGAGACGGTATAGTTGACGTTATGATGCTTGGGGTACATATCGTTCATTGAAAGGCCATCCTCGGCGAAGTCCGATTGCTGATCATGCGCGAAGCCATACATGTCGGATGAGCCATGGGACAGGTTCGACAGAGGAGGAGAGTGGTTGGCAATCATGGGATCCGCTGGGCTGACACCAGAGTAAGGCGATGGCGCATGCGATCCCACAGTGGATGTGTCGGACGGTCCTGCAGAAATATACGAAACATTGAACTGAGGAGCCATGCTGGCAACTGGTGTTGAATCTCCTTGAGCGGCATTGCTGAACATGGATGGGCTGGCAAATTCAGATGGGGAACCCGCGGTAGTCGCAGACATGGGGTTCGGTCGGAAATCCAGACCATAGCCCTCAGTGTCGATGCGTAAATCTGTGGGAAGGGCGTGGACGGATTGCGGGATGGGCGCATAGATGCCAGAGTCGGTATGGTTGAACGGAGCAGGCGTTTGCGGCATGTGGAAGGAGTGCATGGGGGCTTGCAGGGCAGAGATGTCAACCGCCGCCGGGACGGACCGACTACGCTGGCGCTTATGGCCACGAGCAGCGGGCATATTGAAGCCCAAATGATTGGCATCCTGGTACAGTCCAACGTAGGGGGGCCTGAGCGTAGTGATTGGGCTGAGATGCAGGGCGCTGAATAAAGGGAGGCGACATCGTGGAGGGTGCAGCAGGCGTGGTGGGCACGGCGGGTACAGCAGGGACAGCAAAGTTGTTATTGTTGGCGTGGTATGCCAAGCGGTTCTGGAAGGATTCCAATGATACAAGCTTTGCGAGCTGGACACTCAAAACCTTGGGGTGACCCCCTAGGTGATGAACCATGATCTGACTTGCTTGCTGCTCCTCGGTGAAATCACCACATTGGTAGAAGCCCCCTGAGTTGGATGAATCCATGTAAAACATAGGTGGACGGTTCAGTTCCACCACTAACCCACCAGGCCGAGGTGGCGCGCCGTTGGGTCCTGGAGTCGGGTCCCCGGTCTCCAATGTGATGTTCTTGATATGGGCGAAGGGGTACTCGATCTTATAGCCGGCAGAGTCGTTGTTGATATAATATGTCATGCAAGCCTTGTCAGGGGAGTAAAAAACCACCAAGTCCATGGCATTCTGGCCAATGCGCCGCCAGCTACCGATAGTCAAGGAGCGACAGGTGAAATGCGAAATGACTGTTTAGTTGTTAGCAGAATTTTCAAATCGTGTGGCGCCCAGAGGATTGTATACACGTACCAACTTTCCCAGTAGGGCTAGTCTCATTCGCATACATGCTGGGAGCTCCGTATCCTGCCGAACGGCCAAAGGGGTCTCGAGTTCCGGGTTTGGTTGGATCGAATTGCATCGCAAGGTAATGGCGCATTGACTCGGGAATTGAATCGCAGCCTTCACCAGTCTCGATACTCTTCTTCGCAAGCATCTTGATTTTAGCGCGACTAGTGCAGTCAGCATTTGTTATTCTAGGGCTTCCAGCGTTCTTTGAGACCTACCGGTTCTGGAACCAAATTTGTACTGATCGCTCGGTCATATTGATGTCGCTTGCGATTCGTTCCCGGGTAGCAGCGGTGGGAGTGGGGTTCTTGTTGAATTCGACTTCGAGGGTGACGAGTTGATCCTGCGTTGCCCGTTGACGCTTGTTGTTCTTCTGTTGTTGGGTCAATGTGCTCTTGCGCGGTGGGCGACGCGCAGAATTGGCTGTTGTAACACTTGAGGTCGAAGGCGAAGGGGTGGAGTTTGTTGGCGAGGATGAGGCAGCGGTATGCGCGCCTGTTAAGTCAGGCGTTTCTGTAAAGGAAGACATTTCGATGGTTGCGACACAGCGAGGAACCCAAATATTTCGAAGGGTCTGTCTAGAATGATGTCGCGAAAGTGATCCAATAAATTCCGTGTGCTTTTTTTATGACTTTTTTTGGATTGCGGATGCCGTATGTGTTTCAAAGGGTGGAAAAGGTTCGAAGCGTGACGATCCGGCCGACAAGTAGAGATGGGGGGTGTGGTTGTAGAAAATGGGGAAGAGTCTTGCAAGTCTTGTTCTCTCGAAGCAGCGTCAAGCGCGAGAGGATAATTCAAAATGAATGAAAGGGATTCTGGTGAAGGATCGAGTCGAGTCGAGTCAAATCGAGATCGCGATCGATGCTGGGCAGAAACCGGGGGGTTGGGTTGGGTGGTAAGGGCGCGTCGCAGAGGCGTCCCGTGTAAAGGAAAGTGGGATAAATAAAAGGCTGGCCTATGCAGCAGTAAAAGAAGGGCGTATTGATTCAGTGATCGACCTGGTCGGATAAAAGACTGGAGGTTGGATGACTGGAATCGCAAGGCCTAGTTGAATCGATCAACGGGTTGGGAACGTGGAATCTCTCTGTTCTTTTTGGGGGGGGAAAGGATAGGAGAAACCGGTTCGAAGGAAGTGAAAGAATGGGGATAGGGGGGGGGGGGGATGGGAATAAGAATGAGCGGTACGGTCGTCGTGAAAGAGTGAAACGAACGACCTAGTCGGCAAAAAAGAAAAGAAGGTGAGAAAAAGGGAATGAAGACGACAACACGAGAAGGAGAGGAAGCAGAGCAGAGCAGCAGAGCAGCAGAGGAGAGTAGCGGAGGTGGGCACATCAGGAGATGCTGACTACTCATCTGGCAGGCACTATTGGCAGCTCGTGGGTCCCCCCCAAGTCGAACTACTGACTTCCTTGGTTTATGGTTCTGAATGGATCTTATGGATATCGACAGTCAAAACTATCTACTCCATAATCCTTTCTTAGCATTGCTTCTACTTTGACAATTACTTGTTTTCTCGTCCTCTACTCTGCCTCTATCTACTCCCCGGTTGCCCGTTTGCCCTTGGCCCCATGCATCTGCCTGCATCCATGGGGGCCGGACACTGGGTCGCTGCCTCGCCCTCGGGCTCCTTGCACAGAAAACCTGTCCCACTGGTTGTGCGACAGATCGTCTAGTGTCAGACTAGAGAATGGCCATGAGCATGGGCATGGGCATGGGCATAGACATGGGCACGGTGGCGCTCCGAGAACCAGGACAGAACATCCCTCAGTCCCCTCCACTCTTTTTTTCGACCGTCCAGAACCCAGAACCTAGAACCCAAAACCCGCTGGATCGTCCGTCCCAAGTGCCGCCGAACGGCACCCAAACACGTGAGATCCGCGGGGGATCTGAAACGCTGGTACGAGATGCCCGTGATGCTGGAATGTTTGGAGGGGGCACCTCGGTCAGTACTCCGTACTCCGTACCAAGATCTTAGATGTGACAGAACCAACAAGGACATATTTTGGTCTTGAATCTCCCCTCCCCCCTAGTTTCGTTTCGCTTCGCTTTTTCGCACCTGCGCTATCTACTCTGCGCTGTCCGCGCCGCCCGCGGCCCTCCTGCAGTTCTGTTTTGTCGGTCTCAGGGACCAGCCAACCCCTGATTCGCGAACTCTTTCAGCCACGGGCTCCGCTAAGCGCCACCGCTGGTTTTCCCACGGTTGTCAGGGGCTTCTCCGGGGACTTGGAACCAATGAGCGTACAATTGGTACAATTGGTCACTGGCCCACGGTGCCCCGAGTGTGCGGACAAGAGGGACAGCCATTCAGGTACCCGCACTGCTAGTCATCATGATTGGTTTCGCGTGCATGACAGGTCATTCCAGACATGGGTTGGACAAGTTCAGTCCCGGTCCCGCTCGACTGTGGGCTGCTGCAACTTTTCACGGGGGTCTAGCCTTGCCATGTTCCCTAGCATTTCTTCCCCCTCCCCTCGAGTTCCGTGCGCTATCTTACTGGGCCCCATTGGTGCGATTGAACCGAGACGGCCAGCGTGAGGACTGCCTTGCAGCGCACGTCACAGGTGAGACTCCGTGCGCAGTTGCGTCTTCCGTCGCATCCGTACGAGTACTTCGTAGGAAGAAGAAGGGCCTTGTAGGGAGTACTCCGTACTCGTACTGCGGTTAGTTTCAGTTCTGGTTCTGGTCCTGGGCCAGGAACAGGAAAAAAAAACTTTGTGGTACCGTTCTTGCCGTGACACAGTCCAGGCCCTTGACCCCATCAGGCCCAAAGCTAGGGAACGGTGTTCTTTGGAAACAGAGTTGGGGTTGAAGTGGGCATGGAGATCCTTGCCCGGTTGGATACTCAGACTCTTCTGGTGGCATATCCAATTGGGTTACTGCTTGTACACTGCCAGACTTATACTCGAGACTTGGACTAGGTGTGCGACAGTGTTGTCAGAGTCTATGCGTAATGAAGCATCAACTTGAACGTGGTTGTCTCCCTGACGTGGGATATGTCATATTATCTCCTTGGGCCAATGCAAGTTTATTCTCACTTCGCCTTTGTCATAGATGGCCCACATGTGATGAACCTTGGAACATTGCCACCCCCGTTTATATTTAGAAACATCTATCTTCCATCTCCGAGTCCTCACAAGGTTTTCACTCTCTCCGGTCAAAATGCAAACAAGCAAGAACCCGCATCTAGGGCTTTAATCTGTCTGTCTGCACTCGAAACCGCCTGGTCCGGGTCAATCTCAATCATGTTCTTCAATTGTAACTCGTCCGTGATCTCCCAGACTCGCTCCGTGAGTCGCATCGCCATGTTGCGTTGTTGTTCCCGATAGTACTCGGTCATTGACCGATGCTTCTGTCGCACCCAAGCACGGTCGGTCGGGGTGACAGCCTCCCGGGCTGCGAGATAGAATGGTTGCGGCAGCGACGAATCAGGGCCGCAACCCGTAGAAAGACGATCCATCAGGCCAAAACAGGTCTGTGTGAGATGCTGGACTCGGCGACAACGAGTTGGATCTCTAAACACGCGTCGCGCGAGTAGTAAATGAGCGGTCCAATAATAGCACTCCGTGAGAATGTCTAGCGGTGGTCGTCGTTCACACTCCGTTAAGCCTGAGGTGATACCTGTATAATGAGAGCCCCATGAGCGGAGATCATTCTCCAATCGATGAGCTTGAGCGAGGAGATCGCTGATCGACGCCTGTTGCTCCAAGCGATCCTCAACGTCACACGCAAGATGCGCAATCCTCACTAGGAAGCACATCAAGGGTTGGGGACACCCCGTCATCTCGTGGAAAGAAGGCTCTGTCCCGTCCCACCGCGCCGCATCAGGTTGGTGCAGAATGAAGTTGCCAGGTGCGTACGGCCGTCGCTGTCGCGCGATGGCCAGCATCACGTCAACCATGGCGAACCGTTGCACCGCCATCCGGGTGAGGGCACTGCGTGGTATCTGGTGAAAGTAGTCCAGCGTCTGCATGAGGAATGATGCGCATCTGACATGCGGTTCCAAGATCCCATCCTCTGACTGGGCGACGACAACTCCTTGTAGGACAATTGCTGTGAGTAGTGCCTCGTGATCGCAGTTTCTGGTTGGTACTACTACGTCTCTCGTTTCACAGCCATTCCCATTCCCGGCTTCAATCAGTCGCAGGTTCTGTCCAATTGTTCGGAGCATGCGTTGTTGACGGTGCGCTGCTGTTGACACACTGCCGAGACCAAAGTTGAGCATGTGCTCCGTAGCTATGCAAACTATTGTGTCGAGGAGGACCGGGGATGATAGTGCCGTCCATGAGAGTTGTCGGTATGGATTGTCTGGTCCGTCTAGCGCGGGGACGTTGGAAGAGACCAATCTCACGTCTGGTCTGTGTCAGTGTGGAAACCTCACGGTCCTCACAGAACGGAGACATACAGTATTCCCAAGCTGACTTCTCCTCACCGGATTGAAATAAATTGCCCGAAAATAGTGAGAGGGGCCCGCTAGGTCCTCCTGCACTATCGGGCTCCTGAGGTTCCTTTCGAGATCGATGTCTCGACGCTGTAGGTTGCGCACGACGCACCCATTTCAGCGTCGAAGGATACTGGCAGGTCAATCCCCGTGCAGCGCAAAAGGAACACAAGGGGCGCCTCTCATCGCATTTCTCGTGCTTTTTTCGACATGGTAGGCATCCTACCGCGCTGTGTCAGTTGTGGCCTTGCGCATCATGCTTGAGTATGGGCGAGCTTCCTACCGGTTCGCGATCGTGTGAAACGCTCCCCACGGGGCATTCCGTTGATACGGTTGACAAATACAGTACTTCAATCAATGCAAGGCAGGTGAGATGGCAATATAATTGAAGTGGGGAACCAGCCACATTTCCCCGCTTATCAAGACCCGATCACATGATGAAGTTTATACTACGAATTTGTTGAACTTCAACTTGAAGTTGTTGTATTTTCATCTATAGGTCTCGTGGGGTGTAATTGCGAGCGTAACTTGGGAGTGGTGCTCATAGTATCATTTACTTTGTAAAAGTGTTTTGGTTTCTGTCAATTGGCGATTTTCAACGAATCAAAGTGCTAGACTTTAATGCGTGGTTTTTACAAAGAGGGTAAACCTTGTAAGATCTGAAAGATGCCTTTAATAGAATGAAAATCCGAGAGATCTGAATGTTAATCCTCCTTCAAAATTCCCTCTTCAAGTTGGACAAAGGCAAAGTTCCCAAGCACCGCATAATAATTAGCAGTCATTTCCGCTGCTAGCCTCAACGAGAGGACATCTTGCTAACTTTTCAAAATATGGAGCAGATCATCTAATATCTCGATGTAGAGACAGTCAAACGAAAGAACTACCTTCGAAAACTCGACAGAATATGATGACACGCTTATTTTCAATAATTTTTCCAAAAATAGTCGAAATACGACTGTCGATCTCCAAGCCTTCCGCCAACTCTAAACATAATTCCCATTCAAGATCTTGGCTCTCCACACCTCGTGTTTATCACCCCTTGATTAAACGAAGTACGGAATACTTGATTCAGACACGAGCGACACAGACCCAGAGGCGAACAACAAGCTCCGATCTAAGCAACATGTGCCGGACCTCGTAAACTATTATTGGATATCCACTTGTCGTATTTTCTAACAAGTAAAGGATCCTTCTCTGGGTCGTCACGGATTGGCCTGGGAATCCCACCAATGCGTGGCTGGGATATCGTGCACCTGGGTCATTTAGTTTTCCTGGCCCCCGTTTCATCAACTCTCTGCAGATTTATTTCTATCTTGATTCGCAGATCTTCATTCTGATCCAATAAAAACACGATTTTGCATAGTTGGCAATCGAAATAACTATTACTCCACTTTCTCAGGGCTATTCAAACTCGGATCGGTGGGTGCATACTTAAACCCGACATCCCTCGCACTCAATGATACAATCCAAATTGAACTAATCGATAACTGCTCATCTTCAATAAATACTCTACAATCATGAAGTTCTTCGCCACTACTTTTCTAGTTACCTTAGTCACCAGCGCCGTCGCTGTGCCCCATTCAAACACTTCCTCCACCGACGTTGGAAAGAAGATCCTATCCACAGCCATGACAGCCAAGGGCACGCCATATGCTTGGGGTGGTGGTTCCTGCAGCGGGCCTTCTGATGACCAGCCTCCCTATGACTATGGTGATGTTGGCTATGACTGTTCCGGTCTCGTCTGCTGGGCCGTCTGCAAGGTAACGGGTCGCGACCTGTTCACGGAGGGTCTTCGCGTGACTTCTTCCATGTACTGTGCATCTGAGAGTAAACTGGGGTATAAGTGAGTGCATTCCTGTCGCATGCAGAACATTGCAAGTCAAAGTAGCTTATCAAAGTGTTCGCAGGAAATATCCCTTGTCCCAGCGCCGTGTTGGAGATGCCATTTTCTTTGGTGGCGAGTGTGACTGCAATGAAAGTGGCAGCATTCATCACGTCGGACTTATGATGTGAGTTTCAATTCAATTGCCTTCCAATTCAATGAGACTGACACGGAACTTAGGGATTCTGGCGATCGCATGTGGAATGCTCCCAATGATCGCGTTAACCAGGTTCAGGAAAACAGCATTAAGGGCTTTGGCGAGGAACCTTGCCCTTATGTCATTCGGTTTACATCATAGAGGAATTGTGTTTATTCTTGAGAGAATGGTCTCGATATACTGTGCTATACTGCCCTAGAATTGAATTCGAAGATGTGTCAAAGCTCCGGCAATAAAGCATAGAATTGATTGCAACTCGAAATCAGGACCTATGATAACTAGGAAAACGACATTCATTATGGTATAGCTCCTTACATAGTTGTGGACGTGACATGAGGAATCTCAACACTTATACAACTCAACCGAGGACTTCCTGAATCACTTTGGATGCACGATCGACAATCAATTCAATCTCCGCTTTGGTGGTGTTGTACGGCGGAGCCAAGCAAATATGGTCGCCATTAACTCCATCTGCGCCACCGTTACCTGGCATCAGTGAGATTGCGTACTCCGGTTTCAGGCCAGTTGTGTGAAGAGTCCATGCAACTTTTTTAGATGGAGGATAGGATTCCTTAGTGCTCTTATTCTGCACGAATTCCAACTGTAAAAGGGTTAGCTTATCTCAAAAGGATTAAAAACAGAGGCGGGCAGCGACTTACAGCCCAGAAAAGACCCCGGCCACGAATGTCACCAACGTGAGGGTTATCACCCAATTTCTCGTGAAGGAGACGACCAAGGTATTCACCCATTTCACGAACATTAGGAAGTAAATTGTCTTCTTGGATAATCTGTTGCACTCTGTAGGCAGCCGCACAAGAAACAGGGTGGCCCTGGTATGTCTGACTGTGAGCAAAAGCTCCTGTGCCTCGAGTAAGTGTGTCGACCACATGCTTGTTCACCAGAAGACCAGCAATCGGAGCATATCCAGCGCCAAGCCCCTTAGCGATGGTCTGTAGGTCTGGAACGACACCTTCTTGTTCCCAAGCATGGAGGGTTCCGGTGCGGCCCATCCCAGACATCACTTCGTCTAAGATAAGTAGAGCCCCATGACGCTCGCAGACTTCTTTCATGGCTTTCAGATAACCAGGGAGCGCAGGCACACATCCTAGTGTCTTTGTATAGTCAGTTGAGGCTCATACAGTCCCGATTTAATTTCAAACTTACAGCTCCAGACATGGTTTCTGCCACAAACGCACATACTGTGTCTGGGCCCAGACTCTGAAACTTGTCCTCCAGCTCCTGCGCTAATCTTGCAACGTAGCCCTCGGTGCTTTCTCCGTCCTTCATTCCACGATATGGATAGCACTGCGATACATGATGCACGTTCTTTGTCAAAATACTCTCATAGATAGCTCGACGGGCAACATGATGGCCAACGGCAAGGGAGCCAAGGGTATTGCCGTGATAGGATTGCGTGCGGGAAATGAAGTTCACTCGTTGGGGCTGCGGGGTAGGAAGCTCTCTGAAGTACTGCATGGCCATCTTGACAGATGCTTCAACGGCCTCGGTACCTGGGCGAATGAATCCGAGTCAGTAATTAAGAGAGTGATCCGGCGAATGATGGCGACTAACCTGAGCTCACGATGAACGCTCGAGACATCTTCCCACCAGTCGAGTCCACCAGAATCCTAGAGAGATTCTCTGCGGCATTATTGGTGAAGTATAGCGAGTAAGCGTAAGGAATCTTTTGTAGTTGTTCCATGATAGCATCATGCACACGCTTATCGCTGTGTCCAAGGCAAGATACGGCTGCACCACAGGTGGCGTCCAGAATCTCGAGGCCGTCATCGGTGATGAGGTAGCTGCCCCTTCCACCGACGATGTTAAGAGGCTTCTGACGAAGTTGGTGATAGAGAACGCCGCTATCATTGGCAGAGGTATCCTTCAGTTGATTCCCCATTGCGGCTGGGGTGGGCGAAGCAATAGTCTCGGGTTGGTAGTCACCCATGATGGAACCGATATGTATAGAAAGATAATACTAACTTCAAAAATCCGGAGTGTTAGTAAGGGGGTGTGTATGTCTCAGGAGATTGGAGCAATTGAAGAGATGTCTTTTGAATTGGTCGGTCATACCCTAACTTATATGTGTTTGCCAAGAGCCGGTCGGTCGTAAATGACTTCAGGTTCCCCACGTCCTAAAAGGTACAACAGCAACCCTCCAAGTTACTATTGGCTAATGATAACTCATATCACTCCGGTTCAAACGCCATAGCTAGAGTGTCTTCTACAGTGCTCCAGATCGTGGTTAGGTATGGGGGGATTTTGTGGTTTATCGAGGAGAACACTAATCCCAAAAAGGAAATCTTTGTCGGACCCACACGGTGCGGCGTCCAATTGGAAGGCTGTGGTTGGCTCTCCCCCGCCGCAGAGTGGTTGCAGATCGGCAGATCGGGCGATAAGAAATCCGTCCTCCAGTACGTCAAGAGGCTCTGGCCATGTTCGGCCGACCTAGTTTCTGGCATTTTGGATTGGCTATCAAGGCCGTTTACGGTGTTTGAAGTGAGCTGTGATTCGTTCAAAACGCCCTTCGATATGATATCTCCTATGTGTCGTGTAGCCCGGGCTAACTGCATCTGTTGAGATTCTAGCTATGGTGTAGGTGCCAATCAATGGTATATCAACTATAGCCTCCAAGATTCAGAATGAAAAATATGAAATTCTGCAAAGAAAAACCATATACTACTGGTAAATAGCAAGCATTCTAATCGTCTTGGTCCTGTTGTGACTGCCCGGCATAACAACTTGAAAACCTTGGAACTTTTAAGTAAATATATGTTGCAGACCTGTTACTACTTAGGTATTTAGTACTACTATCTAGTACTACCCGTGGACCAGCCTGCGGGCTGGAAGATTCAATTGAATTTTAAACTTCAAGTTCCAACTTAGAGGTCGAAGTCTTAGGGCATGATGTCCATTTCTACTGTAGAAATGAGACTCGAACGGATCTAATCCCCATGATAAACACAGCCAAACGAAGCAACTACTAGTAGCAAGAAAGTTCGAGCGAGCGATAATTGAAGACAACCATTAGTATCTGAAACCAAACAACCACACAATCTCACTGAATCGATCGCTGACCACCACAATGATGTAAATATACTACTCGAAATCATAACCAGAGCCTGGACCCTGTCGAAACCACCATCTATGCACCATTATTCCAGACGATTCTGTCCAGTGACAATTCACAAGACACATCATCCGAGAGCCGGAGCTTTTCCATCTATGAAAAGAAGCAGAACAAGAAGAAGACAGCAAATACATGCTAGCGAAAAGAAACACGCACGCAGAAAGCCATCGTCATAAGTCATAACATCATCACCATATTCCACAAACCCAACCAACCATACGACTGGCTGAGCCGAACATTCCTCGCTCTCTCTCCTTGCCTCATTTCCAAAACCTAAGCCTCCTGCCTCGAATAAGCCAACTCCATCGCCGAACCAGGGACCCCACTAACAATAACCCTCTCTCCACGCTCAAGCATGACCATTCGCTCCGGACTACTTCCACCACTCCAACTACCCCCACTACTGCTCACCGAGGTATCTGTATCATCGTCTCGACTAGACTTGCGTCCCGTACCGATTGCAATGGGGATCCCCTGCACGATACCGCCATGATTAGTACCGGCCGGGTACTTGCCGTCATTGACGGAGAAATTGCGGCAGATCAGGTACGCGCGCATGGCGGCACTTTCTCGGGCTAGCTCTTCGCTGCCGTAGACTGCGTCTGTCTGGTACTCGCGGTTGTTAACGCGTACGACGCAGGTGAAGCCCGTTGGTGAGGTGTATGCTTCGTAGGAGGGTTCTGGCCAGCGACGACGGCGGCAGAGGCCTGTTTTTTGTTTATTAGTGATTTGTTCTGTGATTTTCTGGGCTTGAATTCCCTGTGTGTAGGGAAATATATAAGAAGAAAAGTACTAGGCAGCAGACGAGGGGAGGGCTTGTGTCATGGTGCTGCTAGTAGTATCCGTGGTGCGGATGATTCTCTGGGGTCTCAATTGAGATTTGCACCAGTGGAGACACAAGCGGGGACATCGATTCGAGTCGAGGCGCAGTAGGAGATTATGAGGCTATTCTGCGTCGGGATATACGTACTTGCAAGGTAGAGAATATAGTACATCTCGGCGAAGTGGATCTTCAACGGCGAAAACGGCCACAGGGAATAGAGATAGAACGGAAAGCGGCGTTGCCACTGTCAACTTCGCAATCTGAGGCGCGGCTAGCCCGACAGCATTGAAGGGATTGGCTGATGAAGTGTGAGACGGGAGACGGGTAGGGCTGAGACGGAACTGTGGAATGGAACTGCAGCTACAAGATATGCGGATGGCGATGCCCAACGGTGCTGTTGTCTATCATAGACTAGGCGAGCCAAGATCCGGGATAGTGGGATCTGGTCGGTTTTTCTTGCTTCTTTGTTCTTTGATTCAATGCTGACTGGTGGTTTTGCTGGTTGTAATTTTGACTTTCTTTGTTGGGTTGGGACTTTTTTCTCTTATTTCCAATCCTTCCTTTCTGATTCAAACTTTTTTTTGGAGGCGTCGTTCGTTTCACGAGAAAGATGACCAAGACAAGATGTTAATGCAAATGTAACCACTCTGCTCACCACTCGAGGATTAGGAGGATATTGGAAAGGTGGGACAGGGGAGGAAAGGAGAAAGAAGGTGTGAATGAGGAACCAAAGGCTTGAAGAAGGCATTAGAAAGATGCCACGCCACACACACATATACTGAATACACGTCCCCCTCCGTACCACGCAGGAAGGCAAAAATACAGGACAAGGGTTTAGTGCAAACAGAGAAAGAAAATTAATTTTCACCAGGCCTCGCAAGCTATGCTTAATTGATGGTTTTTTCCTCTACCGGAAACGGGTGGGGCATTTGCATTGATACAGAGTCATACCATGTGTTGTCCCCAGTGTATCCGATACCTCTATGCGCCAGTACAAGAAGAGCAGCGACGGAGGTAGAGGGTCCAAGAGGGGGGACAAGGAATTGGACGGTTGCAATCGAGACAGCGCACAAAGGAGGCAAAAAAGCCTAGTACCGAAAACCTCACTAGGATTATACTAGAAGGCTAGGCTTACGAAGAGGGGGGAAAGGAAAATCATAATTGAATTCTGCAGGAAGGATTCGACACCGTTGTCTCAGTAGTCGCTGCAGAAACCTGAAGAGGTAAAACATAGGACGGAGGAGACCGTTTCTCCTGGAGATTAGCATCTGCTTGCGCAGTCTAAAGAAATAGAAAGGGCTTTCCCGGACCGAAGTACCCTGGTCAAATGTAAACTAAGAGGGAACCTTTGCTCTAATTCTGATACATCCTGAGAGAAAAACAAAAGAAACTCTCGGATTACCCTGGAACATGGGACCGGGTTCAGGCCCGGGAAGAACGGGAATGGTGTTGATGGAAAATTAAGTCGTATTGAGGTACAACGCTCGTAGGGAAGCATGTCATGGATGTCGCGGAAATGCGGTGACCAGATTGGCTACAAACGAGGGGGAAAGGTCTCAATGGCCCAGGCTGTTACTCTGAAAAGGGTCCCAGGGCAGGGTCAGTGGGAAGCATCGTACTGTAAGCGTGCTGCGGTATGTTTTCTCGGTGGGTTTGGAAGCAATGATGCGCTGGCATAGCTGTTTGCCAGTCGAATCAAGCCGAATGGAGGCACGCCCTCTCCGGGGCCCAGTGGGCTTAGGGTTCCCCCGCCTGCAATTCGCCGATCGAAACAAAGAGCTCGGAGACTAAGCAGCTTATCCCGGGTGCTTTGTCTCGAGGCCTGGTCCTGGACTTGGACTGTAACTGAGCTCTTGGGTCGAGGAGGGGGGCAGCTCGCCCTTTTTTTAGTTGACCAAATCTAGTACCTGACCTGAAGCTATCAAAATATGCGGCGATTGGGGGGTTTTCGTCAGGGGGGCCAGAGAATGGACAGGCGGCACTGGGCAATGAAGATAATCTGCAGAAACGGAACAAGTCCATTGCCCCTCGGTTCGTTTGAGTTTTGGCTTGGGCCCTCTCTATCGCCCCGCAGTAAACGCAGTATGAAATTTTGCCGCTGGATCTTCCTGGAGGCGCGCTGCAAGAATCCACCACAAGATGGGCGTGATTGGCGCACTCTGTTGGCGCCAAGGAGGACCCGGGTTCGACGATGTTGTGCAGAACGCGCCTGGAATTGAGATCCTTTGGAATTGTAATTGAAATCGTAATCATATTTTGAGTCTTAGGATGTCGAAGTTATTTTCGTCTTTTGTTAATCCACCCGGAGATGCGCTGGAAGAGATCAGATCAACTTCGGAGCTCGGGATCGCAGCCTCGAATGGAATCGAACGGACAAAGTTACTCGACAGGCATCAGACGCAGTGATGAGTTGGCATGCGGTGGGGGAGCAATTTATTTGCAGTGACGATGACTTTTGCCAAGTTGGGCCTCGTGCAGGTCAGTGAATGGCAAACAATGTTGATTTTGCTGCAGTAGAGAGGAGCGGGCGGCTACAATACGGTTGATGTTTACTTCACTGCTCCGTATGGAGTATATTATGTTGGCACTGGCATTCGATTCTAGAGTCACATACAGACCTCAATGCAACGAAAACGCCAATATTCCTTGTAGTAGTATCCGAAACTTGCTTGGACTAGCAGAGAAATTAAATTACAACGCGTACGGAGTACAATCCCATCATTGCCGATATCGCACTGGCCAGATTGATCCCTTGCATCTCGCATGCCCTGATTCTAGCACTTTCTCTCTCCATCTCCCTCTCTCTCTTCCCCCAGCTCGTAAAGCTTGGACTCATCATCCGCGTGGCTCCCACGGGGAGCCCCGACCGGGAGTGAAAAAAAGTAAAAATACAATATTATCCAAACCCCCTTGGACGGAGCTGTGGTGGGCCTCCCCGGCACAATTCCTTCTTTAGATGACTCCTGCAGGTCGGACGCGTTGGCCATTCTCAGCCTCCTCGTAAAGCCCATGGAGCTTTACCATCCATGAAGGTGTCAAGCCAGATAGGTTGTGTTTCACCATTGAATGGGGATCAGTTCACGCCCCTCGGCCGCTAGGTTGCAAAGGGTTCCGCTTCATACCAGAGCCGCATCTTCTCGGCGGCTTGGTGCGGGATTACATAGATGGGGTGGAACGCCGTTAACCGATCGCTCTTCTCAAACACATTTTCATCGGCGCTAGTTGGTTTTGACTGCCACGAAAATGCCGAGGAGAAATTCTTGTTGGCACAGGGGCTGGAGTCCGTGCGATAATGGTGGTGTTGTGTTGCGCTCAAGCCCGTGAGAACGTAGCAGGTGTGGTAAGCATCCGCATGCCTGAGTGTGACGGTCAGTGACTGCTGCAAACAAATATCAAAGTGCACCCGGGTACACAAGTACTCACTTTCCAGGCTTATCGCGGAGACCCCCTTGGGGGTGTTGGCAACACGCGAGAATGTATCGGTCCAACCCCTCGCGGCTGAACAGACTGCCAACCGTTGTTGACGGTGCACTAGCTGATTGCGGCTTGCCGTCCAAGGCGGATTGTAATAGTGGCCAGCATCCGCCAACCCAGTGACTGTAGCAACCGTCGACGAGCTTGTTGGTACGCCCGGAAAACCCACCCTCTGGAGCATACTGACGTGCAGATAGCCAAGACAGCAGCAGGGGTAGATTCATGTGCCTTGAGGCGAAGTCAGTGTGACAGATCTAGATGAACAATTGGGAGGTCATACTTTGCAATGGTTTTTTTGGGAGGACCCAAAATGGAAAGACATGCCAATGCACAGAAAGCATAAGCACCATGCGCTTCAACACCGGGGCTCCCGGAGATACCACCCTCAAAAGACTGGCCTTTTAAGTCGGGTTAATACAAGTTGTTTACGCAAATTGCATGGTACTAGAATAAGGAGGTATCTTACATCGCGACAGATACTCCCCAAGGCCATCTGTTAAATTGTCGAAGCCCGCGAGTCGAGCCTCAGAAGTGGGAGGCAAATCTAGGGGCAAATTTAACAGTGATATAATGACCGATGCGCAGTATGCGCCGCTGCAATGACGGGAACGATTAGAACAAAACAGGAAAACTTAGATCTTGCATCGATTGAAGCTGGCGACTTACCGCACGTCCTCTTCTCCGCCTTCGCAAACGCGAAATCCTCCATCAGCCTGCTTCAAGCGGCCCAGCCATTGCCACCTAGAGTGGTCAGACGCACGAGCTTAACAAGCTAAGGCAAACCCTCGAGGCGATAACTCACATTGCCTGCCGATCCACCAATGCGAAAGCGTCCGAGCTCCCGACCATTGCGAGCGACAGAACGGCTGCATAACTGCTAGCGAGATGAGATATTTGGCCATGCCCGCCACCAAAGCCACCCGTAGGGTTCTGCATGGGCCGGATTGATGCAATCACGCTGCAGGAGAATGGTTAGTGACATGTTTCTCAATGAATCTTGCTTCCTGTAGCGTTCGAGTCTTCGCAGCAAAAGAGAGGTGGAAACAAGCAAAAAGCAAAAAGCAAAGATCGATATAAGAACCAAATAAGAATAAAATTGTAGCAATGGAGCGATTGAATCCATGAAACAATCAATGATGTTGGTGACGGAAAAAAGTAAAAATTTCAGCAGCCGTACCACATGGCCTGGGTGAACGAGAAAAAAAAGCAAACAAGGAAAAAGAAATAACACACCGTTGATGGACCCGACTGACATCCTCCCCAGAGAAGAATTAACCCTGCCAACCCCCAGTAGATCATCCAGGGGCGACTGGAATCCATGGCCACGAAGCCAGCGGGATAATCTTCCAAGGAATCATAGAGGTATTCGACATGATCGTCCCGTTGGAGGGCAGACACACCGCATGCATTAAAGGGACCCTTTTGGAGGTCGGAGATACCCTTGAGAAATGGCAGGCATTTGGAGAGCGTTGCGTCCTGCAGATCGGTGGTTTCTGTCACGAGCGGGTCGCGGATGGGCGGCGGCTGCGTGAAAAGGGCTGGGGTCCCCGGGTGAGGAGCTGCTTGACTGGCCATTTTCCAGCCTCGAGATGAAGTGGAGCGAGTGTCCGGGCACCTCTCCTGATTCTGATTTTGTTTCTGGGTCTGCTTCTGCGGTTTCTGTGCCGTGGTGAGGGGTGCTGTTTTAAGATGTGCGAATGGGAAGCGAACGTTGCGACGTTTCCCCGCGACCGTCGGCATATGAATTAGAAGGAATTGAATAAAATAGGATGGTGGATTGCAATTGATATAAATCAAGAAGAAGTCAATGGCACTGAAAGGGTTACCAATGGGGGAATTATTGATTGTTGCTGTTCCATGAATGAACCCGTCGAGGATTGACGTTGGCATTGTTCTTCCTTCCTTCCCTTCCCTTCCGCGTTCTGCCTCCCCCACTTCCACTTCCACTTCACTTCGACTTCTCCCTCTGGCGGGCCCAACTCGTTACTCCAGTACTCCGCACACTGCACTGCACTGCACTGCAGTCTTTGTCTGCCAGCATGCCAACATGGCTACACCATATTATAGCCAATGATTCTAAATATGGATCCTTGACAGTGTGCAGGAGTTAAACTGAATCCTCCGGCGCCTGCATGTCACGACTCCACTACTCCCGTCCATACAAAGTGTATGTATGTACACGGAGTACGGAGTACACGGGGTTGATGTGATCTATCCAATTTTTACGTCTGCACACGCAAAGTGGCTAGTGGTGTCATCGCGGTGTCTCATCGTGCAGAGTGGCTTGTTTCTCTTCCCCTCCTTGCTTCTTGCTTGCAGATGGCCCAACCGTGCAAGAACTCAACCCCTTCGCCTTCCGAACGATTAGACCTGTCGACAACTTACATTCTGCCCGGATTATGATCAAGGTTCATGCTCATGCTCATGCTCATACTTCTCACACTTTGCTAAACGTGAACTCGCCGAGCTATGCTTCGCAGAGATCATCGTCATCGGCCTATCCCTGTCTGTCCACCTGTTCGGGGCCCGCTCCGAGCCTCGACGTGGCCAATCTACTTCTTACGGACCAGGTCATGATTATGTCTATTCCATACTGGGAACAAGAAGGAAAAAAAAACTCTCTGCATGGCCCCCACCGTCCATGAGGGAATCCCAGGGAGAGACCCTGGAATATACGAATCACGGGCGTTGTGCACATCACCGATCACGATGATTGGGCCCAAACCGGGACACATTGCACTATCAACGATCGCATGTCAGATCGGCTCATGCACGGTCCTGGAGGATTGTGTGCTGGACCTTTCCCAGTCATACCTATGACTTATTGCCACAGCCTTTCAACACTCGGTTACTCCACTGATCTCCCGTCCCGCCATTCCCGTGGGCGAGACGTGGGACTCTCTCCCACGGTCCCCATTCATTTGGTCCAGCACTACATACATCCTCTTCCAGTAAACAAATACACCAAAACAAATACCAGAACTCTGATCAACTGGCGTACAGACCAAAAAGAAGACTAAAATAAAGGATCTCATCCCGCCAGGCGACCCGGGGAGAGGGGGGACCAGCGACCCAGGCCGCATTCCGGCCATGCGGGATCATGGGACCAGAAACTAGCGATTCGCACTGCCTCTCCAAGTCTCCAAAGTCTCCAACTTCAACAAATCTCTGCTGGGCCAACAAATCTCGAGGAATCGCAGCCCTCGCGTGGCAGTATGGCCCCATCCATCGACGCCAGCGAGCAAAGCGCACGCATCAGCCAGCCTCCACTCTCCACACGATTTTCCCCTAGCGCATCTCTGCTCACCGCTGCTTTGTTCCCCCCACCGCCTCACTCGCCCACTTCTCTCATGGCTGTGTGACTCTCTCTGAAGAAGGCCTTTTCATCCAGGCTGGTCCTTTCCCTTGTTCTCCTTCCTGCCTTTCCCACGTTATTGGCATCAAAAAGACGCCATGTCAAATGTCGATTTATCCAGCGACGGCCTCATCGGCGTCGATTACGACTCCAGAGGCTATCTCCAGCAGACATGGCCTGTGGCGGCCGACCAACACCCCTCCCGGTCAGACGAAGCCCACGACCTGTCGCCTCTACAAACAAGCGGTCACCCCCTGGAACAGTCGGTGGCCCAGGATCCCAACCTCTTGGTCGACTGGCAATTTCAACAGCTCCAGGCCCCTCATCAGCAGCATCTACCATATTCGCCCGAGGGCCATTCATCAGCACCGCAGTTTACCGCCGCTAGCTATGGCATGGCCATCCAATCCTCCCCAGTGGACCTCATGTCTGGGCCCCACGGACATATGAGCACCGGTTTTGTCGACAGTTCCTATCACCTACCCCTCTCCGCGCCTGTCGACATGGTGCCATTCACCTATCACGACTTCCAGACGGATCTGATGGGGTTCCCGAACTCGCTCACAGATGTCTCATACGCGGCCCCGCACCCGGTTCTGGAAAGTAGCTCGCCCACAGACACCTACCTTGAAGTCCGTTCCCTATCGAGCAGTGATAATGGCTGGAGCACGGTGGATCACCGGCGTTCCTTCGACTTTGGTTTCCCCGAGCAAGGCATATTCGTCAACCCCACCCAGACGTTGCACGACCGCAGTCTCTCAGAATCGTCCTACTCGACCTCCTACGGTAGCTTTGTCGACCTTGCCAATCCGATCAGCTCTCCCAGCTCTGAGACCAACATGGATCTGCCATACAACAACCCCCATGGCGTCAGTCTCGCAGGTACCTCGCCAGCCAGCAGTTCCATTGTACGCCACGAACGCTCTTTACCGGGATCCCGCTCCCCATCAGCTGTCAGCCCCAGCACCGCCATGGTGCGGCCTATCCCGGTCCCTATCAAGAAGTCTACCTCGCCAACTCGTTCTTCTGGCTCTCAATCTTCAGCATCACCGCCCAGCCGGAAGCCATCAAGAAAGAGTCCCATTGCAGCCAAGACGGCAGAGACCAAGGTCCGCAAGCAGTCCCAGACCGGCAAGCCCGACTCTGAGAAGCGGGTTGGTAAGCGAAAGGGCCCTCTCAAGCCTGACCAGCGTAAGCAAGCCAGTGAGATCCGGAAACTGCGTGCCTGCTTGCGTTGTAAGTTCCTGAAGAAGACTTGTGACAAAGGCGAGCCCTGTGCCGGATGTCAGCCGTCGCACGCTAGGTTGTGGCAAGTGCCGTGTACCCGCATCGACATCAAGGAGATTGGGTATTTCATGAAGGACTGGAAGGCGGACTACGAGCGACACATCTCGATGGGCTTCTCCGTTGGCAACATCAAGGGATTCTCGGATCAAGAACGTACCTTGTTCATCACCCATGGCTACGGCCAAATCCTACCTATCAACGCTCGCGAGGTCTACGTCCGTGACGAGCAGTGCTTTACCATCGACTGGGTCGAAACATTGCACCGCGAGCCTACAGAATATGAAGTCGAGACCGCCAAACTCTCCGCTGGAATGGAGGGCATCTCGCACGCCATGTTGTCTGACTACCTGGATCGACATATCGACGGCAACGGCACCTTCGAAAAGTTCGTAGACGATTACTTTGAAGGAACGCCGTTCCTCACCCAAATGCTCAAGACCGCGTTCCGCTATTACTACCGCACTAAGCTTCCCGTCATCCGCAAGGCCTTGAAGCTGATCATCGCTTATAACCTGACCCTTCACGTTACGATGGTCGAGGGACTGGGCTCCGAGGATGATTTCATGGGCAAGATCCAAGAACCAGGCTCCAAGTTCCGTGGCAAGACCATGGCCCCAGTGATGATCAACTTCCAGATCAAGTGTGCGATGGCGAGCATGTGGCGTGAACTCCAGAAGGATGTTCTGGAGGAGCTCTCCTCGCTTTACTCGAGTGTGTACAGTGGTGATAAGTTGAAGAACTGGCCGACTATCTTCATCCTGGCCTCAATTCTGCTGGCCGTATGGGAGGAGATGCAGTTCGATTGCCATTATCGCACACCCGACCAGGCTGCCGTCGACAAGTTTTGCACTGATATGGAGACCACCCCCGTCGGTGTCATTGTCGGTTTGTTCCAGGCAATCTCCCAGAAGCTGCCCCCCTTTACCGAGTGGGACTCGCAGAAGCACCACCAATTGCTGTACTCCAACCCGGACGTGTGCAACACCATGACCGAGGTTCGCCAACATGTTGAGCAGCACGGTAAGCATTTTGAACCCGCTCTTCTCTTTTAGTCCCCTCAGAGTACTAACCTTCTTCTCAGAGAGCTATCTGCGTAATCGCACCGGCACCAAATTCAACCGCGATGATTTTGACTGCCTTTCCAACAAATTTGTTTCCCGCCTTGTTATTCGTGCGAACTAGAGACGACCAGATGATGCGCATGCGCATGATAACGATGATGTTTTCACCCACGACTACTGTTTTCCCTCAGCGACTGCTGTCCAGCGATTGAAGATTTTCCCGTCAACAATTTTTTTGTTTTCGCCACGCCCTGGATGAGACAAGAATTCAAGAAACTAACCCCTCACGCGAAACGGTCGTGACGATGCGCGAGCGCGTCTCCCCCCCGCTCTTTTACGAAACTAACCCCTGGGCTCTCTCCTAGTGAGATCGAACCCCTTGTGCTCTTTGTGACTCTTTTATTTACCTCTGGTTTTTCTTGTTTCCTTAGCATTGTGGTTCCCAGCAACCGCCTATCTTTCAACCTTTCCTTTCTCCTTGGTGTCTACTCCTGTCCATTGTTTTACTGTTTTCAACCTACTGTGTTTTTTACTGTCTTTTGTGGTTATACCTTGCTCGCATAGCTCTCAGCGATGAACGAGGATTATGAACGTTATGACTGTGTACGGCCGACTTATAACTTGTTTCTTTTTCTTTTCTTTTTCGAATTTCATTGTGACAGCACCTAGCCGGTCAATACCAGTCCCGGTTTCAGCTTGGAACTGGGAAGCCGTGTGTGTTGACCGTCCCTCTCCTCGGTCGGGGAGGGATCGTGCCAGGGGAAAAGCGTGGGCACCCGTGTCCAACTGTTGTCGCAATTTTTCTTGTTTATTGCATGTCTTTTAGTGAAACCGGCGTGCCGAGAGGCGTCCGGGATGGGTGGAATTTTCCTAGCGGCCTGCGTGTCTATATATCCTGAATGGATCTACCATTGCCACTGGCGTCTATCCACTAACTACGGAGTAGATCCTCGTATATTCCTGTAGTTCTGTATACTGCACTGTCAGTACTCGGCAGTCGTCCGGATCCGGGGTCAGCTGATAGTCACGTGCATGGGTACGTAATCCACTTCGGGTGCATCACTGGGTACCGCGATGGTTTCAGACATTCTCACTGGCCAGAATGTCACTCAAATGGAGTTCGGTGGTCTAATCTTGTCCTCAAATGTGGACACGCCCTGGTCCACCCCCTCCTTTTACGATAAGCCCCTACTAACGTCATTGCCCCAGCCACGGCTGCCTTCGTACTTGCTCATTGCCTGCAATCGCCCTGCGCCCCGGCAACACGGCACTCGTTTCGGAGCGGCAACTTGGGTGAAAACTTTGATAGTTATAGCGTAGCGTACTAGTAGAATGAGGAATCCGAGATGGAGTTTTTCGGCAGGTACCAGCCAATGCCGGGGATAACCAGAAGAACCAGAAGAGCCTAGAGTGGCCACTGGTGGCGTCAATGACCCTGTTCCTCTTGACTCATCGGCTTTCTAGCAACTTCCCATCTTCGTTTGTCACTTGTCACTGCCACACCTGACTAAGGAACTCTCGCCCCCTCCCGGCTTTCATACTTAAGGCCTCTTCCCCTCTTTCACCACCATTCTCCTTCCCTCTCCCTCTCTCTCTCTCTCTCTCTTTCTTCTCACTCCCCCTTATCATATCGCATACTCTCCCACACCACCAACCTACCTGATCGCACTCCTATCATCATGCAGATCTTCGTCAAGACCCGTGAGTCTCCTTCCTGCCTTTCCGGCAAGGCCGCATCGCACCCGATGCGGCCTGGTCGCGATGTTGACCGCCACTTGCCAACATCGCATCCTCTGCTCTCCTCCCTTTGAATCTTCCCTGCTAACCCGCTACAGTCACCGGCAAGACCATCACCCTCGAGGTTGAGTCTAGCGATACCATCGACAATGTCAAGTCCAAGATTCAGGACAAGGAAGGCATTCCTCCTGACCAGCAGCGCCTGATTTTCGCAGGCAAGCAGCTTGAGGATGGCCGTACCCTTTCCGATTACAACATCCAGAAGGAGTCTACTCTGCACCTGGTCCTCCGCCTGCGTGGTGGTATGCAGATCTTCGTTAAGACCCTGACTGGCAAGACCATTACCCTTGAGGTTGAGTCTAGCGACACCATCGATAACGTGAAGTCCAAGATTCAGGATAAGGAGGGTATTCCTCCTGACCAGCAGCGCTTGATCTTCGCGGGCAAGCAGCTTGAGGATGGCCGTACCCTTTCCGATTACAACATCCAGAAGGAGTCTACTCTTCACCTGGTTCTCCGCCTGCGTGGTGGTATGCAGATCTTCGTTAAGACTCTGACTGGCAAGACCATCACTCTGGAGGTGGAGTCATCGGACACAATCGACAATGTGAAGTCCAAGATCCAAGATAAGGAGGGTATTCCTCCTGACCAGCAGCGTCTCATTTTCGCTGGAAAGCAACTTGAAGATGGTCGCACTCTCTCCGATTACAACATTCAAAAGGAATCGACACTGCATCTGGTTCTCCGCCTCCGTGGTGGTATGCAGATCTTCGTGAAGACCCTGACCGGCAAGACTATTACACTGGAAGTGGAATCGTCGGACACTATCGACAATGTCAAGTCGAAGATTCAGGACAAGGAGGGCATTCCCCCTGACCAGCAACGTCTTATCTTTGCCGGTAAGCAGCTGGAGGACGGCCGAACTCTTTCCGACTACAATATTCAGAAGGAGTCTACTCTCCACTTGGTGCTCCGTCTTCGGGGTGGTCAGTAAACGCTCTTTATGATTGCTCGACTACGAGAGGTCCTTTGTGGCCTGCATGGCGTTTGGTCGGTTTCGAGGCTGCGGCTTCTTTCCTCTTTCCTTTTTTTTTCTTGATGGGTTTACGGGCATAACTTCTCTTTCTCGGACACCCCTGATGGTGCTCCATAGTCCATTATCTATGAATTGATACTCGCTATTCTTGCGGTTCACTACTATCTCTCCCACGTAAACATGCATATACTTCATAGTCAATATTCGTCACGTAGACCCGTCGCTTATTCCCACCCTAATAATGTTTCTCGCTGACAGCCTGGGCACAAGCCATTCAATTATCGCCACTCCGTGTCAAAATCAAACGGACTAAACAGTTTTGCCTCTCGCCACCCTGGCCAAACTTGAAGGCTGCCCTAGAACTGGCAGATCCGGGGATGATTAGTCATTGCCTTATCGCAATCAACCCACGTCGACCCTATGGGGAAACTCTGGGAAGTTCCTATGGCTTGCAACCCCAGATAATCGATCTTATTGATGCCCATCCACAGTGCAAAGGGTGTAATCGCCCGGGATGCCCGCCTACTTCTATCATCTGATTCTTGAATTCTTTCCCGGCCCACAAAGCTCGTCGCCGTCAACCTCGCTCGCTCTCGAATCCGCATACGAAGCACTGCGCCCGTTCCAGAACATCGCCAGCTCCAAGTCCACTCACACCTCCAGCGCAAATACCAACAACGAACTAACTTTCAACCGAATATCACGACACCGTTACCCTGACTCATCAAGTGATAGCGGATACCCAAACGCCAGCGCCAGCGCCAGCGCCAGCGCAAAGACAGCTACAAGTACACCGAGCAAAAGCCCCTCCTCATCACACAACCCATCTACCTCACTATCATCCTCCAATAACTCCACCGACATCCGCTTCGACAATATTGCCATCGAGTGCATTGATATGGTTACCCCCGACTGTCCGCCGAAGCGTGCCCGCGCCCGCAGCGCCGCACAGGAAGAAGATAACCTCGTGGCGGCGGGCATCGGCACTGAGATCCTGGGCGGAGTACGCACAAAGGGTCGCTATATCCCTCTCGATCAGAAGGTTGGCGAGAGTATCTGGGGAATCGTTCATTTGTATCGCGATGCGCGGGAGTCGTCATTTCTTGCCGATGATGATGATTATCCGACCTATTTGAAAGGGTCTTCTGCTGCTGTTGCGCGACGTGGGCCTGACTCCGGGGGCTATGATGCTATCGCTGCTGGCAGTGGTCCGGGCGCGAGTAGCAAGCATGGAACCAGACACGGACATGGACATGGACATGGAAGGTCGCGGTCTGGAGCGCGGAGCACTGATTTATCGGGATACCCGTTTCCTGTGATGGCGTCGTCTTCGGCACAGGGCCCAGAGGAGGATTGCACGACGCTGTGCATTCTAGCTGTGCCGGCTTATCTTTCTGGTTCTGACTTTCTTGGCTTTGTGGGCGAGAAGACTCTTGATGATGTTTGTCATTTTCGAATGATTAGGACCTCGCGTGCCAATCGGTACATGGTTCTGATGCAGTTTCGGAGTGGGAGGAAGGCGAGAGAATGGCAGAAAGAATGGAATGGGAAGGTCTTCAATAGCATGGAGGTATGTCTCCCCTCTTTCCTTGTTTTTGTTGCTTGGGGTTATATCGGTCTGCTAACTGTCTGTAGCCTGAAACGTGCCATGTCGTCTTCGTCAAGTCGGTTGAGATTCAGGTAGCTGAGCCGGGATCTCTTTCTGGATTTTCGTCCGACTCTGGCGCCCTTCCGCCTTCAAGCAGTCAAGTCACGCCCCGACACGGTGTTGTCTCATCAACCGGACAAGCAACTTTATCCTCGAAACCCCTCGCCCCTCCAACACCAGCTCTCATCGAGCTCCCAACATGTCCTGTCTGCCTCGAACGAATGGATGAAACGACCGGTCTACTAACAATCATCTGCCAACACGTATTCCACTGCACGTGTCTCCAAAAGTGGAAAGGCAGCGGCTGCCCCGTCTGCCGCTACACCCAAGACGAATTCCGCAAAACCAGCCAAGTGCCCTGCGAAGATGAAGACCCCGCCGAGTGCAGCGTCTGCCAATCCGAGCTTAACCTCTGGGCATGTCTGATCTGCGGCAGCGTCGGCTGCGGCCGATACGATGGCGCCCACGCCTTCGACCATTGGAAACAAACCTCGCACGCCTTCGCCATGGATCTCACTTCCCAACGCGTCTGGGACTACGACGGCGACGCATACGTGCACCGTATCATCCAAAGCAAACCAGGCGGCAAACTACTCGAACTCCCGGCTGCAGATCACTCCGCGCTGGATCCACCAGACTGGGAAGACGCCGTCCCGCGCGAGAAACTTGAGAATATGAGCGTAGAATACACCCACCTCCTCACGAGCCAGTTGGAAAGTCAACGCGCGTATTTCGAGGAGATCGTTGAACGGGCTGCGGATAAGGCGTCGCAGGCTAGTGCGGCTGCAGCTGCAGCCGAGGCGGCTTCGTCCAAGACTACGATGGCGTTGGAAGAGCTTCAGTCTAAATATGATGCTCTCTCCGCTGAGACGATACCGGGTCTCGAGCGTGATCGAACACGTCTTGAGAAAAGGGCGGATAAATTCGAGGCACTTGCCAGGCGGATGGAGAAAGATTATCGCGAGGAGAAGACTATGAATCAGTCCCTTTTAGAGAGGCTGGATCTTCTTTCTGGAGAGAATACCACGCTGAAGGCTGCCAAGGTGGATTTGGAAGATCAGAATCGTGATTTGACTTTCTTTATCAGTAGCTCGCAGCAGTTGCAGGGCCAGGCGGAGGATATTGTTCAGGGAACTGTTAGTGTTCCTGAGCCTGAGGTGGAAAAGAAGAAAAATAAGGGCAAGGGGAGGAAGTGAATGACGGTTGATTTGATTGGATTGGTGTCTTCTTCCTTGTTTTCTAATAATGGGAGTGCTTTGCTTTGCATGGCATGGGCCTTTGCATACTAGACATTTCTGGTGCATGAGGGTTCGAGAGTTGTATGATTATGACTTATGATTTGAATGAAACTCAACGAGAATGCCTCGGTTTACACCACGTTGTCAACTTGTATCTGTCGAGATATTCTGCAGTGGCATCAAAGTCTGGTCTACTAGACTGCACAGACAATTTGAACTTGAACAAGTAGATGTGAAATTGAACCTTTCAAGGTCACGTTTGAATATTGGGAAACCTTAAACAAGCCCAGGTAGGCACCTGGGCAATGAAATAACCTTGGAAAATATCGGGCATCCATACCAGCATGAAGTTGGATACAGGCTATAAACCTTGGAAAGCTACTCAATTTTCTACTTTATGATCAGAACAAACACCACCAAGTTACCAGTATGTTGCTCTTGAAAAAAAATCTTGCTTCTAGTAAAGTTATAGTACAAATAATGTATGTATCTTACAAGGATATCTATTTTACGCCCTCAAATACCCTTCTTCACAGCCCAGAAGTAATTCCCCCCAATCCTCGGACCCAGGCACGATCTTCCAACCCAGTCCAGGCACATAAATAGTACCAACGCACTTCCATCGCATACCATCCAGTGCAGCGGGGCCCGCGCGGGTCACGTTTGTATCAGCAGCACGCATGAGACCCTCCTGCGCCCAGGAGTATAATTCCGAGGGGTTCACAAACTTGCTCCACTCGTGCGTGCCGCGTGGTACGACGCCAATGGGCCAAGGTGCTTCGGCAATGACTTGGTTTAAGATCCAAGATGGGAATGTGCGTGAGATGGTTGATCCAATGAGCCAGCCACCGGGCTTAAGAGCTCGCAGGCAGTTTGCAAGGAAAGCTTGGGGTGTTGTGGTGGTTGGGTCGATGTGTTCAATTACTTCAAAGAGGGTGACCATGTCGAATTGCTGGTGTCCAGTTGGTGAAGATGAGGATGAGGATGCGGGGGCGGAAGCAGAAGCGGAAGTGGAAGCGGGAGTGGAACCAGCAAGCACGTCTTCTAGTGTGGTGTTCAGGTATTGGAAGCGGCCACTACGCATGTGTGCCTCCACGGTGGGATCCATGCGTGCATGGTCCCGTGCGATCTGGATAAGTGTTGTGGTTGGGTCGATTGCTGTCATGGAAGCGGCACGCGTGGGCGTTGGGGCTGAGGCTACACGATCGAGCGGGATGGTGCGCGCAAGCGATTCGGCAAAAATTCCCCCACCGCAGCCAATGTCGAGGTAATCGAGGTTCGCGGCGGTCTCGGGGTTTGAGGATTGGGGAACTGGGGAGCCAACTGGCGCACTGTCTGCCAGACACGACGCAATGAATTCGTGACGGAGGGGGGTTCATTAGGTGGAGGATTCGTGATGGTCCCATGGGGTCCCACCAGGAGCTGGCGAGCTTGGAGAAATGCGAGACCTCATCGGCAGAGACGGATGATGTAGAATGCGATCGGTTGTTGGGAGATCTTCGTGGTAGGAGAGAGGGAAGAGGAAAGGTGTGACGATATAAGGGCCCGGAGCTGGTTGGAGCTGCGCGAAGTGCGCGGAGCGCGAGCGATCGGGGCCGAAGGTTTGCCATTGTGCTCAGTCAGAGCTAACTGGTTCAGATGGACCAGTGGTGGCAATGCGTGTTGTGTAATCGGGGGAAGTTTGGACAATTCGGATGGTCTGCGAAATTGGGTCGATAGAGATGGTTAGAATGACTAATTCACAATTAGCACATTGGTCCAGTCATTGGTGGTGGTATTTAGAGTAGTAGAGCACCCACCTAGACTCAGTGCATCATCTTCATTGCTCGTCTAGAGGGCTGGCCGGGAAGAAGGTAGGTTGAAGCTATCCACATGTCGCGACTCGGAAAATCTGCGGGCCGATATGGTTGAAGGCCGAGGTGCCCGCTGTCTCTCTTTTACTACCTACTAGGCTACTACACAGCCCTGGAGAGTCGAGAAAACCCCGCCTGAGTAGTTCTATGCCAGCCTGAGGTAATAGTATATGTTATCTCCATCTTTGAAGCTGACGTTTCCTCTGTTTTGGGGGCCTCCAGGGCTGTTTATCTACTAGTAGTAGATAGTACTAGTTATTAGTAGTAGGTGGCATATCGATAAAAGAGGTATTAATGATCAATTCTATTCTAATTAACTCCAAATGGTATCATAAAAGTCATAAAAGTCCACATATAGACCCGAGTCAAACATATCTTAGGAAAGCAGACAATCTTGGTAATCAATTTCGGCTCCTTGGGGCATCCCAGACATAGTAATAGTCTCGATTCGCTTGCAATCGGCTTCATCCTGTAAGTCCCTGTTTGCGAATGAATCCCATCCATGCCCAACAGCCCATGCACTTAGCTGATCAGGCGTGGCAGCGCCAAGAGTAGGAAGAAAATTGCCAGTAGTGATTGTGCAATCCAAACCTAACACCGTCTTGCAGCGGTCTAGTAAGTCCGGAAACAAATAAGATGGCGAGCCACGGATCTGCGACAGCGTGTGAAGTATACCCCAAAGTAGCTCCCGGGGATCGATCGTCGACTCGGAAAGCCGATCGACAGCTTTCGAGCCAAGTGATCGGGTCACGTCGGCGACTGACGAGCCCATGTCGAAGAGTTTTTGCTCCTGCAGTAGTTCAATTAGTATTCATACACTATATGCTTTGAATTGGAGATCCGAAGGAGATCTTACCATTCCGATCCCATGCGCATCTACTGCACCTTGAGATGCAGATCCAATCACGCTCATCACGGCTTTTCCGACCAATACCGGGAGATGAAAAGGCAATACCGAGTCGTCACGCGAGCCTGGTTGGGTTGCATGGTTCATGGATAGCTTCCACATCATAGATTGTAACCATTGTTGTGTAATCAAGATATCCACTTGTTGAATTTCGAGAACACCCTCCAGTGATATGGGCTTGCAAAGACTGGACTGGATAACGGATGTCGGTGGTCTCTCGACCAGTCCATCACTCCCTCCAGCGGCAAGCCAGTCGTAGAGATTAGCCGTGAGCTTCTCAAAAATATTGATCAAGTTGATAAAGCCGTATGCTAGAATTGGATCTTCCGAGCACAGGACCTGCGGTTTGTGGATCGAACTGCGAAGCATGACAGGCCTAGACTGCTGAAGCGCGTAGCCCCTACTTAAATTAGCATATAACTCTTCAATGGGTCGAATTGAATGCCAACCTTTCTGTTATAAATAAAAGCCAGAAGACTCGTCGCCTTTCCTCGGCCTCTTCTGGCGGATACTCTGCGTATCTTGACTCGCGATTTAAACCCAATGTAAATACCATCGAAGTAGCCTGGCATAGATAAAACCAGGCTTGGCTTTGCTTGTCGAGGTTTCCGTAGGAGGCAAAAAGAAAGAAGGACGTGAGAAGGTTCTCAATACTGATCTCTTCCACGATGTCACATTCGCGTCGCGCCCGCACGGCCTCCGCCAATAATTTCTCCCCGGAGACGAGGGAATGGCCATCGCCTAGACTTTGCAGGCGAATAGGATCCGGAACCGGTGTGGCTCCATCAAGCTTCAATTGAATATGGGTCGCCGCACACAGTGATGCCAGGAAAGCGTACCGGTGCGGAGAGAGTAGCTCTGGCTGGTGACTGTCGCGGCGCAACTCTTCTCCCCGAACGACGGGCATGATGGGAAACAAGTACTTCAAATAAACATTCACATGCGCCAAAAGAATCTGCGGCGTCAAGCGGGGCGAACGCGGGAGTGCCTGGCTATTCGCCCATTCCGCTGTTGAATCCGTCGAGTCCGGAGAGGAGACCAGCTCCGGAGGCGGGAGTTGGGAGAGTGTTTCGGAGGCATCCTGAGATGAAGCGTAGTGCGCATCGGAGATTGCAAATGCTGGCGAAGCAGGCGAACTCAGTCTAAAGACGGAAGGATCGGGAAAATTGTCCTGGTCGGCATAGAATTGATCTCGGGGGGGTATCGCTTCGGGCCGAAAGGGGATGAACGGGGGCGAGAGGGTACAGCGTTCGGAATTTGGGGCCTTTTCGGCGCAAGACATCGCTGTATGAGCAAGATAGTAACAGGCGTTGGCATTTGTCGCAAGGCAGCTCGCGCGAACATTTGATCTTACGCCTGCGACAATTATCACATGCTTGTTTTGAGGATGGTTTGGATGACGGTGCGAGGTCCATGGTTTGTCGCAGACTGGCGAAGAGAGCGTCAAGGGTCAGAGTAAAAGATAGTTGTAGTGCATGATACCAAGACAGAGTGACAGTAGTAGGTGTGGATGATAAGTTTAAGTTCCACTGGTGGGCTCACAGCTGGACTGGGATGGTAGAAGCATGAAATCATGAAATCATGAAACCATGAAGTTTAAGACTATTCTGGGGAAAAAGCGCGGGGCCTGCTAGCAGTTCAACCCCGCAAGGCCCATGCACGACGAAGGGCCCTGATACAGTATTACTTTTGCTATTATTACTCCGTACTCGTACATCCTTCACATCCACCCTTAGTCTAGCACTTCTATAGCCTCAATCTGGCTCTGGTCAGATTTATGCCTGGCCTTTACGTTGCCCCACGTTCTTATGCCCGTGCTTGAAAAGATTTGAGAGAAGTCTATCAGGGGTCTAGGGCCCGTCCGTTTGAACTTTCGAACCAATAAAACAAGGATCTAAGACATCCATCCTTCCAGAATCATGCAAGACAGCCATGAGGCGGAAACCTTCGGCATCTAAGCGAAGCATTCGACGAGATCCCCCTGTTTATCGTCCCTTGGCGAGTATGTATGACGACGAAAGAGAGGACACCTAGGGACGGGGTATAGTGCCTTCTATTGGACTAGAGCTTGTCACTTACGCCCTGTTCACCCCCAGATGGACCTCTAAGTGGAGGGTTATGCGGGGCGATGCGCGATTTTCTGGTTGATGAGTCTGACTATTACAGTAGCGTCCACCACTAAGCCACGATTGAGCCAGCGCCTCTGCAAGTCTTCAACGGGTACGCCCTTTAATATCTGTGGAAATTTCTAGACTTCTAGAGACGGCTCAGCCGATCCAATCAGATGCATCATCCTGCCGCTTCAGGCTTCAGCGAAATGAACAATGTGATATCTGGGAGGGGTTGCTATGCCGAGAGACCGCTTGCTCCCTCGGGAAGCCGAAATTGTGACGAGAAATGCTAGTCCAGCTCAGGCTCAGCTCATCAATTTCTTGCCCCAACATCATGTCACCGCTCGAACTCTAGCACGGTGGATCTTCGGGAGAGTGCCGCCATTCAAGTACTCGGCTCGAAAACCAGACATTCAAAAAGTCCCGAGGTTCCGGCGAGAAAATCTCCCAAATGCTTGCCACGAGCAAGGTTATATTTCTCAAGAAACGAGCCCTTGAGAGTACTCGTATCCCGTCACCGGGGTCCTTCATTTCGATCGTGCCGCTAGCGTGAAAAGACTCACCGGTTGAGTCCAACTAGGCCCGAACCGCAAACTCTGCCGAAGCATAAGCTATCAAGGTTCTCCGCTTTCCGGGGTTGCTCACCTCAACACAGCAGGGTTGCTTTGTGCATCGGGGAATAATTAGACTCCGCACTATCAGGGATATTTACTACTACTAGGATCATGTCAGTCTTCAGTGACAGACATTACAATAGTATTGATTGCATATTTGAGCTGCCCGATTTCGGCTTCTTTCAGGCCTACCTAGGTCACGGTATAGCGCTACCTCCAGGGCTACTACTCGTAGTACTACCCAAGCAACACCCACATGGGCACACTCTACTCGTCCTACTGTAGTAGTTAAACAGCTAGAGAGAGAAGCTCGGGCAATTATCGGACAACCAACCAATCACCGGCCTTGATCCACGGAGCGGCCTTGAGCATACACTAGTCACTAGTGTATGACAATATTCGGCTCTTGAGGGATCTCTGCCGACTTTACCATATTGGGTATGGATTGAATGGGCGCCCCATGGTAGGAGGGAGGTGCTTAGGGGGGGGTGTTTACCTCAGAGTGGAATGCAAGTGGGATGATCTGCCCCGCATATCCCCAAGCCCTGCTGGCCCTGCTGGCCCTTCTGGCCATTCTCGTCCCAACCCCGCAAAAACATTCAGCCACTCGCGCGCAGGGACATTGCGCTTGAGCTCTCTTGTGTCCCCAACTTATTCACGGAGATTCGACGGAAATTTTGTGTTGTCGCTCTGAGCTCACTTCCGTTTGATTCGGGATGCCCTCGGTGTATCCCGTGTCGGCGAAATTGCATCCGAGACTGTAGTGCTACGAGAGCTGCAGATTGACCAGCCCCGCAATCGACTATAAGAGAGGCTGGAGACAGGATCTAAAGACGCGTTCTTTTTTTTCAGAGCTCGACGGAAGAGAGACGAGAGACTGTTTTTTTCTTTTCTTTTTCGAACCAGATTGGCAAGGGTGAACACCTCGGTCGCTATGGTCGGATTCGCAGACATACTACTTGGTGCTTGGCTGTTGCCGGGGGTCTATAGCGCTAGCTCCAGCGCGACCCTTACGCCAAGCAGCTCCATTTCCTCGGCATACCATCAATTTACTATCCCCGCCGCTGCAGACGAAGGGGCTAATCTGATCGCAAACATCGACGACCCCGAGGCGATTGATGCACAGACCGCCTGCCCCGGATACAAAGCTTCGAATGTGAAGCAGACTACCACTGGAGTGTCAGCCACCTTGGCATTGGCTGGAAAGGCATGCAATGCATACGGAACAGACGTGGAATCTTTGGATTTCTCAGTCGAGTACCTGGCGAATGATCGTTTGAACATCCAGATCGTACCGAGCCATGTGGACTCTTCGAATGCGTCGTGGTACCACCTTTCCGAAGATACTGTGCCTCGCCCCAAGAGTGGAAAACATGCATCCCGCGCAAATAGTGATTTGGAGTTCAAATGGTCCAATTCTCCCTCTTTCAGCTTCAAGATCATTCGAAAATCCACTGGAGATGCAATCTTTGACACAGCCGGCTCGGTTTTAGTATTCGAAAATCAATTTACTGAGTTTGTTACTTCTCTTCCAGAAGATTACAACCTTTATGGATTGGGCGAGCATATTCAGCAGTTTCATCTGCTAGAAAACTTGACCCTGACCATGTATGCCTCGGATATTGGAGATCCCATTGATGGGTGAGTTGACAAGTTGATCCCATGCAGAAGAATAGTTCAACTGACCCTCTGTATAGGAATGTATACGGAAGTCATCCTTTCTATCTAGATACCCGGTACTATGAGGCCTCCCAGAAACGCGGTTCGATGTCTCCTGTTTCGAGTGACAAGATCGACAGTTCTAAGGACTATGTTTCCTACTCCCATGGTGTCTTCCTGCGAAACGCCCATGGCCAGGAAATTCTGACCGGACCTAAAAAGCTCACTTGGCGTACTCTTGGGGGTAGCATTGACTTGACTTTCTATTCTGGCCCTTCACAGGCCGAGGTCACCAAGAACTATCAAATCAGCACCATTGGACTGCCCGCAATGCAGCAGTACTTTACCTTTGGCTATCACCAGTGTCGATGGGGCTATCGTAACTGGACTGAGATGCAAGAGATTGTTGACACGTTTGAGAAGTTTGAGATCCCTCTAGAAAACATCTGGTAAGTCAAATCCAGGCGCTATGGACTTTTGCATCGAATACATTTTGACAGCTTCATAGGAATGACATCGACTACATGCACGGCTACCGCGACTTTGAGAATGACAACAACCGATTTTCCTACGAGGAAGCAGAAGTTTTTCTAGGAAAATTGCACGAGAGTGGCCGTCACTACATTCCGATCGTTGACTCGGCACTCTACATTCCAAACCCTCATAATGAGTCTGACGCGTAAGTTACCGGTGGAACATCCTACACTCTCAACGCATGAACTCACATGTATCTAGATACGATACTTATACCCGCGGTGCCAAGGATGATGTCTTCCTCAAAAATCCAGATGGAAGCACCTACATCGGTGCCGTTTGGCCCGGCTATACTGTCTATCCCGACTGGCACCATCCGAAAGCCGGCAGCTTTTGGTCTAACGAGCTCGTGACATGGCACAAAAATGTTGCCTTCGATGGTATCTGGATTGACATGAGCGAAGTATCATCTTTCTGTGTTGGCAGCTGTGGTTCCAAGAACCTGAGCATAAACCCTGTCCACCCTGGATTTTCGCTACCTGGCGAACCCGGCAATATCATCTACGATTACCCGGAAGGATTCAACGTCACAAATGCAACAGAGGCTGCGTCTGCCTCTGCGGCTTCGTCCAGTCAAGCCGCCGCCGCTGCAACTGGTGATTCGTCCCCTACGTCCACTACGTCGTACCTTCGAACTACTCCTACTGCCGGAGTACGCGATATCAACTACCCTCCCTACGTGATTAATCACGACCAGTCTGGTCACGATCTGGCTGTGCATGCGGTGTCTCCAAATGCAACTCATGCCGATGGTGTTCAGGAATACGATGTGCACAACCTCTTTGGTCATCAAATTCTCAATGCCACCTACCATGGTCTCCTTGCTGTAGCCCCCGAAAAGCGGCCATTCATTATCGGTCGCTCCACCTTCGCTGGATCTGGTAAATGGGCAGGTCACTGGGGTGGCGACAATGCCTCCAAGTGGGCATACATGTTTTTCTCAATCCCACAGGCACTATCTTTCTCTCTGTTCGGTGTTCCGATGTTTGGAGTTGACACGTGTGGTTTCAATGGCAACACAGATGAGGAGCTCTGTAACCGCTGGATGCAGCTCTCGGCCTTCTTCCCTTTCTACCGCAACCACAACACTCTTTCCGCAGTCAGCCAGGAGCCGTACCAATGGGAATCGGTCATGCAGGCGTCCAAGGATGCTATGAAGATCCGTTACTCCATTCTGCCGTACTTTTATACATTGTTCCACTTGGCTCATACCACCGGATCAACTGTCATGCGAGCTCTGGCCTGGGAATTCCCCAACGAGCCCCAGCTGGCTCGTGTCGATACCCAGTTCCTTCTGGGTCCATCCATCATGGTTGTCCCTGCACTTGCACCCCAGGTCGATACTGTGCAAGGTATATTCCCCGGTGTGAAGAACGGCGAGATCTGGTATGATTGGTACAACGGCTCTGCTGTCCAGGCTGAGCCTGGTGTCAACACTAGTATCCCTGCTCCCCTGGGTCACATCCCGGTTTTCGTGCGTGGTGGAAGTGTCATTCCTATGCAGAACCCTGCCTTGACAACCCGCGAGTCTCGTAACTCGCCGTGGTCTCTTCTCACAGCCCTTGACGCCGATGGAGCTGCCCAGGGAGATCTCTACATCGATGATGGCGTTAGCCTCGTTCAAAACGCCACTCTCAATGTCAAGTTCAAGGCAGCTTCATCTAGTCTCAGTGCCATTCCTCAAGGCGACTGGAAGGAAGAAAATGCGCTCGACAAGGTTACCGTTTTCGGTGTCAAGAAGAGCCCCCATTCAGTGACTCTCAACGGCAAGACCGTTCCATCTTCATCTGTGCACTATAATTCGACATCGCACTCTCTGTCAGTCGGTGGTTTGCAGAAGATTACTTCAGAAGGGGCTTGGAGTAAGAAATGGATTCTGAAGTGGTGATTTTTAAAGGAGTCAGTAGAAGTCCAAGTACCAGAACGAAATTGGAATTTCAACAGTGTGCCTGTTTTACTCCAACAACCTGGTTTGGAGCGCTTATCTTGATATAAATGAAGTACTCATGGCCAAGCTCAATACAAGACCAATAGTTTCAAGCTATATCCATGAATTGAAGTAACAATAATCGCTGGGTGGAACCAATGGCCGGCCCTATTTCAATTCCGACTGTCAAACATCCATGCATTCCGCTCCACCGAGATTAGTAGAAGTCGGCCTCGAACCGAATCAGAGAGTATGATATGTTATGGCCGAAATCCGAATTTCGAAACACTGCGAGTGCATGCACCTCATGACGACTCCTTCTTTGCAATGCGGCACAACCTGAAGTGCAAACCAGTTCCTCCAAGCCGAATCCACGCGGGTCCGTCTAGTGCTTATGCTTGAAACATGCGACCATCTACCCTCTCCACTTCCAAACAAACGCAGAACAGATTGCAGAGAGACAGCCAGGTATCATGTAGACCTCGGGGATTTTGAGAAAAGCTATGGATTGCACTTCTCATAATATTGGTAGACCAGTTTAATATCTACAGAGTTCAACGCTCGTCGGGGGAATATCAACAACAGGAATGCGATCGGCAGCAGCCCCAAGCTTTTCCAGCCCCCATTGTAACCCCATCTGTGACCCTGGAAATTTCAAGGTCCGCGATCGGGCAACCTGATTGATCGACGGCATGTCCGAGCAATGATCCTTTCAGGCCAGGACTCTAATTGCGGGCCCCCAAGGGCCTGCCGTTTGCATTCCTACGTTAGCGTCCTGACATGTGGACTTGCCTGGCTAACCCCGTCATGGGTCAACACAGTTGAAATGGTGAATCAGGCCACGTGAAATCGGGATCTGGGCAAATCACCCAGGTTGTATCATGCTTTTCGGGGTTTCAGCGTGAAAGCCGATGATCTACCACCTTTGATATATCTGGTTGTTTTGGATTTAGTCGTTCCCCCTCTGGATTGCACTTTGACGAACCTTGAATAGGGGGGTTCTAGTACCTTATAAATTTTGCACTTTCTCGAGCGCATATCCTACTGCGTGTTTTCCTAATTCAGATCTATGTGACTGGGGTCGGTCAATTGAAGAAAATTTGCGACAATCTCCTGGTCGCTCTTTCATTTTCTTAATATACTTTGGTAAACGTCAATTGTGAGTCTGGTATCAACCCAGCAGAAGTACTCATTACTGACGCATTTTAAATTATAGTGAATCAAAAAGAGCACACTATCCGACCTTCATAAATTCCTGATTTGAAGATCAATTTGTTACAAGGACATTATGCTTCTGCGTTTCCCGCTCTTTGCAAGCCTGGTCGGTTCAGCAATTGCTGCAACTCCAGCTCAATGGCGGTCCCAATCTATCTATTTCATGCTCACTGATCGGTTCGCTCGAACTGATGAGTCGACTACTGCCAGTTGCGATACCAAATACGGAGTGAGTCTTGATTGGAAAGTTCTTTCGATCTCACTCTAGGACTAATGGATTATCAGAAATATTGCGGCGGTACCTGGAAAGGCATTGAGAAAAAGGTATGACGTACTTCCGGGATATTCGGGGGTGGTGCTGATGATGTTATAGTTGGACTATATTCAAGGAATGGGATTCACGGCCATCTGGATTACCCCCATTACTACTCAAATGGAGGGAACCACTTCCGATGGATCTGCCTACCATGGATATTGGCAGCAGGACATGTGAGTGAAACAAGGAACTGGAACTTATCCTACAGACGAACTGACTTCTTATCTGCAGCTATGGTCTCAATTCCGAATATGGTACGGCTGATGATCTTCACTCCCTCATTTCTGCTCTTCACGATCGGGACATGTACATGATGGTCGATGTTGTTGCCAATCACATGGTTTGTCTCTCTGAATTGAATTCATGCCTTCAAATGCTAATCTGATTCATATGATTTGTAGGGATATGATGGCCCCGGGGACTCGGTTGACTACAGTGTTTTTGATCCATTTGACTCTCAGAAGTACTTCCATTCTTATTGTGAAGTCTCCGACTACAGCGATCAAACAAATGTCCAGGATTGTTGGCTCGGTGACTCGACTGTTTCTCTACCAGATCTAAACACAGAAAGGAACGATGTCCAGAGCCTGTGGTATGATTGGGTTGGATCACTGGTGTCCAACTATTCAAGTGAGGCACTCTTCTCTTAGCACGAATATTGCGCAGCTAACAGAGTAACATAGTTGACGGTCTACGCGTTGACACTGTCAGACATGTCCAGAAGGATTTCTGGCCGGGTTTTAACAAAGCTGCCGGTGTATATTGTGTAGGTGAAGTATTTGACGGTGATGCGGGATTTACCTGTCCCTATCAAGAAGTCATGGACGGTGTCCTCAATTATCCAATGTAAGTGCAAACTGAGCCTCCTACGAGGATTGGAATCGGCTAATTTTGCAATAACTTTAGCTATTTCCCGCTACTAAGAGCCTTTCAGTCTACTAGTGGGAGTATGAGCGATCTTTACAACATGATAAATACCGTGAAATCCACATGCTCCGACTCAACGTTGCTTGGAAACTTTATTGAAAACCATGACAACCCTCGTTTTGCTTCGTATGCTCCCAAATTCTCACAAGTCGACGAGAGGTTGAATTTTTACTAACAAGTCTCAGGTATACGGATGACATTTCTCTTGCAAAGAATGTGGCGGCGTTCACCATTATGGCTGACGGGATCCCAATCATATACGCGGGTCAGGAACAGCACTACAACGGGGGCAGTGACCCATACAATCGTGAGGCTGTCTGGCTTTCCAAATATAACACAGACAGCCCATTGTATAAACTGATTGCGAGTGCGAATGCTATCCGGTCGCGTGCAATTTACCAGGATGATCGTTATCTCTCTTACAAGGTACCTTGAACATGACCCATCTCTTTAAAAAGCCTCAATGTTCTCACACGAAGCTACTAGAATTATCCGATCTATCAAGACCAAACAACCCTCGCAATGCGGAAGGGCTACAAGGGCACTCAGACTATCACAATTCTCTCCAACAAAGGTGCTGATGGAGACGGATATACCCTTGATCTTTCTAACACTGGATATGAAGCCGATATGGAACTGACTGAGATCATCAGTTGCTCGACTATTACAGTCGGCGATGACGGAAAGGTGCCTGTTCCTATGAAGGCGGGCCTGCCGCGAATCTTGTATCCAAGCTCTGAGCTGGAAGGGTCTACTCTGTGCTCGTAGACCTTCTTGGGACAGGAGATCATTATCCTATACGAAACGGGTTCTTAGATTTAGTAACCCTTAAATAGATTGCGTCTTTCATGTTCTTTGATCGAGTTGCCATATTTTATATTCAGCATCTTGTCCTGCTTCTCTGAGTATAGAAAGCCGTATTTAAATAAAGTCACTTTTGTACTCGTACATAATAGAACTTCCAATGTTGAAGTGGTTTTTTGTTTTTCATTTCAATTCTCAGACGATTGCTTCATTTTTTTCATGGCTGCTCAACAGCGCAATTGGAAATTATGTCACGAAATTAAAGAATTTACAAGCCCGATTCCCCTCAGCCCCTGCCCATAACAGTCCATATCCTATTTGCCAAAACCCATCGTGCCAGAATCATCAACATTAACTATGTACTCGCAGAAAGAAAACATATGGAAACTCTTATTTTATTCACTCAATAATCGTGAAGTGCCCGAGGGACCAAGCTGATTGGCATAGCACCACCGGTCACAGGTGCCGGGTGTTGGAACACGGCTGGCGCCGAAAATGCCTGCTGGGGTGGAACATATCCACTGGCGATGAGTTGATCATAACATCCGTATCCATCAACGATGCCGTCCATAGAGCTACCGGTAGGGATCAGCTGACCAATATCTATGTTCTCTGTTCGAGGTGCTTGAGATGCCACAAAAAGCGCATTGCTCGCACTGGGTGAGGCTTGATCAGCTGTTGCTGCTTCAGAATAGCGGCGTTGAACTTCGCCGATGATGCAAGCGATACGGTAAGCGAGATGTTCGCTGCTCGGAGAAAGATGTAGCAAAAACGCCCGAACTTGATCAATGAGCGGATCAGATGGACTGTAGTCGCACAACGTCAGAGCAGCATATCCAAGGATATAATAGACATTATCTATCAGGCCTGGCGCGGCAGAGAAACGCGTTTGGAGAGACCTGGATATGATCAAGCGCGCGTTGTTGCATGTTTCGGATATTAGTTGGTCGGACTCAGAATGTAGTCTTATAGCAGTTCGGTGAAGAATCAGCTGGCAGAACCAAACACTGAGCTCTAAAGTGGATTTGCCTTCATTTGCTTGAAAAGCCGTTAGCCGAGGTAACGCGAGTATCCGCAGAGAGAACGGTACTCACAGAAGAGGTGTGTCCATTCCATTTTCCAGCGCTCAATTTCCTCATATTCAGTCTCGGCAAAGCGAAGACGATGAGGAGAACTCTGAAGCTTGAGAGCAATGCGATATAATTGAATTTCTGCCACGATCCTGCCATCTTCAGGGGTAGCCCGAGGGTGATCAAGAATACGAATACAGTGATCCAAATAATGCAGTTGCACGTTGAGGGTGCGACCGTATCCAAAAGCATAACTAGTAGCTGGATATTAGCGAAATTCAATCACAGGGAGAGATGGACGCACTGTAAATGAGTTAAGCAGAAAATATTCCAAAGACGCATCTGGGAGAGCATCTCATCGGTTAAAGCACTTTTAGAATGAGAAACGTTGAGAAAGCCGAAAGAAATTAAAGCGTGGTTCATCGAGGTCCCGCTCAACAGCCAGCCATCGACAAATCCTTCCTTATGACCTGAAGTAGGATAGAGACATAGTAATGCCAGGGCCTGGAGTACATCATTCGACAAGGAAGATTTTCTCCACATCGCCTGCGTAATAGCGTTCTGAACTTGAAGCGAGATGTTATGAATGGTAGCTTCGGGCATGCCAGGCAAATACCGAGAAGCTAATAGACATGCTGTATTAAAAAGAAGAGTATCAGATCGCTGAATACTGGATGATGGATCTGTTGCTATCCATGAACTGTAATATTCGACAAATCTAGAAGGCGTCAGTCAAATTGAAACTAGACTGCAGGCCGATAACTCACAATTCCATTAGTTTGTAAGAGAGCTTTATGTCAATGATTCCCAAGGAAACCACATCTCCGATAATGTCAGCATCGGCAGTGAGACCATCTCGTCCACTGAAGCATTCAAGTTGTAGATCTCGAATAAACTGGACGGGTTTGATAGTGAATGGTGGCAATGCTCCAATTTCACCACTGGTAGATTCATCTAGACTTCTTGTTGCCTGGGAGCGTGGGCTGCCCGCCAAATTGGATGTGTTGTTTACCATCTGTCTCATCAGGTGGATCATTTCACCCATCCCGTGTTCCAGGTGGAGCAACCGTTCCTCGATTGAGGGGATGGCTCCATTGCTGTCCGGCCATGCCGACGCCTGGTCCTGAAAGCGATCTTGGGTTTCTGGTAGCTCACATTCGAGCCTTTTGAAGACAGTCAGCTTTTTTGTTTAAATCGCAGTTTGTCACGGCTCGGTGGATTTGAAAGCAGGAATTTGGGGGAAGAAGAAGAAGAAGAAGAAAAACACATACCTCAGTGACAAACAGCGGCGACAAGCATGGCCACGAGGATCTAAATCACATCGAGTTTTCAGCTTGCGGCAGGTGTTGCAAGCAGTCATTGATCGGCGAATCCGCCCTCTGGGCCGTGAATCCTGGCCGACCGAGTCCATTCTATTGCCATCATCTGTAGTGGCAATACTTTTCGTCTCCCATGAGGCAGTACTGCATGTGGGTTCAGTTCGCGTCATAGCAATGAATTTTTACGCTGTCAGGGAATCATTTAATCGGACGGGACAAAGAGTAAATAGTTGCGACAACAAGATCAGCTGGAGGGTAGCAGATTGATCAACCACTAGGCCATTAAGCCAAGTTTCAAATCCACGGAGATCATTCACCAGGTGGAGAGATCGAGGCTTATAAAAGATAGGAGCCCGTGTCGTGTTGGCCAATTGCGACAAGGCGCCGAGGACTGACGATATCGTCTCCGTCGGCGTGCGCAGGTACGTGATCCACTTGCAGTAGACCTGGGGTAATCGCAAGGCATCCACCAATCTCGACAGTCGCGACGGGCTTCTAGAAAGGTAGCGATGACCGTGTCAACTGCATATTTCTTGTAGCGAAGAGGGGTTATCGCGCATTGGCTCTTTTAAACCCCTGTTCGCCGATGTGAGCCGTCTAGAAACGTTTCCGGGCGGGAGGGGGTGATTGCCACCATGCCCAGTATGGTTTGGGTGGTCTGGGGTCTCTCGCTAGGTTTGCAGACAAGTTGTCGTTATCGTCAGATCCTGCGTGCCGGGCTTTGGGCTTATCTTTTTTTGTTTTTTTCTTTCTAGATTATTCCTTCGCGAGAGCGGGTTTTATCCTGACGCCCACCCGCACATCTTACAAGGATACCCCCAAGGGTTGGCTACGACGACCCTTAGCTCTGCAAATAATGCCAGGGTTTTAACTGCCAGTGATCATGCGAAGTGGGGTTGATATCATATCATGCATCTAAGTGTATATGTGACGAGTGGGTCGAGAGAGGCAGGAGGATAGGGTCGGGAGTGGAAACAGAACAGGAGGCGATTGCGAAGGCGAGAGGCAAAGGGGAATCGGGATAATTGGGTCTAGCATGTGCAAGTGTCTCGCAGGAAAATAGTCAGTCCAATGGGCTTGGCCAGGCAGTTCGGGGATTGGGCCAGGGGGGTCTCAGAAGCAATGCGACATTGTAACTTTTCACTACCCGGCTAACGCCGGATCTTTAGCCGGTTTATGCATGGACCCCTGCTAGCCTTATCCTTAGCGACTAACATTCATATCGAGCAAAATTCACCCCCTCATTGTATCTACTATCGAAGGGTCAATTGAGATCACGTTGGGCCTTGGCTCACATAGATAGTGGTCAGCTGTCGATACAATCGGCGGCCATCTTTTGGTCGTTCCGAATACAATACGAGCTACCAGGAAAGTTAGCCTTCAAAGAGACTAAAAACGCTTCAGGTAAAACCGTACTAGATCTAAAAACCGTAGAAGTGGGTCAGAATGGGTTCTCTAGACTTGAACCGAACGTAAATCAACGGTCTTCGAAAATCTCTTTTCTTCTCTTAAATCGCGCGTTAGCCAGCACTGCCATGAGCCAAAATATAATATTCACCCGAGGCACATCTAGTCTTTCCCCACTGCTGGGTCCACTTCTCTCGAAAGCCAATATACACTTCCTGCAGTCGCTTTTGTGCCTGCCTGATTTGGACATAGTGTGATCCTAGACTTTATATATGAGGTTGGATAAAGAAGCGGTCAGAGCCGAATTCATTGGACCGGTGGCTTGCCCAGGTCTCTTGGCTGTTTGCTGGACTCTGGGGTAAACATCCCGCCCAACGAAGGGCCGAAGGACTTGTCCACGATCCATCCATAATGGGTATGAAGGATCTAGCGTGCGTCCTGCTCCCAAGGCTAAGTGTGTTGTTAGATATTACACTCGGAGTACTCCGCCTCAGTCTATATCACAAGCTCTGCATCTGTGACACAATTGATTGCGATCGTCCGTCGATTTGCGTGCCAAGCCCAAACGCTACGGCTTGACTTGTGTCAAGCAATGCCCTAGTGGTCTGATATTGCGCCCCTCTCTGGTACATACTCGTATTCTTGCGCAAGCTCCGCACTGTATATTAGACCCTTGACCCACTTGGGGTTGATACGAGGCGGATTTATTAGCCTTTAACTTAGTACGTGTTCCCGTCAGCTCATTCGAGATTGTTGCTATGATACTTAACATAAGAGGACTCTTACAGGACGCCGAGCGCGCTTATGCAGGCCATCACTTTAGAGTCCCCGTAGATGTAACAGCCAAACTTTACTAGACAAAGATCGGGCCAATCGCTGAACCTTGACTTGGTTCCAACTGAATCATGATCCCCATGAACTAAGACCCGTCTTCGCAATTGGATGGAATTACATGAAAGAAAACTTGTTAATTGGCGGAGAAGATATTGCCATTTCCCTTGTCTTCTAGAAGTCCCTGCGAGGCACGCCAAATATCTCCTCTTAATCTCTAGCACTTCGCTTCATGCTTGATGACGACACGTTTACCCCCGATTATATGCCAAACCAGTCCGTGACGTTCAAGGACGATAAGAGCTTACGAAAATAAACGGGCAAACCCGATTTTGTGTGTCTCAAAGATAAGAGCCCAGCATTAAATCATTTCAACACTAGAGGCATCGAAGGATTTGGGCTTGCACCTCTGCTGCATCTACCTCTCAAATTTATACCCGCAGCGTCGAAATCCCTGGTCTATCGGAGAATTTTCCCAATCCAGACTCTACAATGGTGCAAGAATTGAGATCGTTTGGTCTATTTTTCAAAGCAACCTTAGAATCAAATAGATCTTCCCAGACGCACTTTACCGCACAAATTAAATTTCTCATGAACACTCAAGATTTAAGACCGCTCTGCATCTGAATTCTTGCATACCGGGGACCCCTAATGTAGAAGTAAATTGGATATCCATGCTGACTCCATATTAAACTGTCAGTCCTGACTGCTCTGTCTTGTCCGAGTATCACGTTCTAGTGCAACCTAGGCCAACCGGACCAGGTCTCATCCAAAAAGAGAAAGAAAAACAGAAAGCAGAGTGAGATATATGAGTCCCGAACCCAAATCCACTCTGTGCCCATTTTTCCTCGTCTGCTTTCTTGCGCTCTCAATTTAGGTGAAATGTGGGTATAAGGGTGAAATATGCAAAAAGGTACTTTTATTGTGGGTATGCTTACCTTAGGTCAGATGTACCTTACCAGTAGTGAGGATGATACTCGCAGATCAAGATATGACGAATACGGATCAGGTAACGTGTAGTAGGTGCCAGAGTGGATGCCATCCGATCTAGGCAACCAAGGCAATAAGGCCACAAGGGTAACAACCGTAAGGGTTCATCACATTGATACGTAGGTACAAGGCCCTGTACCCAAATAGGCAAAATTCCAAGGTCTAGGTTTGTTCATTCCATGTGTACCTGCTTTGGGAGTACTAGTAAGAGCAAAACTTATAAAGACATCATGACAATCCAGGTGGTAACAGACTGCAAATATTCACGAAATCCACACGCGGAACTCACTTAACTCTCACTTAATTGTACTAGTAGGAAACATGGAAATATTCCTGCCGAATCAGCAATTCCCTATAGTAGTGGCTAGTATATGTGGTTTAAAATGATTGCCATTCGAGTAGTCACGTGTCACTCCCATTGCTCTTTTTCCAGCCTCGAAAATCTACGGATTACCAAACACTACCCACATGGCGCAGGATCATACCACTAGCCCAGCCCACATCAAAACACGTTTCCTGATATGCTCGGACACCCATGGGATCGATAATTTACCCGGTTTCATTCCATTTGCAGACGTTGCTATTCACTGTGGAGGTCTCATCACCCAATCTCAGCTCCACGAATACAAAGCGTCAATTCGGTTGCTCCAAGCTATCGACGCACTTTTAAAGCTTGTCATCGCCGGAAATCATGATTTCACGATGGATATACCCATGTTTCGCAAAAAGGTCTCAGAGGCCCAGTCATTAGAGCGTAAACTCGTTGAGCAAGCCTATGGATATGACGGGGAGGCGAGGAGATTGTTTGAAGGCACAGGAATTACTTTTCTCGATGAAGGCGTACACTATTTGCATTTACAGAATGGCGCTTTGCTGACTGTTTACGCCAGTCCATACACGCCTTCACTTTGAGATTGGGGCTTTCAGTACTACCCCGATAAAGGCCATAACTTTATGATACACGGTGGTATTGATACTAATGCTGTTGATGTTATAATGACACACGGCCCACCGAAAGGAATCATGGACTACACTCAGTCCGGTGAACGGGCAGGCTCCCCGGACCTCTTTCGCGCCCTCGCTCGCGCCCGACCACGACCGCGGATGCATTGCTTCGGCCACATTCACGAAGGCTGGGGTGCGAAACTTATTACGTGGCGTAACAGAATTACCCCTATACCCTCTCACCTAATGGATATCGACAATTGTCAGTCTCTTCCTATAGCGAAGCTCTCCGACATGAAAGATAGAGCCGGGCAAAGCTTAGACGGGGATGGCGTCCCTATGAAGTACTTTGCCACTAGCCACTGTTCTGGGGATACCCATCCACTGAGCTGGGGCTCTCAAACGTTGTTTGTGAATGTTTCGATTGAGGGGCTGCCCCAAGACATTAATGACCAGAAATAAAATCCATCAATGCAGCTACCATGGATTGTTGACCTTGAACTCCGAGCTTCTCCCTGGGGATCAAAGGAAACAGCCGAGCGAGAGAAATGCATCTAGTATGCAGCCTTCTAGGACCTATGTCACAAAAAGTAAGTTCCGTTGTTGCTTGGTATAACTTTTCGTAGGATCTGACCCTGATTAGGACTTACCACTCATCTTGCGAGGAGATACGGCCAAGATTTAATCAAATGGCCTGTCATGCCGCCGAACCCTAAGATCAGAGTATTCGAATACCTCCCCTGCAACCGTATTATTCAAACAATACAGGTGTTACCTGGCTAATCCGAATCAACATACAGTATTACTACAGTATTTCAATAGAGACGTATTATTATTATTATAGTACTAGTACTACTAGTAGTATCTAATAGTTGCCTTTATATCCGCTGTGAACGCTGTTACCCTAGTAGTTACCTAGGTATACTATACTAGTTATATCTTGATCCTTTTTTCATTTATGGCATGCGTAAATAGTGACTGACCAGGCATGCGATATGACAAAAGCTTCCTACTTAATGTTTCTATTATAATAATGGAAAGTAGGCGCTTTCGTACCTGGTAAAACAGTTCACCACGAGTGTTTCGTATCTGTTTAAGTAACTAGACCTCATTTTCAAGCACGGTCCGAGCTACTGCGTCATTCTTCGAACTCTCTTTATCTTTCCGCCAAACGAGCCACCACGAGCTCAATATGCCCGAAATTGCCAAACAAAGAAAGGAGAGGCAGATGATATATGACACATGGTATGTCGGACCAAAGACTGAGCTGTAGATATGAGGACCTGCAATTCCACTAAACTGGGCCATGGCATTTGTCAGTCCAATTCCGATACCTGCAGCTACAGTTCCGTCGAGAGCGCGAATGCGCTCTGGCCAAATCACGGGGTACGCAGACCCGGCACAAGCAGTGGCGACAATGAGGGCAATGTATTTGACAATCGAATTTGAGACCGTGATAAGTATGATGTAGCAGATGATAATGGTACTCTCGACTGCTTGCTGTTAGAAATACCCAAATAAAGATTTGAAAATACAGGAACAAGAGTACTGACTCGCTACTGCACTAGTCCAAGGTCTAATCCAGCCCTTATGGAGTAGGTATCCAAGAGTGTTTAGAAAGAAAAAGCATGCGACGTATGGAGGCTATTGATTCCGACTGGGTTAGAATATATGGGATATCGGATCACGAGATACTGTAAACCAACTCACTATATTCATTAATTGAGATAAAGCCGTCGAGGTGAAACCAAGCTCGTAGATTACCGTAGGTAGTGCATAGTTGACACCAAATCCGCCGATACCATGTCCTATCCAATATACGGAAAATGTATAGAGGGTAGGGCTAGATAATAGCGCCTTGATACCAGCCCAGTCCCAGCTTTTGTCTTTTCCTGAAGGAGCAGAAGAGGATAGACGGCCGTTGAGGAAAATACGCTCCTCCTCGGTTAACATGCGAGCATCCTCGGGGTAGTCAGGAAGACCGAATAATGCCACAACAGATAAGACAATGGCAGGAAGACCTTCAAGAATGAACAGCCACCTCCAGCCTGAAATTCCGCCTGCCCCATCCATGTAACTGATGGCGTATGCCAGTAACCCACTCAATGCGCCAGACACTTGACCGAGGGAATAGAAGAGAGCAATTCTCCAGCGCAGCTCGGATGGCTTATACCAGAATGCCATATGGTAGAGCACGGCTGGATAAAACCCGGCCTCTGCTAATCCGATCGCAAACCGCACGCACATCATCCCTGGAAAGTCCTGTGCAGCTCCAGCAGCGCAAGCACAGACCCCCCAGGAGAGGATCAGAACAAACATGCATCTCGATGGTTTGATCCATTTGAGAAGGACCGTGTTAGATGGCTCGAAAATGAGATAGCTGTAAGAAAATATGGACTGTGTCCAAGCCCACTGTGATGCGTTGAAATTAAGCTCCTTCTTGATTCCAGTGCCAGCTTCCAAGTTGATGATGGCGGCGTTGGCATAATTTTGGGAGTCGATGACACGGAAGATATAAACAAGTGAATAAAATCCAACAAGCCAAAAGTCGATTTTTCGCATGACTCTTTTCTTCAGCTCAGCGTCGTTCTTGATGCTCACATCGTCACGATGTACCCCATTTGGCGGCGACGAAGTCACACTGGTGGTGGTCACCGCGTCTTCGCCCTTACCGAACGCCATAACTCTTGTTCCGCTTCCACGAGGGGCCGATTAGTGACTTCACGTGCTGGAGCAAGCTGAACAAAAAGGGAATCAGATGAGTTGTTTAGTTTCAAGTGTTTATATCTCTGCTTTCCTGGAGTAAGGTATTGCTTTTGAGCACGACATATTATTATCCGGCTGCATTTATTCCAAGGGAGTTATGTCTATCCTAGCCAATGTCTGGTGCTAATTGGGCCGCCAGATTGCGGCATGCCCATAAACCATAATTCTTATCAAGCAACCAATTTGCGAAAGCTATAGAAGTGTATATGTATTTACACCACGTGGTAGTGCATTCCAGCTTCATTCTCGCCCTCTGCCTAGGTGAGCATGATGTCGCAGTCGTTTCGATAAAATCGGGGTTTTTGAAGGCTACAAGCTACTCCCCACTTACTGACTGGGTATTCTAATTAGACGTTCGTCAATATTAGTCAGATCTCGGCAGTAGAGGGCCGCGATAAATAACGCAATGCGGAGCAAAGATGATAACATCCGAGACCCCGCAATCTCCAAACTCAACGACAGCCGGATAAAATATAACAAGCTCGGATGGTTTCGACTTATAAAATTCTAGACTGATATAGATATAAGTTGTGCTTAATCGCATCTGAAATTGCCATCTTGGTACCCCATTGACGCTCTGTAAGCCAAGAGAGAAGATGGCGCCCTCCGCAATTGAAGAGCAAACAGCAACAGAGCCGGTACTTGTGAAGCCATGGAGTCGCCCTGAGCCAACCAAAGAGGATCTGGATTGGGCACCACTAGTTGAGATTGATATTTCTCTTTTTGACCAGCCGGGTGGAAAGGAAGAGCTTGCAAAACAACTACACGACGCCGTTACGCGAGTAGGATTTTGGGTCGTGGTCGGACATGGACTTGGTGATGAACAGGTTCTACGCCAATTCAGCATTGGAAATGCATTTTTCAAAGAGTCTCTGGACGAAAAGCGAAGCTTCCCATGCAATTTTTCCGAGGGCGAGTATTTTGGATACCGTGAGAACGAAAGATGGATTGGGGACACGGGAGTCAAAGACAACGTAGAAATGGTATGAACATCCTTTTTCCGACTCTTATTAGTATTCGTGTATCTAATCGATCTGTATAGCTCAACATTCCAAAAGCCATCCCGGAATGGGACAGTGTTCCTAAGCATAGGATTACTCGTCAGAATTATCCTGAAATTGCAAAGTTCCACCGTGACCTCTATCAGAAAGTTGTTGAAAAGCTGTTCGTGCTGATGGCTATCATTCTTGAGCTGCCCGAGGACTATTTGGTCAACGCCCATGCCTACAATCAGCTTTCAGATGATCACCTGCGTTACATGATCTATAATACCCGCACCCAAGAGGAATGGGACAAGGCACAGGGCTATACCAAAGGCGGCCACACAGACTTCGGCAGTTTGACATTGCTTTTTTCACAGCACGTCGCGGGTTTACAGATTCAGACTCCAGAGGGCGAATGGAAATACGTGAAGCCTGTTGATGGTGGAATAACTTGTAATGTTGCTGATACGTTATCATTTTTGACCAATGGTGAGTACCCATATCGAACACTACTGAGGCATCACATTAATAGAACTGGAAAGGCTTCCTGAAATCAACAATCCACCGGGTTGTCACCCCACCAAAGGACCAGATTCATATCCCTCGTCTTGGACTGCTCTACTTTTGCAGACCAGGTGACCATACCATAATGAGGACTGTCCCATCGCCTTTGCTTGAACGCCTTGGGCTTCTCACCGAGGAGGATAAAAATCCCACCGGGCCTGCTGCCACAGGAACTGAATATGTCCGTGCCCGTGTCAAGGATGTGCACCACAAGAAAGTTATCGATCGCCGAGAAAACACGTCTTTCGAATTCAAGGGACTTAAGGTACCCAATTATTACAAATAATAATTTGCAGGATTAGCCAGAGAGCCCGCGCCCATCAATTGTATCAAGAAATTATGAGTTATTATATATTGAATTGTAGAACATAGTATTGTAGGCTTTAAAGTTGGTAATCAATAGACAGATTACAAAATTTGGCTCGAAGCCATCCAAAGTTATCAGAATAGTAGCAGAATAATAGCGGAATAATAGCGGAATAATAGCAGAATAGTAGCAAAATAGTAGCCAAATTATGGATTGCATTGACATCTGCCTTTTCTTGAATTTCCAGATACCATCCGCAGTTGAATGATGGATTATGATGTCGCCACGTAGGAAAGTCCCCAGGGCCTGGCAAAAATGTCACCATGTACTTGAATCTTGACTCCGCAGCAGTCGAATTGCCCTGCGGTATACTATGTTGCGTTACGAGGACGAGGTCGTGTGCTCCACCGCAGACATACATATAAAGAAGTCACACAGGCTAAGGGTTTCTTTAGCCAACTCACCGGTGTCACAGTTCGACGGAGAATTGCGGTCTGGATAGTAATAATCAAGGATATGCGAACATGATACCATAAATGCGATGGTGCAGTTCCGACTTCCCTTGCAGAATCTTTAGACGTGGTGCCAGGTTTTGACACAATTGAGCAGGGAGAAAAGTCGGTGACTCGATCTGAATATGTCTGAGATCTCTGTGACACCTCTTCGTGCAGATGTATGCTTTTCTAGTACGAGACATACAGAATGATAGTTACAGACTGCCCGAAATTCTTGCATTGTTCATTCAAGGAAGGGATCAGTGGGCGGAAAACTTATATCGATGTTCCGAATTATGTATTACGTAGTACTACTACTAGTAGTACATACAGACTCGGAACTGACCTCCACAATGAAGTCAATTTGGATTGTGTTTCGTGCCAACCACAATTCATAAAGTCAAGCTAGATCATTACCATATTTATTAAAAGTGGATAAAGAGATAGACTCCAAACCTTCTCTGAAGACTTCTCGAAGGATTCATAACACAGCCTAATTCGGAAGTCTCCGCGCGAATGCAACTCTGGAAAGGCTACTCGGCGCTATTGATTTTACTACGTGTAGGGCAGTGGGGCAGTAGGCGATCATGGCAAGAAGAGACAGCCCCACTAAAAATCAATAGTTCTGTCTAAAACTTTTGACAGAGCCGTTGATTGCACGTACGATACGGAGTATGGAGCATGGTCGTAGCCATTGCCCGACACTACCAAGCCTCAATTTGACTCGCACGCCATTGTCAGTGAGGCACAAGAATCAGTTTAAAAAACCCCCATTGCATGACCAACAACTGGTCCATGGCAGCAAGTGCAAAGTCATGCGATACGAGAGTTCAGACGTGTCATGTTTTCTCCATGTACTCTGAGGCCCAAGTGCAATGATCGCAAGTTTACTGTACATATGTTCATGCACATACTAGCAAGGCAGGTCATGCAGCGGGACTCTGATTGGCTCGTATGTAAATAGACCAGCGAACACATCACGAACACCTGATCGATCTACACGCGATCATTATCGGCGCTACGGCTTGACATGAGACAGCTCACATTTTAGAAATTGACAGCTCTTAAATACAGATTTCCCCCGTCACTACCCCGTACTCCGTGGCTATAACGTGATGGCCGCAGCCATCAAGCAGCGGTGGCACCCTATCGTGGACTCGAGCATGGCCCCGATTCACCGCCATGTGATGAATCAGGGATGTCGGATATTTTCCATCCGTCCTGCTGTTGATGCAGAGATAGTGGTATACATACCTATCCCCGGTCGGGTGCTATTCGATTGTATGGCCACTGATATAAAGCTGGATTCTGGATTCTTGTTACTGCGAGGGTTCTGCAACAGTAGTGGTGTTTGAGAATGTGACTAGAGACTAGGAGGTGCATAATCGCGGCCGATGCCGGGCAACTATGGATCCCCACCCTGCACAGTACTTTCTACACTCGGTTTGGACCAACTAAGCATCGAGGTGGTCTCGTTTTCCTTTGATTTCGCCATGTTGTCCCATCCGCCAGGGCTTTGGAGGTGTGGTACGAGACTCCTTCCTAAATAAGCCGAGCTGGATCCCCAAATCGGAGACAACCATGTTTCCAAGGACGTGCCAGTGATATACTAGTACTGATCATCCTCATTCCCGAGACTTTGCGACCGACATTTGACTTTTCGTCACGTCGTATACATATGTGCCCCGTAAGATAGAATGACTTCCGCCAACGAACCAAATGAACTGTTCTTTTCCAGTGTATCTCTCTCTCTCTCTTTTCCATATTATCTTTAAGCTATAGTTTTGAAATTGACTATGCATATTTTTAGATAAACGAATTTGCCATTTAGCCAAATGTTTCAGACTATGAGTGGGCAAAACGCCCAGGAGCGGAGTCCTTGTTTAGTAGGTGGAAGACCGAAGTATGGCTCCGCGTATCACATTTGAATCGCCAGGCTGCCCATGCCCGCGGACAGGCACGCAGCTGGGGCCTCGAAAGCATAAGCCGAAAGAGCATGTAACACCGAGAATTCCCCATACGAAAGGAGATCATCTAAACACTGTGGAACAGATTGACCGCAATCCGGAGAATTCACGTGGCTGGATCCGCAATCTAATTTACTCTCTCTCCCCAAAATACAAAATTACAGATGAAAATTCCAAGACACCAATGTTGGCCGACAGCCAAACTCTAAGTGATGGCGTACCTCGTTTCCAAGTGTCAGGCCCGCGAACCAATCTCCGAGATTTCTCTTCAGTAAATTGCACATCCTACATGGTACCAGGAATTGACCATCAGACATCTCAATCTGTCGAATTGAGAGTTACTAGTAGGCGATAGAAATACGAAAATCTAAACGAGAATTGGATAAATGTGACAGCTCACATCAAGATCATCGCATCGCGGTGTCGGCAAGTCACATAACCGCGCGGACGAACCAAACTCTAAGCGCTGTCAAAAAAGGTAGGCTCCCCGGTCAATAAAAAGATCAAGACAGAAATGGGGAGCCAAAAAACGTCATTCATCTCTTCTCCAGCAAATGACAGATCTTGATCACAATTTGAATTTTTAAGCAGGCAGCTGTCCGGGTCGGTGGGTCCAAGTGGCAGGTCGGGATAAGAGGTGGCTCCTCATGATCCATTCGTGAGATTGAGAAAACAGGATCCATGGTCTAAAAACCCCAAAATTGAGGTCGATCCGGCATCTGTCACAGCTGATCCTGCAGCCGTACTCCATAGCCCTAGGTAATCTCGTTCGCACATTCTCGCTCGCTCTCTATACTGTTGTAGGCAGGTATAGAGGCTAAAGCGCTTGCGTGATGGGGTTTTGAACAGGGTTTATTGGCCGAAAGGGAATCACATTCTTGTACGGATACAGTATGCCCCCAATATCGGCGTGCAACTATTTTCCGCCCCAGTCCAAGCCCCTGTTGATCCGCTGTTTAAAGGGGGATTTAATATGTGTCAGCCACCTACCATCGAAACAAAACCATTCATGAATTCTCGGGAGTCGCGGGTAGATGATGAAGCTGAAAATGGTCCCGCGCCTCTCAGCTGGGGGGGCGGACTGAAGATCGGCAATTGGATTGGCTCGACAGGTGGTCCACCGCGTGCCGCTTCGTAAGGCATGATCCACGTTCCCGTCATGCGTGCAATAAATAATACGGGATCATCGAAATTGCTCAAGGCGATGGCGGTAGAGATTGATTAAGGCGCATTATGTACGGAGTACCTGATTTTCCGAGATGACAGCGCCTTACTTCAAGAGGAATTACATACTACGTACGAGAATCGGAATAGCCGACCCGTTATCCAGAACCACAAGAGGCTATTTTTGCATGTACATGGAGGCGATGGTTATTTTTTTTTAAAATGAACATATGCCATGTTATGCTTCATGCGTGTTGCAAAAGTCAAGTAACACCTAGGAATGCAATTTCGAGTTCTCCTGCGCAGCGGTACACAGGCAAGCAATGTGGCGAGATGCGTTGCGACAGGCACCAGTGCGGCGCAACCTTGCCTAATGTCGAGGTACAGGCAACAGCAGAGACATGCAAGTTGAAACTTGGAAGAATAAAAAATATGTATTCCCATGCGATTCGGAGTACCTCTTTCCCGCTGTCCTAGCAAAACTCGGCCCGCTTGGTACATAACATCCAGAGAGTAAAAATGGGTATCAAAAGCGATATCTTGAGGACTTACTTGTCTTGGCAAGCAAGGGGTCCCTTTAGAACCAAAATCAAACAACAAGTAAAACAGATCGAACAATCTTAAGACATAATAAAAACAGGTAGGAGAAAGTGAACTTGAATGCAGAAGCAAATGCCAGTCTATCCATCCACCTTTGCCATAAAGCAGAAAGAAACCCCGTAACTCATAGAAAAAAAAAAATAGGTGGGAGAAATAACTTCCCGGTCGTAATCAGAATGAACGCTGACGTTGCGAATGCCGTGTAACGTGTGCCGAAGGGCGTAGCAAATGTAAATGAGGCCGTGAAATAAAAGAGGAATAAAATAGAAACGAAGCTTAAGCCGAGATTAGGCCGTCCAGTGCCGTCATATCGGCAGAAGCTTCCACGTGTATGTGTATCGAATGGAAACGAGAAAGTTCTAGTGGTGAGGAGATGGCAGGTGATCGTCGATATCACTGAAAGGAGACTGCCGGGATGAATCGGGGTCTGCTCCACCGCGCATTTGGTTGCGTAGCGCAGGCAGTTGTCGTCGTCGTGCATTGATAAACCAGTTACTGATCTGCAAGGAAGGTGTTAGCTGCTGCAGCATTATGGATAATGTTGCATTGAATGTCGCTCTTACCTGGCTGATTGTGAGCCCAGTCCGAGTCATAAACATTTGCTTATCCTCTTCGCTGGGGTAAGGGTGATCGAGATGCTCGTGGAACCAGGCTCGCAAAATGTCCGTTACTGGCTTGGGTAGGTTGCCTCTCCGGCGTCTTGTCCTCGGGTCAACCGGGTCTCCCAAGATACCGAAGTTGGCTTGATTTGGATGTGTCATCACCTGCGGCGAAATCTGCTCGGGGTCTCCTTGATAGGTCATTGCTGGGTGTCCGTGAGAGGCCTGGCCCTGCATAATAGGCGCGCCGAGCGGTTCAGGGTTTCGGCGGTCCGACAAAGGAGCTGCCATTGGGGCAACTCCACGATATTCGTGCGCGAAGGGATCAGAGCGAGGAGCCATGCGACTGTCCGGATAACCTTGACGTTCCGGCATAGAGCCTAGATCGCGTATCGGGGGTAACATCGGAGAGTTGTCTCTCAAAGACATGTGGTCACTCATTGGTCGTGGGGGATGTTCACCGGTACGTGTGGTATAATCGCGGGGGTATTCGCTGTAAGGCATTTGAGGTGATGGGTTTGATGGGTAGCCGGGGATCGAACGAGGATCGGCAGCCATTTCATGGCCAGATGAAGGGCGTTCTTGGGACCGGCGAGAATGTTGATATGTAGAAGAATCGATTTCGTCATGGAGGTGTGGTGGGAGAAGCTAAATCGAGTTCACACGATCAGATCAAATGGTACTTTTGTAGTATGGCGGCGCATGGCGTGCAAAATGCCATGTTTAGTGTCTTACCTCGCGAAATGACGGTAGCTGTTGGGCGTTTCCAGCCGGCGCTCTGCTCGCATAGGAAAGAGACATGTCGGTATCCTCGTCGAACTCACGGGACTTTGACATAGACGAAATATGGAGAGGCGTGAATGTAGAAGATCAAGGTGTCGCACAATTCAAGGACAACTATAGGTGGTGAGGTGCGATTAGAACAGAAATGGGGCTTTATTGCGAAGCATGTGTGATTCTTGAAGCTGGTCCACGCAAGTAGCCAAGAGAGATGAGGTAAATAGGAGTGAAGGGAGAGGGAGAGGGAGAGGGAGAGGGAGAGGGAGAGGGAAGGGAAAGGAAGTTGAAAGAGAGGATGGGTAGATGGGGCGAATATGGATATTAACTCACCTGGGAGACTGGACTGATTTTACGTTGACATCGCAGAATAGCCAAGACTATGCAAGGTTGGGGAATGAGGGCAGAAAGCGATTTGGGGCGTCCCAAATAATGCAGGGCGCTGTACATTTAAAAAAAAAGACATGTTCCGATGCAAGACCCAGCTGTTACATGTCCATGGAAAAGCAAGAACAGGGGGGGCCCAGAAAAATGACGATCGTGGGCGTGAGTGGGTACTTGGAGCCACAAACTACGGAATACCAGGACTGTTCCGTATTCTCAAGGCATGCAGAGCGGAGAAGAGGGGTGCAAATCAAGAACCCTATGGAGCATCCTTAAGGTTGACCTTGACAGATAGTGCCAAGGACCTCTCTTTTTGGTGCCTGTCAAGCTGGAATAGTCCGTCGTGCTAGCGTCAGGATCTATCAGGTGGCGGGCCCTTCAGGAACTCCTGGTCCCCCCCCCAGTCCCGCACTATTCTGTAATTGATTATTTTATTTATTTGTAGACCGAATCATGGTTTTTAGTTTTTAGTTTTTATTTTTTTGATTTTGATTTTCCAATTTTGCAAACAATAATGCCAATAATAATCTTAATAATAATCTTAAAAAGGAATTATTGCTCTTCGGGCCAAAGGATTTCCCGGCACTAACCATAGAAATGGAAATGGAAATAGAAATAGAAAAAGGTAAAAGTAAAGGAAACCCCCCCAAACCCTAGGTTTTCCCTTACCCCATTAGCCAAGTTTGGGACAGATATGGATGGGCGCCCTCAAAAACCTATACCTCGGTATTGGGACGGCAATGAAATCCGATCTCTGAAACCGGGTCCCAATTTTGACATTACCATGTCAATTTTGGTAAAGATAGTCATGTTTTTTAATAGTAATCATAATAATAAAAGTATTATTATTATTATTTTATGAAGATCGAACGTCACAATCCTCGGTCTCTCCGGCCGCATACCGACAAAGTTGGGGAAGGAGGGGGGGGGGGGAGGAGGAGGGGAGGAGGATGCCGGCAGCAACAGCCACAGACTCAGGCAGGGGGTGGGAGGGAGGACAAAAAGTGGAGAATGACATTCTGCCATTCACGATGTACCTGAGTCAGGCTGAAGTTAATTAAATCAAATACTCAACCAGACATTTGCTTTTTATGGTGGAGACCGGTGTGCCCCAATTTGTGACAGCGTTCGGGGGAGGGGAGAGAAAAAGAAGGCAGTTCCCACGCGTATGGAAACACCGGACCTCACCCAGATGTTCGACCTAGGTTTAGGTTCCTAGACAGTCAGAGTCAGAGGTTTGCGGTACGGAGTACGGAGTACGTAGTACGGGGTGTATGGTAAAAGTCAAACCAATAATCTCCAACCCATCAGGTGGATCTCACACCCCCCGAGTCCAAGGAAAAGATCGCCAGATGTCCCTCACTAAGCCAAGGGCTCCACCACCCAGCTTGGGTGTCAGAAGCCCGTTCGTGGCCTGCGACTGGCTACCAATAGATCGCACATCCCGAGGAGCTTATCCCCAGTGGGTAAGAACTACCCTGTAGGAGATAGCCGGTTTCCTAGATCCGTGGCCAGACGCAATAACATTGAGTGCGTCTTCAATACACACACGGTCAGTGCCAGATCAAAAAGGTCTGGTTCTGGATTGTTGGATGCTGGGAAGAGGGGATGACAAAAAATGACGGGCTCTCTCGGATCGATCCCAAACCCAAGCCCTCTGATCGGTGGACACGGAGATCGATCGACGACCACAGAAAGGGCGAGGGGCTTGGTATCCATGGGTGGTGGGCAGGGATGGATAGATTGGCTGATCGCCTAAAGGGAGGGGGGGGGGAGGGGAGGTTCTTCTATTGTAATTCCCCACTTCCTTCGAGATGTGTGGCGCGGGATCCACGCTCTGGTCTCCCGTACGTCAGATCACGGAGAATCCCCAGTGACCTTTTTCTTTTTCTTTTTTCGTTCTTCTTTTCTTTTTGAGGGCTAAATGAATCAAGCAGGCATACGATTGGCATGAGCATGACCAACCACCAACCAACAACCAACCTAGGTCAGTGCCCTTGAATGGCCTAGGTGCGCATGTCGTGTACAATTCAACAACGAATGTGCACTTGCATATGATATCTTACATTTTTTGGGTGGTCATGTTTCTTTTCTTTTTCCTTTCTGCATCCGCTAGGGAGGTGGAGGTGGTTGGGGTGGACGGACTGACGTGGTGTTTGGGCCCGGGATTTGACCACTCGATGTGACATGGCTTTTTTCCCCTTCCCACTGACACTGCAGTTCCTCCGCTTCGATCCGCACTAGCATCGCTAGCATTTGCTCTGCGGCTCGCGTATCGCGTACGGAGTACCGTCTTTCAACTCAGCTCGACGCGACCCTAAACTCACTTAGCACCGCCGTAACACCGCCCCTCATCACGCCAACTCCAAAAATCAAGCTGGGCGCTGGACCCGCTTAGTGGAACTCTAGGCAATAATGGCGCAGGATAGATGTCGGCCCCGAAATGCCATCAGAGATCCTCCTGTCGGTGGGGCTCCTTTCAGGTGCGTCGGCCAAATGCCCTACAATCCATGACCCGAATCCTGTACATATGAAGTACTACTTGCTTACGGAGGACAATGGGTTTTTACATACATATCCACTTTGCCCACTTGAAGTTGCCTCTCCGAGCTCTCTGAGGGGCCACTTTACGGATACATAGTGGCTTCGATCAAGTTCATCATTGCTCGGGTGGTGGCGTTCCTGGAGATCTCAGATTTGAGACCAACTCGTAACAGAAGTTTGAGCTCTATTCTTAGGAGTCAAGAACCGAGATGGAGATCAGTAACAACAACGCCCTGGATTCTGGCAGCGTTGGGTAGTGGTTTTGTTTCGCCACAGTTAGAGGATCCCTGTAGCCTTGTCAATGTGACACTCTTTGACACTGATCCTGCCGAGGATGAGTGGACATGCATATGTAGTAGTATGTAGTTTAGGTTCGGACGCTCTCCGCACATGCGTTCGTAACCTTTTCGCTAGTAGATCTAATTCTAGGGTTTGAAATCTAGTATCGGAATCGAGTCGAGCTGTAACTACTCCGTACTCGCACTGAAATTGGAGTCAACCCCGGAGCCTATGGATCCTAGTTTGTTACTGGCCGACGCCACAACATGGTGCAAACAAGCGGAGGCTAAGAATCCCAGATTACCCACCCATCAAAATCGGAACTCCCCCCCCTCTCGGTGAACAGACCGGATGCCACTACGTACTATGGAATTTGGATCCAGCCTCGTGGTGGGATCTATCTGCCGGTCCCTACTTCTTATATAATTGGCGGATCATTCAAGGGCGAGATCGAGGCCGGATACTAGCTCAAGAATTTCGCTTCCTTACTCGCGACTTACCACCTAAGGCAATGTTATCTGATTTCTTTTGTATTTCACACATCAATTATTTTCATATTACTTGGTCGCTAGTCGCTAGTCTTGGAGTGGATTTTTCTTTTTCCCTTTCCACATGCCTTGCTGACAGACAGACAGGTTTTCCTTTTTTCTTTTTTCCGTAAAGCCGAAGAATAGAAAGGGGAAAAAAAAGGCCCACCCCTACCACCCCCAGGCATGGATAGCGTAGTTGGAATTTTGGCGGATCATCATACCCATGCCCTTAAAGATCCGAGATCGTGCATAAAATGGAGTAGGGATGCAGATCACCTGGGCATCGGATCTCACATCAAGCACTTGCGCAGCCATTTTGATCGGGTAATGTCATCCTCAGACCCGTGGAATGGACCGGAAGTATTACTCCAGAACCACGGGCAGAGACGATCCAGCGTAGCGCAATGCGCCATGCAGGAATTTGTCATCGTGCAACCAGATTTCCCGGTACCTGGGTATGGCCGATCGGTCGTACTCAACCAATAACTTTTGCCGACCTTACGTATGGGTAGCATGTGTTGAGCGTCTGCGCGCACTGCCAGCAACCAAGTAACCTTAATTCCTTGTGCGTGGAAGGGTCATAGCGGCCAGCGCGCCTCAAGTTCGCGATTCAATAAATCGATCAATTACAGTAGTTTTGCGGGGATCGTCACAGGGTCTGACTACCAACGGAGTAGTATTCCATCCAGATCTCATTTCTGGGAGGAGTTTGCGGCCCCTAGTTCTCAGGTGTGAGCTCGAATTTTAGCAGGGCGAGGTTCGAATCCCAACCGCATGTCGGGCGCCTAGTAAATATTGGTCTGGAATGTGAGGAGGGCGCCCGATCATGCAGGGCATCATCCAGTTAGACACGAGGAAAATATGGGGAGGAAATCAAACTGCTCCTGTCGCCTGTCACTTTAGTCTCGTTGGCTGTCCCAGCCTCCTGGTTTCTGGGACATGGCAGGAACTATCCGTTGAGCAAAGAAACCTTGTCGGAGACAGCCCGTGAATGGGATCCACGTCATCTACATTAGGAAAGTCTATATCGACATCGATATTGGCATCACCTTGGGCGATCGAGTCAGGGGCAGAAATAATTAACTCTGCGCTTCATTCAGCACCCCGTTCTCCGTAGTTTTTCCGCTCTATGCCCAGAGAAACGTAGTCTTGCCAACTTCTTTTTCGTACCATGGTTCGGCCTGCCACAAATACCTCAATTGATGTTTGGTACGAGGTACATGTCAAGCACGTCCATAGATTTCTATGTTTCAGAAAAGCATACGGAGTACATATTGTGGAATTCGTATTTTTGGGGTTGGCAGATGCAGGCGTATGTTTGCTACATCCCGAGCACCCGGACAGGACAAACAACCGATCTGGAAACCACGTCATTTGGTAACCAATCAGCCCATGGCGTGGCTTGGATGCGACCGTGACAAAATGCCTATGGTAGAACATTTGTAAGATTTTGGTGCCTAAACAAGGTCATTTGAGCGATAGGCTGCTTGTATCAATGAGCAGCAGGTTAGCCTGGAGGATTGTCGACCCAATCTTGTTGCATATGAAATAATCAATGATCTACAGAGTGACTGTACCCCAGGGCTGTACTCCGTAATTCCTCTCAGTCTGGATAAGCCCTTATCAGGGGCATATGTAAGTGACCCTAACAATACTACTTTTGAATAGAGCGATTATCACCCATTGACGATCTCAACCATAATGCTACATACACATGTAGTAGCACATGCACATACCATCCTTGAAAGAGCCACGAACACCTTGATGCACACTAATTTGCCATGATGCAGCATAAAATAAGCAACGTTGCTGGATGAAACGTTGCCAATTGAAGAAAAAAAAAAAAAAAAGCAACCATCGAGAAGCAATTCAATCACGGAACGCCCAGTTTTGAGAACGAAACAAAACAAAAAAACAAATTATCAAATTCACTAAACAACGATCCGCCGCTTGTGATGACCTCTCGAACTGGGTCGACACTTGCATATGAGCTGTCATCGCCATTGGTCCGATAGAATGCCTTGTCCAATATCACCCCGTTTTGGCCCTAATTCGTTGAGGCGCGAATCCCGTGGCAGTCGATGACAGACCAGGGGATTATGCACAGTATTTAGCTACGTGATATCAAGGACAAGCAAACATGTTGATGCGCAATGACCTGCTCGGCCTTAATCGGTGTCGGGGTCTGGCGGTTATTTCGTTCTGCTGACAGGTCGACCGATGCTGGGATGATCCTGGCTCGTTCTTTGTCTCTACCCAGTTACTGAGAATTGCGTGGCCAAGATGTAGCATTTTTGAACTCCACTTTGGATCACACTAGAGATCGTACCTGTATACTAGTAGTATGTACTAGTACTAGCACTAGTTAGGTATCACTCTGCTTCCAGGTTTCGTCGGCTTTGGACGAAGCTTCCTGTTTGACTCTTACTTCGTAGTAGTTTGCACAATACTACAATACTATACACACTCAGTCCATGTATGTATAACCTCCAAGTTTGCACAACCTTGGAAGCCAATTTCCGAATCGAGATTGTCTTTGTCTAAATTCAATCCACCTCATCACAGTTGCATCGATCAAGCCCTGGAGGAGATTAGTACCAGACTGGGAGCTTTTTCATCCATAGATGGCACTAGTATCACATCATGCCGCTAGTTGTGAGCGAGCACGGAAAGTTAAAAATGCCCAGGCGGTTGCATTGCATCCCCAAGCCGGATGTATAATTCAGGCAGTATGACAGGTATCCGTGGTCCCTTTTAGAACCTGCAGTGCGTAAGCATCTAATTGAATATTGTAGAAATTCTATCGGCCGAACATGCCCACCTGGGAAGTCCAAGTCTGTGAGCGAGAGCGAGAGCGAGAGCTTCTACCGGGGCAATGTCGGAAGCAGGTGCAGCTAGATACTAGTACTAGTACATAGCATGGGTGTCAGCTCGAGTTGTCGAAGGTGAGAGCATCCAATGCTGCACTCTCCTCCGAATCCGTACTAGGTACAGACTAGACGGGTTGTTATATGCACAGAAAAAGCCACCCCGACGGCATGACGCTGTTCGTGGCTTGATTAGTGTGTGATTGTCAGATTCATTCCATCCAATGGAAATCAACGCATAGCGAGTACTGTTCTGACTAGCTATGCCCGAGTCTAATTAAACTGGCTGAGTCAGTAAAGACTTTTGATAGAAACATTCATGCATTTTGATAATTTCATTTTTCCTCTTTCGCTTCTTTAAACAGTCTATTTAGCAAGGGTGTTACCCAACTCCGCCGCCCGATCAGTCGCAGACTTAACAGCCTTATCAACAATCTCCTTGAAACCCTCCTTCTCAAAGGTCTGCAGCGCCGCAAAAGTCGTTCCGTTGGGACTGGTCACGTTCTTCCGTAATTGACCGGGCTCCTCGTCTGAGGTAACCAGCATCTTGCCCGCGCCGAGGCAAGTCTGCGTCGCAAGGCGGGTGGCCTGTTCCTTTGAGAGACCGAGGGCAGTGGCGCTTGCGACGAGGTGCTCGACCATGGCGAAGAAGTATGCGGGGCCGGATCCTGTTGAGTGATTGAATTGTCAGTACGAGTAGAAGCAAAAGCAGCAGCGGGAAGGGGGGGGGGGGTGTTGAAGTGGAAATAGAAGCGAAAACTCACCCGACAACCCAGTAACAACATCCAACAAGTCCTCCTTATCAACCCACTCCGTCGCCTTGCTGACACTGCCCAGCAACTCATTGACAAGGTCCTTCTCATCGGGGGTGACATCAGCGGAAGCAAACGCGCCCGAGGCACCCTCAGCCACAAGGGCGGGGGTGTTCGGCATGACGCGAACAACATGAGGACTGCGACCATCGGGAGTGGTCGACCACTCCTGCAACGAAGAGAGGGTGATACCGGCAGCAATGCTGACGATAACGGGAAGTGACTGACGACCAGCCCAGCTCTTGGCCAGCTCTTCACAGACGCCCTTGGTGACTTGTGGCTTGACGGCGATGATGATCAAATCTGCGCTTCCGCCTGCCACGACATTGTCTGTTGTTGTGTTCACGCCTGTTGCGGCCAGCTTGTTCCGGTTCACTTCCCATGGCTCGGAGACGGTGATGTTGGTTTTGGGTACGGAGTTGGAGAGCAGGCCGCCGATGATGGCGGAAGCCATGTTGCCGCCGCCGATGAAGGCGAGGGCGCTTTGTTGGAGGGAGGGCATTGTGAGGGTTGCTTTTGCTTTTCGTGTGTGGAGGAGGGAGCGAGAGGGAGGAGGAGGTGATGTTGTGAGGTGATGATTCCCCGAACGCGGCGCAAGTTGATTTCCCCCACTTCCAATCGAGCTGGGCTTATCGGTGGGGCTTGTGACAGTTGACAGTTGACAGACCCGCGATGTTGGAAGGTAAGTAGTAAGCTGGTAGCTGGAGCTGAGATGGGAGCTTCAATTGATGCAATCGAGGATAGGAGGTAATTCAAACTAGTAGAAATAGAACAAGCAACTGGCCATTTCTCCTGTTTTATACAATTCCACGTGACTCATAGTAATAAGCCCGACATCGCGCACCGGCCCGGTCAACCGGCTTGCCCTCGTAGAATTTCCCCATGCGAAGTGCGGGGGCCAGGGACCGGGGTTGGATGATCTCACGCCCTATTGTGGGGTACATGGAGGGGCAATGGAAGATTGAGATATAGCCAGGGTTGAGTGATGTGGAGGGAGAGTAGGTGCCTACCTTGTTATTGTCTATGTCACTGCAATAGTGATAAGTATTCAACTACTTCCCAATTCGACAAGCATAGGGCATAGCACATAGGACAAATAATATTAACAAAACAAATGAGAGCACATGTAAGACTTCTTTGATATTCGGGCCTCTAATGTAAAGTACATAAAGGAAACTGGGGTACAGAAACAGAGACCGAAATTTCAAGGTTGATACCTGCAGTACAAGAACTGCAGGCAAAGACGACCAAGACAAAAGATAAAAAAGTTCAAGGAAGTAGTTCAAAAGAGAAAGCCGACCCGCTAAAATACACGAAGAAACATTTGGTGAGACAGGGAACCTGACAAGATTGGTTCGGTTTCCCTTTGCTGGACCGGCCACAGTGATCACCGAGAAGAATGGCTAGATGAGACCATGGGAAATGCAATGCAGAAAGGCAAAGTAAAAAAGAGACGAAAAAGGATCGAATATGTACATCGAATGGCGTATGATGAAGAATGATCAATGGCGAAGGGCGACCGAGTGTTAATAGATTGACGTGCAGAAGCAAAGAATGTAAAAAGGTAAAAACTTGACTCCGGTTTGGAACAAATTAAGATTACCAGGTTTCCTATTAGAGATGAAGTTAGTTAAGCGATGCCAGAGACAAATCGCCGGCGGAAAACTTACAGCAATGTACTGGCCAGCCTCCTTCTTCCGCTGCCAGAAGAGAGTAGCCTCCTCGGAGTTGAGATTGCCCTTAGCCATGGCAACTTCGATGAGAGCAGCCTCGACGCCTTCACCCATACCCTTGCCGCTACCGCAAACAAAGACACGGCCATCAAGCGCATTGATGACGTACCAGACAAGGTCAGCTTGGTGACGAACTTCCTCCTGAACGTAGCGGCTCTCGCCACGACGGCTCTGAACGACAGTGCGAACCTTGTCCTCATGCACACCCCATTCACCACTGTAGAGCTCGTCGAGAAGAGAGTCACGGACACCCTGGAGAACCCAAACTTTGTTGGCACAGTTGGCTGACTGCAGACGTCGCTGAACGAAACCGCGGAAGGGCGCAATGCCGACACCAGCGCCGATGAGGAGCATGGGTCCGTCAGAGGCGAAGCGCGTGGCAAGCGGATTGGCCATGAGGCCGCGGAACATGGGGATGTGGATATCGATTTTTTCGCCCCGAGCCTCGGCAGCAATGGCCTTACGTGCAAGACTCTCGAGGTATCCAGATCCAACGCCGGTGCGAGTACCGTTACGCCAGTCGTCAGAATCGGCGACAGTGACTGCTACTTCCACGAGACGGCGGCATTCGGTGCCCTTGAATTGGCAGGAGATCATGGGATCCTGGGACAAGGAGTAAAAGCGGGGCATCAAAGTGTTCAGGACGGAGAGAATGTGGTCGAGAGGGGGGTTGAGAGGAGGGGAAGGCGTGGAGAAGCTGAGACAGGCTGATGTGGGAGCTGGTGCGTAGTTCGCAGAAGGCACCTTGACCTTGGGCCGAGGAGAGGTATTCAAGAATCTTTCTCTCGTTCTCCTCATAAGTGTATTCAGCTAGGGTGCGGAAGAGCGCCTTGGTCGGGGCGTAGCTCTGAATATCAGAGCACCAGCTAAGGACCTCGCGGCGAGAGGTGATCAGCTCGCGGGGTTTATCGTCACCCCAGATGGTGGGCCAGCGGCCCTTGGTGGTCCGCATGAGGACCTTCTTGTCACGCATGGACTTGGGAACGCCAAGCAGATTGAGAATATCCTCCACCTCCTCATCCTTGTTCTTCGGGCAAACGCCGATAGCACCACCTACGACGAAATCAACCATGCCGCTCTCGGCGGGGTAGTCGGTGACATCGATATCGAAGTGGTAAGTGCGCTTCTCTGCCCCACCCTTGGTGAGCTCACGGGTGTGGTGGAGAGGAGCGCGGTACACCTCATAGGGAGGATGGGGTTGTACGAAGCGTGGGGGGGTGATCTTCGGGGCCCAACTGGATATCGGCGGCGTGGGCGGGGGCGGGGGAGAAGGAGACGGTTTTTTCCGGGAGCGGGGCAAGGTTGGAGAGGTAGCTATCCAAGGTGAGGAGATCGACATTGAGACCAAGGCTCTCAAAAGCGTCGTTATCTGGTGCGGTGATGGAATTGAAGCCAGAGATTGGACCGTCCAGAGGTTGGAGGGGGCGACCCCGGCAACAACCCCCACCACAGCACATGGATTCAATTTTCTGAGTACCACCTGTGCCAACATTCTCCAACACCCGACGCATGTCATCCGAGTTCTGGGAAATCAGGATGGTCGAGGCACGACGAGCGCGACCGGTGGGTTTCCCAGCATTATCCTCGGAGATTGATAGGGTCTGCAGGTCGGGAGGAGTGATAGGGGTGGCAGGGGAATCGTCGCTGTTGGATTCAGTCTCTTGGGAGGAAGCAGGCGAGCCATTGAAATTGAAATCGGTGATTGACAGGGAACGAACGCCTCGAGGCTCTTCGGGAATAGGATTATCGGGGTGAGAGGTGGAGGAGACGGGGATTTCCTGAAAAGTGCCCTTGCGGGGGCGGGCCACCGTCGAGGAGGGCATGACGATGGCGGGCTCGAGAGCGTGGACTATGGAAAATGGAGGTAAGAGGGGATGTCCACTTCAGAGGAGGGCGAGGAGAAATTGCAGTGTTGAGGTTGAGGTTGGGGAGAAGAGGAAGGGGAGAGATTTCACACGTACCCATGACGGACGGAAGCGACGAACCGAGGGCCGGTGGAGTCGCGGGTGTCGCCGCGGAGGAGAGAGGTAGAGGTAGAGGTAGAGATAGAGGAGAGGAGAGGTTCGGGGGTACAGAGGAGTGTCCCAGTGTCGAGTCAGAGGAGTCGAGTAGTAGAGTAATAGAATAGCAGCACGGATAGTTTCCAGTAAAAAAGAACCGGTGGGTTGTAAAGAGACTCGGTGGAAAAGGAAGAAAAGAAAAAGAGGCGGAAGACCTCGCCAGATTTGGACCGGGAATTATCTGATTTTGCCACAAAAGTTAAAACACTAAAACAGAGCAGGGATGAAGGATGAAATCGGGACTTGATTACTGGATACAGCTGGGACACGGTTGGCCCCAGATCGACCGTGCATGTGCACTAGTACTTTACAGTTATTCCCTCTGTATTTTTGTGTGGTGGTGTGGGCGTGGTGGGCGTGGTGGGCGTGGGCTATTATACCTCGAGCGGTATCGGAATGAGCTGTACTACAGAGTACTCTTCACGGCGACAAAGTACTAGCTACCATATTCATATTCACATTCACTGGTATACTAAATAAGTATCGATATCCTCATAACTCCTGGTAATAATACAATACTAGTATCTAATAATACCTAGAGTCCGCTGGTCGAATGATCCCACTCATCCCATCGCCAGCCGACTTCCGGAGTGGGCCGACCGATTCCGTTATCAATCAATCTGATAATCATTGGCTGCTCACGGCATCCCTCATCCCTGTCTGCCCACTCTGTACTCCATACTCCATACTCTACCCCCTTTTCTCTCTCTCTCTCTTTTACCATGTACTCCGTACTAACCCCCACTCTCCTTCGCCCGCTGTGCCCACTTTCCGACCTGCCGGTTTCTAGCCCATCCCTGTCGCTTGGCTCTCGGTAGGCTTAGCTCCAGACATACCATCCAGTGGGTCTTTCTAGAACCCCCATGGACGCTCAGAAAAAGAAGAAACGGAAAAGGGGGTACTTTTGCAGGTGCCTAGATCATCCCCTAGCTGCTCGACTCGCCTGCAAGCGAGATGAACTGGGCGGGAGGGAAAGAGCCAGATGATGGATCAGGCTGTGTGACATCTACCTGTCCTGTCTCGGGAAGTGCTCGGCACCGAACGGGGCCATCTGATAACTTAATTTGCAGACGGTTGAGACTGGGAGTTGGGTATGGCTTCCCCGAAATGAAACACAAGTCAAGGGCCATCAAAGTAAGACCCGAGGTTAAAATTGGTTCGAATTCTTCATGTTTCGAACTACCCTGGTCCTAGCACCACGTCATGTACCAGAGGTTATTGAACCACGCCAGGTCGGAGTAATGGAAGAATGGAAGATTGATTGAATTCCGTCGGAAGTGAAAATCCGAGCTTTAGCCCCCGTCCACCCTCTATATAATTGACGTCACATCATATCATCAATCTGGCTGGAGGTCTGGTGTCTGGACTCCATACTCGGGCAGCCAGGCGTCTTGAATAAAATTAAGTACATGTCGAAAAAAAAATTAAGTCCAGAAAAAAGAAAAGAAAAAAAAAAAAGGAAAATAGTCATCATAGCCAGCCCCCTGGGGGGAGACTCCTGGTCCTCGGGTATGCGGAGTCATTCCGGCGCGGTTCGTTTTCGCTTCTACCTCCATTGAGCCTCGCATTTTGGCATGACAAGTGAGCATGTCATACTAGTAGTATACTAGTGACTCGCAGCTTGCACAGGTCAGAAAGTACCCTCTCTCTTTACCAAGGCCACGGGCGGAATGAAATGATGCCGCCCTCTGGCCCAATAATACAGGGACGCCGATCCAATGACACCAACGTACATGACGACGCCCCAATTCATAGTTTCACGAGTGACCGGCGTCGACAAGGGAAGAAGGCAAAAACAAATACTGGTAAAAGAAAGGCCAGTGCTCCCACGTTGACCGCCAGACCAAACCGACCGAGTGTCCAGCGGTGAGGCGGAAGCGATTCGCCCCGAAGGCGCTTTAGAAGCACGCAACCGATCGAAATAATGTATGCAGACAGAAGCGAAGTGATTGTCAGCGAAATAACCGCATTGAGAGCTACCTGGGAGCCAATGTTGATGAGTGAGAGCAAAATGGTGACCCCCAACGATACCATCACCGAGTTCAGCGGGATGTTCCATCCTGGTGTAACCTGCCAGTACAGTCAGCTGGGCCTATTGGAAAGTGCGATTTGAAGTCTTAGACTGGCGTGCTCACGTATGCAAAGAAAGACGAAAATGGGAGTCCTTCGTCACGGGCAAAGGACCAAAGTTGTCGCGATGCGGTCGCGACTTCGGTAATCGTGCTTGCGGTGAGTGTTACCACCAGTACTGCAGTCATTGCATTTGTCGCAGCGAGACTACCAGTCGTATTATAGAAGATTTGAATAAAGGGAAACTCGGTTGGGCTTTCAAGGACGGCATCTACTTCGCCCAAGGTGAAGCAGAGTGTCACCAACATAATAAAACCCAAGACGCCGTTTACCGCGACAGAGGACATCATGGCCCTAGGTAGTGTTTCCGACGCATCTTTGATTTCTTCGGCTGCAACATGTAAGCATAAGTCATCTTCACGAGCTGGCGCATTCACTCACACATGTGCACAGAACAGTCGTAGCCGAGCATCGAGGTGATGGTGGTAGAAAGGCCAACGAAGGTCGCGGTCCCGGCATCGCGCCAACCACCTCCGTTGTGAAAAGTAGTAAACACAGCATGAGCATTATTGCGCGGCGCAAGTACCCATAGTGGGATAATAATCGCAAATAGGCCGATAACATGGATGATCAGAATCAGCCCTTCAACGAACGGGAGGTTCTTGGCGAGGAAGGTGTTGAATAGAATCGAGAAAGTCGAGATTGCAATCACCAGCATTGTTCCGTGCCATCGCTGAAAATCGTATTCCGGTTGGTTCAGCACAATGAGACCTTGAATAATAGTCCCCGCGAGATAAGCGATCGAAACAATTGCACATTGCCATCCCATTGCAGAGAGCCATCCTGGATAAGATATTAGCAGGCCATGGATCGATCTCGTTACGTAGACAGGGAGGACATTCGCACATACCTGTGATATAACTAAGGAACTTTTGTCCCGTTCTTGGTGCAAATTCAGATACCCAGTGATACTGTCCACCGGCAGTGGGAGCCCTATTTCCGGTCAGTCAGCGTGAGGAAGTTGACTTGCTTGATCTCACAGGCAGTCACATACATTGAGGCCATCTCGGAGATGCTGGCATATACCAAGGTGAAGCCGATGGAGACACCAACAAAGCCCCATATGAGACCAGCAGTTCCGCCATCGGTCAAACCAGCAGCTAATAATCTGTTCGCGCGATAAGTATGCATATATATCGCCAAGAACTTGCCCTAAGGCTAACCATGTGGAAGGGGTGACAAACGTCAAGATAACCTCCCATGTGCAGATTAGCGTGCAGCCAAATCCAACAATGGAAATAAATTTGAAATTTCTCTTTTTTCCACGCGTTAGCCCGTTCATCAGATGAAGAAATTCGCAGGCGATGCTTACTCGCAGAACCTGGACTCGTCCAAGCGCACTCATATCCTTCTGGTCGGCCAATGTCCCCATATATCGGGGCGCGACGAGGCCTTTCTGAGGAAAGTCCTCCAGATCAGTGAGCGTGTCCGTCATCTGCGAGTCGTTCCCTGACATGTAGGTATGCACCATCTTTCTGGCGTGGGGGGCCAAATCCGGCCTAGACTAGACAAGTCGAAGGAGATGATCGAATGACAATCACGAAAATCGCACCAGCAGGCAAGAATGAGAATGGTCTTTCTCAGCGCAGCGGCACAAGGTATCGTACGTCGTACAGCCGTCTAAGCTAGATAGTATATGCAAAATAGAAATGAAAGAAGGAAAGGTGAGGGCTCCTAGAGCCAGAAGAAAGAGACCGCGAAGTCAAAGTTACTAGCAAAGAGCCGTAACCCAAAATAGCAGTTCCCAGGAGAAGGGCCGACAAACTGAGATCATACCGGGCGCATTGGGGTAATCGACTGGCAGGATTCGAGCGTGGTATCGACGTGGGAGCAAGGCGTGGCTAGGAAGAATTCTCGCGCGCCAGCCATGTGGGCAAAAGCCCGGGGAGAGAGGGTGCTAGCAGATTTCCAGACGATTTGCATGACACATCGAATGTTTTGAGTGAGAGGACGAGAAGGGGGCATGTTGCACTGAGCATGGACCGCTTCGAGATTTCATTCTCGCTGGGACTGTGGACGGAGAACAGTCGGTTCCCCCTTGGATTTCGGAGGGTGTTGAAGAATGAGCGATGAAGCTATCGGCGCCTTGCATGCCAAGGGGGAAGATTGCATTTGTCCCTTACAAGCAGGCAACTAAGTATTATCGATCAGAATCGATGTGTGAGATTTTTTCTGGAGCCTCATTTATTGTGTAGGTAATTTCTTTTTAATTCCTATCTGCTTCCAAGGTTTGTGTGAGGTTTCAACTCAGGGGGTAAACAAATTGCTTCCCGACTGTGATAACTCGGATATACTTACAAAGGAATCGATAGCTTTTGCCCTGCGCCCCGCTGGGCACGCCGCGCCGGCAAAGCAGATCCAACACCTGAGTTTGTGACCTATCACCCACGCTAATGGCAGATCCCTGCGTGAATCACGATCACATCCCTTGATGCTTAGCCCACCAAACGAAAACCAGCACACTGCAAACCGAACCGGCCAAGGGAGGATGCGCCGGCTAAGTGCGCCACCCCTCGCATGTTTTGTCGGAAGGGGGAACAACCACATGGTCCTATCGGAAAGCTGCCCTGTGGACCCACGAGCACAGAGCTGGCATGCTGGTTGATTTCCAGTGTAAAAATGGCGTCGGGCCGAGGGATTGGAAAGAGACTGTCATACCATCGCAGGTGGTCTCAGACGTGAGGGGAGGCTGCTGTGCCTTTTTCCATGAGAGTTATATCAGAAACATTGCTAGCTGGAGATACATAATTTTAGCATATCGTGCATAGTATTGCTTCTGTTTCTGGCTTTTCTTTTCTTTTTTTCCTTCTTGACCTCTTTTATTGTTATTTTAGTTCATTCTTGTCTAGAAAGGGATGTCTCGATGGTAATACTATGTAGTATGTCACGCTGGACTCTTCTCGGCGTGGAAAAGCATAATCAGAGTGAGCGAAGCTGGTGCTCTTTCTTCGATGGAGCTTCCTGCTTCATCTTCAAGTTGTCCCAGTGCTTCTCAAACCAACTGAGTCTTACCGGTCAATGACAAATCTTGATTGCGTGGTCTCTAGGAATCTCTGGTTGATCGGCCCTCTCCATTCGTTATAGCGGCCTCTTCGTCTTTCGTCAACGAGGATCCGAGTCGTCACACTAAGTGATTGCTGCGGTATATACCTCGATTTCGAGTCGGCCTGCCCTGCCGTCGAGTCCCGCTCTGCGCACATGGGCGTGTCTGCTCCACATTCACTGACCTTTTCATAATCTCCATTCACTCGTCTTCTTTCCTCATGATACAAGGTGTCGTTCGCTCAAGTGAATTCCCAACTTCCCCGTGATGGGCCCCTATGTGCCACCGGGACAGTCGCCGCCCTTCGAGGTCATCGATGAATACCACCGTGCTGCATACATCATTATCACGACAGCGCTGGGACTGGTGATTTCGTTGGTGTGCTTTCAGATCCGGCTCTATGTTCGACTATATCTAATACCGCCTTTTGCGCGAGATGATTTCGTGTTATTGGGGGCGACAGTGAGTTCTGAGACAGTCGACGAAGTGATCCACTGTGCGGTAGCTAAACTTATCTCGTACGCTAGGTAATGGCTATATTGCAATCCATACTGGTTTTCTACGCATGTTCCAGAGGATTTGGTACATCGATTACTTTGCTGGACGAAAGTCGGCTGAATCAAATTCAAGCAGTAAGCTCAGTCCCAGCGCAATCTTGATCTAGAAGGCTGACTTACTTCGAACTTAGCTAGTTACGACAAGTGATGTTTTCGCATTGATAATCGTTTACCTTTCTAAATGCTGCGTGATTGCGATCTATTTCCGACTCACTCCACAAAAACAACACAACAGAGCTTCTGCGGCTACGTTGGTCCTATGCACAGCTTGGCTGATCCCGGCTGTGTTTATTATTTTGGTTAACTGCGAGCTCAACAAGCCATGGCGATCACAAGGAGGGCAATGTCGGAATCTGGTTTGTTTCTAATTTACCACAGATATTTGATCATGTACTGATATCATTATTAGTACCGACGTTGGCAGTTTATTGCTGTCGTGGACGTTATAACAGAGCTCATAATTTTCGTACTCGCAGTTTCCCTTCTGAAGGGACTTTTTATGAATCTGAGACGCAAGCTCACTATTGGGTTTGCTTTCATCTTCCGCTTCCCGTACGCTATTCTCGTGAGAATCGTTTTCTTGATACACTAACTGATGTCATTCAACCTCTAGACTCATAGTCTTCACAATTCTCCATATTACAAAACTACACGCAGCACTCGGTGAAACCGATGTTACCGTCGCAGCAATCGAACCATCTCTCTGGCTTCAAGTCCAAGTTCATTACGCTCTGGTCGCTTGCAGCGTCTTCTGCCTTCGTCCATTTATGGCAGCCGTCAGCACAAACTATGGGACCGCGGGGGATTCGACATTAGAAAGCAGCGCATCCAGATCTGGCGGTACAAAGGGAAGCTCGAAATCAGGATCCAACTCGGGATCAGGATCGAATTCACACTCAGCATCGAGGTCAATGTCAATGTCCCGGATACAAAGGAAAAGAGCAGGGACGGCAGCAACGCCACCTTGGTCTAAGTCCCATGCGATCCCACACTCCTCGTCGAAGGAAAACCTTTGTCAAGTTGGGAATATACAACCCATCATTCAGGATCCAGAGATGCCCCGGAAAAAGCAGAAACAGGCTTCTCCTCAAGTACGAGAACCTGCAGTCCGCACACCGCTACGACGATCAATGTTCCCTCTGGATGAACCAAGTATACCGCCGCTTCCGAAGCCACAGAGAGGTAATGAAGGGACTAGGAGGCAAGTGCCTGACCAGTCCCTTTTAGACACCGATGCAATTGAACTCATGCCTCAACTTCATCGGCAACATGGTCGCCCGCAGAGTGAGGTCACTGGAGAGAGTGAGGATTCCGATAGAATGGTTATTCGGAAAGAGGTCGGGTACTCAATTCAGTATGAGTATGATGATGCGCGTCGGAGAGGACAGGGGCCTTCTAAGAAGAGTTCCACTGATGCAATGGCTTACGTTTAAGCCACCAGATAGATAAATTTTTACACGGCAGTATATACATCGGGGAGAAGTCCATTTACCAATAACTCGAAGCCCATTCCCATCGTAATTCGCATAGAATCCCCATACTACTGGACAAAAATTCCCTGTTATCCAATCTTGCATTATCCGCTGGTCATAACTTTGGGATATTATACGGACTATAAATACATTGAGAAACCATGACCTTGGAAGCACATTTTCAAGGAGCGGAACAACAATGATAGATCTATTGGTGATTTGGTAACATCTAATGTTCATCAAACGATTACACTGTCTATAGAACCTTGGAAGACGTTTCTTCTTTAGATACTTTATGGAATAATGGAGTGACAATAATATAAGAACTACTAGTATATATGTAGCACTATATAAACCAGGCCCCATCACAAAGTGCTAGTATCAGGCATTAGACGGTTTAGCAGAGCGCAGAGAGACTGGAATAGCCGTATCATCATCAGTGATATTCCAGACCAGAGAATAAACCCCTTCACCCCCTGAAGACGATCGGATGTAAAAGCTAGAAGAGATGTCACCGGAGTCATTTTCCACCATCACCCACTGCCCGTAGAAAATGAATCCAGTAGTAGTCTCGTTGGTCATTTTCTTGGAGGTAAAGCCCATTTCGTGGGAAGAAGAAGAAGAGCTAGGGACATAGAGCATCTCATCCGACCAGCTATAATTGGCGTTGGTAGTCGTCACGTTCGGGTTAGCAATCCAGGAACTGGAGGAGGATGCCGAAGCGCGGGTAACTATAGTTTCCAAATGTTAGATGTTCAATTTGATTACATTTTTTGTTATTTTTTGCGAAGAATTAGGTCCAAGTTCTTACAAGAAACAGGGGCTGCATCCGTGGCAGTCGAATTGGTAGGATCACCAATCATGGCCTTTCCTGTGAACGTATTAGCCCACACTCAATGTATGACTACCTGGGAATTTAGAACAGTTCGAACCTTCGGCGTAAAAAAGTGAAAGCCCGCCGATAGAGTCGCCGTAGGCATACAATTCAAACTCTTCATTCACATCAGGAGCATCACGGGTGGCTAATGCAGAGGCAGAGCCTAGAAGGCCGAGAGCCGCGAGGGAGATTGAAGAAATGAGCATTGAGAAGATGAGAAAAGTGATTGAAGAAATTTTTGAAGAAACGAATATTCAAGCTATAGATTTCGGTGGTCTACTGATCTTATTTGTAGATTCGACCAAGTTCATTGGAACTAGGAGCGCGGTACCTAAGTATTTAAAGCGTTGGACCGTGTCGGGGTACCCATTAGACAATAGTCAAATAAACTCAATTGGGAGACCTCGGGCTACCGCAAATACAATTGACTCACTAGCATTGCAACTTGAATATTTACGTTGAAGAGGCGGGAGAACTTGATAACCGAGCCGCGCGTTAGCTGACGTCTGTCTCGGCATGGCTGCGGGTACCTGAAGCCATCCGGCTCGTCCCAGTAAGTTTTATGGAGAAAGGTAAAGCTTTAGTGTTGTTTTGTCCCATGAGGATAATTCCGAATATTACGAGCTTGGACGCAGTGGTATCAAGATGCTTGGTTCCAATGTGTTTTAAGTTCCCGACCTTGCAAATATAGAACCTGAAGACAATTATTTCTAAGAAACAATATTCCAAGGTTGATTTATGAAATCGGTAGGTACAATTATAGACGTATGAAATTGTTTCAAGCAAACATCTTTTGAAACATTGAGGTTTTCACTGATTCTGATGCCGCGCAATTGTAGCTACTTCCAAGACCCGCCCAGGTAGGATCCAGACTGCTGCCAGACCACCATCATGCAGATTTGACCGGATCGGGCTTACATGATGCCAACTTTTGGACCAAAAACCCAAGAGCCTGGCTAGAATAAAAATAGCCAACCAATTGACTTGTCGTCGAAGCCTCTCCGAGGCGTCAACGTCAATATGATTACGCCTCCAAACTTTCCTCTGCGGTCCCTTAGCATGTCATGCACAATGGAGGCCAATAAAAAACTAGACATACGAAACCACACCTCTCTATCGCATTCAGCCCCACGAGTTGAATGACTATAGCTAATAGTATATGGGACACGCGACATAAAAAAGTCCTGCTGAACTGGCTAATGCAACCTATCCATCATCTATAAAGCTCTGTAGATTATTCAAAATCTCTAGCTTTGAATCAGTCATTCGCTTTATTCTGCACAATTTATATACCGAACCGCTCCTTATTCTCTTTACTCTCTTTTTATAGTGGCAAAAGCTTCTTCGTGCGTCATGAGATATTTCTCATTCTTTGTTGCGCTCGTGGGAGTCGCCTCGGCTACATCTATGCATGGTCGTAAGAATAATCCCTATTGGGCACAACATATCTCTCACAAGCGCGATGCTTGCTCAGGAAATTCCGCTAGTGATAGACAGACTTGGTGCAACTACGATTTGAGCACAAATTACTACAACGTTGTACCAGATACTGGGGTGACTCGAAAGTATTATTTCGATATTCAAGAGGTCACAGTCGCTCCTGACGGGTACTCCCGAACAGCCATGGCTGTCAACGGGTCAATCCCCGGCCCTACAATTCAAGCTGACTGGGGCGACAATGTTGTTGTGCATGTGACAAATAGCCTTACCTCTGCAAAGAACGGATCGAGTGTCCACTTCCACGGTATTCGCCAGAACTACACCAACCCCAATGACGGTGTTGTTTCCATTACCCAGTGCCCCACAGCACCGGGCAAGACGACAACCTACAAATGGAGAGCTACTCAGTATGGGTCAACCTGGTATCACTCGCATATTGGGTTGCAAGCCTGGGAGGGTGTCTTCGGGGGCATTATAATCAATGGCCCGGCATCCGGGAATTATGATGAGGACAAAGGAGTGTTATTTTTGAATGACTGGACCCATCAAACCGTTGATGAGATGTACGATTCGGCCCAGTCAAATGGACCTCCAACCCTGGACAATGGATTGATCAACGGCACCAACGTATACGGAGACGATAATTCAACAAGCCAAACGGGATATCGGTTTAACACCTCCTTTACGGCCGATACTTCGTATCGCTTTCGCTTGGTGAATGCCGCGGTAGATACACACTTCAAATTCTCAATTGACAACCATACTCTCACTGTGATTGCGATGGATCTTGTCCCCATCGAGCCTTTCAATACTACAGTTCTGAGCATAGCAATGGGTATGCAAACACTAATCTTTTGTTTTCCTGGGATAGTGCTAACAGATTTCGCGTATAGGCCAACGATACGATATTGTTGTCAACGCAGATCAATCCACCGGGAATGAGAGCTTCTGGATGCGCGCAATCCCCCAGTCAGCATGCTCGGATAATGACAGCACGAATAACATCAAAGGAATAGTGTACTACGGCAGCAGTCCCTCGACACCTACCACAACCGCATACTCCTATACAGATAGTTGCGATGATATGGACTCGTCTGATCTGGTCCCCTACCTATCACAGAGCGCATCGTTGCCGTATTACAATGCCAGCGAACCTGTCACGCTGGGAACCACTTCTGAGAATCTGTTCCGTTGGAAATGAATGGGACCTCAATGCAAGTCTATTGGGATAACCCCACTCTGCTCCAGATCTGGAATAATGATACCTCGTTCACCAACACCAGTGGCGTGGTACACCTTCCTCGAGCCGATGAGTGGTCTTATGTGGTGATTGAGACTACCCTTACGGTTCCTCATCCTATCCATCTCCACGGCCATGACTTTTTCATTCTTGCTCAGGGAACTGGAACATACAGTTCGTCGGACATAACTACTCTAACCAACCCACCACGCCGTGACACCGCAATACTCCCTAGTTCGGGCTACCTTGTCGTGGCATTCAAGACCGACAACCCCGGGGCATGGCTCATGCATTGTCATATTGGCTGGCACACCGAAGAAGGCTTCGCGATCCAGTTCCTGGAACGCTGGAAAGAAGCTCGTAAATTAATTGACTACAGTACTCTCAACTCGACTTGTGAGAACTGGACTACGTATACGACGGAGGCCACGCTTGAGCAGGATGATGATGGAATCTGAAGTTTTGTATCAGAGAAAGAATAGAGACATGAAAGATAGAAATTATTTCGCTCGCGCATTTCCAAAACGCCGCGCCGTTATCGTTTGCCGACAAGAAAAGACAAAATATTTCAATTGGCCGCAGTTAGAAGCCTCCGCTTGGACGCTTGAAAGGATGGGCCTCAGTACTCCTAAAGCAAATGGTCAGCACCCAAACATGTCACAGGCTTTTGGATAGTGTAGCTTACAAGACATAGTCATCCAGGCTAACATGACTCGGCTCTGAAAATATAAGATAGAGGTATTTGAGCGTCTCGGCGAGCCAAAAGCTTTCCATCTTGTCACTCAGCTGTGGCTCGCTGTCACGAACGTCTTCGATGGACGAATGTCCAAATTTGGTGCGTGTTGCCTTGTCGATGTTCTTGAACATGCGCCATGCGGCATCTTGGAGCGATTTGTCGCCAGTAATTCTGTACATGATAAAGATAGATTCTAGGGCTTCAGGTCTGTAGAAAAAATTGTCAGTTTGAAAGTTTTCTCTTTTTCTAACGATAATGTCTCACCGAAGCTTGTACGTAGAGTCCCGGAGGACAGTCACGCCTGCTGGAAGGCGCTCATGCTTGATCAACTTCTGCACTTGATGTCGTTCGCTATCCGTCTTCAGTTGTTCTCCCCACACGCCTTCATACCATTTCGCATCATCGAACGGGCAGTTATCCTTGTCGTCGCACGCAGCAACTTCCATTGCTTCAGGCATGATTCCCGTGGGCATGGCGTCATATGACCAGATACAACCGTCGGTAAGCTCTCGTGCGATGGACATGTCCTCGGTGCGATTAAAGACCTTGGCTGCGATACCGACAGTGCCACCTAGGAAGCACTTCAGGTGCTCTTGGAGAAACCGTTCTTTGTAAACACTGCCACCTCGATTGACTATCAGATTTGAGGTGAAGAGGATTTGTTTGTCTTGGTCCTTGAGCATGGGTCGGAATAGCATATGCTTCTTGATCGCTTCAATCGCTTCGGTGTACATATTGCGGTATTGATCTGTCTGCGCACCGAGAAGGATATGCTCTTTTGGCAAGTATTCGTAAGCCGAGTCGGCGCATCCACCGAGAGTGAATTCCGCGTTGTCGAACCAAAGATGATCGGCGTCAATAATTGTCGGCCACAGTCCAGGGAGTCGAGTCTCGTTTTGGTTCTTTTCTAGTACGTCTGTGATCCGCTGAACAGCATCGTAGTACTTTGGGTCGCCCGTCAATTGGGTGAGTCGGGTAAATTCAACCGTCAATGAGGCCAGTTCTGCGAGATTGGTGACTTCGCTAGGTTGGATTTCCAGATTTTGCGCCGATTCAGACCACTCCCAGCGCATTTGGGGCATCCGGTTATGCGTATCGAATGCGTTGTAGATCATTTCGCCAAGCTCGACGGCTTTCTGGAGCAGGATGGGATGTTTACCATCAGTAAGGTCGTGAGCTGCAATCATTCCCCCCCATGTAGCGAATAACAATTTCGAAGACGTTGACGTAGGAGCTCGGAGTTGTCGTGAAATCGATTCTTTTCAACGCATCCAAAGCGATTTCAAATTCGTCGTCGAGGCCCATGATGACCAGGGCATCTAAGGAATCGACGAGAGTGGCACCCCAGCCACTAAATGAATCCTCATATCTGCCACTTGACGGCGAGACCTCATCCCGCATCCACGCATGGTCCTTGTATCCATTCCACGCGTGCAAGAATGTTTGTTTTATAGTTTCCCGCTTCTTGAGCCTCGCCTTGCGCTCTCGTCGCGATTCGACAGGAAAGTCGTGTTGAATGCGGGGAATCGATACTGGCGATGTCGGTAGGGGGATATAGGAGGTGACAGGGAACCTCTCTATTGAGTTATTTATATGAATATTGTTGAGCCTATGCCATTGCTTTTCTATGACAGTCGGCTGGGCTTTGTGGGAGAAGAGTTGGTGGAGAGGCAGCCACACAAGAAAAAAGTAGGCGACTAAAAGAAATAATATCGTAGTTGTGAGAGAGCGACCTTTGCGGTTGGGTATCATAATGAAGGTGGGATAATGCTGTAAGACTGTGAAAAATAATTCGATGAGATTTTATAAGGAATGACAATCATGGAAAGATTATAGCGATGGTGGGAAGGAGTGTACAAGCCATCAACAGCTTCAAAAAAAGAGAGAGAAACGGAGTCAAAGAGGTAGAGAGTCTATCACATCGCACAGGTGGAGAAGAAGACATTTGAACACGCGAGAACGCTAGAAATTCCCCAGAGCAAAAGCTAGGTAGGGATGACAGAAGTGCAACCATGTGGGAAAATCACGTCAAGCATTGTCTTCGAGGGGATCGGAGGGCGCAAGGTTTGTGATGCTCCGTTGATCGACAGGGTTGTCTCTGATGGTCGTTTGACACGCGTCCCCGGGTCCAGAGATACAACAGCAGAGCGATGATTGGAGAAATTTGGCATGTAAAGGGGCCGCAATGTGGCTCCCTTCCCGTGCAAGCAAATGATATGCGATCTCCTACGTAAGGAGGAGCTTTCAGGGTCCAAACATGTATTCTTGGGATGTGGCGTCTTTATGTGCAAAGTCTAGGCCTGGGCTGTAGGGACCTCAAGGTGCCTAGCCATAGCTGCCGTATTAAAAAGTATCCGCAACATTGGCCCGTGAGCTGCTGTCAGTCCAGACCTCCAAGCCCCTGTACCTGTCGCGATCGGGTTAAAAGTGGCCCAGCCGATTGCTACGGGGTTTTCAGGCCAGTGTGGCGGAGCTGGTCAATCTCTGTGGGTCGCTTCTCGTTTTTGTGATGACACGATTGGATTAAATTGCATGTGAACTTTGCTCTACTTGAGGATTTGCATTTAATTTGACGGTATAGAGAAATTGAAACTTTGTTCTGTACAATATCTTCACCCTGCTAACTGCAGAAAACCCAAGATAAATGTCATTACCGAGTACTCCGTACTCCGCCAACAAGAACTCGGAGAAGTTGAGAACTGTTGGTTGCCAAGTGAATCCTGCCTGACTCCACTTTATGAGCTCACAGGCCGTGTTGAATGTCAGATCGCTGATGATCTTGATGCATCTGAAGTTAACTTGAAGAGCCCCGGAGGGATTCAGTTAGAGGAAAGTGATCGCAATTTACGAAATCAATCGACATTTCTGGAGCCGGAATATCTACATAGTAAACTGGTCATAAATCATCACTTCTATCTGGCGGTCATATTCCGCGGTCCGCCTCAAGAATGAACAAGTCTTTCTACACGGGTCAACTGGCTACGACGAAGCTAAGCAAGCTACCAGCGGTCAGGCCTCCGACCAGCATCGTGCCCATAAACCCTCCGGCCGCGTGTCGTTCATCAGCAGATACCCAAATGCTAGCACCCATCATGCAACTCGATGCCAAGTATCCGTTGGTTATGCCAAACAAAAATTGCACAATGAAAAGATAGAAAAAGTCACTTTTCACCGACGCTCCTTGGCCATCGATGTTGCATAACAGATAAAGCGGGATGAACCCAAGTCGCAAAAATGAAAGAACGAGGGCTAACCACGGGCGGTGGCTGAGAGACAGCTGCGGAATGGCCACAGCAATTCGCCCGGAAAGATCACCAATGTTCCAGAATAGAAACGCGAGCGGAATGAAGACCGGGCCATCATACAACCGCGATTTGCTCGGGTCATTGACCGAAAGAATTCGGGAAGTGTATACAGGGAAGACCATCATAGTGACAGTGAAAACCAAGAACACGGCACAGGCCAAATGCCGGAGCTTAAGAAACAGGGTCCAAAGACTGACGGATCTGTCTTCGGTGCCCTCAACAAGAGCCGTATCTTCATCGTCGTCGTCGTTTGTCTTCGGTTTAGGACTCGGTCGGTTCCTGAGGAGATATAGGAAAACCAACAATGTAAGTACGGAGACACCAGTCGCAGTGAGGAAGTAGATGAATGCGGATTTCGGCGAAGATCCCTGCGGTCCGCCAGAGTCATTCCTTGACACTGCCAAAACAGAGAGAATTTGTATGATGCACGGCAAGACACCGGAGATACCCTGTCCACTCATGATAGCTTGCATATATTCCTCCCGACCAAAGCCAGCCACATAGGCGAAAACGCCGTTTTGGTTGAGTCCGGTGGCGAAGCTAGTCCCGAAAACCATCACCATAACAAAAGCAAAGTATACCTTAACAGAAACGTCTGTCAAAAGGACCGTGGAGAAAGCCAACAAGGTGAAGATGGCGCTGTTGATGAGCAGCGAGAGTGTAATTCGCCACGGGTAGGAAACATTCTTCTGGATTCGGGCAAAGGTGTATGCGGAAGTGAGGTTGGTGACGGTCGACACAGACAATATGGAGGACTGGTAATGTGTTGCAGCCCATTCATTCGATTCAAAGCGACTGTGGAAGTATGGTGCGGCGGCGAGGAACATGTTCCTTCACGATGTTAGTTAAAGCGACAACATGACCGGAGCTCATGCTCTTGTCCATGGCCAAGAGAGGAGAGCACATAGAGTACTACTTACCAGGCCCATAGCATTGCAACTCCCAGTATGAAGAAGACACCATACTCCAGCCTCGAAAAGCGAGCCCATGGCCGCTGTCGTTCCTCTACCGATCCGGCGTCATCTTCCGGTGACTCCTCCAGTGGCTCGTATGCCGGAGGTTTAGCAATAACTCTGCGTAAATAGTCCATAGTGTCGATATGCCACAATCCTCCTCCACGTTTGGGGCTCGGAGGGATCGCTTATATGGAGAGGCACAGTCCACGAGGGTTGCGCAGCTGAACTGCTTTCGGAGAGGTCCGCGGATGATTCAGTGGGGGGCGGGCGGCACGGGACGGGCGGCACCTGACCAGACCAAATGCGGAGACTCCCAAGTATGCCCACTTGGTTGGTATTTATATGGATTGGCGATCTACACATCGATGTATTACATAGTATGGGAGAATCACTTATAGTCAAATTGATTTCAATGTTTATACACAGTCGAGTGTCCGTTTAATATCTATCGCCAAAGAAAACCCCATATAAAGGCTGACGCGCATGAGGAGAGGGGGGAGAGAGTGTGTATCCAAAAAAGAGTAGCCCAGTCGGGCGCCGTTTAAACATGTAATTGTGAGTGAGTCTAGTCCTTCTTCTTCTTCTCGGACTCTGACTCCTCTACTTCGTCTTCTTCGATTTCCGGTTCAGGCTCCGTTTCCTTTTGGAGCTTGTAGAGTTCGTCCGGTTCAACGGACCGAGTAGGCGGGTTTTGGGCCTCCCCTCCGCTCAACTGCCATTCCATAAGCTTGGTGAAAGCTCCATCGGGGCGAGAGCTGAGCTCTTCATAGCTGCCTTGCTCAGCGACAGTGCCGTCATTGCCAAGAACAATAATGGTATCAGAGCGCTTGATCGTGGAGAGACGGTGAGCGATGCTGATAGTGGTATTGTTACCCCGGAGAAGAGCAGCAAGCGCGCTGTTAACGAGTGTCTCTGATTCAGCATCCAGGGCGGAGGTAGCCTCATCCAGAATCAAAATGTCAGGCTCCTTGATCAGGGCACGCGCAATGGCAATTCGCTGCTTCTGTCCACCTGAGAGTTGGGCCCCGCGGGCTCCAACGTGGGTGTCGAGGCCATCAGGCTGTAAGTGGTATTAGTATGAGGGTATGCACATGACGCATTAATGGCAAACTTACGAAATCACTGATGAACTGGCAGTTGGCCTGGCGGGCAGCAGCGATGATCTCTGACCGTGTGGCGTGAGGGCGACCATAGGAAATGTTGTCTGAGATGGTTCCTGAGAAAAGCACAGGTTCTTGGGCAACCACGCCAATCTTGCGACGAAGAGACTTGGCATTCATTCCACTGACGTCCTTGCCATTGATTAGGACACGACCCGCGGTAGGGCTATAAAATCGAAGCAGGATAGACGCAATGGTGGATTTACCACCTCCGGATGGACCAACAATGGCCACATTAGTACCTTGAGGGATCTCAAAATCGAGGTCTTTGAAGATAGCCACGGCAGGGCGAGTCGGGTAGCTGAAGGAAACATTCTCGAACCGGATCGGCCCGCGAGCAGAGTCCACCTTGAGTCCCTTTGTAGGGTGGATCGTCGGCTGTCGGTCTTGCAGTTCGAAGAGTCGGCTTGCAGCACCGACACCTTTCATCAGCTCGGAGTAAAAGCTTGACAGACCAAACATGCTCGAGCCAGCGTAGGCAGTGTACATCAAGAAAGAGGTCAGCTCTCCGATGCTGATAGCCCCGGATTGGACCATCCCAGCTCCCACATAGAGAAGACTCAAAATCGTCATATTGCCCATCAAGCCAGTCTAAAAGTCGTTAGTTAATCATGGATAGACAGGCGCCGTTGGGATTGCTTACTGTACTGAAAAAGGTCGCACTGATCAGAGACTCCCGTTTTCCGAGATCGAAAATCTTGCGAACTTGGGTGTTGTAGCGGTTAACTTCCTGGACTTCAGCTGCAAAAGACTGGCTAGTTTTCACATTTCCCAGACGCTCCTCGGCAATTTTTGTTAAACTACCAAGGTTCTTCTGGATCTTGCGGCTGAGGTTTCTGATTGCCCGTCCATAAAAGAGAGCGCCAAGGCCGATCGGTGGCAAGAGTATAGCCAAGATACTGGAAAGCTTCAAGCTGGTATATGCCATCAGACCGAAGCCCGCGAAACCGCTGACACCAGCCCGCAATCCATCCGATAGGTTCTGAGTGATACTTTTACCAACAATGATCGTGTCTGAGCTCAGGCGAGAGATCAGATCACCGACTCGATTGGCATCAAAGAATTCGGCGTCTTGAATAAAAGTCTGGCGGAAAAGCTTCGAACGGAGTCTCGCAACAATACGTTCACCCACGATTCGAAGAATGATTATACGGCCGTAGTTGGCGGCGGCACCAATGAGAAGAACTCCACCCAGAGCAGTATAGAACATGGGCATGCTCAAACCAAACAGTTGACCACCGCCCTCTTCGACGCTCTTTGTGGCTCCATCCATGATCTTTCCAATGGAGAATGGGATCGACATAGTAATAGACGATGACACTAACAAAAATAAGAATGCGAAACCAAGCGCTTTGGATTCGGGTCGCGCAATCTTGAATAGTCGCCAAATCTCCGCAAATCCAGACTTTTTGCCTGAGGACCCATCCTTGGCCAATTTGGCTCGTAGATTGACCTGCGCTGCTTGCGCGGCTCTCTCGGAGAGCTCGAATCCTTCCTCTTCCTTCTTCTCTACTTCCGGGGTGGCAGCGCCATTGGGTTGAGTCGAAGTGGAGTCTGAAGACGGTGATGGGGGTTTCGTTTGGAGGAGTCGGGAGGTAGAGGATAGAGATCGTGTTTGATAAATAATCCGAGAAGTAGAAGTGGTATGTGTAAAGCCATTCTGACGCTGCGAAAACGGAACCTCGGCTGGCCGGAGGAAACCCCCCGGGGGTGTCATGAAGGACCCCGGAGGCGGTTGAGAAGAGTCGGTTGGCAGCATTGAAGTCGCCAGGCCGGGATACCGTTGTGTTCAATTGCATGGAGAGCTGGCGCAGAGCAGGGCTCTGTCTCACCGTCGGCCGAGAGCAGACACCCGGCGCCCAGGCCGACAACCGGAGACCGCGCATCGTCGGAGTGTGTCGATAAAAGGAGGGAAATAGGAATAATGATATCACCGAGAATCACGGAAGGCCATTATCTCAGAGGAAAGCTCTCGCAGTGGCATTCCAACTTGTGAAGATCCTCGTCCCCGTAGCATGTGGAGGTCGGAAAGTCGGACAGCCGGGGGAGGTTCACCCCAAGCGCTCGCTTAGTCATTTCCCAGTCCGTCGTTGCCCGTGGAAGCTCCTCGAGCTGTCACTGTCAGTTGAGCCACTTGCGCCTTGTTTTCTTCTTCTTCTCCAGTCTGATATTCATTCTGAGAATTCTTCCTACCGTGGATTAATTCTATTATTTGTCTCCACTGTTCTCTATACGCTTCCCAGAGATTCGCGCAACCCTCCGTTTGTCATTACATTCCTCTGACCATCCCACCATACCCCGCCGCCCACCTCGTGTTACTCACAAGATGGTCCTCGACTACAGCAAGTGGGATCAGCTGGAGCTTTCCGATGATTCGGATGTCGAGGTTCACCCCAATGTCGACAAGCGCTCATTCATCCGCGCCAAGCAGGCCCAGATCCATCAGCAACGTGAACAACGCCGCCACGATATCAAGACACTGAAGTACGAGCGCATTATCAATGACGGTCTACTTTTACGCATCGATAAGCTCCTCGAAACTCTCAAGAAGCATGAAGACACATCTGCCTCCCCCGATCAGTTCCTCTTCGAGACCATCATGGAGTTCGCCAGCAAGCCCGCGGAGGACCAAGCCCCACCCCCACCGGAGGGGGTTCATACACACGAGAAGGAGCAGCCAAAATACTCCCAGATGATGGGTGCTCTTGTGGACCAGGTCAAGCAGGAGTTTGAGGACTCCAAACCCGACAATCTAGTCAAGGCATATATTCAAGGTGTGACGGGACACAAGACTAAGGTGCAGGATCTGCAGAAGGAACTGTTGACAAAGCTTGCTGAGCTTGAGAAGGAGGAGGGAAGCAAGATTACCAGTGATACACTGCACGAAGGCTTCAATACTTCCCATGTCGCCAAGGCTGCAGAGAAGGAAAAGGCCGCCGCTTCGGGAAAGCAGAAAGAGGTTGAGTTGCTCAATCCCGCCTCGTCGAGCCAAGCTTCCAGCGGTGCGGCCGACTATGACGACGATGACGACCCTGCGAATGTTGAGATCAGTGAGCTGGCCAAAAAGTTTGCTGCTCTCAAGCCCAATGACTACAACTCTTACCTGTCATTTATCTCTGCCAATCCTCAAATTGTCGCCGAGAAGGAGACGGATGGTCTTCTTGTTGAGGCTTTCAACAGCCAAATCAAGGGCGATGAGGCATATGCCCGTCAATGTGTTCATCAAGGACTGCTCCTGCAGTATTGCCGATCCCTCGGCCCTGATGGTATCAAGCTTTTCTTTACTCGGTACGTCTCCCAACCACATATACTCTAGTGAAGTCTTACTGATAACATTCCAGCATCACCACGCAGGCCCACCGTGCCTCCACTCTCTTCAACAACGATGTCAACGATACCTATAACCGTATCAAGACCCGTGCAGTAGAACTCAGCAAGGATAGCTCCGCATCCAACGATCCTGCTGGTGTGGAACAGATCCAACTGCACGCCGTTGATCCCAACACTAAAATCACTATCAACCTCCCCGCTGCCAACAGTCAAGACCCCACAGAAGTCGAAGCGCGTAAGATCTTCGATGCTTTCCCTGCAAACCTACAGAAGGCGTTGGCCAGTGAGTCACTAGACGAAGTGAACAAGGTCCTCGGCAACATGTCAGTCGATGATGCAGAGGTTGTCGTTGAGCAACTGGGAAATGGCGGCATGCTCAGTCTTGAGGAGGGCATCATTGACAGCACCACGGAAGAAGGCCAGAAGAAGCTGAAGGAGCTTGAAGCCGAGGGCAAAGAAGATGTCGGAGAGCCGGGCGGCGATGTTACGGAGTTGGATTGAACATAAAAGTGCTACTATTAACCTTTGAAACGCGATTGAATGCATCAAATATTCCTCATAAGCATCTGAGGGGCTTTTAAATAATCAAATCTAGTGTAATGGGGACAGGGTCTGTGGATACCCATCATCACGAACCTATAGTAAGGCCACACTACTCCATTCATGCTCTAAAACATACTACCAATGATTACTTATTTATTTACTACTGTGAAAAGTGGTTACTCACTATAGGGGGAAATTTCTACCTTGTAACAGACTGAGACTAGCATGCTATGGTGGATCAGCACCCAGGTGGTCAGCGCCAACAATGTTAGTGTTTCGGAGCAACTAACCTGAAACTTCCGAGACCATCTCTGACTGTCGGAGAAATACTCGTCGGAAGAACATATCATAATTTCCAGCATAATTCGACACGGAGTAATCCTGAATTGCTGGAGGACAAGGATTTTCCCATTTAAAGTCCCTTTCCAAGACTTTCTATCCAACTCCCAATTGCAACACAAAACTCATCCCGTGAACAGCAAGCATGAACACTCTCGGAAATATTGCAGCCCTCGCCCTAATCGGTTTTGTCAGTGCCCAAGACACCGTCGGATTTGGACCGGCCTTCTCTCTCGGCCCTACACAGTCATGGATCCGCGAAGCCAACACCACACTGGTCCTTCCTGAGACTCCGAGCCCTCAGAAAGACCGTCTCGCCCTGTGGCCTGGCATGGGAACAAGCGGTGGTGACTTGATTCAGGCTCTCGCTGTTTCTTTCTCCGACCCTAATGCGTAAGCCATTCGAGGAGGAGCTTCTTGCAGGCACTGGCTAACTTTTGATAGTAATTGTGGAGCGAAATCCGGTCAATGGTGCACTTGGGCTAGTACTCTTCAAGGAGAGCAGCTCGGTGGGAAGCAGGTCCCTGCTTCTTACGGCGATGAACTAACAATGCATTGTGGGAATGTCACCTTCTATTATCTTTCCAAGGCTAACAGGACGATAGACAAGTACAACGATGACACCGGCAACTATGACCAAACAGTCTACATCAACGGGGAGAGCGTTTCTACTCTTTCTACCAGTAAGTATTCTCCTTTCTCTAGATGAGTTCTATGCTCTATCTAATGCTCGTTATAGGTTCTGGACAAGCACAGGGTTGGGGCACTGCTGTCGAGTGCCAGGATGATGCATGCCAAAGCACCACTGCGGCACATGGTGAGTTTGCTAGTTCTGTGTGAATATTATCACTTAGATCTAGTGGGCTAATAGACTTTTTTCTCACAGAATACCTTGACACCACTATCATCTTGAATGCTGCTGACTCTACATTTGCTGGCACCTTGGGTCTCAACGAAGTCACCTCGTCCGGTCTGAAAACAACTGATAACAAGGTCTACACCGTGTCAAGCATCAAGATCCAGTCTCACACTTACAACCTGTAATTGTGATTGTTCGTCCAATTTGAGCATTTCTGTAACGATTATTTTTTGAATATACTAGCATTTCATTGCAATATATCAGTTGACAAGTTGAACATTGGAAGTCTTATGTCTACTGACTCTGCTATTCTGCAAAGGAAAGAATAGTGGACAAAAAAGGCTAGTGATGGAAACGCCTTTATGGACAATCTTGATTTAGTATTAAATAATGGAACCTTGACATAAAGTCTAATTTATGCGAGCAGGGGAAATCCCTCAAGTTTCATCATTTCAAAAAAGCTAAGCTTATAAGTGTGATAACCCACATGGCCTCAAAAAAGGTGCATTGTCTCCAATGTACGCCAGGTGGCCTTGAATCATCTACTTCCTTCTCACACTGCATGAGACAGGGGAGCCGAAAAATTCACGAAATTTAATCATCCTTTGCGTATTCCGTTATCCGATTGTTCTGTTTCATCTTTCTCGCGGCGGTGTACATCTTCTGCATAGTATCGATATACTTGTTGACATTCTCTTCCTCATCACCTATAGGGAATTAGGAGACAAACTACCAGAGACTAAAGTTAGGGTACTCACCGGCATATTCGCTAATGAGGTAGATGAACTCCGCCGTATGGAGCTTGCTTGGATCTACTGCCGAGATGCACATAATGTCTAGCCAGGATGGGGTCAGTGAGTGCTAAGTATCCTTTTGCTAGTGTGGCAAGACTCACATCCAAGGACGCTCTTGTACTTGCTTGAAAAGCCCTCTCCGGCAAAATTCCAGCGCCACAGCTTTTTGTCATAAAGTTAGCCATTCTCTGAATACGGCAAATTAAGGGGGTAGCGTATGTACCTTTACATCGACTCTGATGATGGTGTTGTGAACCATGTAGACGAAGAACTTCTCCTCCGAAAACTCTCCTACCTCCACGTTGGCAAGGAAGACATTAAGAGCTGTTTTGACGACTCCCTGGTTTCTTTTTAGCATTTGTCTGACTATACGTACTATCAAGTGCATACTTTGAAGCCCTCTTTCACTGCATCGGTGGTCTTTTCTCCTCCAGCGCTGAAGAATTGGTCGACAGTCTCACTGATCGAATCCGCTGGCTATGCAAAGTTAGTTACCCTTCAACTTTACTTCATAGAGAGTATATTAACCTTGTCGGATATGTTAGTCAGGGAACGTCGTTCCCATCTGAGGGCGCGAATGCCGGGAACCTGAGTCTTGGACGTCGCGTCTGGGTTCAAGAACCGCCTGTTTGTAGAAAATTGAGATTCACTATATGGCCATAAAGGACGTTCGGTCTTACTTACTCATTAATCTCAGACTGAAATTCATTCAGTTTTGAATCGACAAGCTTTTGAAGAATGTCAAGCTCCTGCTTTGCCTTTTCTTCGGCAACTTTGTCCGCCTCCTTGACGGACTCTCTAATGGCAGAAATAACCTGTCCCATGTTGAAGAAGAGGGAAGAACTGAAAGTTCAAAGATATTCTGCCAGAATCTTTGGGGTATGATAGTATTCAGGTGAGAAGGTTTACGGGCAATCGGTGTCTTTTTATACATATTTTGTCGACGTGCGCTTCCAACGCGCCCACGTTCAAGTTCGATACAGAAGTACCCATAGTCTGTCAATCAGTGCCACGTCGCCTGCTACCTAGGTACACCCTCGGAATTAAGGGTCATTTAAGCCAATACATCTTGTGACACTTCGCCTATCTTGACTCAAAATACTGACTGGTAAGCATCCACCCATCGCTTAAAAGCTCAAGGTGTTGAAACCGGCCTCCGGCAATGATCTCTCTCCCCCTCAGTGCACTTCTTTTCTTTCAAGGTAATTTCTGGAGAGCAAAATCTATCGATGTTTATTTCCCTTTCTTCTCATCTGACATTCAGTCTGATTTTTCCAAAACGTTAATCTATTTTCCCCTGTCGGTGTTCGCCCTTATTCCGAATCCGATGTATGCTGGACTTCTAATTCTCTCAGGACGGAAACCCCAGAATAGATATAGAACGCCGTAGTTACTATTTGGCGGAAAGAAAGAGGAGACCAGGTCAGACATTTTTAAGCTTGGCGGCAAGTCAAATTCTGCGAAGCCAGTTGCTGAAGGCTGGCGTCGTTTAGCACAAAATATACATAGCCATAAACAGCATCTATTCCCCAGGGGGCCATGGGAAATGTTCAGGATCGGCGCAGCCGCGTGGCTTCAATAGCCTCGGCTATTATTTCTTCAGTCTTTTAACATATTATAACGGAAAACAAGTCTAGTAACCCGATACTGCACCCTTAGAACTGTGGGGTCGGGGTGGCGTTCGGTTCTTCAGGGGGCCGTCCCGTTCACCGGGTAAGCCCGAGGAACTTGAACCTCTTCTTGGTTTGGCAGGATGACCTCCATTTGAGCAAGCCACGGAGATGCAACTGGCCCATTCACTCGAGACGACATGCCAAACCTTTTCTGCGCTTCTGAAATAAATCAGATGATACGCCACGAAGTTCGACTTGAAGCTGTTTCGCGAAGAACACATGATGATTTCCACGACGCCACTGTGTCACGCTCTCAGCCAGAACGCCGGCTTCCAGAGCTGAAATCATATCAAAGTTCAGTTTATAGCTATAGCGCAGATATTTCGTATCGGGGGCTCCCGTCATTTGAAGTTGTCCACATTCCAGACAAAGAGTGGGCCATACATCAGTCTTTGAAGGATATAAGCTCCCTCGTTTCCACAGTCGAAGTCCAGCGAAGAAACACAGTCTTCATATCCCCACTTCGTCTTCATTATATGACACAGACAAATGAATAGTTTACGGTAATTCTTGAGAAGGAATCATTTTAAGTCGTTGAAAATATCAAGTTCATAGATGGCTTGAACTAAAGATCGAAGAGATCGTCATTGAAGATAATAAATATTGGCAGAGTCAATCTCAATGCATCGATTGAAAGGTGGGAAAAAGAAGGAATTTCGAGAATATCTCTTATTAAAGTTGTTGAAGTCAATTGTTGAAGAATGTCATCCATCATAACCCTCCCTCGACAATAGCTTCATGTTCTTCTAACCGTCGACTCCAATAACATCTTTTACCGACTTTGTTCATTGAGTCCCCAAAAGTCAGCAGCTACTATTTTAACAATACCTCATCATTAACTTATCAACAACTGCCAGTAATCAAGGGCCCCAATGCCTCTCTAAACACGTTTCTTCGTTTTCATTCATCTCGAAGAGTTACAACTGCTCTCCTCAACAACTTTTTCGATTAGTTATTTTGACAGATGTTTTGTTAAACAAAAGGTAAATGAAGATAGCCCTGAGGAGGGTGTCTGGTAGAGCTGCCAAGAGCAAGCAACAAGTTTCGCTTTCCACGGGACTGTCAGGACGCTCAAATAGCCAAAGAGATCCTGGTGAAATGACTGATTGTCTATCCAGAGCACCCTGAGTAGCAACAAGCACCCAGGGAGCAACCCGGAAGCAAAAAATAGGACTGGTTTAATTTTAACCACGTAATACTATAATGACTTAGATCTTGGTGAAATGGACGATTAAAACGGCGTCAAATGTAGCCGCTTTGGGCGTTCAATCTACCGTCACTTAGCGTTGTGATGAAGTAGTGTCATTTAGAGTAGTAAGTACTAGTAAGTAACAAAATGTCCTGTATTTGCCATTTGCTTGTTTGGCAACTACTACTAAGCTGTAATCCATACCAGTGGATTGTCTGGGGGGCAGTAGGATAAATCTACTTCCAATCTCCAGAGGATCCATGCAGAAACTGATTTAGCAATGGCATGATCCATGGACGAGGGTTCTGATAAACCGGTCTGTTCGAAGTTATGGGTGTCATCATCGTATTCCCAGATTCAAGTTCTTGCTGTCAACCCTTGGGGTTTGAACTAGACTATCATCGACTGTACATTTCAGCAGGATACAACGGATAAATCATGAGTACTGGTATTGACGACGCCATCAGTCTGAAATATTTAAATTACACATACCCCCTGGAGGCTTCGCTGCATGGAGAGAGAAGAAAAATTCAATAACAGGACGGGGTAAAATAAGAAAAGGAAGAGAAAAAAAGAAAAAAACGAACACCTCTAAATCCAGACTGACGCATACTGCTGTATGGCTAAAGAAAAGAGCAGCGGAATCCTCAAATTCATCAAACGCCCAGGCGTCAATGATCCGAGGCGGGTTCTGACATTTCGCATCACACATTCCCCCAACGTCCACCCTTTTAACTCAAAACGTAAAGCAACCTAGATCCCGCTGGCGCCTGGAGCTTCCTGGTCTTTCCGCAGATCGACGAGCAACTCGCGGAAGCGCTCCTTACCAGAGCCGCTGCCACCGCCGACAGAGCCCTTACCGGAGACATCGACCAGCTTGGCAATGCGCTCCCAGCTGGTACCACCGGCAGAGGTGTCCTCGCGGTTGGTGAGGAATTGTTCGGCTTCGGTCTTGGTCTGGGCACGGTGCTTGTCGGCCTTGTTGTTGTATGAGACGTAAAAATCATCGACGTCCTCCTGGGCCTTCTTGACGGTAGCCTCCTTTTTCTCGTTCGAGATCTCTGCGCGGCGGGCGATCTCGGCGTCACGCTTCTCGCGCCATTCACTGTACAAAGAGAACCCACCCGTTAGCTTGATTGTATAGAAAGGTGGGACAAGGGGGGAACTGTAAACAGTACGCGCCCTGCCAGGTGAGGGGTTCCTCGGACTTACCGGACGGGCTCCGCCTCTGTCTCGGGCTCCTGAGTACTGGGGTATCCGGTGGGAGGGAAAGGAGATCCAGTGCCTGTGATGGTACCGCCAGGGGCAACCCGCTATATCAATTAACCATCTCGTCAGCGCAACTCAAACTTGAATTTCTAGGGGAGGGGCATAACATCTAGTTCATACCTCATTCTGGTTCTGGGTCTCCACTGATGGGAATGAGGACTCGAATCCGCCTAGGTCCTCCGCGGGAGTATCATTGCTTCCACCACCAAGCAGGTCATCATTGCCGTCGGCGGCGTGGTCTTGAGGGGTCGCGAATTGGTCGGCGTCTTCACCCAGAGCGGCGCGCTCACGGGCCAGAAAGTCGTCCTGGCCGACGCCAGTGTTATCAACAACCTCGGTTTGGCCTGAAGAGATAACAATGTCAGTTCATGATTTCGCGGATGGGCCCCTCGTGCAGGTGGGTGGAGTGTACCTTCAGAGAAGTCCTCCAGAGAAGGGAAGCGGTCAGCCATGTCGCTGAATGAGAAGTTGCTTTTTCAAGGTAGTGTAAAGAGGCAAGGAATGGAAAGAAAATGAAAGCAGATCCAGAAAAGGTCGGAGATCTAAATGGGAAAGCAGAAGTGAGTGTTGAAGTGACAGTTGTTGCCCGGCAAGACCCCCGGAGTGCCCGTCCGTCACTGGCAAAGGCGGTGAGAACAGCTTGCCTCTTCAATATGACACAGCTTCACTTTTCCTATCACAGCATATGATCTTCACAATTGGTTTGGCTGTTTCTGTTCGTGCCTGTCCGGTCTGATATAGCTGGTGTTTATATTTCGACGGTGACACATCCTTATAACCCCGGTTTCACCGTCGCAGCCTGGCTACACCTCCTCACGTTTGCTATTGTTGCTCTTGCGATAACAGCTCCACACACCAACAACCCTCCTCAGTCCCTCTTTTCTTACCCACAAGGCTCATATTACTTTCCAAACATGGCATACACGGATGATGCCGTTAAGGCAAAGCTCTCTACTCTGAATGAGACCCAAGAAAGCATCGTTACTGTCGCTCAATGGGTCATGTTTCATAGGTACACTCTGAGGTCTTTCGCTGTATTGTGACAACGCTAATCTGGATCTCTACTCACAGGCGACACGCTGATCGAACTGCGCAAATCTGGCTTCAAAAGCTTCGTGATGCGCAACCCCCTAAGCGGCTGAGCCTTGTTTACCTCGCTAATGGTACGTGACACCTTCGATTGCATTCCTGTTGTATCCGACTAACGACTACCCAAAGAGGTCGCCCAACAATCGAAAGCCCGAGGAAGGGGCGAATTCCTGGATGCTTTTGCGCCGGTGAGTTGCTATCATTGTAGTTGGAAAGTTCGGGAGTCAAGATTGACAAAGGCATAGATTATCGCAGAGGCCTCGGCCACGGCATACAGAGGCTCCTCGGTGGATATCCAAGGGAAACTACGTCGGGTGATTGAAGTATGGAGGCAGCGCAATGTGTTTGATATACCGGTACTCGATGCGATCGACGCTCGTGTGAACGGTAAGTTCCTTCGTGTCTCTTCGAAGCAGCTTGCACTAGTTTTCTGACCTAGACCCGATTCCAGATATCGACAAGACGCGGTCTACGACCAAAAAGCAGCCTCTCGGGGGCTCCTTTTTCAAGGACGCTTCGAGCGGATCTACTCCAGCCGAAATTCAGCCGCTGGCCCCCTTGCAAGTCGCCCTTACCAAAGCCGCTATGTCCTCGAATACCTCGGCTAAGATCGCCAACGCGGAGTTCGAAAAACTTCAGAACCCCGAAGACCAGCCACTTCCTCCTGTCCACGCAGCTCGCCTCAGCTCCTTGCTCAAGACCCTCGCCAATGCCGAAAGCTCTGTGTCGGAAGTGATCAAGTCGCGACGGGCCTTGATCGACGGACTTGAGAAGCTTCTTGCGACGAACCGCACGGAGCTCGCAAAGGAAGAGACCTTGGCCACTGAGCTTACTGAGAAGAAGACACAAACGGAATCCAAGAGGCGCGATGTTGAAGATGCAATCGTTCGCGGGTTCACGGACGAGAGCGCCGGTGGTCAAAATCAAGGCGGCGATGGTGCAGATTATGCCCGGCCCGAGGTCGAAGCATTGACTCCTCCTCCGGTGGAAGCTCTCACCCCGGTAGGGTCACCCAAACCGGAGCAGGCACATGTACAGGCTAGCCATGGTCCTTTCTCAGAAGAGCCATCCGCCCCCTTGCCTGACGCCCTTGTCATTCCCCACATGGGCCAGCCTGACAATGGAATTTCCTTCCCAGATCCATCTGATCTCTCACCTGGCGGCGGTAACGACTTTGATCTCAGCAATGGTGCGGCCAAGCGGCGTAAAGTAGCCCACGGTGAGGAGGATTATGCACAGTTCGCGAATGAGGATTTGGATGCGGATGTAGCAGAGCTGATTGCACAGCAAGGGCAGCAATGAGCATAAGCGGAGGCTTATTTGCGCACTTCCTTTTTCCTCTCAGATTCTACCTGTACGCAGGAGCCTTTTGTTTTGCGTTTATCTACTTGTCCTAAATGGTTCGCGCGTGGTACATACTGCGTATTTCTGTACCTAGGGAGGGACGATGATCTCGTGATGAGAATACATCCAATGGATTCCATTTTCAGCTTATGTCAGAGTTTACCTATGCTTTCTTCCCCATACTAGTAATGATAGTAGTAGATTATAAGTCTTCCAAGGTTGCTACAAGCGGACTGGAGGTATTCAACTTGAAGTTATAGTGATACAATGGTCATTCCGCGCTTCTCTATTAACTATGGTACTATGAAGACGAGTGAGATCGTTATCGGAATATATCTGGGTCCATCCACCTGTCTCTTGCAAATCGCCGTGACGACGAGTGCCTTCTAAGACGATCCACCGACGCTATCACAGCGCGAATATTGTTGGAACTTTCATCATCAGGTGGTGGTGGGGATGGCGAGCTACTTTTCTTCGGCTTAATGACTAAGAGGATGATCAATCCAATAACCACAAGCGCCAATAGTAACATCGCCTTCCGCTTGGTAGTCCGTCGTTGATAATTAGTGGCCTGCGAAAGCAAGTTAGAGCAGCTCTGGCCGATTGAAGACAAGTGAAAAAAAAAGCATCACTCTATAGATACAAACTTACCACTTTCAGTTCCGTATCTGCGGACTTGACATCAGTGTTCATTTTCTCGACATTATAGTCGATGCGGTCGAGCATGGTTCCTTGGTCGATGATCATGCTTTGAAGTTCGCGGAAGATGTCGGACAGCTCGATGATACCCTTGGCGATGTCATTGATTTCCCGCTCGCGTTGCGCTATCGCGGCATCATTTACGCCCGCTTGTCGTTGCGACGTCTGCATTAACATCGTCTGCGAGAAGGATTTGTCTGCGTCCGACTCCATCAGAGAAGGATCTGTATACGGGTTTTGGGCGGGCGTAGGTGCACTATCGAATGGCGTTGAGATGCCGTCCAGGTCTCGGAGTTCTGCAAGGTAAATCGCCAGTCAGTCATAGTTCCCTCGTTGATCAAGGGGGCATCTGGGGGGGATCCATACTTCTCAAATAAGTGCTCTGTTTCTTGCGGAACCTGGCACTGGATTCCTGAACCCTTTGTGCTAAGGAGATCTGGATATTCTTCGCCATGGTCTCCTCGCCGCTCGTGACACCAGCCTGTTCACGAACCATCGTCTCAATCCGCTGGATAGCCTTCTGACAATCGTGGAAGCTCCGAGTAATATCCTGCGTCAGACGCTCGATAGTGCCTTCGTCCTTTCTGCGTACATCCTCGTCTCCGAACCCAGGCAATAGGTGCTTCTGATGCAACTTATCCAGTTCCGAGGACTTCTGCGCAATATCGGCCAAGTGCTCAGAGACCTCCTCCTGTACATCGACCCAGCGCGGCGGGAGCAGATCCATCTCAATAACCATGTCGCCATCTTCTTCGAAGCCGCCCGTCTCGGAAATCAGGCGGCGGCTCTCCTCCGGCTGGGACGTATCGAAGCCATTGGAGGGGCCGCCAAAACGGGGCTTTTTAGAGGGGTGGTGTGCGAAGGATTGTCGGTAGGAGATATAGCTAGTAGAAGACGCAATCGATTAGTATCGCGAGCTATGCTGTGGCAGCGAGGGTCGGGGCCTAGCTGTCGGGGTAATGTGTACAGATTGGTGCGATCCCGCCACATGGTGGCTATGGGGCAGTGGGAGGTAGGTGAGAGGAGTTTATTGAGGGTGTAGTGTCGTATATGCGAATATCATTATCGGTATGGGCGGTGTTGGTGTCGCATTCGACGGAATCAATGGCGATGAGGTCAATCTGGAGTTGAACTTGAATGAGCCGCGATTGGAAGCTCCCGAGGGTCTCTCCGCTCCCGCCGTGCAGGGGCGGCCCCAGTATTACACTGTTATTACCGGCCTGTTCTCACCAATTCCACCCGTATATTTGGTATGGTCTGTATTGGGTAAGATGGACTATGGAGACGTTGATGGGATGCGTTTCTGTTCACCACAGAAAGGTATGTGTATACTAACTAATATGTAGTAACTAATGAAACCCAGTTCTTTACACCGGACGAAGCCATAGCCGCGGAAAGCGCCTGGACAGCAGTATACGAGCTTCTTGACTTTTCTGCTTATGGTCTCGGCTCTCGACCCTCGACTCTCTTGAATACAAGATACACTCTAGCCGTGTGACCACCTGAATGACCGCATGGACAGATGAGGTCCTTCGTTGTGATTTACTCACGGATAGGTTCGCCGGGAGATGGGGGCGGAGCTGGCTGATGCTCGTGATGAGAGGCTCATTCAGGTGCATGGGCTGGCGGAGGTACAATAGCGCCCGCGGGCACTGCCAACTGTGAAACAGCTTGAGCGGGGCGACGAAATTAACCCGATATCTGCCAGTGGTTATATATGACTAGTATCAGACCAAGTAACTTGAAAATAGAAGCCCCATAGCAGTAGCCGTAGCATTATAGGAGTAGTTGTAGGTGTATACTTGTGTTTCAAACCTCTATATTACTATTGGTGTTGGTGCTCTTTCTCTTTCTCTTTCCTCTGCTTTGCTTGCGTATCACCAAGAATGATGTGTGTCATTTCCTTACAGACTCAGGATACGAGCCCCCATTATCTTTCACACCGAGAGGGGGACTCCAGCATTAAGTGAATTCTATTTAGGGACCAGATCTACTAACCGAGTGATCCATCATTTCCCTGGTTCAAGTTCACCACCGAAATCTATGCGCCAAATGATCCAATCAGTGTTGATGGTTGATGGAGGGCTTCACCTCGTGGGAACAGGCCTCGATTGTGTAACCTTGGTCAACAAGTGACACAGGCACGCATTCAGAGCGTACCTGATACAGTTACTAATCGCCATGTGGTTCCCGTGGGCCGTTTACTACCTACGCTTGATATTCTCTTGCTGGATTTAAATGGGCCATGAACGGCAGAGGAGACCAAGAGAATTTTCGAAGTACTTCAAGAAAAACAAAGACTCGGAGGCTTAGACTAACGGGAACGGCCCGAAAGTCGGTGTAGTCTTGCAGCTGGTCTCTCCACTCCACCGCAGATGCAAATGTCATGCACATTAGTACTCTGTATACTCGTATGTGCGCGGGAAAAGCGGGTTGTTTGCACGACCCGCGTGAGCATTTCTCCGTGATGAAGAGTGACTGCAGGTGCAAAGTGACTGCAGGTGAACATGTGTATGATATCACATCGCGCGCAGTTTAACGGCCAGCCTTATAAGTTTACTTCTTAGTCTTACTTTTCCTGCTAGATGGCCCCGTATTCTCCATTTTTTTTTTCAAATCGTCATTAACCTTACAACAGAATGAGGTCCAATGAACCCGACGAAGAGAATAAGCCCCTTATATCCCTACAGAGCAAAGGCCCTTGTACTTCGAGCTCAGCGAGTATCGGCTATGACGACATTGGCGGGAAAGACCGAGGCTTTAAATCTTATTGGGCGCGCTTTCGTCAACCCTCGGTATGCCCCAAATTCCCTCTGTCGCCTCCATTAACAATAATTTGTGGGCTATGGCTAACATGACGATATTGTAGCCAGCATGGATCATCTGTCTCTACACCATATACGTTATGGTCTTTGGCATCTTGACTGTCCCCGAACTCAACTCTACATTTGCCTTGATATGTCACCAGCGATACTCAGAAAGCAAGAATTCCTTGGGGAAATCAGAAACTAAGGGCCAGGATCTTTTTAAAGAACTTGACAATTGTCTTGGGAACGAGCATGCACAAACACAACTATCGCAATTTTTACTCTACCGCGAAATAGCGTCCGGTCTTCTCGGTGCCATTTCGACGCCAATATTGAGCTCTCTGTCGGATCGGATCGGTCGAAGACGAATCCTTGCTTGTACCGCAGTAGGTCCTCTCATAAAGGAGGTCTTATTTCTCCTTCTTCTTTGGTATCCCGACTCGGTAGATGTATACTGGCTTCTCGTGGGATACGCTGCCGAGGGCCTCAGCGGTGGATTTATCGTCTCGATGAGCACGTCGCAAGCATATATCACCGATCTCGTTCCCCTTAAAGATCGCGCGAGCGTATTTGGATATCTACAAGCTAGTTTATTCTGCACTCTGGTACTGGGTCCTATCATTGCGGGTGTGCTTCTTACAGCTTTCAGCTCCTTCCAATTCATATTTGAGGTCGCTGTTTGCAGCCACTTACCCCTCGGCTTGATCTTTCGCTTCATCCTGCCGGAGTCGCGCCAAAGTTCTTCCATAAACATGGTTGATACAGAGCACCTATCAGAAGAAAACGGAATTCGGTCGATGTGGTCATCACTCAAGTCGATTCGTACGTCAAGTATCTCACGACGAAGAAATATGGCTCTTCTAGCCTTCGTAGATTTTGTTGTCTTTGGTGTTTACCTAGGCATCAGCCCGCTTCAGTTGGCGTATCCAGGATATTTATTCCATTGGACGCCAACCATCCAAAGTTTAGTGATGGCTTTGACATCATCGTGGAGTGTCCTCGTGCTAATTGTGCTATTCCCCAAGGCAATGACGCTTGTACGTCGGTGTGACAGGCGGGCTTCCGGTGTCTCTCTGCTAAAGTTTGGCGAGATGGGTGCTGTCAAGTTCTGCTTGATTCTCCAAGTTATGGGTTACATTGGCATTTCTTTAGCTCAAACCCCTGGCGCGTTCATCATCTCATCTCTGATTGTTGCATCGTCTGCTCCCATATCTCCTCTTTTAACATCCTGTCTCACCGCGTACGTGTCCAGTGATCAAATAGGTCAGCTACTTGGAATTTTGAGCTTTTTGCATGCGATTTCTCGGGTTGTCATGCCTGCTGTGATGAATGCTACTTACAGCAGGACTGTGGGTCTTTTCCCGGCGCCGTTGTTCATGCTTCTGGCAATCTTTCAGGGCGTTTCATTACTGGCAACGATGGGTGTCAAAGCAGATGTTGTTTAATCAGTTCAGCAAGAAGAAATCGCTCAGTACCGAAATTTTCCTTCAATTATTCTGAATCCTTCATAGATTTGGGTCAATATTGGTAAGCGAAGCTTGGTAAGCTGCCCTAGAGCAATACGAGAGCCGCGATTCACTCTTTCTTTGGTGGAAAGTCTAATTGTATGCCACTTTTCTGAGGTCTCTAAACTTGAGTCATGCTGTCTATTTTTGATTCGAAACATCGATCACGATGTGACGACTAGGGACAAACAATGCATCATCGACTCAAAATATAATATATTGGTCAACAATCTTTTGCAAAAAGTGGCCGCTAGGAGTACTAGTAGTATCAGAGGGTTCTTCAACCATTTACTTGAAGGAAGAGGTCATGCTCTCCTGAAATATTTGCGTACATCGATGGTTGCTTTTGCTTCTTTCCGTACAGTGTTGACGCGATTCGAACTGCGGGGTCCGGTCTCATTCCGGCTTCTAGGCTGTGTCGGCGTCGGAAGAGGGCTAGTCAAAGGCTTAGGGTGTAACCATGGGTTAGCACCGAAAGCCGTCATCGCATTGGATGCCTAATCCATAATCCTTTAATATTGTAGCCGCTTTGGCTAGATCGATTTATAGCAAGTACAACGTGAATGTATTTCAAAGCGGCGACTCTAAGCGGAAAGTGATCGCTCATGTACTATGCGTCTTACTGGAGCCTAGGAAGGCTTGTTTCTTCAGTTCTGTCTAGGCAGCACCAGTCATCTTTAACTGGAAATAAGCCCTGGAGCTGAGCAGTTATCTCCGATCTTACAGGGGGATGGCATTGCCCATGAGTCATGATGAATTTGTAAAAGTGGTCCTGGAATGCTTATTTAAACCATAGTTCTCCCGGGTCGAAGAATTGTAACTTCAATCTGCTATACTGCTCTCTCGTTACAATTGGCTCTGCTTGACGTACAAGAATTCAAGTTTATCATCAATCAAGCCTCTATATTCCTCTGATATAATAATCATAATGGCCGGCGCCGGTTCCCTTCAACGATCAACGGATGGCTCAGCTCCACGCACTGATGTTCAAGTCGCAAAGGACGCATGGAAATTTGTCCAGCGAAAAGTTCAGAAACATCGCAGCCCACCCTCAATCCCCGAAGAAGACTTACACAAAACACTTTCACAAGAGTCGACCATGAGCAAAGCAAACACTCTCGTTGTTGCTTCGGACGATCAGCCAGCCAAGAAGACTGAAAATTGAAATACGACCAGTTAGGTTGAAGAAGGAAACAGAAGGCTCGTCGGTAATTGGGTACTTGAAGTCTGGGATCTTGGAAGTCTTAGTTGGATTCTGAATGGTTATGCGTCTAATGTGGTGCCTTTGGAGTTTTTCTTCTTTTTGATTCGTTTCTCTTCCTTTATCAATAATCCGCCCGCCATGCACTATGTTGGCGGCTTGATCTGCATGAAGTTGGTGGGGTTGAATGCATTCCCCGAGGACTTGAACGGCTACAACCTTGAAAGGTTTCCACTAGTATCTTCTTCAATATCTGTGACCATTAATTTATAAATTTATTCAATGGATATGTACTAGAGGTTCCTAACTTGAACTTGAATGATCCCTGAATCCTCGAAATAGCTCCGTTAACTAGCATAAACATATTCTTTTTCTCTCGGCATGGTGTCAACTACAGAGTACTTCACAGGATGTTAGCTATGGGAACCCACCACTCAGCCCTACCCTCGGCAAAATAGGCAGGGGGAATGAGATGGGGCCTGGGGCTTGGCCTTGGACTTGGACTTGGGGTCTAGCCGTGTACCCTCCGTGGCGAGTGGCAGCACCATGCTTTCCGTGGGGAGTAGACAAGGTCAGCTGCGGGGCTGATAGCACCACCAGGCTCGAATCCGCAGGGGTAAGGGACAACTTTCATCTGCAGTCATGGTTCTTGGCTCGTACTAGCGGGGCGGGAATGGCCAAACACCAAGCTTTTCTTCGATCCGCCGGGTGTCGTCAGCTGAAGGAGTGTTTTGAACACAGCCAGGGTGGATAGAACCACGAGGATCTGTGAGGTGGGAAGCAGCTGTTGAAGCAGAGGATATCTTAGGTAGCGAGTACTGTTATCCGTATAAGTACGGGAGTAAAAGCAACTTGAACTGTCAATAACAAGACGGAAAGTACAGATGGAAGAGTCACGCTGACCGCCTGGCCCACGGTTGTCTCTGATTGGCCATTCATTGTGTTCTGCCACCTCCGTAAGGCTGGCTTTCCCCTTAACTTCCTCCCCGCCAGAAACTCCATCGACCCCTCCCTTCTCTCTCCCCATTTTCTGTTTTCTTTCCCCCCCTCCCCCTTTGCATATCCCTCCAGATCTAGCAAACATGGTATGTCTCTGTTTTGTGTTCCACCCTCGTTGCTTTTCATCCATCCTGCATCGCAGAATGGAGAGCCTTCCTCCTCTCAAAGCCCTCCCCCGCACCCGCGGGACAGACACTGTTGTCCTGTTTGTTGACTGACCGCGCGATCGCACCTATCTAGGCCGATTCTCTGACCGAAGAGCAAGTTTCCGAGTACAAGGAGGCCTTCTCCCTCTTTGTGAGTTATCCAATCTTCGAATTGAATTGCCAGCGTGGGATCATTTAGGCTGACGGGTTATCTTGTGATCGACAGGACAAGGATGGCGATGGTAAGTGCGGCCTATGCTGAACACCTCATGTCCTTTTCACGGGCGGCGTTTCCTTCGCGATTGGATTCCATCAACTTACCGTTGAACCCTGCTAAAAACTATTTGCGATCTGTAGGAGAAATCACCACCAAGGAGCTTGGCACCGTCATGCGCTCCCTCGGCCAGAACCCCTCCGAGTCTGAGCTGCAGGATATGATCAACGAGGTCGATGCCGATAACAACGGTACCATCGATTTCCCCGGTACGCTTCCCCCCTTCTCCCCAATCCCATTATCTACTCCTCCTCTCCTCTCGTCTCCTCCGCCCGTCACAAAAAGACTAATATTGACATGCGCCCACAGAGTTCCTGACCATGATGGCCCGTAAGATGAAGGACACCGACTCCGAGGAGGAGATCCGTGAGGCCTTCAAGGTCTTTGACCGTGATAACAACGGTTTCATCTCCGCCGCTGAGCTGCGCCACGTCATGACCTCCATCGGCGAGAAGTTGAGCGACGATGAGGTTGACGAGATGATCCGCGAGGCCGACCAAGACGGCGATGGACGTATCGACTGTACGAATTCCCTCCCCCCACCCCCACGTCAAGTCGCAATCCTCGAAGACCCACTGACCCAATTGTCTACTAGACAACGAGTTCGTCCAGCTCATGATGCAAAAATAAACTTCCACGTCGCCATGTGTTCTCCGTCTTTAGCTGAAATCGCGATTTTCTCAACGAGGATGTTTTTCTATTCTTCCTTCTCTTATTGTCTTCCAGCTCAGTTCCCGATACTGTCTCTGTAGTCTATGCTTTTTACTGGGCTATGGCTTGGACTCTTCATGATCCAGCGTGCACTTTGGAATGCAAGTAGCGAGGTATAGGGGGGGAAGATTGGGCCGTGGTGTGGGCTGCGTTTCATCGTACATCTATGAATTGATATTCAGCTTCGCATCTACCAAGATGCATGCTGCTACCCTTCACTTCACCCGCGCGACGCGGACCCGGTAAATATTGTAAATGCAGACTGTAGATAATGGAACGCCCAAAATATGCTCCAAATCACCGATTAAACCGTAAAACCTCCATATACTGCCTCGCCACATCGGCCCCAGCCTGCGGATCAGGGTCATCTTCAGCACTAACAGAAAGTCCACCCCCGCTATTCCTCGAACCCTTAATCTTCACCAGGCGCTCCTTAACTTCACTCCCAACCCCAGGAACAAGGATAGCCTCCCTGGCCCCTTCAACCCCAAGCCGGCCCCAAAACTCGCGAATCAGCAACGCCGTCGCCGCAAATTCAGCATCAACATCACTCTCCTCCAACGCAGACAAAGACACATCAACGCCAGAATCCGTCTCCCCATTGACATCGGACGTAACAGCCCCATCTAGAGAATCAACCACCGAAGGACCACGCCATTCGATCTCAACGACCGTCCCACGAACACGATTCGTCGGATAACTCTGTCGCACATCGCCCAGTCGCACGCGGAAATCGCCGATATCGTAGAACACGCCGTTCTGCACCACGACGGTTAATCGGTGACACCAGAAGGGCTGGCACGCGTAGGTGAAATGCTGGAACAGAGTCGCGTATGAGGAGTGCGGTACCGTCGTCATTAGCATCGGCGAGATATTACTCGTCGTACTCTCGTTGGCATTTCCCGTCGTCGCCGCGCCAGCGCCAGCGCCCGCACCCACACCCTGAGCCCCCGGCGTAGCTGGGGTAGCAGCAGGCGAGGGCGAAGCTGCGTTAGGCGGGTGGAACGGTTTCTCTGCTGGCTCCGAGGTATAAATAAAGCCGTGGTTGTGGTAATGGCTCAGCGAGAGAAATTGCATATACCGTGGCTTTGAGGGGCGTTGGTTTGGACCCGAGGACGCGGGTAATAGGCCCGGTGTGTCACGCATGAGCTTCTGCTCTAGTGTCCACCGGCCTAATTGGATTAGGTCTTCATCTGGGAAGGAGGAGCGCAGACGCTCTGTTATGTTTCCCAGGGCTGTGGAGGCGTTTGGGTGTGCTGGGATGAAATAGACACTTCGGGTTATTAGTTCAGTCACGGTGCCAGTGTGTATGGTGGGTTATTCCTGGTGGATTTATTTACCCTGTGATTGGCATTTTGTGTATATATGTCTGCGTTCGCAGAGATTCAAGTTTATATACTAGACCACGGGGCTGGGGTCAGATGCTGATGCACTGTCCTGGCGATTCAAGTCGACTTGCCAAAATGGGGAGCTTTGAGGACGGCTGTTCTTTGAGATTGTTTAGGTCCCGGCTCTCACTATAGCACTAGTACAAGCAGTACAGGCCCCCTTGCATTCATTCAAGGTTGAACTGCGCCCAGATGACAGAGGCTTGGTTGGTCAATGCAAGATTATTGCCAATTGGTATCAATGCCAGATATGAACCAATTCATGCAGTAAATACTCCGGATCCTATTCCATATTAGTACAGTCTCTTTCTTGACAAGCAGATGGAGGATATACCAGCCCAGCTTTGTGCAGTAATTCAGTGTCTTTAATTGAGTGATTGATTCAAAGAACGCAGATTAACGACCGGCAGAAAGTCAGGCATCACTTCCGCCTCAGCCATCAGGCCCGGAATCCTGGGCAGAATATGTAGGCGGTGTGGTTTGTTCATGGAGTATAGGTGGTAATGTAGTGCGAGCTTGTTGAAGCGGAAATATATGAAAGCGAAAAATTGGGGCGACCAAATTGTGGAGGAAGACTTGAAGGATGTTGAGATATGACGAGTAGGCACCAGGCAAGTGAAAGAGGGAATGACAGAGGGCAAATCCGACCAGTGCAAGTCCGCGTACCAGGCATCACAACTAGGGGTACCCAGGTAATAACTAGAAAGAGGAGAACACCTACTGGCTGGTCTCAAGAAAAATGGTGTCTGAATTATTTTCTATATTCAGGCCAGCCTGAATTGAATTGCTTATACACCGTTTAGGATCATACAACTAGCCTGCAAATACCCTACTACGCTAGGTAGATGAATTCGAAGGTTGATGTGAATGGTGATGCACCAACTTGAATGCTATAATGTGACTTCTTTGTACAAATCTCCGAGTTGTTCGCCAACCGACCCCAAAATGATGCATGCCAAACCGTAACACCTTGCAAAATGTGCACAGCAACAACTCCAAAATGATATCTCAAAAATGCCAATGACAAATTAAGAAAAGAGAAAAAAAGAGCACCAATCAAACGCTAGAAAAAGTCCTGCTCGACTAGCCATTGCGAATCCATGGCATAAGCGACAAGATCCGCCGCACAGCACATATCCTCATGTCCATGTTCCAGGTCGAGAAGATCAAGGACCGTTTCCATTCGACCTTCTAGCACCTGCTTGAGCTTTGCGATTTTGCTCTGCAAGCCCTTGCTCTGGTGCTCCTTAATAAGAGCACCGGTACCAGCGTGCTCTTGTATCTTAGCTGACTTGGCTTTGTCCGGTGTTCGACTGGTTGTCTTCCGGTTAGGAGAGCAAGGCGCAAGTGCTTGCCGCTGAGGCTGGGTAGGAGGTACAGGTGCTACAGCCTCCGGCTTGCGGTTCTTGAGAAGATTCTTGAGGAGAAAGAGTAGCCAGACCAAGTTCGTCCGAGGCACATACTCTGCCCAAATCCCGGGGACATCTTTGATCTTTTCTGTTTGCGAGGGGTCTCCCGTGTAGACTGTTGCGCGCATGCTGCCAGATGGTGTTAGAATGATACCAGCGGATAATGGAATATGGGATCAAACACATACTATCTGTACGTATCTCGCAGCAGAATCTCATCCTCGTCTTCACCGACCGCGTCGAAAATTTTCTTCTTATCCAAGTCCGAAGAAGCAATTTCCATCACACCTTCAGGGTCATCAGGCAGATCAGCCAAGCGGAGATCGGCACGCGAGAGCGAGTAGTCGATGATGGTAGTATCGATAGAGCTCGTGCCGAAACCACTGGGAGAAGACTGTCGCATAGCATCCAGATCCGAGGGAGGGTCCATGGAAGCATCTGGCCTAGTTGACCGAATACATACATTTCCAAGATGGAGATCGCGATGCTAAATCAAGATTAGAATTGGGTCGTCAATTCCCCCAGTGTATCGAAACTCACCTCAAACATCGCATATTCCTCGGCACGGGCAAGAGCCATAGCGACCCCCCAAAAGATATCATATATTTGGAAGATCGAAGACCAAGAGAATTTCTCCAATTCACAACCAGCATCATCCATCTCCACAATCGCCCACAACTGCGTATCCGCATATGATTTCCTACTAGAGGGATCAGGATTCAAGCAGTCGTCCTTCGTCTCCTTATAATGATCCCACGCCTTCTGGAAGCTCTCGGGGAATCGACCCTGCACAACATGAATCTCTCTGAAGCGCGCAAACCCAGGGATTGGATCAAGGTATTTCAGCATCTTTGCCTCGGAAGCAATTTCCTCGATGGAAGTGAATTTCTTCGAGCCGGGTCCTCGCGGCGCGTTCAAGGGGACAACCTTGAAGACACCATCTCCATATGCTCGCAGTTTTGCCAATTTTGATTTTGAGACCACCGGTCGCTCACCCTCCTCGCGCAAATGCAATTTGTAGACTTCGCCGTAGGATCCCTCGGCTAACTTTGCGACGTGAAACATCTTCGTTGATTTGGAAGCCCACGAGCCGAACTTTTGAATGCTTTGCGATGCGATTGGGGATAGGGCTTCGTTAAGGATTGGGCGAACGTAGGCGTTGGTTTTGGGGTCGTGGATGAGTCCGGATGATCTCCGTCCCGCAGAGGTCTTCTTCGTAGGTCGATTTTCCGGGGTAGGATTGTTGGGTTTGGGTGCTGCCTTTTTGGGTGTTCTTTGCGCGCGCGCTTCTTCGGAGGAAATCCGGACCTCCACCATTTCCTCATATCGCTTCATCTCTGATGTCTTTTCGGCGGGCTGCTCGGTCGGAATATCCATGGACGGGGCCGTGTACTGGCGATCAGCGGTTGTAGATGGTGTGTCGTCGGAATACTGAATTTTTAAATCCTCGTCCTGGTCTTCTGTTGCTAGCCCTCCGTTCAGCGGTATCTCTACCTCTTGCGCTGCAGATACTGGCTCCTCGTTGATGGTTATTTCAGCTAGCTTGGATTGGATGGCCTCGACGGTCACATCAACAGCCTTGCATGTCTCCCTCGCTGGGCTCTTCTGGTCAAAGACTGCCCTGGGCGCATTGTTCTTCCGTTTCCCGTACACCCTTCTCTGAGCGACCGTTCTGGTGGTGGGTTTCCGAGTCTCCATGATTGTCGTTCGGTCCGCAGAAGGGGGGGAATGGGAGGATCGGTATGGCCTTGGGTCGCTGTCTGATTCTGGACACGGTATAATTAGGCGAGAGGTGTCGACAGATGGCGGGAAGAGGAGTTGAATCAAGGGGATTGATGTAGCTGTCAAACGCCATCGATGCTTGCCGACCGTATTGACGTTTGTCCGAAATAGGACTAGCGGCCAGTTGCCGCGGTGAGCCATTCTTCCAACGGACCAATCAGCAGCCCCTTTCATACTAATTAGGAGCGGGCACTGTACATAGGAGGCCATGGAGTTGCAGATGGCTTGAATAGTATTTGGAGGACAAGGCAGAGAGACACGGTAGCCATCAACCTACTACTACTAGAGCAGCATATTAATTCCAAGGTTCAAGTTGGCTAAGATGCGGGAATCAAATCAGATACTGTATTATACGAGTACCTACGTACTAGCAGTTGGAAGATCAGAGTACTAGTAGGATCATAGTACCGTCACGGTCTTCAGGTTGAAGTCTCCTACTACTATCAAATTTGTGGGACATTCCAAGAAAGGATAAATGTAATATTTGCGGTGGAATCTTATTGAAGCATAAACATACATAATCTGATGAGGCCGTGAGATTGGATGGGTGGGGACGGGCAAGACATCGTGGAGCTATCGAAGATCACCGCCCGGCGTTCAGAGTGGATACGAGCCGCCTAGTCACCTAGATCATGAGTATCGCAATCATGAGATCTCACAGCCTCCGAGTCGTCAGCAAAGAACTGCAGGGCCTTCTTGACAGGGGTTGGTTTTGAGCAAGGTGCCAGTGGGTGACTCACCTCGCCAATGACTCACTCTCTACTATCCTTTAATACACCCTTGATCTCGAACCGTGGGGTTTGGCTAACAATCATTTATCTATCTCTACTGTCTATTGCCTGTCATTTGGAATGGCTTCCACACAGGTCCCGGAAAAGCCAATGAGCGAGAAACATCGAATCAAGCTTGAGAAATTTGCTCAAAAGAAAGCGAGACAAGCACAGCACCAATCTAATACAAACCCGAAGGAGAAAAAGCCCAGGAAGCTAGATGTCCTTGCTGTCAACGCAAAGGATTGGGTCGATGAGACCCCTCCTGGACAGAAGAAAATCTTGAAATCGCTTGATGATGACTTCCTGAAAGCTTACGTGCCGAATGTTGTCGAATCGTCCTGGTATAGTTTCTGGGAGGAACAAGGATTGTTCAAGCCGCGAACAAATGAGGACGGCAGTCTGAAACCGAAAGGGAGCTACGTGATTGCGATACCGCCACCAAATGTAAGTAATAAAGTCTCGAACAATTGGAAGACATACTAATATAAGCTGTGGATAGGTCACCGGAAAGCTACACATCGGACACGCTCTAGCGCTCTCTTTGGAAGACACCCTAATCCGATGGCACCGCATGCGACAGTTCTCAACATTATACATTCCCGGCTGCGACCATGCAGGAATTGCGACGCAGGCTGTTGTCGAGAAGCGACTTGCAAGACAACCAATCGATGGAAAGTCTAGGAGGCAAGACTTCACGAGAGCTGAATTCGTCCAGCTGTGTCAAGATTGGAAAGGGGATTACCGTGAAGAAATAAATAAGACAACTCGCAGACTGGGGGTTTCGGTAGACTGGTCACGAGAGGCGTTCACAATGAGCCCACAGCTATCAAAAGCTGTCACCGAGACGTTTATTCAACTTCATTCAGGTGGTTTGATCTACCGGGCTAACAGGCTCGTGCATTGGTCATGCCACCTCTCCACGGCATTATCTACACTTGAAGTAAATCAGCTTGAAATTGACGGGACAACAAAGCTCACAATTCCTGGCTATGATAGGAAAATTGAATTTGGGACCCTTACGTATTTCAAATACCCGATCGAAGGCTCGGATCAAACAATCGAGATCGCCACTACTAGACCGGAGACCATGCTAGGAGATACCGGAATTGCCATTCACCCTGACGATGACAGATATAGGAGCTTCGTGGGCAAGATCGCGCGACACCCTATCATACCCCACAGGAAATTGAGAATTGTCGCTGACGAATATGTGGAGAGAGAGTTCGGGACTGGTGCTGTCAAGCTGACGCCTGCTCATGACCACAACGATTTTAATCTAGGCAAGAAGCATCATCTACCATTCATCAACATTCTCAACGAAGACGGGACTTTCAATGAAAACGCTGGTCCCTACGCTGGACAGAAACGGTTCGATGCCAGATATGGTGTGATCGAGGAACTCAAAAATCTCGGCCTCTTCACTCGACAAGAGCCGAACAAGATGGTTGTCCCGATATGTAGCCGATCAGGAGATGTCATTGAATCGCTGTTGAAGCCGCAATGGTGGATGAGAATGGAACCATTGGCGAAGCCAGCCATAGAAGTCGTTGAACGTGGCGAGCTCGTGATCCGACCAGAGGCTCAGAAGCGGCACTATCTACAATGGATGCGGAATCTCCAGGACTGGTGCTTGTCAAGACAGCTATGGTGGGGTCATCAGATCCCGGCATACTTCGTTACCGTCGAGGGCGAAGATAAGGCAGACGATGTCAATGATGACTATTGGGTCTGTGGGAGGACTGAAGAGGAGGCGAAGGAAAAGGCTGAAGCGAAGTTCCCTGGCAAGAAAGTTACACTCAAGAGGGATGAGGATGTTTTGGATACCTGGTTCAGCTCTGGACTTTGGCCATTCAGTACTCTTGGATGGCCGGACCAGACGGCAGATCTCGAAAAATACTTCCCAAATACGACCTTGGAAACTGGTTGGGATATTCTGCCGCTATGGGTCAGCCGTATGATTATGTTCTCACTCAGATTGACCGGCAAAGTACCCTTTAAAGAGGTCTTCTGTCATGGTCTAATCCGAGACAGCGATGGCAGAAAAATGTCAAAGTCCCTCGGCAACGTCATTGATCCGAAAGACATAATGGACGGCATAAGCCTCGAGTATCTAAACAAGAAGCTACTGGAAGGTAACCTACCCCAAACGGAGGTCAAGAATGCCGAGAGATATCAGAAAAAGGCCTTCCCACAAGGTATCCCGGAGGTGGGAGCCGATGCGCTACGCTTCTCGCTCGTTCACTACACTCAAGTATCCGGCAGTGACATTAATTTCGATGTCAACACAATGCAAAGCTACCGGAAGTTCTGTAACAAGATCTATCAAGCCGCGAAATATGCCCTTGGCAAGTTTGGAAACGACTTCATCCCCCGCTCTGGCAGTGGACTATCAGGTAATGAGAGTCTGGCCGAGAAGTGGATTCTCTCGAAGATGAACGCGGCCACAAAACAAATCAACCAAGCGCTCGAAGAGCGAGAATTTTCCCGTTCCACAGAAATCATCTATAGGTACCTGTGGGACGATCTCTTTGGCACCTATATCGAGAATTCCAAGTCCATCATTTCAGACGGTACGCCCGAGGAAGCGCGCTCAGCCAGGGACACATTATATACTACATTAGAGACAGGCCTGCGCCTCATCTCACCATTCATGCCATTTTTGAGCGAAGAACTTTGGCAACGACTACCACGCCGCCCAGGAGACGACGCGCAATCCATCACGATTGCGTTGTACCCGGAGTACGAACCCTGCATGGATGATCTTGACTCAGTAAAAGCATATGAGCTTGTGCTAGGTTGCTCAAAGGGGATTCGATCGCTTATGGCGGACTATGGTGTGAAAGATGTCGGCATCATACATATCGGGCCTTTGAATGCAAGAGCGCACGATACTATATCCACTCAGCTTCCCGCCATCAGGTCGCTCTGCTGTAAAATACCAACAGAAATCAGGATCGGTGTTGTGGGAGCTGGAGAGCCCAGTCCACCGGGCTGTGCTGTCTTCCCTGTTTCCGCAGATGCAAATGTCTTTCTCACTATTCAGGGTCGCGAAATAGAAGCCGGGAAAGAAGCCGAGAAAATTAGGGCGAAACTGGATGAAGCGAGGAGAGATCAGAATGAGGTCTATACGTTTAGGGAAGAGCTGGGTAAAGTTCTAGATAAGGATGTTAGTGAAGCTATACGGCTGGCCGACAGTCGCAGGCTGGATGTGGAGGCAAGGTTGCGGGCTTTTGAGGAGGCCATTGCGATGTTGGAGATTTAGAAGGGATTTCCTTTTTGGTTTGCCACTGTGTGTGACCTGTTTTATTTTCCATGATTTTCTTATTCGTTGGTGGTTATAATATGTTCTTTTAACTATTTGATCCTTCGTATAGTTTTTCGCCGGAATAAGGAGTATGTTTTTACTTTTCTAATATTGGACCCACTCAAGTGCTGGTGGACATGGTAAGTATGAAACCGCCATGCCGGTGATCTACGTTCCATATCCCTAGATAATGTTTCAGTAAGAGAAAGACCTGACGGCGAAAAAAGAAGAGAAGTCGAATAGAAGAAGATCAACTCATTTTTTACCTCTTCCCACCTCGACCCACCAGATCTGTGACGTCGCATTAGCACCCAATGGAGCCCCATCGTCATCGCCAACACCCTGCTCGCGTGATGACAGAACGTGAGCGTTATCCTCCGGGCATGCATCCAGGGCCACGCCGGCCAATCAGGCGATCAAGCGCAAGGAGGAGAGCATCCCCCGCCATGGTGAGACACGAGTGAGGGCTGGACGCGGGCGACCCCCACGATCGGCAATTAAATGGCTGATTGTGGCGCGTTGTTTGACCGTGCACGAAAGCGCGTCCAGCCCCTATCCGGCTCTTCTAGAGAAGATTGTGGGAGAGACAAAAAGTGGGCTGGTGCTCAGCAAGCGTATGGCACTTATGCAGCAGAGGCACATCACCGGCATCGGGTGCGATCTGAATGGTCGATAACCGCACCAAGTGGGAATACCCTCGGGGCTGGTCGGAAGGGTGGAGTGTAGGCTGTGACGTACGGATGAAGGCGATGCATGTACATCGTACTCTGGAGAGTGTACAGAGGATGAAGGGAGGGGATGAGACAGAGGATAGAGTAAATTGTAGTAGAAGTAATGAATGGTCGTTGGGTAGTATGTAAGCCAAAGTAATTACTCATACTCTGCTCGACTGAAGTGTGGTGAAAAACCGGCAGGCAAAAGCAGGTGACGACCTCGGGAGTGCTCAGCCCTTTTCCTCTTCCCTTTTCTCCTTTCGCCTTTCGCCTTTGCCTTTGCCATTCATCGCCGCCACTCGTCAACTTGACAACCCCCCCTAGTCTTTTTTAATTTATTTACTTTCTTTCCATTTTGTATTTCCCCTCTCTCTCAATGCCCGGGCATGGCGTTCAACTTCAACTGGTCGCCTTTGATGGCGGACGCGAGTTTTTACTCTCGCGCCCAAGAACTCCTCACAGCCGCCCTCAATAAGTCCCCCAAACCGCCCATCATCGTCGACGATATTATTGTCACCGAACTGAATTTGGGATCTATGCCTCCCAACTTGGAGATTTTGGAGATTGGCGATCTGGCCGAGGATCGCTTTCGCGGAATCTTCAAGATGTCCTATTCCGGCGACGCCTTCTTGACCCTCAAGACTCGCGTCCAAGCCAACCCTCTCAACACCTTTCTACTTACACGACCGTCTTTTGCCTCGCCGCAACCGCTTGCTGCTGCGTACGTACTTGCTCCAAAATACAACCTCCCCCCCTCTCTCCCAGCGCATGCGCACCGTGCTACCGACCAGGACGGGACTTGACTTTCTTTGATCGCGTGGGCTGACCTGTGTCGCATATAGTACTCCCCTCACAATACCTCTCCAAATTACCCTCTCCGATTTCAAACTCTCCGGCTTCGTCGTTCTCGTTTTTTCCAAACAAAAAGGAATCACCGTCGTCTTCCGCAACGATCCGCTCGAGTCGCTCAAGGTCTCCTCCACCTTCGATTCCATCCCGTTTGTGCGCGACTTCCTGCAAAAAGAAATCGAGGCCCAGCTCCGAATCTTGTTTATGGATGAATTGCCCGCTATTATTCATCGCTTGTCACTGCGCCTCTGGGTTCCCGAATATCGCTCTGGTGAAGAGAATCAAAACGAAACCGACAATACCGAAACCGCAACGAGTGAAGGGCCCGGCCAGGATCCCTTAGCCAGTCCCCCACAAGACCCTGTTGACTCTCTCGGAAACGCCTTGAACGAGTCGGAGATCGCATCGCTGTCCTTGGATTCATCCGTCGAGACTCATTCCCTCTTTTCGCAGAAGAACCTGCTCCGCCTCGCCGCCCTGACCGATTCCCAGCGCACTCTCTCGTTATTTACTCCGTCTATCCAAGAAGTTGTATACCGCGCATGGACATCTCCAGCCGATGCTAGCGAGTTCCCCTCAAGTGTCGCCTCCCCGCTCAGCCCCGCCCTCTCCCGGACACACTCCCATGTTGGTAGTCTGGCATCCTCCATCCACGAAACCTCCAGCAATGCTTCTTTACACAGTCGACCTTCCATCGGTGGCCACTCTTACAGTAGCTATGGCCTAAATGTTAGCACCGGGCGTCACTCGAAGGCTCACTCACGGAAGCGCAAGAAGCGAGTGGTGGACCTACGCCGTCCTAAGACCACCGATGACGCCATGAGCGTCAGCGATGATAGCTCTTTTAGAGAATCTACCAGCCCTCCGTCGATCTGCTCCGCACCGCTGCCCGCCCTCAACGAACAGAACGATGACCCGGTGACACCGCCGTTGTCCCCGGAGACTGGCTTGCACCTCCCATCGATTCCCGAGCGCCATCGCATGAGCATTTCCCGTCCGTCCCTCCTCCACAACATGCAGGACATGCCAGAGCTCTCCTATTCCACCGAAACCATCCGTGCTCCAAAGGGCGAGGACGTGGATGCTACACCTCGCGCAACTGTGCGTGGTCGCTTTGAGAAGGCGGAAGCTGGCCCCTCATCGGTCTCGACCCGCCCGCCACCGCCCGCCACTATTATTCCTCTCAATAAAGAGGAGAAACCCACTGGCGAATCTGTTGATCCCGTTCTGGTGGAACGACTGGCCGGCGAGATCGCTCGTCGCATCCGCGAAGAGAAGTTTGCCCCTAATAGCGCATGCAGCCCCTTCTGGAGTCGCGCCCAAGATGATTCACCACCACCGGCCTATGGCCACTAAACAATCGGTCTCCTCTCTGTTGACGAACACTTCTTTTCTTCTCTCGAGCAAGGTCTCGAGCCATTTATGACCGTTACGACTTGTATTCATTTTTTTTTTCTTGTTTGGAAGCGGGACTGTACAAAAATCATGGGTTTCAAAGTTTTTGGCGTCTCGTTTCATTTTCCAGGGTTCTTCTTTTTTTTTCAATTTCTTTTGTCTTCTTTTTCGCTGGATACCACACTCACTTGAGTCATTTGTGTATTATCTTGGGCAATTGGGATACAGGGGGATATATCCATTATATATAGGACTGGGAATTGAGTCTGGACATTTACTATCTATCCCTCGTGTGCTATCTCCAATATCACTGTAGTATAGTAGGCATATCTCGTAGTTATTCACCCTGGAGTACTCCGAGTTGTGGTTCTGTGCGGCAAATGGCAAAAAACTGGAGAAAAGTCCGTGGGGGGCGCTAAGGCCAGCACAGCTTAGCTCCGCATTCGCATTTCGCCTTCTCTCAACCTCCTTTCTCTTCCATCCCCCATCATCTTCCTCCATCGCAATCATGGCGGGTGTGTTCAAGAATGTGTTCGGCTCCCCTGGGGCTGCCAACCCTGATGATGGTGAGTGTTCAATTGCGCCACAATTGCTTCCCTTTCCCCCGCCCAGCAACTAACAACTGTCAGATTTCGCCGACTTCGTCGAGGCCCCGAACCCGTCTCCCGCGTCGCTTGTCGCCGACACGACCACTGTCCCAGCTCTCAACACAGCCGGTGCCGTCCCCTACACAAAATGGTACCGAGTCTGGGAGCGCACCTCGCCCAAGGACTTCATGCAGGAGGCCATGATCATGCCATTCATCCTGGTGATCGTCCTCTTCCACGTCTGGGGTACACGGAAGAACCGGAGCCAGGCCCGCAAGTGGGCGCAGGCTCACATCCCCGCGCTGCAGAAGGAATTCTCGGTTGTTGGCTTCGATGGAATCGCGCGTCCCGGCCCGGAGGAGGGCGTCGACTCCGTCACCGTCGAGCTGACCAACCCGGAGAACCTGCTGAAGGAGCGGGCGGCGAACGAGTTCGCCGCATATGCGACCGGCCGTCAGAACATTGCCTTCCTCGATATCTCGCTGAAGCTCCCCAAGCGCTATAACCCTGTCACCTACATCATGGAATATGTCTTCAGCTTCTTCTTCGAGAGCTGGGAGGCACCTACCCAGAAGTATGAGGCTCTGATGTACGCTTTTGACGGCAAGGAGAAGGATCTCATTCCAGTTCTGGGCAAGGATACTTCTTCGTTGAAGGTCAACCAGTCTACCTATGATGGATTTATCTGGGCTGTTGTTCACAAGAGCCACATGGGCAAGTTCCGCACCGATCGCTACGACGCCTCGATGACTTTCTCCAAGGACCACCCTAAGCTCCCCTCCTGGGTGACTGTCATGTCCGAGAGTGCTGAGATCACCGAGAACCTTCTTACCGCGGACTTGGTGCAGGCTATTGAGAAGGCGGGCCCCGACTTCGAGTATCTGATTGTCACTGACCAGCCCATCGACAAGCCTACCAAGTAAGCAATGATCAAATTGGCTCATTAAATCTGCTAAGCTAACGGTTTCACCAGGATTGATGAGACCACCCCGAAGAAGCGCCTTCAGTTGTCCGTCAACATTAGCTCCGACTACTCCTCGACTCTGCCTCTATTCAACCAGTACCTCCGCCTCCCCGACCGACTCGTGCAAGTGGCCCACTGGCGTGGCGAGGTCATGCGCAAGGTGCGCAATGTCCGTGAGGAGGAGATCAAGAAGCTCCGCCGCGTTGAGGAGGAAGAGAAGGCCGAGGAGCGCAAGCTGGCTGCGGAAAAGGTGAAGAAGGATGACCGCGAGCGTCTTCTCCGCGGCATGAATGCCGAGGAGCAGCGCAAGTTCCTGGACCGCGAGAGCCAGAAGAACCAGCGCAAGTCCCAGAAGAAATACAGCCGCAAGGGTTGAGTTTGAGTGATAATTATGGGGATGGTTCGCATGGATGATGACAATGGACGATGGCATACCGGGGTTATAGGGATGGGACCATTTACCTTTCGCCTTTCTGCTCCCTCTCGATCGAATCCGACTGCAAGCCACGGCTATGGCTACGGCCGGCCAGGTCCAAGTCCAGGTCCACATCGAGGGGGAGAATTGTTTTACTCCACCTTTTTTATTTCCCAGTTTTTCCCTCTAGTTTTGTTTTGATACCTTGGCCTGCAGATGTACTCATACCTGAAATGCCCGACAGTTCTGATCTTGGGTGGCTTAGTGCTGCTGTCCTCAGTGGCAGCCCTCTCTTTCCAATGCTAATCTTGCCTGCATCAAACCATCAAACCCTGCATTTGCTTGCATTTTGCTTGCATCTGCTTCTAATTCTCCTCTCGTGGCAGTTACGCTGTACTTTGCTTACTTTTCTTACCTCGCTGCACCTTCCTCGTATCTGCCCTTGCCAACTTGACGGCTTTGTTTGCTTGTCTTGGCTTCATTTCATTCTTCTCCCCCGAGGGTTGACTGCTTTACTGCTTTACTCCCAACTCTATTGTCCTCGTCTCATACTTCCCCTCAATCTTGTAAGATCCTCCCCCACCCACGCTGTTGTACTTTCACTCGTTCAGCACTCAGCAGGGCTGTCCCTCTTCTATACTTCTACTTTGAAATCACTCACACGCTTTGAATCCTATCAAAATGCATCTACTTCCCCTCTTGACCACAGTCCTTCCTTTCATGGCTTCCCTATCATCAGCCACCCCACTCAAAATCGCCACCCGTCAGACAGCCTCAAAAGTTGCCGTCGGTGCAGTGATCAACAGTTGCATGGTCCCAGGCACAATCGCACTTACATTCGACGACGGTCCTTGGGAATATACCCATACGCTTCTCGACACGCTCGCCGAGTACGACGCCGTTGCCACATTCTTCTTAAACGGAATCAACAAAGGCAGCATCACCTCTTACCCGGACATACTCCAACGGGCCGTGGCAGAAGGCCACCAACTCGGCTCACATACGTATGTTTCGGAAACAACTCTCCCTTTCTTCTCCGTGTCTTGTCCTCAGATCCCTCGGGGAGATGTAGTCCATCCTAACAAACCCCGTCCCCAGTTGGAGCCATCCATACCTCGAAACCCTAGACCACGCCGCAATCCTCTCGCAAATGACCCTTCTCGAAGACGAATTCGTGCAAGTTCTCGGCTACTTCCCCTCTTATATGCGCGTTCCATATCTCTCGTCCAATGATGCGATCCTAGCCGCCATGGCCGACTTGGGGTATCATGTTATTGGCGCGAGCATCGATACAAAGGACTATGAGAATGACGACGGGGGTCTCATTTGGAAGAGTTTCGAGAAATTTCGTCTCGAGCTTGATGCCGGTGGCTCGATTGTGTTGTCACACGATACACATTTTCACACCGTTGAGACGTTGGTGGATAATATGCTGCAGGAGATTAAATCAAGAGGGCTGAAGGGTATGTTGTCGCTCTTGACTTTGTTTGGCTTCTTCTTCTCTTGGCTTCTGGAGAGACGTGCTGACCTTTGTAGCTGTTCCTGTTGCCGAGTGTCTCGGAGATTCAGACAACTGGTACCGCACTTCGCGATAGTCGTGGCTGGTCGAGGGTATGGTCACGGTATAATATCGAGCTCCCAAGGTCGGTGTGCTGCGCGGATGCTATGTTAACTGCGTTGTTTCGGGTGTGTGTTGGCTTGCGGTATATAAAGTATCCTTAAAACGCATAGCATGACGAAATATTATCTGTCCAACTTGAAGTTCTCTACTAGATGGGATCTCACTTGCGGTGGACAGACAACCTTGGAGCCAACTGCCATCCTTGAAAGTATTAGTCAAGCGTCGTTCTGGGAATTTTATCTATCCATTTTGAAACCATAATGCAATGCCATTCTTTTATCTAAGTCAACTTGGATTTCTATTGTAGTAGACTTATGTACTCGACTTTGGAGATTGGTGTTTTGCTTACTAGTAGATGGCATTGCCTCTGGCAGAGCAAGGTCGAGTAAAAAGTCCGTATTGCACCTTGGAATTTTCAAGCATGAAATATGGACGTCTTACAAAAATGAAAAATATGAGAGTCATGATTTCAGCATTGATATGACCGTATTGGACCCATTGGTGGCCAAAACACTCGAAAGCAGTCCCACATGTAAGCACTAGCTACGGAATTTGGAATGATGCTCTTGCTCCCGTTTTTCAGGCTGCCCATGAAGAGTTTAAACTCACCAGCACAGAGTGTCATGTCATTTCTTTTTTCTCAACCTGCCACTACTAGTATCTTCACTTTACATTCCAATCACAAGAAAATCCCACACCAAGATGGCCGCAACAGAGGCACCGCCAAAGAAAGCGACAGGCGACGGCCTACTCATTATCAACGCGGGCTTATTCCGCAGCGCCACCAAATCAATGGCCCTCGCATACCAAATCCTAGGTTTCAAAACACACCACGGTCTACTAGAAAAAGTCACAGAAACACCCTGGGCCTCCCTCGAAAAAGCCGCCGAAGCGACATGGCCATCTACGCCAGACGCCCGACCCCGAGCCCGCTTCACGCGCGAAGACTGGGACGAGCTGTGGGGAAACAAATACGACGCTGTCACAGACCTAGCCTCGCCTTTTACCCTGGAACTCATAAGTTCCTACCCAGATGCAAAGGTGGTCATTGTGCAGCGCGACTTCGGGAACTGGTGGCCCAGTTTCCAGGCCGAAATTCTCGACCGCGTCATGCTCCAGCCGATGGCTGCTATTAATGGGTTTCTGGGCCTGTATCTAATGGGGATTCCGGCTGTACAGGCGATGCGGAAGATCCATTTTGGGTTCTTTGGTGCGAGGAGTCATGGGGAGATTCGGGACCGTGCGAGATCGGTATATGAGGCTTACTATCGCGATGTGAGGGCGATGGTTCCGGAAGAGCGGAAACTTGAATATCGGATTGGTGATGGGTGGGAGCCTCTCTGTCGGTTTTTAAATGTTGATGTTCCCGATGTGCCGTTTCCTAGGGATAATTGTTCGGCTTCGCATGATCAGGAGGCAAAGGCTAGGGTGAGGCTTATTTGGACTGCTGGTGCTAAGGTTGTGGTGCCGCTTGTGCTTGGATTGGTTGCTATTTGGGCTGGGCTTGCGTATAAACAGTAGGATGATACCGTGACTACTGGTACTAACAAAGGTTGAATTGAGGTGAATATCAGATTTGTTCGCACCAGAAAAGGTTATATTAAATCTCGGCATAGACACCAAGTTGATCATAGAACAAAATATTATATAATATGAATTGTAATTTGCATTGCCCCTGCCCAAATCATGGCGAGGTATTGTATAAAAATGTCCAAAGAAACAATAGTGATCGACTAGACAGGGACTCTGTGCAATCCAAAGTCCCTTGACTTCATTACTAGTAGGTCTATAACTTGAAGACCGTTTAATAGCATATCTCTATGAATGAATGAGAAATCAAGAAGGATAAATGAGAGCTGAAAATGCTCTCCGAGATAGACGCTCCCGAACTTATCTTAGTTATCCTCAAGGGGAGCGTAGGTGATGCCAAAGTTGACACTGCGAATGGTCTCGTAACCCTTCGAGCTGTGACGGTCGCCGAAGATCTTAAGAGCACGAACAATAATAGTGTAGTTGCCTTCCGGAACATACGAGCCGTTGGCCAGCTGACCCTGCCAGGAAGTAACAGTAGGGGCAGCGCTGATACCATCAACAGTTCTGGCAAGGGCAGTCTGCTCGGAAATCGAGAGAATGGGGCCACCCTTGGCTGACTTAACGCCAACGAGGAGCAGGTCCGTACCCATGGAGAGAATGGGTGCGAAAACGGGGTAGGTGGTGTTGGCCTGCTCTGATGTGGCGTTCTGGTTCGACACAATGAACTGGTGGTTGGCCTTTACAGGCTCCTTGGTGCTGCTATCGGTGAGGACGTTGTTGCCGTCCTTGGTGTCCATGAGAGTAACGTTGCGCATATCGGTGGCAACACCCAGATAAGGAACGGAGAAAGAATCGCTGGATGAAGTGCCGTTGAAGGTGATGTAACCGCTGTAGACGGGAATTCGGCGGGAGTCGAGACCCTTAGGGGGTGTGGCAGTGACCTTGAGGACGGCAGACTCACCAGCGGGGACGCTAACGCTGGACGAGCTGAACTCAAGTGAGGCGCCCTGGGTGGTGCAATTGACGAAATCACCAAGCTTGTTCACCTTGGGGATAGTGCTGTTGGCGTCGAGTGTGAAGACAGTGGCGGCGCCGACGTGGCCGATAGTGTAAACACGGGGCGATGAATCGGTGTTGTTGATGCGGATATAGGCCGGGGCGATATGCTCGGTGTCATTGAATGAGATGGTACTGATGTTGAACTTGGTAGTGGCGTGCACAAACTTGTAGGCATCGATCAGACCGCCGCCCTGTTGGGCAACAGATCCTAGGAAAGGTGAAGCGGTGACACCGTCATGGAAGACATTAGGGTTGGCAGTGGTGGATAACAGAGCCTTGATCTCGGCGGGAGTGACCTTGCCCTTACCGCGAGCCTCCATCAAAAGAGCAACGCAACCAGCCACGTAGGGAGTGGCCATGGAGGTACCACTCTCGATGGCATATCCACCCTCAGGGAGCGGCCAGGTCGACAGCATAAATCCACCCACTCCTGAAACAGCGGTCGATGGAAGAATCTCATTGCTAGGACCCCACTGGGTAAATTCACTAATCTGGCCGCCGGACTGAGGGTTGGTCTCGTTAATGAAGATGGTCTTTGCAAACTCGGCGCTGGTCATGTTCAAAGTGACATTGGCGCCAGATGCGACTAGGTTGACGAATTTCTCGCCAGTCTGGGCGGAGAGCATTCCATATCCACTAAGGGTGTCGTTCACAGTAGAAAACTCGTAAGTACCAGGCTCGTTGAGGTAGATCAGGATGTTCTTCGCTCCAGCCTGGACAGCGTTGGCCTGTTGAACTCTAGTGCTACAGCCACCATAGCGGATCAGAACAATCTTGTCGGAGAGGTCGGGGTGGTTTCCGGTCCACGGCTCGCAGGAATCATTGACGATAGATGTGTTAAGGCTGCTAGGGTACAGGCCATAGGTGCCGTTCTTGAAGTCGTGGCTAGCCGCCGGCTGCCAGCCGAACTGCTTAGTACCGTTGGAGGTGTGGTATGTAGCTCCAGGGAGCAGCAGAGGACTATACTTGTTGTTGAAGGATCCAATGCCAACGCCAGCAGGGTTGTCGATACCGTTGGAGCCCAGGAACATGCCGCTAGCTCCGTCGTTACCAGCGGCGATGAAGGAGGGAATACCAGCTTCGGCCAGCCTCTGAACTGTTTGTCCGAATGGCTCGTCACTCCAGCCCTTGTAACTACCAAAAGAGGCAGAGATGATGTCGACTTTGTCCTCGTACGCTCTCTTGAACGCGGCGGTGATGATATCAGTGCTGTATGTCACCTTTTGCTGTCCAAGGATCTTATAATGACCAAGAGTCACGTTCGGGGCCACACCAGTGAAGCCGTAGGGGTTGCTCTGAGCAGCAATCAATCCAGAGGTGTGGGTTCCTGGGAAAGAATTAGCCAACAAGCCTAACATCATTTACCGATGGTCTGTGTGTGAACATACCGTGGCCGGAATGGCCTTCATACGGGTCAGTAGTGTTGTCCAAGAAATTCCAGCCGAATTCAACCAGGCAGCCCTTTCCAAAGCAGCCACCAAGGGCGGGATGCGTATAATCAATACCCGTGTCAATAACGACCACTTTGATACCAGTTCCCAGGTAACCTTCCTGGCGCAGTTTGTCAACACCGGTCATCATGTGAGGATAGTCATTGCTTTCGTGGCCCGCGGTGTCACGACGACGGAAACCGTGGGAGCTAGCAGAGCGGCGGGCGTGGGAGTTGTGCGCTACACTCGAAACTTCACTCTTGGGCTGTTCCAACTCCCTGACGGGGGACACCTTCTTGACTGCAGCCCACGAAGAGATCTGTTTGATAATGGCAGCTTCGTTCTTGTCATCCTCAAGAGTGAATGAACCACCGTGGAAGAGAGCGAAGGACAGGTCATGGTTAAGAGTTGCTAGAATGCCGTGGTCGTTGAGAGTAGACAGGAAGCTTGCAGATGACTATTGGAATCAGTAGATTAGCAGATGGCCCATCGATCCCAATTGACGCATACGAGTAGACGAACAGTCTTGGAGTTGGCAAACTCGACAATGTACTTCTGCGCGATGGGGTCACCGTGGCCAGCCAAAGCCACCGGCAGTGCTGCTAGGAACGCGCCCAACCAAGGCCAGAGAGGGGCCATATTTAAAAGAATGTGGTTTGTTCCTGAGTAGTAAAAGAGTGACTGGGAACAATGAAGCAATGAGAGAATGACTGGGGAGGGGAAGAGGTTAAGGTATATGCAGGCTGGCTGTCAAAAACAAAACCCTGCAAGTGCGGCCCCTGATTCCTCTTACATACTCATAGACGACCCATCAGAATGTCAACCTTAATACCCTACTTTGTTGATTTTTCTGCTGATCTGAAAGCCCTTGATGGGCCCGAATCTCGTAATCGTTCGTGATCGGCGTCGATAGCCGCCGATCTATGACTATTCCGGCTAGCGCATCGGGCCCAGCAATCAGGGTCCGACTGTGATTGGCTCTTCGGAGATTACCTCAGTCTTCGATCTGTGGTTAAGCCGGCCCTACAGAGTTCTCCAGATCTGTGTGATCGGGCAGTGCTCTTGAATGCCAAGCCCGGCTTTTATTTATTACGTATTGGCACTACAAACAGTGTCGGGGTACCATTTACCAAATGAATATCGTTATGAGGTACGAAGCGGTCGTCTGAAATTGTCCTCGTTCCAAGAACTACCACATCATACAGTTCTATTTAATATCTCCTTTAATCAAGACACTTAAGAGTCAACGATGGAACCGATCATCATAGGGTCGCCAAGATAAATGACTTCTTTCTTCCTACGGAACCCCAGGTTGATCATACGGAAGCTCCGGTACACTCAATGAGGTTCTCATTAAGCTTGCTATTCGAGATAATGACAATAAGTGTAAATTCAATTTCATGCTATGTGCTGAGTCCTCTATTTCCAACAAAAATGAACCAAATTTTACATCGTGAAATGAAGATATGTGAAGCCTTTGGAAGGCAGAAAAATAACAACAACCCGCCGAGCCATCAATCTGACCGGTGAATCCGGAGAAGCTCAATAATGACCTTCTAATTGATCTCAACAGTCCGGTTCAGAGTCTCAAAGTAGGGGTAATTGCCCGCCTGGATTCCAGAGTTAGCCCATCCCAAGTCGTACATTGTCATTGGATGATTCAGTACTTACACCAACGAGGGCGAGATGGGCGATGTTGATCTGGGCCTTGCCACCCTTAATACTGGAGGGGATCGTAACAGTAAAGTTCTCGTAGGGAGGAGAGCTAGACTCGTGGTATACGGGCTTGAAGTTGCCGTGGTAAAGGATAGTGCCCATTGTGTCCGTGGGAGCCAGGCAAGGCGAAGAAGCGCACGAGGAGATACCAATTGCAACTTGCAGCTCAGTCGATCCGGTCAGAGAGTTCTAGTCGTAGGGTTAGCAACTTAGTTTCATGAATGATGGCCTATGGTGTCGTTCTTCACACATACAGGTCGCTGGATCTGCACCACAGTATCGCTGCCAGCCTCGAGCTTTTGACCCTCGGCGGGATATCCAATGCCGGCATTCTGAGCCAGAGCGACGCTGACGAAGGCTGCGAGAGAGGCAAGGAACTTCATATTATCGGCTGAGGTGGTGAAGAAGGGTTGAAATGTAGATATAACAGGTATTTCAAGACGAATGTACAGTTGGAAGATGCAAAGATGCAAAGATGAAGATGGATGAGATGTGATTGTATCTAGGGTGTGGAGGAATATCATGGGGTATTTATAACCTCGCATAAATCTGGCCTGCACTTGAATCGACTTTTTGACCAGAACAACCAGTTTCAAGACAACCATGGTCCGGGGTGGTGATTCGCCAAGTCTCAGCAGATCGCGGTGAAGTGTCTCGGTAAGCTGCCCAATGCCAATGTTTCTCACCTCCTTGTGGATCCCCTTTTTGCGGGTGGCCCAATCAAGTTGACCCAGGGGCCCTTGGAATAACCAGTTTGTACCAAATAATTGATTCTCCACGCCAGGACTGTGAAGTTCTTTTTTTGGGTTGGTCCCTTGTAATCCATCGGATGGTTACCCCGGGACTTGTGATGGCGGCGCGGCGATCCGGCACTTGAGGCGCCCAGGGGCAGGCGGGTTTCAGGGGGGGCTAAGCCGTACGCCATCAAGCCACCGGGCTGCCTAATTTGCAATTTACATCACCAAGAGCTCAACGGATGTGACCGGATGTAGTAGTTGGTGAGTAAAGCTATTTTAAGGCCGCTGCTGATGCAAGGCTTAGCCGTCTGCTCACCAATGAAATGTTTCAGGTAAGCTTCCAAGCTCACAATGAACATAAGCGTGGAAACGCCTCTAGTCTACGTAATTATTACTAGAAGGGGGTTTGCAGGGTCAGCTGTCTAAGACTTCGCCAAGGAGAAACTAGTACTTAGATCCCCTTCTTATGGCTAATCCCATGAGGCGTTTCATCAATTTTCAATTTCAGATACAATCCACTCAAATGGCATGAGGTGCCTTAAGCTGGTAGGCTGGTGTTCTTTCTAACCCGTTTCTAATCAATTAGCTGCAACTGCTATTTTTATCAGAGATCACTGGCATGGTAGCATTTCTCTTATTTGATGCGAAATTGACCTTTGAAGCCAGTATTTGCTGCCCTTGATTTCTGACTATCGATGGGGAGGTTGAACATAATCTTGGAAGCTAGTGACCTTCCTCTTTTGCGGCGGCAGCCTTTTCGTACGAGAAAAGCTTCTCAAACAGGAGGCTATGATTAGAACACTTACAAAATTACTGATATATCCGACCTGTATGAGCTGTTAGGACATTCAAGCCCTTTAGCAGCACCCGTTGAGATAGACCGCCAAGCATGTCGTAAACTTCATATCGCTCAATTTTATTTCTCTAGTTTCGGTCAGACTGATCGCAAATCTCGTAAGCTCTGAGACCGGTGGAGAATCTTGACGAAAAGTTGTTTGACCCGAATCACTTTTGTAGATACTTCGGTCCATTAGTATTGGGTAACATGTAATTCTGAGCAACATCGGGATCGGGTCAAGATCAGCATCTAACCTCTGCAATCTAATCGCCCACGATCGATCTTTGTAACACGAAGAAAAGCTAAACAAGTGGGCAAGCTATCGAAAGTTATAGGCTATCGTCAGGGAAGGGTGAATTAGAAGAGCTATAATGAGCCATTGAAAAAAAAAATTCTATTTGTTTAAACTCGGTCATACGTTTGCCTCCGATCCAATCAGTCTTCTTAATGAGCCTCTAAGCCAAAATGACCTTTGTGCAGTGGGGACAGGACATCAACATCCGATATTACGCGACAACTTGAAGTTCATTTCCTAATGCCAAAATTAGAAGTTTGCGTAGATTGTGTAAAATTCAAGTTGTGTTGCAAACTTGAATTGAAACCAAGCTTGAACTTGATGTGGAATATAGCGAGTAGAAATATATCAACCTTGGAACGGCCTATCGAATCAAATTGAGTTGAAGTTGGAATGTCTCAGCTTCCAAGGTTGAAGTACTATTTCACCTAATCGTCGACAAATGCGTTACACATTTTAATCCCACCTAGTCCTCGTGTTTTTCTCCTCGCAAGATGTACACAGAGTGTCGATCAGTAGTACTACGTCCACGCTAGGTGTCCGATAACTCAGTGCACTTAGTAGGTGTGGTCTCGGCCGAACAAGAATTCGTGACCACTAAATCGCTTTCGATCAATACAAACATTTGCTTGGCCACTCTGCTTTTCCACATTACACTTGAAAGTAGAGAGTCACCGTGCTTCCGCGACGATCTTTAGATGGGTTATTACTAGAAAGTCCTAGCTCCACAACTGTTTAATTCATTGACAGATTTCCCTCCATCTTGACTTTACCCTGAACTCTAATTACAATACAAGGTAGATTGTGGGTATGACTTCAGAGAAAATTAAACAGTCAGAAGAACAGCGCAAAGGCCAAATGTTATACGTTCTTTACGAGATCAGTTATTTTGTACTATGAAGTGATTACAGTATTTGGTGGCTTTTCTGTGGGCCGTTGGGCCTCTACAACTGTGTTGAGGGGTGGGGCCTTAAATGCTTAATTATTCGAGGTCAACTATGTACCCTCGTGGCATGACCTCGAGAGACAGGGCTAGGTTTAGATCAAAATTTCGTAACCGGAGTGGCCATATATAAATTAAAGGCGCAATTGACAGTATTATTTTATCAAGATTTTTCTGAAGCTATATGCGAAAGAAATCATGAATTTTGTCCCATTTGTGTCGTATTATTGGGAAGTGATCACCCGCTTCGATGTGGCGAATCTTACAGAATGGCAAGTCATCGATGGATTTTAACTTGTGTGCTCAAATAACGAAGTACTCCTAACCCGTCCCATCTGAATTTGCAAAAGATTGACTTGTAGTTCGCAGAAAATACGCCGATCATAACTTTATCAGGTTAGACCGATCCCAATTCTAGAGACCGGAACATAATTTCCTATTCCGGCTGGATTGACCTGACCGACCTCGGGATCAGATGTTTTGGATCAAATAATCCTCAAGGCATCAGTATGTCACAAGATGGTTGAAAATAGAAAGGATATGAACTGAGTTTTCATGTGAGCTCATGATACGAACTCCAACCTGCAATAACCAGGCGCAGAAGATTCTGTTGTCTTAGCGTCGCAGATTGCAATACGATTTTACTCGCTAATGACGTCAAATCATGAAAAACATTCGACCAGTCAAAGCGAGAGGGCCAGATCAACGGTCTGAATGGCGGGGTCTAAGGGGGAACCTGGATGATGGGATCCCCATGAACGCCAACGGGGTGTACCCACACCTCGGTTTCAGGTGGTCCGGTCAAAGAAATTAAATATAGATAATGTTCCTGATTTCCCCAGACTTATCCCCTCTCTTACACCACCACCACCTCTCTCAAAATGGCTGCCCCTATGCGGAACCCAAAAGACTCTATGAAGTCCACCTGGCGACTATGGGACAAGTCAGAATGGAATATGGGCCACTGGCTTCTCGAGCTCTTGAACGTCCATCATCTGAATCTGGGCGAGGATGTCCCAGTTCACCAAAAGACCGACAAAGTTCCCTATGCACCTGAAATGCAATTCCATCGTTGGGTTCTAACGCATGCTTTCATTCCACTCGTTCTTCACCAACTATACATCAACTTCTTCGGCCGACCCCATGGGTTGCTGGTTTTCATCTTCTACAGCTTAGCTCTCGAATTCAATGCTGTACACGAAGTACAAGTTCTACGTCGTGTCGGCCACAAAATTGGATTTTTCGACGGGGACAAGCATGCTCGCGATGGTGTGCCTGACGTGGGCGTCGGGAAAACCGTACAGACCGTGCTATCTGTTATCATCTTCCGTCCGATGTTCACCGTTTTCCTCGCCTACCGTGGCGACGAAGCCCCTGCCTCCATCCGGTGGGGATGGCTTATCGTTGAGACTGGCATGTATGCTGTTGTCCTCGACTTCTGGTACTATATGTTTCACCGTGCCTCCCATGAGACGGAACACCTCTGGAAGTTCCACCGCACCCACCATCTGACCAAACACCCTAATCCTCTCCTGACTGCATATGCAGACAAGGTGCAAGAGTTTATCGATGTCATTGGCACTCCGGTTATCACGTATGGAACCATGAAACTGATGGGATTTCCCATGGGTTTCTATGAATGGTGGGTTTGTCAACAATACATCGTGTTCACCGAGGTTCTCGGCCACAGCGGTCTACGAATGCTCGCCACCGCCGTCAACCCATGGACCTCGCTTCTCAGATTGTGCGATATGGAGCTTGTGATCGAGGACCATGATCTTCATCACCGCAAAGGCTGGAAGAATAGTCACAACTACGGCAAACAAACTCGGGTGTGGGATCGGCTTTTCAACACGTGGATTCCTCGTATCGAAGGATATGCGGATAATATCGACTATGTGAATACGGCTGAGATTCCTCTGTGGTAATGACTGCTTGCTATGAAATTTGTGTGCGATATATTTGTCTATAAACCACTCTCTTAGGAGGATCAAAGGGATAATTTGTACCTAGCATGTCATTCATACAGTATACTATAGATCATAAAGTTAGAAGCACAAGCAAGTAAATGAAGATTATGACCCATTTAAAAAAGGCAGTTTCCAATATTAGTATTTTACCCTAAATGCAACTGCCGAGCCAGCTCAAACACCTGAGCACTCCATTGACACGGGATCAGAAATGTACCATGTCGATCTTATTGGAAATGTAGAGGGCCAACCTCTATTCGATCACGACGTCATCCGCCGAGAACCAGGTGGAAGTGATCGTTGTCGGTAGGGATTGGTGGGTTGGCTGCCGCGAAGACATTAGTATCTAATGTTGAGTTTCTCCTCTCGGGCTGGTATTAAAATTATTCCACATGAGAAAGTAAGAGCCCTGGAGCTTCCAATTTACAACATCATGATCATGTCTCCTGGTGTGATACTACAACGTGGTAAAATGATACTAATTTCGTTGCCTAGCAATGTAGAACTCTTTGCGCTGGTACTACCTACGATCTTAGAGAAGTCTTTTCAAGACGGAGTAATCTACGAAAGAAGGAAGAAAGTTTTGAAGTAAAGTCTGATCCCAATTTGTGCAAAGAAAGATGCTAAAACAAATGCTAAATACAAAACAGATTCAATATGACAAAATCATACAAAGCTGACAGAAACTTCTCCCTGTATCACTTTTTTACAGCTCCTCCTCGATCTCGCCGTTGTTCTGTCCGAGATCCAACTCCCAGAACTTAATCTCGGTCTCGAGGGTGTCCTCACTACCGGCGGCCTTGCCACCACCAAACTTCTTGAGGTCCCACTTCTCAACACCCTCGACGCCAGCCAGCTCGGTTTTGAACTGGCCGAAGACTTCGGCATTAAGGCTTTCGTACTCGGCGTAGTCCTTCGGCCAGTCACCCAGGCGCTGGACGGACAGCTTGAGGAGCTGCAGGTGCTGCCGGGCGTGCTCACCCTCAGAGAGAGTGACGCCGCTGCCAGAGTCGCTGATGTCCAGCTCGTAGGCAGAGCCGTCCATGCTCATAGAGCCGTCAAGGCCACCCTCGAACTCAGCAAAGGAGGGGTCGATCAGAATGCGGAGGAGGTTCTCGTGAACAGCTGCGCTCTTCTTGTAGTACTTACCAGCCATGTGCTGACCACCCTTGCGCTCCAGATACTGCTGGGCAATGCCAGTATACAGCTGGGAAAGGAGAGTGGAGATCTCCAAGGTGCTGTTGTGGTGAGCACCGTTGACACGACGACAGTTGTAGACGACGTCCTCGGCGAGACGGGCAGCCTTGAGGGCATCACCAGACAGGTAGCGGGCCAGAATGTAGCGGCGGGCCAGACCCAAGGTGATGCTGGAGGACCAGTTTTGCTGGTTGCGGCTGGCCCAGAGGCCGGACAGCAGCCAGACAAGGTTCTTGTAGTCCTTCTGCTCGCCCAGCAGACCAATAAGGATGTTGAGGTAGTCCAGGCCGATCTGAGCCAGGTTGATTTTCAGGTCACTGATGACACGGAGAACCTCCTGGATGATGATGGCAGAGACACCGGACAGCTTCTTCTGAGTGGCCTGGTCGGGCTGAGGCTGGCTGGTACGGCCAGTGATGAAGACACCGAGGGTGAACACGAACTTGACAACCGAAGGAGTTCGGAAAGAATCGTGGGCCGAGATGTACTGGAATGCAGCCAGGGCCAGGTTGGAGGCCTCCTCGTAACGCTGGGCTTGAAGGAGCTCCAGAACACGGGAGTTGCTGGCGATACCGACCGAGCGGATAAAGTTAGAAGAGGTATGGGAGTGGAAGTGGTCCATGATGGTCAAGAGGAAGATCTTGACCTGAGCAGCATCGGTCAACTTGGTTCGCTTGCCCTCAGTTCCAATGAAGTAGGTGACGAAGTCGCCAAAGACGATATTGGCAGCGGCGGAGCGGTTGCTGCGGATCAAAAACTGATACAGACGCGAGGCAGAGACGGAGACAGTGTGGAAGGAGGCAGTCTTGGAGGTGGTCAGGCTACGGAACTCCTCAAAGTACACATACTCGGTGGTCAGCGCGGCCAAGATCTCGGTGATTGAGGATGTAGTCCGGCGCAGGCTGTGCTCAAGCTGGGCCAGGAAGACGAGGCTCTGGCGGCCCTGCTTGGAAACATCAAACTGGGAGGTCTTGGTGTTAGAGGTGTCCTTTATGACAACTTGGCGGTACAGCTCCTCCGACATCTCAGTCGCCTTGGAAGACTGGTTGGTGTCAATGTAGCTAGAAGCGATAGCGATAGCAGCAGAGACAAGACGAGTGGAGGAAGTCTCCTGGGTGAGAATGTTGATAGTAGATTCCTTCAGCTCCTTGGTGACAGCAGAGCTCTCGCTGTGCTTGGAGTGGAAAGAAACAATCTTCTTCAGCTCGGAGATAGACTCCTCGGAAGCCCAGCCTGTCTCCTTACGCATAGTGGTGATGCGCTTGCGCAGAACCTTGGAGGCACGCTCAACCTGGCTGGCCGAAACCGACTCGGACTTGGAGAGGGCGACGGTAGTCTGCTCCTCGTATATTCCATCAAGAGTTGCAGAGATCTCCTCAAGATCAATCGCGGTGGTCTTGGTCTTCAGCAACTCCTCGTACAGATTGATGGCGTCAGTCTCGTAGCGCTTGGACTCCTGGCAGACCTTGGCGAGAGTCAGAGTGGCCTGGATAGTGATGGTAGCAGTAGCACCAAACACAGTCTTGACCTTCGTCTGGAAGTCCACGGTGACCTTGTGAATCACAGAGTAATCAGTGCGGACAGTGCGCAGGACGTGAGTGTATCGGTCGAAGATTTCCTGGACAAACTTGGTATCCTGGAAGCGAGGAGACTTGGGCTGGTTCAGGAAAGTAGTGAACAGCAGAGCGAAGTAGTGCACAGCATCGGAGTAGCGGCTCTGAGTCCAAAGCTCGGTGGCAACGATGACAAGGGGCTCAATAGCATCGGGCTGGCAAATCGGGGAATCCTTGTTGAGAGCCTTGATGATGCGCTGATAGTACTCGACAGAGATAGGACGAGGATGAGTCTTCTGGGCCAAAGTCCACAGAGTCTTGATGACAACGGGGTTCTCGGGGCCATAGTGCTTGATCTGGTCATCAAGGATTTCCTGCCAGATGCTGATGACATGGTCAGGCTGTTTAGAGATCTCGTAGAAGCGGATCAGCTCCGTTGTGATGCGCTCACGCAGCTTGTCATCGACGGGGCGACCGGCACGAACAGCACGGTAGACGCGAATGCGAGTGTTCTCCTCACGAGGGAAGCGACGGCGGAAGTGGTAGCACTGGCTGAGACGCTCGGCAAGGTCGACACACTTCTCGACGTGCTTGGAGGGCAGAGTCACATCCTGGATAGAGGGAGCAAACAGCGAAGGCCACAGGCCCTGGAGGACCTTCTTGACAACGCGGGTGGCATCCTTCCAGCGGTGCTGAGCAACGTACAGCTCAACCAGGGTGCTGGTAGCAGTGAAGGAGCTCTCGTCAATCTTGGAAATGGACGAGGAAGCTTCGTAGACAATCTCCTCCAGAGTAGACTCGGAGGTAACCGAGGACGACGAGCTAGCCTGCTTAATCACTTGCTGGTGGGTCGATTTGATGCTCTCCTGGATCTCGGAATAGGAGGAAGACTTGGTGCTGTTGGTGCTCTGGTAGTAGTGGGCACACTGCTTGAAGATAGACAGGGCGGCGGTCGACAGACCGACGGCACTCATGACCTTGGCAATCTGGTGGAAGTGCTTGCTAGTAGATTCAGACAGAACAAGGCTGGTGTGACGGTACTCCTCCCAGACGCTGGACAGGATGGAAGAGGACTCAGTCTCACGCTTCTGGGTGCGCAGGAACTCGGAGTACACAGTAACAGCCTGGAGCTTGATATCCTCCCAGTAGGTGGAGTATTGGATGCGAGACTCCTTGCTGGCACGCTGCCAGATTTCAACGTACACACGCTCAGCCTGGGCAATCTTGCCCTCGGCAGTGTACTTCTGGGCAAGCTGCACAAGAGCCTGGTAGTCGAAGGAGTCCGACTCACGCTCATCTTCCTCAGCATCCAGAACAAAGCGGATTCCGAAATCGCTGTCCTGGCGCTTGTGGCCCTTCAGGTGGACATGGAGGTCACCACGAGTATCATTCTCGTATCCAGTGTCGACGGTAGTGAGAGCCTTTAGAGAAACGGTGATCTCTTGCAGCTTCTGCTCCTCCTTAGTCAAACGATAGTGCTCAATCAGGGTGTTCAGGGTGGTGGTGACACGCTCAGAGGTTTGGCCGTAGTGAACCTTGTAGGACTCGAGAACGATCTTGAGGACCTCCTCACGCTTGATCATGATGTCTGTCTTCGAGGTAGTCACACTCTCGGTGGTCAGCTCAATGAAAAGAGCAGCAATCTTCATGGTGATGAGGTGCTTGGTGGTCAGCAGAGTGTTGCTGATGGTTGTGAGCTCGTAGAACAGAGTAATGGCCTCAGGAAGACGGCTAATATCACGGTTGAAGAAAGCCAGGGTAATAATAGACTGCAGAGTCACCGGGCTGTTCGTGGTCAAGATGCTACGGAGCAAGTTGGTGACCGTACTCTGGTAGGTGAGCAGAGTTGGGGTCGAGATGGAGTGCCACAGAGTGTTCTGAAGGAGAAGCACAGTGATGGTAGTGGGAAAGACCTTGCTGTACTCCTTGGCTGTGGGAACATCACCTCCGGTAGTGTAGGTGGTGGTCTGAGTAAGGTGACGGGGCCAGTAGCGCACGGCAAAGTCCAGAAGAGGGTAGCGATGCGTCAGCAGGTTGATATCCTGGCGGTCCAAAGGAGTGAGCGAAGGTTCGTGCTGCTCAGGAACAGCGAACTTGATGTAGACCAAAAGACGAGTGACAAAGTCGGCGTGGTGATCCTTGATGGTAGGGATCAGCTTGCCCTTGGAGTGGATATCCAAGACAGCAGAGCGGATCAAACCGTGACGC